CTACGGAGCCGACTGGCTTTTACACATCAACACTGCATATATGGCTTCTCTGCCATGACTTACATGCCCAGTTCCCTGGACCCTCATAAGGTTCACCTGTCTTTCCAGGTTGCCAATCACACTATTCATGATGTCACATGGTCTTTCCCATGCGCCATTCCCGGCCGACTAGGAATTTTTTATTAGTTTCTTTGAAACATAGGATAATTTCCTATGCTAAGGGCTGATGTGTAAAAGTCAGTCCACCTCGGTGGGAATTGAACCCACAACCTACCGATTAGATCTCGGATGCTCTACCACTTGAGCTACGGAGCCGACTAGTAGATGGGTTAACTGCATTTTAGGGGGTCTGGACTTCAATCTATTATGCAAACGTTTCCTTTGGCATGAGAGTACCTTGGGACCATAGAAACAAATTTATCCAAAGACACACGCCAGATTTTTCAAAATGGCCGCCAAAAATACAACGGAGACAACATATTTTCATCTATGCATACTATAATGATACGATTGGTGACTAAATATACATTTTGTGGATGAAGAATCAATTTAGTGTGGGTTTGTGTCTTGAAAATGAGAAACTTCCTCTTTATATTAAAAAATATACCTTTTTCAAAATGGCTGCCAGAGATGTAGCAAAGATGATTTCTTCACTTGTATGCATGCTACAATAGTAAGATTTATGTCCAAGTATACATTAATGGGTAGTAGAATCCATTTGATAAGGTTTATAGTCTTATTATTTTCCCAACGAAGAAAGTTCAGTGGGGATATAGTAAAGCCCTCCGTCCGTCAGTCTGTCAGTCCATCGTCTGTCGTATGGCTGATTTTGCAATTATTTTCAGATTCCTTCAAAGTATGGCCATATGTACTCAATCAAATTGAAGATGATGTTAATTTTATGATTAATGCCTCATACAATTCAAAATGTCCTATAGAAGGAGTTCATTAGCTATTAATTACTAGATATGTCGTCATTGTATGGTTACACTATATTAAGTGAAATCTCAATTTTTTCGTCTAAATATGATTTTTAGCATTGACTTAATGGTCATTAAAATGTTAAAATCAGCGGAAATTCTGATATTGTAATTGTATGTCTATTAGTTAACAAACATTTTCACTTTTTATTGAAAATGTATGCCCTTTTCTCAATGGCTGTGGGAAATATTACAACAAATTATATCTAACAAGGGCTCTTAAACTTCTTCAAAAGTAGAATAGTTTGAAAGTGTAGTTTTGAATATCAATTTGCGATGGAAACTATGCTGAAAACTATGGATAGCATGGGAGATGTGGTTTTCAACTTCAGCGCATTTCAAATGCCGTCCCCTTTTAAGTAATTGTTGATATAAACTGAAGAAACTTTTGATGTGTTTTAATTGAGAAAAAGAGGAGATGAAGAGGGTTCTGCAATACTGTCATTATATGCAGCCCTTGAAATCTATTCCGATCTTCAAGATTTTCTCTCGCCAGAAGGTTTCTGGCCCTTTCTAACCATAGGTGCATATGTATGTCTCTCCTGCGTGGTTTCTCTCTATCACATTTCTCTCTTATGTATGTTGCATTGCAACAACTAAAGTTGCACTACCATTGCATATGCATGTTTATTGCAAGTTACTTAAGAGACTCTGGTCTTTCTGGTGAATTTGAGTAAAAGTATCATTGAAAAATAAATACACATTTGCTGTGTTAAGGCGAAAACGATTATTTTTAAGGCTCTTGGTCCAATTAGCTAGATGTGAGTAGTAACAATCTTTATTTTTGACATTAAAAATTCAAAATCCAGTTTAACTGATGTTGAATTTGGAATCGTCATGAAAAAATACATCAAGAAATGTGGTTTTGAAATGAGTCCATCAACTTTAAAATTGAATTTTCTTTGAAAATGTGACATTTAGGTCAGGGAGATTCCCCATGGTCCCCATGTTGTAAAACACAAAAAGTGAAATATCTTTTCTTGAGTTGTGCAGATAATATTTTCTTTTACTGGAGATATTTTAATTTGCACAACCATCAGATACAAAAGGGTAATATGAAATGTGAACCACTAGAAATAAAGAATATTCAAGTTTAAGGGAACTTTGTGATACCCTGCAATGTTATTTCACCCGAATTAACCGCCCGGTGGGGAAAATGGTAACTACCTACATGTACTTGCATCTGAGTAATTAAATAGATTTTACATTCTCAATTTTATAAAACATTATGCCAAGAAGCAAAGAAACTTTTAGCAAAGAAACAATTTTTGTTAGCAAAGATACAATCTTTGTTATCAAAGGTACAATCTTTGTTAGCAAAGATACAATCTTTGTTATATTTTCAGCTGCATATATTTCAAATATAAAGTGAAAACTATAATCTCACAAGACCTAATGACATTGATTCTCCTACCCCATAAATATAAAATGTTGACACCAATCGTGTCAGTGTAGCATGCACTGATGTGAAGATATCATCATTGTTATATTTCTGGTGGCCATTTTTAGAAAAACATAATTTCCAATAAAGTGAAAATTCTTATTATGAAAGACCTATTTAAATGGATTCTACAACCCAATATTAATATATACTTTGACACCCTGCACTCTTATCATTGTAGCAATCTTTGAAGCGAAGATACCATCTTTGTTATATTTCTGGCAGCCATTTTGAAAAATGCATATATTTTGAATATAAAGTGCAGGTGCTGAATTTACAAGATTCGAAACCTAATTAAATAGATTCTACAACTACATTAATGTATGTTTGACACCACTCTTATAATTGTAGCATGGATAGATAAGAAGCAAAGCTATTGTCTCTGATGTATTTTTGGCGGCCATTTTGAAAAATGTGTATATTTCCAATACAAAGTGCCATCTAGCTTGTGTCTTTGGATAAATTTGTTTCTATTGCCCTAAGGTATTTGCACGCTAGAGGGGACATTTTGTAATGTAAGATATCTTAATTTGTAAGTATTCGTAAAGTAAGATATCTTCTTTGTTATATTTCTGGCAGTCATTTTGAAAACGCGTATATTTTGAATATAAAGTCCAAGTTTTTTAATTTTCAAGACTCAAGATCTAATGAAATAGATTCTACGACTACATCACTGTATTTTTTGACACCAATCTTATAATTGTAGCATGCACAGAAGCAAAGCTATTGTCTCTGATGTATTTTTGGCGGCCATTTTGAAAAATGTGTATATTTCCAATATAAAGCGCCATCTAGCTTGTGTCTTTGGATAAATTTATTTCTATTGCCCTAAGGTTCTTCCACGCCAAATGGGACATTTGCATCATACAATGAAGTCCAAATGTAGTTAACCCATCTACTAGACTGGCTTTTACACATCAACACTGCATATATGGCTTCTCTGCCATGACTTACATGCCCAGTTCCCTGGACCCTCATAAGGTTCACCTGTCTTTCCAGGTTGCCAATCACACTATTCATGATGTCACATGGTCTTTCCCATGCGCCATTCCCGGCCGACTAGGAATTTTTTATTAACCTTTTACATCTGTATTATATAATTCACTTAACTTAGTTTCTGCAAGTACTTTTTTCCTTTTAAGCCTTTCTACCATTTCTTGTTTTCTGCTATTATCAATACATACTTGAAGTGCATCTATTTCATTTTGTAAGATATCTCGTTCATTTCGTTTATTTTTGGCTTTTTTCACAGAATATGCTATTGTCGTTTTTTTAACCTTGTTTTTTAGTATTTCCCAGAACACTCTTTTTGACTGGATATATGAATATTGAATTTCGACCCATTTTATACAGTTAACAATTAATTCACAATAGGTTGCATCATTAATGAGACTGCTGTTTAATTTCCAGTAAGCTCTACCTCTTTCATTTTTAGTTAATTTAATATCCATGAGTACACATTTGTGATCAGCTTTCAATGCTTGCATTAAAAAACACTTTTTGATATGAAAATTTGGATTCTTTGATATGCAAAAATAATCCAAACGACTTTTTGAGTCATTCCTTTTATCATAAAATGTAAAACCAGTTTTGACCATTCGTTTCATTCCATACATCTTCGAGATTAAAGTATTGCATCAACTGGTTAAGGATATTCCTACTTTTATCAATAATATTCTTGGAACTCGATATTCTGTCTATATCCCTCAAAATACAATTAAAATCTCCTCCACATATAATGTCACTACCTATACATCTTTTCTCACCTATCCAGTCCATCATGTTTCTAAAAAATATAGCACGCTCATTTATTGCATTTGGTGCATATACATTAACAAGTGATACTGAATTTTATGTTTAACATTAATCCTCTACCATTTCCAAATTCTGATGAGTCAATAATTTCATAATCTAAATTGTTTGCTATTAATATAACTACTCCTCGAGAGTGACTAGAGTCAGAAATACCAAAAGAAGCATTATACCCATTTTGTTTACATGACAAACTTATTGATTCAAAATTATCCAGTGTACAGTATACTTCCTGTAAAAAGGCTATATCAACATTTTGGTTTTTAATCCACAATAGCATTTTGTTTCTTTTCTTAACATCTAAAATACCTCTTACATTTAAAGTAGAAAATCTGATTTTGCTCATTAGAAAATCTTAAAAAGGGATTAACATGTCTTTAAAACTATAACTCAGGTTCATCATTTTGAGTAATTTCAGAAAAAAGTTTCTTTTTACTAGCCTTTTCTTGTGAAGAGGGTGTTGAGCCCTCTGAGCCCCTTTATTTTCTTTTCTTTATGGCAGTGTTTATATTATGTACAACTTTCTCATACCCATGTGGGCTTAGGTGAATCCCTTTTGTGTCATCTGACTTAAAGTCATTTAATAGTAGTTTATAATCTAACAGTAACTATGGGTTATAATATTTTAGGCATGTTAAAATGTCCAACTTGCACGAATGCTCAACAGTGTAGGAGGAAAGACATTATGAAGTTGGAACACAGAATGTCCACTGAGATATCTGAAGTAAAAGATGATCTGGTTAACCTGGCTTATGAAATGTCAAACTTAACAAACCTCTTGACACAAATGAATGCCAAACTCGACAGCATGAGATATACAGTTCCACCCACTACACCCCCTATCAGAGCATCACCTTCTTGCCCAACAATGTCCTGCCCAACACCTTCTTGCCCAACACCAACTTGCCCAGCACCAACATGTCCAACACCAATTTGTCCAAAACTGACCTGCCCAAAACAGAGTATAGTAAATGGTGAGTAGCACAAAAATTGTTTTTTGAGCCAAACAAACCGAAATTCATATACTACATGTATATTAAATCCAATCAAAATAACAGCTGGTTTCAAAATGGTGGCAATTTTAGTGTCCTACTGGACATACTTTAAAGTGCAGTGCTATTAAATCCCTATATAGATTCGGAAAAATAGTGTTAAATACATTAGCATATAAGTAGTAGTTGGAGTATATCCCTTATGGTATAGAAAGTGTAGAAATAAGGTGAAAGGAGTGGTATCGTTATGGTGAACTTTTTGAACACGTGTTTCTCTTAAACCAGTCATCAAAACATTCTGAAAATTTTACACATCGTCGATTTAATGGTCATCTTTTGGATGGTAACATTATAATTTGAAATATATTATATACTTTGCTTTATATTGTTTTAGAAAACACATGAGACACTTCTTTTGTTCTTGGTATCACATGTTCGGAATGAAATGAAACATCTATCCGAACCTCATTGGAACAAGACGACATAAACACAGCATGTTTAGGTATCTCAATATTGTAATTGTACAAAGGAAAGTTTGGTTGATTTTAAAAAAGTATCTTATTAATGAAATAAAAGGTTGAATTTAAGGTTTTGTTTTAAGTTTTTGCATACTTATTGTAAAATCAACCAAAATTTCCTTTGTATAACTATATAATATTGAGAGGTCTAAGAAAATGTTGTATATGCTATTTTGTTCCAACAAGGTTTGGAAAGACATTTCATTTCATTCTCAAGAATTGGTAGAAAGGAACAAAAAACAATTGCACTGAAAACAAAAAATGTTAACAAAAACAGTTATACAGTCCACAAAAAAAGTATGCCCAACTTCAAAGCCAGGATACCAGAATTCTGAGCAATTTTTTATTAATTTAAAGGCTGCAGTATAAGGCCTAGTTAATTCTCCATCAAATGGTACCTAGATCATTATGTAACTGTCATGGATGACTGAGCAATCAAGACTTTTATGAAAGGTGGTAAAATCAGCACTGTGCCAAGTTAGCATTCAAGTAGGATTGACATAATGAATGTTTTTTTTGTGTTCAAAACATTTTTAATGTTCAAATTCAAACTTGCTCCATGTTCTTCAACCTTTTAACATAATTTTCCATAACTTTTTGTTGCTACCTCCCTCGCTGGAATTGGATCCCAAGAGCCTCTTGAACAGCAATGAAACTTCTACTTGATATGCATTATTGAAGTCAATTGTATCCCCCATAGAAGTCAATACACCCTTGCTGAAATCCTCATTTTCTCAGAACAACTCAAGTTGATTGAGTCTCAACAAGTAGATTCATGTTGGACAGAATTGCTAGAATCCATTTTCGATAGTAAGAATAGGGATTCTTTAACAGTACACTGGACTCGCTTTTTGTTGACTCTTCTGCTCAGGTGTCAGGTGAACCATGTTTGCAGGCCTATTTTAGAGTAAGTAAGCTTTTTGTCAAATCTTTTTTTCATACGAGAGCTACTCAGCCCCCATTCCAGTTCATTTAAAAGTCCTGTCATCTAACAAAATGTAACAGAAAAAGAATACTAAGCCAATTACACATGGATTGACGCACAGGAAGATAACTTGGCACAATGCTAAATTTACCACCTATCAGAATGGTCATGATTGCTCAGTCATATATGACAGTTACATAATGATCTAGGTACCATTTGATGGAGGACAAATAAGGCTTTTTGCTGTAGCTTTTGGATTTCAAAAGGATTGCTCAGGATTCTAGTAATTTGGTTTTGAAGTTGGGTATACTTTTTTTGTGGACGCCCTGGTATAAAATATATCGGGTGTCCCAAAAAAATGAGACACTTTTTGACAATTTTTTTCTCGGCAACTGATGAACCAGGTTTTTGAAAAATTTGTACAAAGTAGTCCAGGAGTATCGTTAGCAAGGTACAGAAATATGATAAAGATCAGGTAATTGTTATGTGAGTACTAAGAAATTCAAGATAGCATGTCAAAATATCCCATACCGGAGCAATGCAATGAGAATTTCATAGCGTTTGTGCCAAAAAATGGGAAGCAATTTGACAAGTAATTTCTCGGCAATAGATGAGTCAAATCATTTGAAAACTCATCTTGAGGCACGTTAGGGTATCTTCTGCTAGTGCTGTAAATATCTAAGAGATTGACCTTTTATTATGTGTGTATTTTTGAATTGAAGACAGTATGTCAAAATTACCAATATCAATGTAAAAGTCCATTAATCCATTTCCAAGGAAAATACCTTTCCGTATTTATTCTAACAATATCACCTCCAAGGAATTTTGAGAATAAATGGATTTGGGATATTTGGAAAGAATGAAATGAACTAGATGATGGCAACTCGGGGGAGTAGCAAATCCCAACAAACAAAATATCAATTACCGAATTCCAATCAATTATACTTTGGTTAAAATTTTAGAATTGCAAATTCCTGCAAAGCAGCCATTTTGAATTTTCTGAGGTACAAATCTGAAAAATAATACCATAATTGTGATCTACTCCAAAATTCCTTCAATTTGAGTATTATATAGCCATACATTGAAGGGGTCGAAAAATTATTGCGAAATCGTACATTAGACGGCCATTTTGAATTTTACGAGGCTCAAATCAGAAAAAAGATACAATATTTGCAATCTACTCTTAATTGCCTTTCATTTGAGTATAATAAAGCTATACTTCAGAAAGATCTAAAAATTAGCGAAAATTTCTGTTTTCCTGACCCCCCATACACGGCCCCTGGGGTCAGGATGAAAAACACTGAATAAATGTGAAATAGATAGATGTTGCGAATATACTACCAAAATTTCAAACAATAATATTAATTACTTTGGTTTAGAATGAAAAATTTATGATTTTTGCGAAAAAGTCCCATCATTTTTAAAGCGGCGGCCATCTTGAAAAAATCCATTTTGAATTTTCTGAGGTATAAATCTGAAAAATATTACCATAATTGTGATCTACTCCAAAATTCCTTCAATTTGAGTATTATATAGCCATACTTTGAAGGGATCGAAAAATTATTGCGAAATTGTACATTAGACGGCCATTTTGAATTTTACGAGGCTCGAATCAGAAAAAAAGATACAATATTTGCAATCTACTCTTAATTGCCTTTCATTTGAGTATAATAAAGCTATACTTCAGAAAGATCTAAAAATTTGCGAACATTTCTGTTTTCCTCACCCCCATACACGGCCCCTGGAGGTCAGGATGAAAAACACGGAATATGTGTGAAATAGATAGATGTTGCGAATATACTACCAAAATTTCAAACAATAATATTAATTACTTTGGTTTAGAATGAAAAATTTAAGATTTTTGCAAAAAAAGTCCCGTCATTTTTAAAACGGCAGCCATCTTGAAAAAAAAATCCGTCAACTAATATTTGAGTTATCTTCCGGACGGACGGACGGATGGACTGACTGACTGACGGACGGACGGAACTTCGTTCGTTGGGATAATTATTAGGGAGACATGACACACAAACAAACTATTTTGACTGATTAACAAATGCTATCACCTGATAGCTGGTACAAACACTATGGAGGTCCCCATCACAGAGCTCAGGTATCAGGATTTTTGACATGCTATTTAGAATTTCTTATTTCTCACGGATCAATTGCCGAGAAAATACTTGGTAAAAAGTGTCTCATTTTTTTTGGGACACCCGATAAATAAATAATTTTTGCATTAAATCGTTGCCAATCGGTCAACATTATATAAATTGGTTTAAGAGAAAAACATTGTTGAATTCAGTTCACCATATCGATACCTATCCTTTAAGAATAAACCCATATTGAATCCTGACCAGTAAATGGAGATTATTTAATGGGAGGTTTTTGATACAGGGTATATCTGAGGGAAATGCAATACATCAACCCAAGGGACCATAGGAACCAAGGTTTGATATATTATATTTACCGAGGGATATATCCTGTATCAAAAATCAAGCATTTAATTACTGATTTATCCTATAACACTACAAAGTATAGGATAAAAAACAGAGGCTATCCTATATGAGATTCAGGATATTGGGATTATCCCTTAGGTCCCTATATTATATGTACCTCAAACATGTCCAAGTATGGCAGTAAAGTTTTTTATCCCATGATATTCATGGCTCTCTTTATGAAATCAGTAGTTCAGAATCCATATCTGATTTTTGTATAAAACAAATGGACACTTTATTCCTAGTCTACAAAATATGACTTAACTTTATGATGTTTTGAAATAAAAAAAACATACCACATCAACATAAATAAAAAACGCAACAATAAGGAACATGTACATTACATGGACCAAACACATTAGCTAATTGCTCAGATGATTTTTGCGACTTTGACTTTCTGTGTCAGAGGATGATGATGAAATTACATTTTGCCTGTGTTTAATAGGCATTATTTTGGGATGGCTGTTGTGGCAGCTATTTTGAAATTATTGACAATAATATATGTAGCAATATACTCTATTGTACAGGAAACAAAGACTGTCTTTATGATGCAAATGGAAAAAGTGCAATAGTGACATCATCTGGTAGAACTGTCATAGCCAATTGTGAGGATGGCTGGCTCGTTATTGCCCATCGCTTCAATGGTAAAGTTGCATTCCATAATCGAACATTGAATGAATACAAAAAAGGATTTGACACATCACAAGGGAAATACAAAAAAGAATTTGACACAGAAGGGGAATACTTTATTGGATTTGAAGCTATTCTAACGATTCTCAAATGGAGGACATACAAGATGCGATTTGACCTAGTTGGATGGAACAATAGTAATGCACATCCTTGGGTTGCTAAGTATTCAAGCTTCAGTATGGGAGAAGAAAGTGATAATTTCAAACTGACTCTGAGAGGTTTTAATTCTACAGGGTCAAGTACTATCAAAGACTCAATCACTAAGATTTCCAATCCAAAGTTGAACAAAGGGACCCCTGGACCACTGCTATTCCGAGAAATGACCTATTATGTAAGATACAAATACAAAGGAAAAAGTGATGATAGAAGATACAAATACAAAGGAAAGAGATCTATTTTATATGGTGTAAGTGAATGTTCTGATATGCAAAGAAGTAGCTGGTGGTATTCCTACTACATCCGGACCGCAAATAGACCTGAATTATGTGGAGATGCTAACCTGTTTTCAAGTTACCCTGTTGATGGCAAGTGTGATAAAGAAAGAGCATGTATGTTTTGGTCCAAACACAAACATGAATGGATGACTTCCCTTTGGGGATGGGAAATAAATTATCTAAAGGAAATGAAAATGAAAATAAAACCATCCACATAATTACCTTGAATAATCAGGAATCTGAGATCTGTTGTGAATGTTTCAATGATGACACATTCTTTAAGGAATAAAGACAGAGATTCTATAATTTATTGTTCATTGTTAAAATACAGAAATCGTGTGGAGATTGAGGTCTTTGGCAATGGCCAGAATAAAATCTTAGGTCATATATTTGCCAATATATTCAGATTCTAGCTAATATATTCAGACTCTCACTAATATATGCAGACTCTCACTAATTGTATTGTATTTTGTTTACCACCAATGAAGGTGAGCAATACCTCTTGGGTATGTCCCGTATATATACGGTTGTAAGTTACGTAATTAACATGGAGTATAGACCCAGAAACCCCTCCTTGAAGAAGCCCTGTGTTCTTTTATGTGCACTTATACATAGACATATAAGTACACACCACAGCTTTTTGTACGAGTTGCGGACCACTCAGTCAAACACCCTGAAGTACTTCACGCAAACAAGCAAATTTAGTCTTGCCTGAACCGGGGATCGAATCCGGGACCTATTGCATGAGAGGTACCTGCGCTACCGCTGAGCTACACGGGTGGACTATATATATATTCAGACTCTATCAATTATATTAAGACTCTCACTTATATATTCAGACTCTCACTAATATATTCAGACTCTATCAATTATATTCAGATTCTCACCAATATATTCAGACTTTCACCAATATATTCAGACTTTCACCAATATATTCAGACTCTCGCCAATATATTCAGATGCTCACCAATATATTCAGACTTTCACCAATATATTCAGATGCTCACCAATATATTCAGACTCTATCAATTATATTCAGACTTTCACTAATATATTCAGACTCTATCAATTATATTCAGAATCTCACTAATATATTCAGACTCTAACAAATACATTCAGACTTTCACTAATATATTAAGGCCCTCATTAATATATTCAGACTCTCACTAATATATTCAGACTCTCATTAATATATTCTCTTATACTCTTATATTTTCAGACTTTAATAAATACATTCAGACTTTCACTAATATATTCAGGCTCTCACTAATATATTCAGACTCTCATTAATATATTCAGACTCTAATTAATACAAAATCAGACTCTCACCAATATAATCAGACTCTCTTCAATATATTCAGACTGTAACAAATATATTCAGACTCTCACATATATATTTAGACTATCACCAATATAATCAGACTCTCACCAATAAATTCAGACTGTAACAAATAAATTCAGAATCTCATCAATATATTCAGACTATCACCAATATAATCAGACTCTCTTCAATATATTCAGACTGTAACAAATATATTCAGACTCTCACATATATATTTAGACTATCACCAATATAATCAGACTCTCATCAATATATTCAGACTGTAACAAATATATTCAGACTGTAACAAATATATTCAGACTCTCACCAATATATTCAGACTCTAACTAATATATTCAGACACTCACTGATATATATTCAGACTCTTAACTAATATATATTCAGACTCTAATAAATATATTCGAACTCTCACTTATATATTCAGAATCTCACTAATATATTCAGACTCTAACTAATATATTCAGATCTAGCCAATATATTCAGACTCTCACCAGTATGTCGTTATACACAAAAACTTTTGAATTATATTTCTCACAGACTGAAAAAAATATTCGAAACTGCCCGTTCATTAAAATTAAAGACCATTGAAATTGAGGAAATCAGGAATTTTTTTTTATACATATAAGGGATGGACATATACAAAAAATTCTTTGAATATGATAAACCATTTCCTAACTGACTAAGTTGAGAACATCTTCCTTCAAGAACAATGGGCAATGGCAATTTATAACAATAACATTTCCTACCTGATTAAGTTGAGAACATCTTCCCTTAAGAACAATGGGCAATAGTAATTTATAACAATAACATTTCCTATCTAACTAAGTTGAGAACATCTTCCTTTAAGAACAATGGGCAATAGCAATTTATAACAATAACATTTCCAATCTAACTAAGTTGAGAACATCTTCCTTCAAGAACAATGGGCAATAGCAATTTATAACAATAGCATTTCCTATCTAACTAAGTTGAGAACATCTTCCTTTAAGAACAATGGGCAATAGCAATTTATAACAATAACATTTCCAATCTAACTAAGTTGAGAACATCTTCCTTTAAGAACAATGGGCAATAGCAATTTATAACAATAACATTTCCTGTACTGACTAAGTTGAGAACATCTTCCTTTTAGAACAATGGGCAATAGCAATTTATAACAATAACATTTCCTGTACTGACTAAGTTGAGAACATCTTCCTTTTAGAACAATGGGCAATAGCAATTTATAACAATAACATTTCCTGTACTGACTAAGTTGAGAACATCTTCCTTTTAGAACAATGGGCAATAGCAATTTATAACAATAACATTTCCTGTACTGACTAAGTTGAGAACATCTTCCTTTAAGAACAATGGGCAATAGCAATTTATAACAATAACATTTCCTACCTGACTAAGTTGAGAACATCTTCCTTCAAGAACAATGGGCAATAGCAATTTATAACAATAACATTTCCTATCTAACTAAGTTGAGAACATCTTCCTTTAAGAACAATGGGCAATAGCAATTTATAACAATAACATTTCCTATCTAACTAAGTTGAGAACATCTTCCTTTAAGAACAATGGGCAATAGCAATTTATAACAATAACATTTCCTATCTAACTAAGTTGAGAACATCTTCCTTTAAGAACAATGGGCAATAGCAATTTATAACAATAACATTTCCTGTACTGACTAAGTTGAGAACATCTTCCTTTAAGAACAATGGGCAATAGCAATTTATAACAATAACATTTCCTACCTGACTAAGTTGAGAACATCTTCCTTCAAGAACAATGGGCAATAGCAATTTATAACAATAACATTTCCTATCTAACTAAGTTGAGAACATCTTCCTTTAAGAACAATGGGCAATAGCAATTTATAACAATAACATTTCCTATCTAACTAAGTTTAGAACATCTTCCTTTTAGAACAATGGGCAATAGCAATAGCAATACCTGACTAAGTTGAGAACATCTTCATCTTCCTGAGTAAAGTGAGTAGGAGAGGTGCTCTTTAAACCTGGTTTATCTGTCTTCTTATTCTGAAATACATGTACATGTGAAAACAAAAAAAGATTTATATTTTTCAAATCCCGTATTAAGTAATTGCTGAGGTGGCCTGAAAAAGTTATGAACTTCCCAACAATTTGAAAAAATAAAAAATTGGGAAATGACACACCAACCAAACACACATTCTACCATTACAGTACATGTAAACATCAACATAACATTGTGTAACAATATTACCCATTTTTTATCAAAAAGATGATTTTGTAGACATTGAAATTTGATCTTTACAATTGTATTTCTTAAAAATGAAAAGCAACTATTAAAGATTTTTTAACATTGTGTCAACAGAAAGAATCTGAACCTTCCTCAGAAAACTTTAAAATCATTTGAAATTGAATATTGAAATTGTATTTTTCTATAAATGTCTTTCCTGTATAGTATAATAAACCAATTGCTTTCAATTACTAACCTTCATGGCCGCTCCTTTGAATCCTCGTTTTTCTTCTTTCACACGCAGCTGCTCCACCATTTTCTGTGGGGAAACAAGGGGGTAGCGAGGTTTTGGTAATGAAGGGAGGTGTGGAATTGCTTGGTAGAAATAGACGAGTGCTGAGATGCGGTTGCGCATCAAGAGGTGCCGCTAAAAGGTGGTAGAAAGAAAGAAAGAGAAGACATGTTAGATAGAGGAAGGAGAGAAAGTTGAGACAGTAGGAGAGTCAGAAAGAGGATTCATTCTAGATTAGAAATGCAAGCAAGCAAGAACAAAAATAAAACAAATGTTAGTGATTATATATGAATAATTTGTACAGTGAAACCTGAATATCCGAACACCTCTCTAATCTGAAAACCTCTCAATGTGAACACTTTTTCTGAGTGTTAAATTTGTAATCTCCCATTGACTTATGTTTAGAAGACCTCAAAATGTGAACACTTGCTAAATAAAGGTGCAACAATTAGTGCAGAGGGGCCATTCAACGATTAATAGTTTATCCATACATTGTAAGAAAATAGGTATGTCAAAGAAGATGTTAAGCCAAATCTTGACCTGATAGCCCATAAGTAAAAATTTTCAAATTTTCTCTATACATGCCTTGTTGCACCTTTAAACACTTTTAATCAGTTCCAAGGGGTTTGGATTAGACCGGGTTTACTGTACAATTATATGGATTTATCAGAATTGCTATTATATATTGCGCAACTTTTCTAATTTGTAATATTATCATATGAGCAGACATCATTAAGTAATGATGTCAGAAATCTCCATAACTACAGTATAAGACTAGGATATTGAACAGACAAACATCAGAATGAATTTCAGCATTTGCCTTTGAACTAAAGAACATTTGAAACTTTAATATTGTCTCTTTTGTCCATAGTTTATTAAAAAAAAAGTAGGTGCGAAATAAGTGGAATCAACTAAAAATCATTTACTTCTGGGATTTTGGTAGAAGTCAGATAGTTCCATTCTCTGCATACTAAGTTCTTCATATGAGCTATATTGTTATCATGTGTAAGAATAACACTGTTATTTTCACTCAATATATCAAATGATGTTTAATGAGATACATGAGAAAGCCACAAAAAAAGATGGTGAAGCCAAACAATTAGGAAGATTACATAGAAATTATAAAAAAAAATGTCAGTTACTGTTCATGGATGATGTCTAAAATGTCATCAACAGGAGTGAAATAACAAAATAAAATGCATTTATCAGCTTTTCTTCCCCTACACCATTAAAATAAAATTTTGAATTTGAATTGCCTTTCACATGAATTCTTATTCACATCTTTCAATCAATATTCTTATATTCTCCATGTTTAGGTAATTCACTTCTTCTGACATAAGAACATCACCCAAAAGTAACAAAAAAATACAAATAAAAATCCAGATTTCAATTTCTATTTAAACTATTTCCCTTTTTTTTGCATTTGCCATTTTAACACGTCTGAACCAATTTTCATAGAATAGAATATTGATTATCTATTTTAACACTATGACCCCAAAGTTTGTATTAAAATGCATTCTGCATAATTTTAACAATAGCCACAGTATTGGCCCCATTTATTGAGACTACCCCTGATCATTTTCATTTGGCCATAATTTATAGGAGGTATTACTATGACATCAAGGAACACAGTCAATATTTCAGTGTTTTTTGCAAATGGTTTATATTGATGGAGGAGGGATTAAAAGCCAAATGAATTATAAATTATGTTGAGTCAATTAAGGGCAACACTGAACTATTGGTCTGGTCCCTTCATTTACTCCTAGTTAACTTACATATCTTCTCTCCTCTGTAGGTGTCCTAGCTCTCATGGGAACACCCCTCCCTCGGGCCAAGGGAGGTATCTTGTACTGACTACTTTTTCTGGAACCAGTTTCTTCCTGTAAGTGAATATAATATTATTCAACATGAATCAAGGGAAACCCATCCCTCTGGCCACATCATCCTCCTATAAGCAAAAGAAGCCCTGGGCGGAGGTTGGGCCACATGAGCAATATTTTTTCAACCATTTTTATCAAAAAATCCATGGAAACATCTTCCATTTTCAAGAGTTTGATTCTGTACCCTAACACTTTTATCTATAGACCTTACAAAATCAGACAATTCAATCAAAATACACTAACCAATCAGATTTGCATTGTTTTGTTTTATAAACTTCATAATATCATGTACAGGGGTTTCATTAGCAGCAGCCAACAGACTTTTCCATGTTAAAATGATTTCAATTAATTTTGCCTGTTGTTTTCATATATTTAGCCTGTTCTGTGAAATTCCAGTGAAACCCCTTAAGTATATCATGAGTGTATCATGTTCAAACTCCCATGAAGATCAGTTGAACTGTCAAATTGTTTACATTTATCTCATTCACTAAAGGTATCAGGGTAATAATTATAATTAGCCTCTTAAGCACTGTGATAGGAAACCAGCTGCCTTTATTGGTTGGGCCTCATCATTCATGATATTGTTCATGTGTTTGAAAATCTTGTTCCCATTGTTAAAATAAAGGTTCCTATATGGAGCTTATCCCTCTAATCCATTATGAATGGGGATTTAGGTTAATCCTTTCAATGTCAGCTTTATAAATAATATACTACACAATTTATTTTATTTTTACAATAACAATTTTTATAAATGCTTTTGTAACGTAAATCTGTGTGCTTGCAATAGATTTTTTCTCTTAACTAATCAAAATATTTTGTGTTAATTTGAACTGTCTTAAGATCAGTGTCAACTTTGCATTGCAATTCTAAAATTATTCTATACAAGATAACCTGATAAACCCAAGAATGTAACACTCTCATTTTGAAATATCTTTCTCAATCTAGGTGAAATCTTAAATTTCATGTGTATAGATTTTTTGTAAAAAAAAGTAAACATCCGGCACTAAAGTATATCCACAAATTCTCAAATAAAGACACTTTTTGGAATAACTTTGTAATGAATGGACTTGCCTATTTGAAAAGAAATGACAAACACTTATTTCCGAAACTGCATTTTTGAACAATTTGGCACATTGATTAAAAGTATAATTTCTCTTCAGTTTTCTGCATTAAAAAATCCATGTACACATAATTCTACCAGAATTAAGAAAGTTATTCCAAAACATGGAGGATCCATATTATGGTCACCCTACATTTATTTCTCAATAAAATTGTACTTACTGATCCTAAATATATGCCTGTCATATTTTTTGGTGTGCACGACCTGGGCAATCTTGATGGCATGCTATTGCTGACAAATGGCATATTGCGCGTCATTGGAAGCGCTGGACCTGGCTGCACCGTCATTCTTTAACTTCTCTGAAACACAAAACTATGAAATGAATATAAGTTTTGGACAAAAGGTGACGTAGATAGCATATATACAGGGTGTCCCATAAGTAATGGTATATTATATACTTATTTGCAGAAAAGTAGTTTCAGAAATTTCAGAAAGGGGAATCTGGAAACAAAGAGATAAGAAGTGATGGGAAAATTGAAAACTGGTAAAAATTGTTTATATGAGACATCTGCATGGTTTTCAATGACTTCATACTGGTTAAAGTGACATTATAATGCAAAGAAGGATACAAAAAACAAAAAAAACAAACAGGTTGTTAACTGGTTTCTGATAGCATTGAGTCCTGCAGATTATTTTGGCCATTGTATGATTTATTTGCTTTAATTTAGTGCCTGAAAAAGGTGAACATTTTGCCTCAAGATACTTTTGACACCCTTAGCCTTCATTTCACTTTGCATATTGACTATACATTCCAAGAGGAGATGAAATGGAAACAAAATGAAAATAAATAATGAAAAATGAAGAAATGTCAGAAATGTAGCCATTTGTTAGTGTTCATTCTGAAATCTCCGTAGTTTTGAACGATTCGTTATTTTCAATTAACACTGCCATTTAAGTTGTGTCAACGGACCCTGTACAACCTCGTACGGGCCTCGTTACGAGTCTCGTAATTGCTTGTAATTTTCGAGCCTAATAAGAGCTTGTGATTACAAGGCCTGTAATAGCTCGTAATTCTCGACCCCCGTACTTTACCGTACAGTGCCCGTAACGAGCACCGTAATAAATCGTAATTTTCGATCCCCGTACTTGCTCGTACGGTGCCTGTTACGAGGCCCGTAATAGCTCATAATTTTCGAGCCGTGTACTTGCCTGTGCAATGCCCGTAACAAGGCCCGTTATGGCTCGTAATTTTCAAACACTGTACTTGCCCGTACGGGGCTCGTAACGAGGCTCGTAATTGCTCGTTTATTTTGATGAATTCTTTTTGATCGATAAAATACAGCATATATGAGAAATGACAATTTAATTATATCCAATTATGAATTAATATGTCTTCAATAATTTCAAAATATTCGCATGTCTGTATCAACATGATAAACAGTATAATAGCTAGGAAACAAAATAAACAGGAGGGTTACCAATAAGAGACACCATATTTCTCTACAAGTGAAGTATTATTAGGATGAGTTGAAATGTGATGTAAATAAATGTTATTGCTATCGAATGTGTGAATAAAAACATCATTCTAATATATAATGAATAAACATGGTTTGGCCAAATACGAAATTCGTGCATGTAGCATGATAGCAATTAATTTTTTTGTTCGGAGTTCGATAACGGGCCTCGTACGAGCTCGTACGGGCCTCGAAATTGCGAGCCTCGTACATGCTTGGACGGGCCTCGGAAACAACAATTACGAGCATCGTACGAGCTCGCACGGGCCTCGAATAGAGCTTCGTACCAGCCCGTACGAGGATGGTGCTCCTTTTTGCCTGTAATGACTAGTAATTCTCGAGGCTCGTACGAGCTCGTACAGGGCCCGATGTTATTTACCTGTGTAGGATAACCTAATCTTAAACGAATTCTGGGTAACAGAAATGACAGGATATTGTATCTGGGACGAGATCAAACGACTTTGACATATTCTATACCCAACCTATTTTGTAATTCAACAATCAAAACAAGTGTACATACCATATTTAATCAGATATCGGACAAATGAGGTCGGTGTGAAAATATTTTGATTATTTCAAATTTTGCCATGGATTCGATTTTATATGCTTGTAAATGATCTTCAAATGCTTACTATGATTACTATTAGTAATATGTTGACTTCCCCGTTCCATAAAAATAACATTATTATCACCAATTACTCCACTCGTTATTTACTTCCCATCTAGCCGAGAAAAATCTCAATAGACTAGTAAAAGTTCCTCAGAACTTTTAAAATCCTCAGTCTAATCATGGCTTTTAAAGAACAAACCTTGTTTCTAATTGTTGAGACTGTATAAAATCTATGATTGATTGATTATAGCTACCCAGAGCTGACAGGTCAAAGTGGTCAGTGCATGGCTCGACTTTGTTAAATCATGAATGAAAATGAAAAAAATGAAAATAATTTGAGAAAATTGTAGAAGTGTCCCTTTCCTTACCTGAATTACTGAGTTTACGCTCATGTATCATCCATGGGTATCATGACATCAACCAAACAAGTATAAAATAGTCGACTGGAAGTGTTCAAATTAGTTAACCCTTTGTATTCATAATGTTTTGACTGGATTTATCTACGAAATTATTTCAAAAAACTTTTTCCACCATTGCATTGCCTCGTTTTGAATTGACCCTGTTACTTAGCAACCCCAAGCTGTGTTTAACTCCACGTGGTTTTAGTAAACAACACATATGCCACGCCCCCTTTGGAATTTTATGTTAGTCTCAGCATGGACTTCTAATCATTATTATTTGAAGTCCCTGGTCTCAGGATCAACTGAATGAAGACAGTTACACCGGGTTAACCCGTGCCAGGACTAAGGTCTACAGTCCTGGCACGGGATAACACCCGCCCGGGTAGTTACAATTCTGCTTACTCACTTCGAGAGCCATGTTAGATTTCTTGTATCAAAATCCACATACTGTAGCTTTCGCAGGAAGTAAAATTCTACCAGAGTACGAGCCCCCCCCCCAGATATCTTTTTAAAAATGTGGACCTACCTTTTTTGCTTTCTAAGAGGGATTTATTTCCATGATTTCGAGGTAGAAGGTAACATTTGTTGATGTATTTTGATGAGATAGTGCCGATTCAGTCTTTTTATAAACATCCCGCACTCTTAAAAATTATTTCCCAAGTGCTGTGCTCAAATAAATTAACATTAAATGTCAAGAAGACTAAATTCATGGTGTATGGGTCATCCCAGAAACTGTCAAAGGTAGATGAAGGTGACGACATAGTCATAAATGGAGAAAAAATTGAACAAGTCGACGCTTTCAAATATCTTGGTTTGTGGTTTGATTCAACACTCACTTGGAAAACACATATAACCAAAACTTGTACAAAATTGTCACAAAGGTTAGGGGTCATTGGGAGAGTGAGAGATTCTCTTACCCTCAATACAACCAAACTTTTAATCCAATCTACCATCACACCCATTTTTGATTATGGTGATGCTGTCATCTCTGGATGCAGCTCACAACTCTTAGATAAAATTCAGAGATTCCAAAACCGTGCTGGTAGATTGATAGTTAAATGTGCCCCACGTACCCACAACTATGGTACTCGTGCTACAACTAACAAATGTATTTTTATTAAACAAAATTGTAATAATGCAGGCACACAAACTTTTAGTCACAGAGCATCTGTTCTCTGGAACAAGGCACCTTTAGATTTAAAGGAATCTGCCTCAGTGCAATCTTTTAAAGTTCATCTAAAAAAGCAATTTCCTTGCTTCAATTAGTGAATAATTGTAATTTTACATGTCTTAATATGCTCAAATGTCAAGTGTGACAATTACCTTTAATGCTTATTTTTATCGACTAGTCATATAGTATTTTTACACATATTAATGTACTGTTTTTACAAATTTCTAATTTTATGATATGTATTGTCACATATTTTATTGTTAAATGTAGTGTGTATGTGTGTCTGCAGGGTTCTAATGGAAACAAGAAAACATATGTATTTCTTATTAGTTATCCCTGAATAAATAAAATCTAAATAAAAATAAAATATAAAAATTACTTAAAGTTAAATACTTAGTTTTACTTCATTTTACTTAGGTTTAACTTATATTGTCATTTTGAGTTTTTTAATTGCTTAATTATGTAAATGAGTATTACAATTAATACAGTAAGTATTTCAATTTCTCTCCTTGCATTAGTAAATTCACCATAAATGAATAACTTAAAAATTACTTAAAAATTATTCAGTAGTTCAAGATTATTTAAGTAATTTTTGACTTAAAATGAGTAGTACAATTTCTCAATATAAGGAAATCCAAGTAATAATTTTTAAGAGTGCCGGGAGTTTGACTGTATACACATTTCGGCGGGGGTCCTAGGCTGAATCCTCAGATCTCAATATGTTCCAATGCCAATCTGTCAAATTTCAATATGCTCCCATACCAACCAAAATAACGCCCAAAAGCCATACTAAATATCCAAATATAGGACAAATGCCATACCAAATGTTCGGATATGAGACCAATGCCATTGGTTCATGGCATGAACCAATGGTTCATTCGTTCATTAAGTCCCCCCCCCCCCCCTAAGTTGGGACCCCAAAAAATTGGGGCCAACAAAAGTAGGTCAAACTACAAAATGGGCGTAGCTACGTATACGCAGAATACGCAACTGCGTAATATTGAGGGGATAACATCATTATACCGACACGCATTGTACCGAAAATCATTACTGAAACCCCGGGATTGAAACCATGATATTTGAAGTTCAAGGCCTAAGGATTATCGGACCGGATTATCAATGTATATGGATTTTCACGTTTTTTGTTTGTTCGACGACTGATCCAGTTACACTGGTCATAATGAGACGACAACGTACATTGTGGTAAACATTTTAATTTCCAATGAATTAATCATCCAGTAATCATACCCTCCTAATCCTAACGAAAATTGTATTCACATAAAGTGTCAATTCTTCTCGCGAAAATCGTAGGCCTACTCATCCCACCAGTAATTTATCTATTTAATTGATGTAGTCTTGTCTTTATGCACGGACATCAGCTAAGATAGCGTAGACGTTTCGAAAATTGAATTTCGAAAATACATGAAAGTAAACATTTCATTTGTTTTCTTCAGTTAGGCATGGTCTATATTCACGCCCGTAACTTGCATGCCCGTAAGACACTTTTCTCCAAGGGGATGCGGTTTTAACTAAAGAGAATATAAAACTATCAATTTTTGCCACGTAAATCAAATCGTGCAGGTCAGAGGGGGGTTAAATGGCGTAGCCAGGGTTTGGTGACCGGGGGTTCTATTTTCATGTTATTCACACCCCCCCCCCTCTTCATTTGGGTTCCTCAAATAAAAACCTTTTTGTGCAATTTGTACAATTACACTCCCTCCAAAAGTTTGGCAATCCTAACTCACCCATTGGATTATGTATTAAAGTATCTTTAAGTTTGAATTCTTATATAATTTGTTACGAGAAAACTTTGGGAGGGGAAATATATAATTCATTGTAATACCTTCATTAAGTTAAGTAGACAATTGAATTTGAATTTTATCAATCAAAATGATGTCTTTATTTACGTTAAGCAAAGTCTGAAAGTAATAGGCTTTATCAAGAAACCTCTCTCATTGAAATAATACAGGACGTAAAAATGATTTTCAAAAATGACCTTGTAGCTTTGTAACTTTAATGTTCACAAAGTAAAATAAACAGGCAACGTGCAAAAAAGTCAGACAACTTATAATTAATTTTCTGGCTCAAATATATTTCGGTGAATCTTTTACTCAATATATATCCTGAAATCTGATTTGCCTCGAATCCACCATTATTTCGTCTGATTTCTGGAAGACCCTGGAGCATGTTTTGTTACCAAGGGATATCAACTATTTCGCAATCTATTCTTTAACTTAAGCTACTTAATCTTGGACAAAATAAATCACCTTATGCAATGGCTTATCATTATTTTGCTACCCCCTATTAAGGAGGCGAAGGGGTGGGGGCGGGTAAGCGTCCGACTTCCTCAAGATGCGAAGCTACAACTGTGTAAACCAAACTACTACAGGACAGGTGGTATAGCATTAAGATAAGTTATTGTCCTGGCCTAATTGGATCTGTCAACAGACTTTAATCGGGCTGATAGGACAGACACCGTTCTCTGTGATATAAACCAGATTTAACAATTACTTGTTAAATCACAATAAATTCCGAAAGATCACTCTTCCATGATAACTTTTCACAACTTTTACGCGAATGATACTATCCGGGGTAGTCGTATTAATGATTAAAACATCTGTTATTAAAATTAGTGGGTCTCCGTTATGCTTTGTTTTAAGTTAAAAATATTTCTTTGGACGTCCCCGGAGCTCAGTGGCACTGTAAGTCCCTGGAGCAGATCAACTGCAACTGATGATAAAAACGTTTTGGTGGATATAAATCATATACAAGCGACTGTTCGAATATAAAACGTATTTTGTTGAGTTCAGACGGCTTGATAACAAATTAGGCCTTCATTATTTGAAGATTAATACCATATGATTTTTCAATGTTTTTTATTATGTAATTTATTCGCTAAACATATCATGACATTAACATGAAAATGGAGAGCAAGTAAAATGGAACGATAACAATTTGAATTCTATACAATCTCTTAAATGAGTGGAGTGTATCTGAAAAATTCATTTTTTGCAATGATTGATTTTTCTTTGAAAAAGTGATGGATAAATTAATACTGAACAAATGAAAGAATAAATAAATTTGAACAAATGCTTGAATTTATAAATGATATACGCTTTTAAATAATTCATTTCACAACGTTTTTAATTAATTTTCTGCAATTGGTTTGGGGTACTTGGCAGCCCCAGGGGCTGTTCCAAGAAATATTTTAAATTGTAATTGAAATAAAACAAAACAGAGATGTACACATTTGAAAGAACATTTGTTTCATCAATATTACGACTATTCCAGATATTTATTCGTAAATGTTGTAAAAATCATTCGGAGTATGGGACGTCTGCATTGTTTTCAATAACTTTCAATAACTTCGTATTGGATCAGAACTGGCTTAAAACAAAATTCCTACAGAGGACTGATTTAGCTATTGCCCAAGATGGGTTATTTTGTTCGAGAAGAAGCAGCTTTTAAGTTAATTGTGCGAAATTATTGTTATTTCTTAATGTAAAATCTCATGCTCTGGGGTCTTCCCAAAATTAAATCTCACCCCGTATGCCTAAGGTTGCAAAACGTTTTGAGGGAAGTGTAACTTCATGACATGTGTTTTAACAAAATAAGGCTCTCGTGTTCACCATAACAAATATCAATTCATTTATTGGTCATATAAACCTATGCCTAGTTTTCAAATAGCATGTAGTAATTTAATGTTTCTGGTTGTATGCATTTTTCAACAAAATGATATTTTGGGAAATCTTGACCGGGGGTTCGTTCGAACCCACCGAACCCCCGCTGCCTACGGCTATGGTACTCCCTATAGTGGGGCCACTCAGCCTATTTTGTAGTATCTTATTGGTTTTAGACAAAATATTGCAAATATGTGTTTGAGCAAATGATTATTATATTATTACTTTTATATTATTGTATTGAATAAAACATGATAAATTAAAAAGGCAAATGAATGCTTTAGTTTTTGGGGTGAGGTGCCAGAGACTTTTATAATTTCATTATGTCACTTGGTGATTTTAGGCACTTTTAAGTGTTTAGATTAACAAATGTAGTCTTGCTTAAAAGACCCTGTACCCCCTATGGCGGATCCGGGGGGGGGGGGGGGGGGCAGGCCCCCCCCCACCTAAGGTTGGCCCAGAAAAAAAGTTGGGCCCAAAAAAATTTTAGGCCAAAAAAAAGTGGGCCTTTTGGTCATTATTGGGCCTTCTAAGGTCTGTTTTTTTAGGCCAAATTTGGAAGAAAATGGGCCTCAAATTTTCAAATTTTTAGACATTTTTTGAACAAAGATAACAGGGTTCTGGTTTTGCCTCCAGTCGATTTAACTATTTCCACATATCATTTACATGACCAGGATCACAATGTGCATGATCAGAATGACCATAAACATGATGAAATAACCTTTTTAGTCCTTTGAAAGTGTGACTGAAAAAAAGCTAAAAGTAGGAGTTAGGAGAGGTCACTGAACAGAATCTTTTGAATTTTTCAGAAAATGTGCCCAATATAATGCTCTAATTCTGATACAATCTTTGAAATTTTAGAAAATTGTCAAAAACAAAAATGGTGGTCATAAAAAGGAAAATAGATCGCTTTTCAAATCAGTTTTTTCATTTTTTTTCTTTTTCTATGAATGATATCAAATTTTCAAATTTTCAATATATTGGGCACATTTTCTGAAAAATTCGAAAGATTCTGTTCAGTGACCTTTCCTACCTCCTTCTTTTAGCTATTTTTCAGTCACATTTTCAGAGGGCTGAAAAGGTTATTTCATCATGTTTAGAGTCGTTCTGCCCATAAACATTGTGATCCTGGACCTGTGAATGGTATTTGGAACTAGTTGAATTGACTGGAGGTCAAAACAGAACTATGTTATCTTTGTTCAAAAAATGTCTAAAAATGCAAAGAAATTTGACACTTCCTGTTTTGTCATTTCCTGTTAACTTCCATAGCACCTTAAAATAGAATACATAGCGTTAAACTGCCATTATTATTCAATATTATATGCCATTGTTTGAAAGAGTGCCACAGAATAAATACTACAGTCACGATAAATACACTGACGCTTAGAAGACTCCCAGTGTAAACACTTTATATACCAAAGTATTCGTATTTATCGAAAGAGTGCAGAATATATACAACTGTAGGCGAGTTACATGTAATAAACAAGTTAATAGTTAACTCAGAGAGATCATACTCTCTTAATGAAGGGCTGTACATTTGACACACAATGACACAGCTATAGTACCTGAATCTGGGGAGGAATAGCTAGAACACCATGTACATAAAAACATCAGACCAAGAACATAGGAATAAGAGAAATTTTGTCATCTGATCGACAGCACATCAACCACCACATTACGCCAAGATGAACTCCGTCACGACAATGATAACCAACCCCAATATGATCTTGGCAATAATGCATCTGACGATGATGTCGGACATGATTTGTATGACTGAGGGATTGAATGTTCTTTTACTACCAGCCCCAGCCCCAAGCCATCTTTCATATTTCCTTGAGGTCGGCAATGAACTAATCGATAGAGGTCACAAGGTACGTCTACCTTTATTTACACCTACCTATACATATTTACACAACCCTGGTACAAAACTGAAAGTTGTAGACCATTGTATGAAACGTGTACCTGAAAAAGCGATTAAAATTCCTGAACACGTAACAAGCCATACCCGCTTCCTTGGACCCTCTTACCAGGTTCAGTTTGATTTTATCAAATCTTCATATCTTGATAATCAATCCAAGATGGAACTTGACTTGGTTTGACAATAGCTACATAACAGAAGGTCTGTTAATATACTAGATGCGAGTAGAAATAATCTTGATTCATTTTCTTTATTAAATATATCTAGTCTAAAGGATATCATATTTGAAGTCTACATGTAAAATTGCATCTAGAAAGAAAACTTTGAAAATGTGACTTCTAGGTCGGAAAGATTTCCCATAAACCCCATGTTACAAAATATCTTTTAATATTTTTATTGTGTTAATTAGCAGATATTTTCTTTTACTGGACTTATTTTCATTTGTACAGGGTGGTCAAAAAACGGCAACCCTATCTTTGTCATTCTAAGAAATAACTCCCTGATATTTTACACATTTGTATATCATTCAATTTCCTACCAACCTACCATATTTCATGACCATCGGACTGCTAATCACAATATTACTGCTATTTTAAGCAACATGCCCCACATGCCCACTTTCGGGCTGTCTGAACTGGTCTTGATGCACTGGTAAACACTAACAATTATGTATTATTGGGGAGCCAAGCAGTTGATGAAGTTGTGGAGAGGCACCTTCACACAGACAGATGCACAGTTTAGTGTGTTCTTAGAAGATAGGGTCCTTTACTTGGTGCCAAGGGATATGCAATAACTGTCAACATCAAACTTAAACTCTATTTTGTGATTCCCATGGAATTCTTGGGGACTTTAGGTGAACCCAGGGGGTTGATAGGCAGCAGCAGTGGTTCCAACAAGACATAACCATACCCCAAACAACCAGGCAATGATGCACAATAATGGCTTTGGGGCCACTTCAATGACCACATTATCAGCAGTGCTACAGACAATAGCCCAGATATGGCCACCAGTTTGGACACTCCTAAGTAACATTGCGACTATCAGTCCAATGTTCATGAAATAATATAGTCTATGTTCATGTGTGCTAAACATCAGGGTGAAATTTCTAAAAATGACAAAGAAACTTAGGGTTGCTGTTTTTTTACCACAATGTATAATGTTCAGACACATAAGGATTATATTAAAATTAATCCACTTAAACTGATAATATTCAAGTTTAAGGGAACTTTCATATATGCCTGCCATGTTAATTAACCCGAATCGGGCACCTGGTTGTGAAACTGGTAACATACTCGCATCTGGGTAATTCACTGTATACAGACAAGCCGATCACTGCGCCACGCCTCTACATTTCATGCATTTACTCAAGCCTTGTTTACCATTATTAAACTAACATATTTCTTTTAGGTCGGTGTTCTCATACCAGTTTACTTTAAAGAGAAAATACCAACCCGATTCAGCCTGAATGGCTCCAACGTCATTCTTGACGAGATAGCTGAGAAAGCGAATGAGGAGAAAATGCAGGCAGAGGTTAGAAAGATGATGGAACAAGAGAACGTAGATATGATGACTTTTATGATGAGCCAAGCCAAACTTATGTCAGAGAAAATGGAGAAACTACTTGGGAACCAGGATATATACCAGGCTGTTGAAGACAATAAGTATGATATAGCCATAGTCGATGGAATGCCGTTCACCAAAGGGTTATATGTGATTCCATATCGACATGGCATACCATTTACGACTTTAACAACAGGTTTTTTTCCAACTGACATCGGAGTACCTTATCTTCCATCATTTATGCCTTCAATGTTATCAACAAATACTCCTGAAATGAACTTCTTCCAAAGAGTACAAGAGGTCGCCTTTGCAATTGGGGTGTCGACGATGAAATGGCCAAAGACAGATGAATCGTACGTGAGAGATTTTGCACCTGGTAAAGATATAATTGACCTGAATACGCTGTATCAGAAATCCGAGATGTGGTTTGTCAATTCTGACGTTCTCCTTGACTACATCCATCCGACTACCCCAAACATGATCGAATGTGGTGGTCTCACGACAAAGCCGTCAAAACCATTACCAACGGATCTCGATGATTTCATATCAAATTCCAAAAATGGTATAATTGTCGTTTCCTTTGGTTCAATGGTTTCAAAATTTACTGATAGGATTGTAGCTAAACTTGTCGAAACTTTCAAACAAGTTGATGTTGATATTATATGGAGGTACGCGGGCGAAAATAAAGAAGTTCCGAAAAATGTTAAAACAGTAGCATGGCTACCTCAGAATGATCTTCTAGGACACCCGAAAACCAGACTTTTTATAACACACTGCGGGAACAACGGACAAACAGAGGCACTGTACCATGGCGTCCCAATGATAGGTCTGCCCATATTTGGGGACCAACCATATAATGCCAAGAGAATGGCCTACAAAGGTTACGGAATCGCTATGGATTTAAAAACATTTGAAGTAGATGAATTAGTCGAAAATATTAATATTATTCTTCAAGATAAAGGATTTACCGATCGGATTAAAAAAGCATCAAAGATTTTTCGATCTAGATCACGTAATCCGAAACAAAGAGTAGTTGATACACTGGAACATGTAGACGAGTTTGGTGGCGAGTATCTCAGACCCCATTCTCTGGATATGTCGTTGTATAAACTCTACCTCATTGACGTCATGGCGACCGTCTTTGTTACATTATTAGTCTTATTTTGCATTTTCTTTAAATTATTATTTTGCGGTATTGGTTTTATAAGTAAGTCAAAGAAGTTAAAATCGCAATAAAGAGAATGAATGAGAATTCCAGTTTTGGATATCAAATCCCCCAGAAAATCCAGGCACTGAACGCATAGATACGTTTTTATTGACAGTGTTCTTTGACTTCATGTTACACAAACACGTATCCATGCTACGATTTCAATCTGGTTTTCTTTATCAGAAAGATAATTAATTGATAATGTGTCGACTAGATGTAGATTACATATTTGTTTATGATATTTAACTATTGCAAGTAATGTGATACTCCGGGCCGTTTTCAATAGCTTTTACTCTTAGCGTTATCACAGGTAAGATCCGCTATGATTAAAGGTCGGGAGCAAGTTCCCGCTGAAATCGCGAGGAATAAAAAGAATAGATGGGGTATCTTTTGTTTACTTGAATTGTAAGATTTACAAAGCGTTTTCTTTTAATTTTCCTCAATGATTACATGGTTTTGAGACTATAAAGCAACTGCTGGAAAAAAGTATCATAAGCGGTCGTTCTGTGGTTCTTTATTTGACAATTGAAGAAAAAAAGTATAATCTTGAATCTTTATCGATACATTTCTAAATGTTATTGGTGAAGAACGTTGTGCCGTGGTTGAAATAATGATAGGGATCGATATGAAATAAAAATAGAACTATTTATAATTCAATTTCATCATATCTCTCCAGGCCCAGCTTCTAGCAGGAGCAAAAAGCAAAGATCCCGCTGAAAACATGAGGAGGCCCCGCTGAAAACAGGAGCAAGTGTCTCAAAAATGGAGTGAATGCGAGTAACATACTCGCATCTGGGTAATTCACTGTATACAGACAAGCCGATCACTGCGCCACGCCTCTACATTTCATGCATTTACTCAAGCCTTGTTTACCATTATTAAACTAACATATTTCTTTTAGGTCGGTGTTCTCATACCAGTTTACTTTAAAGAGAAAATACCAACCCGATTCAACCTGAACGGCTCCAACGTCATTCTTGACGAGATAGCTGAGAAAGCGAATGAGGAGAAAATGCAGGCAGAGGTTAGAAAGATGATGGAACAAGAGAACGTAGATATGATGACTTTTATGATGAGCCAAGCCAAACTTATGTCAGAGAAAATGGAGAAACTACTTGGGAACCAGGATATATACCAGGCTGTTGAAGACAATAAGTATGATATAGCCATAGTCGATGGAATGCCATTTACCAAAGGGTTATATGTGATTCCATATCGGCATGGCATACCATTTACGACTTTAACAACAGGTTTTTTTCCAACTGACATCGGAGTACCTTATCTTCCATCATTTATGCCTTCAATGTTATCAACAAATACTCCTGAAATGAACTTCTTCCAAAGAGTACAAGAGGTCGCCTTTGCAATTGGGGTGTCGACGATGAAATGGCCGAAGACAGATGAATCGTACGTAAGGGATTTTGCACCTGGTAAAGCTATAATTGACCTGAATACGCTGTATCAGAAATCCGAGATGTGGTTTGTCAATTCTGACGTTCTCCTTGACTACATCCATCCGACTACCCCAAACATGATCGAATGTGGTGGTCTCACTACAAAGCCGTCAAAACCATTACCAACGGATCTCGATGATTTCATATCAAATTCCAAAAATGGTATAATTGTCGTTTCCTTTGGTTCAATGGTTTCAAAATTTACTAATAGGATTGTAGCTAAACTTGTCGAAACGTTCAAACAAGTTGATGTTGATATTATATGGAGGTACGCGGGCGAAAATAAAGAAGTTCCGAAAAATGTTAAAACAGTAGCATGGCTACCTCAGAATGATCTTCTAGGACACCCGAAAACCAGACTTTTTATAACACACTGCGGGAACAACGGACAAACAGAGGCACTGTACCATGGCGTCCCAATGATAGGTCTGCCCATATTTGGGGACCAACCATATAATGCCAAGAGAATGGCCTACAAAGGTTACGGAATCGCTATGGATTTAAAAACATTTGAAGTAGATGAATTAGTCGAAAATATTAATATTATTCTTCAAGATAAAGGATTTACCGATCGGATTAAAAAAGCATCAAAGATTTTTCGATCTAGATCACGTAATCCGAAACAAAGAGTAGTTGATACACTGGAACATGTAGACGAGTTTGGTGGCGAGTATCTCAGACCCCATTCTCTGGATATGTCGTTGTATAAACTCTACCTCATTGACGTCATGGCGACCGTCTTTGTTACATTATTAGTCTTATTTTGCATTTTCTTTAAATTATTATTTTGCGGTATTGGTTTTATAAGTAAGTCAAAGAAGTTAAAATCGCAATAAAGAGAATGAATGAGAATTCCAGTTTTGGATATCAAATCCCCCAGAAAATCCAGGCACTGAACGCATAGATACGTTTTTATTGACAGTGTTCTTTGACTTCATGTTACACAAACACGTATCCATGCTACGATTTCAATCTGGTTTTCTTTATCAGAAAGATAATTAATTGATAATGTGTCGACTAGATGTAGATTACATATTTGTTTATGATATTTAACTATTGCAAGTAATGTGATACTCCGGGCCGTTTTCAATAGCTTTTACTCTTAGCGTTATCACAGGTAAGATCCGCTATGATTAAAGGTCGGGAGCAAGTTCCCGCTGAAATCGCGAGGAATAAAAAGAATAGATGGGGTATCTTTTGTTTACTTGAATTGTAAGATTTACAAAGCGTTTTCTTTTAATTTTCCTCAATGATTACATGGTTTTGAGACTATAAAGCAACTGCTGGAAAAAAGTATCATAAGCGGTCGTTCTGTGGTTCTTTATTTGACAATTGAAGAAAAAAAGTATAATCTTGAATCTTTATCGATACATTTCTAAATGTTATTGGTGAAGAACGTTGTGCCGTGGTTGAAATAATGATAGGGATCGATATGAAATAAAAATAGAACTATTTATAATTCAATTTCATCATATCTCTCCAGGCCCAGCTTCTAGCAGGAGCAAAAAGCAAAGATCCCGCTGAAAACATGAGGAGGCCCCGCTGAAAACAGGAGCAAGTGTCTCAAAAATGGAGTGAATGCGAGTAACATACTCGCATCTGGGTAATTCACTGTATACAGACAAGCCGATCACTGCGCCACGCCTCTACATTTCATGCATTTACTCAAGCCTTGTTTACCATTATTAAACTAACATATTTCTTTTAGGTCGGTGTTCTCATACCAGTTTACTTTAAAGAGAAAATACCAACCCGATTCAACCTGAACGGCTCCAACGTCATTCTTGACGAGATAGCTGAGAAAGCGAATGAGGAGAAAATGCAGGCAGAGGTTAGAAAGATGATGGAACAAGAGAACGTAGATATGATGACTTTTATGATGAGCCAAGCCAAACTTATGTCAGAGAAAATGGAGAAACTACTTGGGAACCAGGATATATACCAGGCTGTTGAAGACAATAAGTATGATATAGCCATAGTCGATGGAATGCCATTTACCAAAGGGTTATATGTGATTCCATATCGGCATGGCATACCATTTACGACTTTAACAACAGGTTTTTTTCCAACTGACATCGGAGTACCTTATCTTCCATCATTTATGCCTTCAATGTTATCAACAAATACTCCTGAAATGAACTTCTTCCAAAGAGTACAAGAGGTCGCCTTTGCAATTGGGGTGTCGACGATGAAATGGCCGAAGACAGATGAATCGTACGTAAGGGATTTTGCACCTGGTAAAGCTATAATTGACCTGAATACGCTGTATCAGAAATCCGAGATGTGGTTTGTCAATTCTGACGTTCTCCTTGACTACATCCATCCGACTACCCCAAACATGATCGAATGTGGTGGTCTCACTACAAAGCCGTCAAAACCATTACCAACGGATCTCGATGATTTCATATCAAATTCCAAAAATGGTATAATTGTCGTTTCCTTTGGTTCAATGGTTTCAAAATTTACTAATAGGATTGTAGCTAAACTTGTCGAAACGTTCAAACAAGTTGATGTTGATATTATATGGAGGTACGCGGGCGAAAATAAAGAAGTTCCGAAAAATGTTAAAACAGTAGCATGGCTACCTCAGAATGATCTTCTAGGACACCCGAAAACCAGACTTTTTATAACACACTGCGGGAACAACGGACAAACAGAGGCACTGTACCATGGCGTCCCAATGATAGGTCTGCCCATATTTGGGGACCAACCATATAATGCCAAGAGAATGGCCTACAAAGGTTACGGAATCGCTATGGATTTAAAAACATTTGAAGTAGATGAATTAGTCGAAAATATTAATATTATTCTTCAAGATAAAGGATTTACCGATCGGATTAAAAAAGCATCAAAGATTTTTCGATCTAGATCACGTAATCCGAAACAAAGAGTAGTTGATACACTGGAACATGTAGACGAGTTTGGTGGCGAGTATCTCAGACCCCATTCTCTGGATATGTCGTTGTATAAACTCTACCTCATTGACGTCATGGCGACCGTCTTTGTTACATTATTAGTCTTATTTTGCATTTTCTTTAAATTATTATTTTGCGGTATTGGTTTTATAAGTAAGTCAAAGAAGTTAAAATCGCAATAAAGAGAATGAATGAGAATTCCAGTTTTGGATATCAAATCCCCCAGAAAATCCAGGCACTGAACGCATAGATACGTTTTTATTGACAGTGTTCTTTGACTTCATGTTACACAAACACATATCCATTCGATTTCAATCTGGTTTTCTTACCAGAAAGATAATTGATTATGTGTCGACAAGATGTAGATTACATATTTGTTTATGATATTTAACTATTGCAAGTAATGTGATACTCCGGGCCGTTTTCAATAGCTTTTACTCTTAGCGTTATCACAGGTAAGATCCGCTATGATTAAAGGTCGGGAGCAAGTTCCCGCTGAATTCGCGAGGAATACAAAGAATAGATGGGGTATCTTTTGTTTACTTGAATTGTAAGATTTACAAAGCGTTTTCTTTTAATTTTCCTCAATGATCACATGGTTTTGAGACTATAAAGCAACTGCTGGAAAAAAGTATCATAAGCGGTCGTTCTGTGGTTCTTTATTTGACAATTGAAGAAAAAAAGTATAATCTTGAATCTTTATCGATACATTTCTAAATGTTATAGGTGAAGAACGTTGTGCCGTGGTTGAAATAATGATAGGGATCGATATGAAATAAAAATAGAACTATTTAGAATTCAATTTCATCATATCTCTCCAGGCCCAGCTTCTAGCAGGAGCAAAAAGCAAAGATCCCGCTGAAAACATGAGGAGGCCCCGCTGATAACATGAGGAGGCCCCGCTGAAAACAGGAGCAAGTGTCTCAAAAATGGAGTGAATCCTGATTATACCCTGGAAATCTCCCTCTATCGTACCCAGCTTGATCCACTATTGTACCCAGTTTCATGAATTCAATATTTGTTTTTACAATTCTCAAAAAATACAGCAAAAACAACTGAATTAATATCATTACCTGTGTCCTGTATACAGTAGATCAACTTTTGCTATTCTTTGACTTGTATTTATGACATACCAAATATTTGAAAATTCATAACGATATCATTTGTTTGTTTCTTTGTACAGACATATAGTTTTGAACATGTACTTCACTTATTTACCATTGAAACTGAATGCAGAACAATATTGACTCAACCCTTACTCGATACGTTCTAAGCTCAACCCTTACTCGATACGTTCTAAGCTCAACCCTTACTCGATACGTTCTAAGCTCAACCCTTACTCGATACGTTCTAAGCTCAGCCCTTACTCGATACCTTCTAAGCTATTCAAATTGCAGTCGATTAAGTGAAAAATAAATGCCGCTATTTGTCCTAAGGTTCCAATACACCATTGGAAAAGTGAGAGACAGCTTTAACGATCTTGCCTGATTTCGGATGTTTGCCGTTACAAAGCTGAAAAATCAACCCTTTAATCACAAAGACGTAAAATTAAGAAATAAATCATAATTTTTCAAATACAAATTATATTATATTTTCCATTGAACTTTTTATAATAACAAATCTAGTGTTCTAAGAGACATGCTAGTGTATACAGGGCGTATCAAAAAAACGCAACAAGTAGTTATCTCGTAAATCACAAAACTAGTCATGACTACATCAATTTCATTCAATGTACCATAAAGCCACGTCTCTCCTCTTTGCAATGATATGCCATTCATTCACATGTGGTCATGGTTGGGTGAGAAATCCTTCCATTTGCACATTGGGTCAAAATCTGCTCTTGACCAAGTTTTAGATATTGCAAAAATCAATGCAAGGGCTAAGTGCCAATGGAGGTTCCCCTGACTTTAATTGTTGTGTCCTTTTATTTTGGAGCTATCTCAGGAGCACCTGTGCTCACAATTTAATTACTCCACCAGATATTGCAAAACCTCGAGAAAGAATTGCCCATGGGCTGCTTTTCTTTGCTGTAACCCACAGATGATTCAGGGCTGAACCATGTATGACGTGGACAGATGAGCGCATCTTTATGTTCAAGGAAGTGGTGGCAATTTGGAGGGGTACAGGATGTATTCTTGCAAGGGTATGGGTATGACCACATTACTGTCTATGCCACACCTGTCACACCTTCTTCCAATAGCCCCTATGCCCCATTGTACTGACTTTTGCAATGTTTATAAAAATTGGGTTCGAGGTGAATTTTGCCCCACTTTGCAAAATTTGCCAGTCATGACTCCCTGTGAATGAATGATATTCGATTGCAAAGACGAGTAATTTGGCTTTTTGGTACATTGAATGAAAAGGATGCAGTCAGCATTGGTCTTATGTTTTCTTCCAATATTGCATTGGGCTCCGTACACTGACTTTTGCGATGTTTATAACTTGGTCCCAAGCTAATTTTGGTCCACTTTGCAAATGGAATGATTACTCGTCCAACCATGACCAAATATCAATGAATGATAAATCATTGTTAAGAGGAGACACATGACTTTATGCTGCATTGAATGAAATCAATGCTGTTATCACTGATTTTGTGCTTTTCCGAGATAACAACCTGTTGCGTTTTTTGATACGCACTGTAATTGAGATGTTTGACCTCGATGGTCGTGTTAGTATTTTGTCTTTGAAATTATCACCCAAAAATATATAAAAATAATGCCAACGTTCTTTTTAATATCATATTTTTCAATCATTTTTTTGTTTAAAAAGGAGAATACACTTCAATAGTACAGATAATATATTTGTTTCATTCCCAAAATGTTTGCAAATTTCATATCGAAAGGATAGGTATCGATATGGTGAACTGAATTCAACAATGTTTTTTCTCTTAAACAATTTATAGGAAACATTCTGTAAAAAATACGGTCCTTTATGCAATGTTGACTGACTGGCATCAATGTAATGCAAAAATTACTTATATATATTTTATATAACTGTCTTTGTTAACATATTTTATTTTAGTGCAACTGTTTTTTTGTTCCTTTCTACCAATTCTTGAGAATGAAATAAAATGTCTGAAATCTATGCAGGAGTATCACTTGCTGTCCAAAATACGTTTAACGCCAGTGCGCTAATGCGGCGATAAAAAACAATTACATAACGTTCAAAAAACATATGTTACATGTAAACGAGTCAAATTGTACTTTACAGATATTTTATTTAAATCATTTTTATAATTTATTTATACCTGAAGTGACAACTGGCGTTAAACGTAACTTGGATATACTGCTCCGTAACGTAAAGATCATGGCACACGTATATCTATGGAGGTTTTTGCTGAATTCTTTAGACCATTTAGTTGCAATATTTTTCAAGCACGAATGATGTGAGTGGGATTTATTGGTGAAAATTGGCAATACACGTATATTAACAAAGGTTTGTTGAAAGAGTTCAGTCTGTTTGTCAACTTATTTTACTTCTATACGTAACAAAAGCATCATAATTACGTAGCACCTACCTCAAAGACGATACATAATGAGGCAAGAGCTACGTTATCATGATGCTTTTGTTATGTAGAAGTAAAACTATTTGAAAAATTTGACTAATCTTTTCACAAGCCTTTCTAATATTATATTTTACCAATCTTCCACATGAATAAAATCCCACTCGCAACATTTGTGGTTGACAGTATGTCCAAGTTACGTTTAACGCCAGTGGTGACGTGACACATACTCGATTGACTATTTCAGAAAGTTTCTACTACAAAGTGCAGTTAGAAATATATTTACACTGTCCGAAATAAGTTTGGCAACCGAATGTACTCGTTTGGTAGAATGTTTGTTTGTGTCGATGTATAAATCTTAATTTGTTTCTTGACTTGAGGTTATATAGGTTTGTAATTAACCTGTTAACACTTCCAAACATAAATTAAAACATGTTTTAACAAATGGCCGAGAAGTTGAATTCCTGTTGCCAGACTTTAGAAGGGGTGTAATTTGGTACTTTTTGGCGTTTCGTTATATAATTCACTTAATTAAAAAGATGCCCACACATGATGAGGTATGAATAAAACGGTAAACTGCTTCTATATACTGCAACATTATATACATTGTGTGGCCTTGTATGTATTGTTAGGATAAATATTTCAAATGAGATGTCTAATATCAATCTAAATATCATCAAACAAAAGAAATTAAAGAAAAGGCAAAATAGTAAGGCGTTTTGAAGCAATAACACTCAATGCTATAAGGGTATCAGATCACACATCTCCGCCAGTTGGCAGATCACAGTCTACAACGAAATCGTCATCACTTGATTTTCTGTTGGAGAACGTGTGGATACTGCTGCTTTATTAAAAACTTCAAATTCAAAAATCAACCTTAAAGTGACAGTAACATATAGAATGTGTAAATTATCGGAAGCAATTTTTACAAAATTCATGATTATTATAATTGATATAATATAGAGCATTATTACTCATACAGTACTTTTCCTGAATCCTAGCATATACTTATCGTTCTCGACAAACGTACATACCAAATGAAAGCACTTATATATATTTTTCTTCTACTCGAATCGATCGATTTTCATCAAAATGAATTGATAATATTTTGGGGCCCCATAAAATAGTTGGTCTCATTTGGAACTAAATATGGGGTCTAACTTAAGACGAGCTGTCCCCTGCCTAAAGCTCCTTCTGAGTCCACTGGTGATGTGTGTTTAGCTCTGCATGTGGCTATAGCCACTGTGTGGCCTGTTCCTACTAATACAGTACCCTATAATGACTAGCAGGGCGGCGGCTGCTATGAAGGCGGCTATTACTACAGGAACGATGTCGTTCGCTTTGTTAGGCGTATCTTTATGATCTGCTGGACACACAGTCACATCTGCAACAGAGACAGCTTAAGTTAGAATTATTTATTTTTAGAGCCCTTTTGTATTTGGTGATTTAGAAATATTCATTAAAGTCATACATTTCCGAGTTATTGTAAATAGGAACAAATGGAAAAATCAACCTTAAAGCGGCAGTACCATATAGAAAGTGTAAATTGTCGGAAGCGAAATCCGCAAATGAACAGGCTGCTATCCAATGATAACTTCTGAGAGCCAGACTAATGGAGGGGAGTGTAATGTACTAGGGCATACTGTCGACGGTATTTCATTTTTATATATTTCAAACCTGTTGAAAATGCTCCGGAGGCAGGCAGTGCTTCAGCTTGTATCTGTATGTTCTTAACTGTTGCTGTGACTATATCATTCTTCCCTGTAAACACCAAGTTCTGGGCACTGTCACATCTAAATAAATCACAAATAGCTAATTGAGACTACAGTATCTGCAATTAATGATCAGTTTGTTTGCATCGCGTAGGTAGAGTTTGATTTTTTATGTCAACTAGTAATGTAAAAGAGTTCGATTATGCGCCAAAGATATCTGATAGCATCCTTGAATAGGACCTTAACTTAAGATTCTAACATAGTGATAGCTTTGACAGATATGTAGCGACAACAACCAAAACCATCATAAGAAAAGTAAATCCCCAATATTCCAAATGATTATTTTACGGCTATCACCATCACAATCCAAATCTACAAAATCGTTTGGTATTCCAATGACTTACTTGTATGTAGAATTCGATTTTGCACTAAACAGTGTAGCATTTTGTCCAGTTGAGACACTCCAGTGATTGTCTGAAACAAGATAAGCTCATAAACAGTGTAACATTTTGTCCAGTTGGGTTGTCTGAAACAAGATAAACTCATAAACAGTGTAACATTTTGTCCAATTGAGGGACTCCAGTGATTGTCTGAAACAAGATAAACTCGTAAACAGTGTAACATTTTGTATAGTAGAGACACTCCGGTGATTGTCTGAAACAAGATAGACTCATAAACAGTGTAACATTTTGTCCAATTGAGGCAATCCAGTGATTGTCTGAAACAAGATGAACCCATAAACAGTGTAACATTTTGTATAGTAGAGACACTCCGGTGATTGTCTGAAACAAGATAAACTCATAAACAGTGTAACATTTTGTATAGTAGAGACACTCCGGTGATTGTCTGAAACAAGATAAACTCATAAACAGTGTAACATTTTGTCCAGTTGAGGCACTCCAGTGATTGTCTGAAACAAGATAAACTCATAAACAATGTAGCATTTTGTCCAGTTGAGAGACTCCAGTGATTGTCTGAAACAAGATAAACTCGTAAACAGTGTAACATTTTGTATAGTAGAGACACTCCGGCGATTTTCTGAAACAAGATAGACTCATAAACAGTGTAACATTTTGTCCAATTGAGGGACTCCGGTGATTGTCTGAAACAAGATAAACTCATAAACAATGTAGCATTTTGTCCAGTTGAGAGACTCCAGTGATTGTCTGAAACAAGATAAACTCATAAACAGTGTAACATTTTGTATAGTAGAGACACTCCGGTGATTGTCTGAAACAAGATCAACTCATAAACAGTGTAACATTTTGTTCTGTTGAGACACTCCAGTGATTGTCTGAAACAAGATAAACTCATAAACAGTGTAGCATTTTGTCCTGTTGAGACACTCCAGTGATTGTCTGAAACAAGATAAACTCATAAACAGTGTAACATTTTGTCCTGTTGAGACACTCCAGTGATTGTCTGAAACAAGATAAACTCATAAACAGTGTAACATTTTGTCCAGTTGAGGCACTCCAGTGATTGTCTGAAACAAGATAAACTCATAAACAATGTAGCATTTTGTCCAGTTGAGAGACTCCAGTGATTGTCTGAAACAAGATAAACTCATAAACAGTGTAACATTTTGTATAGTAGAGACACTCCGGTGATTGTCTGAAACAAGATAGACTCATAAACAGTGTAACATTTTGTCCAATTGAGGGACTCCAGTGATTGTCTGAAACAAGATAAACTCATAAACAGTGTAACATTTTGTATAGTAGAGACACTCCGGTGATTGTCTGAAACAATATAGACTCATAAACAGTGTAACATTTTGTCCAATTGAGGGACTCCAGTGATTGTCTGAAACAAGCTAAACTCATAAACAGTGTAACATTTTGTCCAATTGAGGGACTCCAGTGATTGTCTGAAACAAGATAAACTCATAAACAGTGTAACATTTTGTCCAATTGAGGGACTCCAGTGATTGTCTGAAACAAGTTAAACTCATAAACAGTGTAGCATGTTGTCCTGTTGAGACACTCCAGTGATTGTCTGAAACAAGATAAACTCATAAACAGTGTAACATTTTGTCCTGTTGAGACACTCCAGTGATTGTCTGAAACAAGATAAACTCATAAACAGTGTAGCATTTTGTCCAGTTGAGACACTCCAGTGATTGTCTGAAACAAGATAAACTCATAAACAGTGTAACATTTTGTCCAATTGAGGGACTCCGGTGATTGTCTGAAACAAGATAAAATCATATAACAGTGTAACATTTTGTCCTGTTGAGACACTCTAGTGATTGTCTGAAACAAGATAAACTCATAAACAGTGTAATATTTTGTCCAATTGAGGGACTCCAGTGATTGTCTGAAACAAGATAAACTCATAAACAGTGTAGCATTTTGTCCAGTTGAGACACTCCAGTGATTGTCTGAAACAAGATAAACTCATAAACAGTGTAACATTTTGTCCAATTGAGGGACTCCGGTGATTGTCTGAAACAAGATAAAATCATATAACAGTGTAACATTTTGTCCTGTTGAGACACTCTAGTGATTGTCTGAAACAAGATAAACTCATAAACAGTGTAATATTTTGTCCAATTGAGGGACTCCAGTGATTGTCTGAAACAAGATAAACTCATAAACAGTGTAGCATTTTGTCCAATTGAGGGACTCCAGTGATTTTCTGAAACAAGATAAACTCATAAACAGTGTAACATTTTGTATAGTAGAGACACTCCAGTGATTGTCTGAAACAAGATAAACTCATAAACAGTGTAACATTTTGTCCAATTGAGGGACTCCAGTGATTGTCTGAAACAAGATAGACTCATAAACAGTGTAACATTTTGTATAGTAGAGACACTCCAGTGATTGTCTGAAACAAGATAGACTCATAAACAGTGTAACATTTTGTATAGTAGAGACACTCCAGTGATTGTCTGAAACAAGATAAACTCATAAACAGTGTAATATTTTGTCCAGTTGAGACACTCCAGTGATTGTCTGAAACAAGATCAACTCATAAACAGTGTAACATTTTGTATAGTAGAGACACTCCGGTGATTGTCTGAAACAAGATAAACTCATAAACAGTGTAATATTTTGTCCAGTTGAGACACTCCAGTGATTGTCTGAAACAAGATAAACTCATAAACAGTGTAACATTTTGTCCAGTTGGGTTGTCTGAAACAAGATAAGCTCATAAACAGTGTAACATTTTGTCCAGTTGGGTTGTCTGAAACAAGATAAACTCATAAACAGTGTAACATTTTGTCCTGTTGAGACACTCCAGTGATTGTCTGAAACAAGATTAACTCATAAACAGTGTAACATTTTGTATAGTAGAGACACTCCGGTGATTGTCTGAAACAAGATAAACTCATAAACAGTGTAATATTTTGTCCAATTGAGACACTCCAGTGATTGTCTGAAACAAGATAAACTCATAAACAGTGTAACATTTTGTCCAATTGAGGCACTCCAGTGATTGTCTGAAACAAGATAAACTCATAAACAGTGTAACATTTTGTATAGTAGAGACACTCCAGTGATTGTCTGAAACAAGATAAGTTCATAAACAGTGTAACATTTTGTATAGTAGAGACAATCCAGTGATTGTCTGAAACAAGATAATTTCATAAACAGTGTAATATTCTGTTCACTTGAGACACTACGATGATTGTCTGAAACAAGATGAGCTTATAATAACAGTGTAATATTTTGTCGAGTTGAGACACTCTAGTGATTGTCTGAAACAAGATCAGTTCACCATCAGTTTTTGTCGAAGGGACTAGATCGATATAAAGATTGGAGCAATGGTCTGTCTGTCTGTAGCTATACTGTTGTTTATATATATGAAATATTGGGCAATTCACAAAAATCAGTGTATTGTCTTATAGCAATAAGAATTACAAGAATTCTAATTGTATGAAAGTATGCATGAATGATTGATCTAAAATGTCAAGAATAAATGGTATTTCAGGAAAACATTATTTGTCTCAAGAATACGCTCATTAACAAGAATACTCTCTAAAATTTCAATTGACTCTGACGGATTAATTCCTGAGAAATGAAATATGTAAATGTGTTTAGTTTTTTCCTGGACAATCTATGAAAAATATTTGAAAAACTACATTTATTAAAATTTGAGAGGGCATTGAAACGTGGAAACCAATGGTAAATTGGTAAATATTCCATGTTTATGAGCAACGGTGTATACGGTGTATATCTCTAATATGACAGACCTCTACTCCTATACGACATACAGGGTGTTACAAAAGTAACAGGACTGGTGCTGGCATTTTGTTAAATATGCACCGATTGTCTTCAAAATATTACATAATGTACTTTCATGTTTCGTTACTAAGACTGCAAAGTTTCGACAAAATATATGTAACTCGGGTAGAGTTATGGTTGCTATAGTAACATGACATCGCAATACCCGGGGCAACATTCCACGCAAAAAGTTACAGAGACATTAAGCATTTTGTACATCCCATATCATCTTCTACATGCCATATCAAAGTTGAAATGCAACAACTGGCGGGAACTACATTTGTTTTACATCATTTGATATTCCTATGTATCCTCTACTTTGAAAAATAGGCTCCTCTTTGGTCAGTACAAGAGTAGTACTCTGTATCCATGACCCAAACACATAAGTGTGAACCCATTTGAGGACATGACACGCAGGGAGAAGGCCATTCTCATCTTTAAAGGTATGACATGATATTAGCATTCCGTTCTCAAAGTAAAAATTAGACATTGCATGATCAGAAGAGTATGATGCATGGTTTTAGACCTCAATACCTAGCTCCTCTATAGCTGCGTGGTATTTAATGATGACCTGCGGGCAGGCGCGCTATCAAGGTGGATGACTGGCTTCAAATTGGGTCTTTTCAAAAACTCAACAGTGAATTGTTCAGACTGTTATACATAGTGATATTCCAGGAAATTGAATAAATATTATCATTATGAAATTATACTTGAATCTGAGTTGTATAGCAACATTTTACAACAAAGCAACTAATAAAATAAACAAGAAATGTTGTTTTATAATGAATTAGATACTTTCTTCAGTAATACAAGAATGTTAGATGTCACATTTTAAGGAAAAAAGTTGCCCCGGGTATTGGGATGTCATGTTACTATAGTAACCATAACTCTAAGCGCATTTCATCATTTTTTTCTGAAACCTAATAACTTTACTTGCAATACTTCAAAGTACAATTTGTAAAAATTTGAAGACACTCAGTGCAAAATTGACAAAATGCCAGCACCAGTCCTGTTACTTTTGGAACACCCTGTATACTGCCATCTTTACGTTAATCTAGCACATATGCTTATTTTCGGCCTGCTTGACAAATAATATTTACAAAACAGATTTTATATGGCACTAATAGAATAAATAATGATATTCTGCAAAATTCTATTTTCCTAACCTGGAGTAGAAAATATCCTACCTACACCTACCTTTTTGAGCATCTTGAAAAACCGCTTGATCTTTGGTGTCGTAGTTAAACTGTATCTTCGTTACATAGGTTACTGCAGTAGTCTACATGTACAAAGAAAATCAGTGAGCATGAAAACTTTGTACAACATTTAAAAATAGGTACATAATAGTTTTAATGCTTGGTCTTGGGCATATTGAGCAATGAGGACACCATGTGCAACAACTTAACGATGTACACTAATCATTGTAAATTCTAATTCTAAAAATCATAATCTATACAAATTAACTAGATGATTATTTGGCAATGTACATGTATGTGTGTTTATATTTATGTTTACCAATTTGAGCAAAATTAACTTTGTCATTTCCAACCTATCGTAATTTAAGATTCAAACATGCAAAGCTTTAACATACTCCCCAAACGGGACTTCTGTTTTCCAAACTTATTGAGGGGTGTACATACCTGTGTAAAGCTCATAATGAGAATATAGTGTTGATCGCCCCATGACAGTTGCAATTTAGCGCCATCTTTCTTTGTACCACACTTGGAGCCATTAGTGCTAGCACCTTGGGGCACCTCCAGGTACGTCACACGACTGTCCGACTGTAACACATATTAATTATACATGCAACTACACAGAGTGTAATATATTGCAAGTAACGATAACAAGAAAACCGCAAACTTCCTGCAGAAAGACCTAGTTTTTGCTCGAAGCAAAAAGTGTTCACCACCAAGGTTTACTGTATCTCCCTAAATTATTATTACTCGGTTATAAATTACGCATACACCCCCTCTATAAGTTTGGCATTTGGAAATTTCCATCGATAGCATATCCAAGCATTTCAATGTTTAAATTTTAATTTTGTTCCTTAATTACAAAAGTTCGGAAATCTATGACTTAGATTAATTCTTTTTAAATCCCAAAACAGGCTTTAATAAGTGATCCGAAAGAGAACATCTGTTTGCCAAATTAATTGAGGGGTGTATAATATACACTGTATATCGTCATAATATCAATGTGATAATAATAGTACCTTATTATTTTGTGTAACAATATTATATGCGATTGCCATTTTAAGATTAAATGCTGCTTTGATGCACGGTTGTCCCTTCGATGACGTCACTGTGAAGGAAGGTGGTCCTGAAGGGGGCGTCGTAGGAGACGCTGTAGGTTGGGCTGGTGAAGTTGTTGGAACAGGAGCTGGAAATAAAATTGTTACATTAATGTTAAAGTACAAATCAATTTGTTCAAACATTTTGTACATTTTTAATTTTTTAACATACCTCGAATTTGTCTTTGAGTTTGAAATTTATCACAGGAGATAAGTATATGCATCTCACAAAGTTGATGAAGGCATAAAATTGGCAGCGTACTTTAACATAGATGAAATATGATTGAAATGATACCAATATGTATTGCGTAATCTATGGATTAACTATTTTATTGGAAACTACAATCAAGGAAGTTAGAAGCATGATTGAAAAGGGGTGGAATTGGAAATTGACCAGGGTCCCAAAATGTTGTCATACAAATCCTTTTTGGGCTTTTTGAAATTTCTTTTGGATCAAAATGTTACTAAGAAGGATCTTATAGAGTAATACGTACACCACCCATGACAACCGGAAGTCGGATAGCTCGGGAAAGCCTTTTCATAGCTAAATCTTAATTTTGTTTCAAGACTGGATATGCATAACTGATGAATTTACAGGGTGGGCCAAAAAACAATACACAAGCTTAAAGGTGAATATTATATGATATACGTACATGCATGTTAAACCATATGCCATTCATTACATATCATTTTAAAGAAAATTTCCTAATAACATGGCACCATCCGATTGAAAAAAAACTTTCTTTTTTTGTGGAGTTATTGGGGAGCCAAAATACTAATTTCCCTCCATTTTCAACAATTTGGAAATCCGCAGTGAATAATCTTTTGGTTGCTCATGAAACCCCGTATGTCGAGTGTAGCCTCTTACACCACTGGAAAACAAAAGTGCTTCAATCGAACAGTGTCATATTGTTAGGAAATGATTGATCTTTAAAGTAATATATAATACATGGCATGGTTTAACATATGTCATATGATATTCATCTTTAAACTTGTGTATTGTTTTTTGGCCCACTTTGTATAAAAATTGCGTGCATTTTATTTAATAACACATGGCCGAAAGATAAATTGCAGTTGACTTTTGGAAATAAATACAGATCATAATGCCAAGCTGGCTTTTTGCACAATTGTATTACCTTTGACATTTAGAAGAGAGCCTATAGTTCCATCTAAAATTACATGACATTTGATAACATATATAAGCTAACACAATTATTTATCTGAGTGCAGCACATTTAGCGCGTTAAGTTTGTAGTAAAGTAAAAACAAGGAACCCAAAAGGATCATTAATCATAATTATCGTATTAATCATGAAATCATATTATCAATCCAAGGTGGATAATAATTTGACAATCAAGGCGTGGGATTAATCATGAACAGAGACGCGTGTTTTATGTCTCTTTATCCATCAATGCGATGCGGACAATGGAGGTTGAAACTCCAATTGGGAGTTAAGGTTCTGCTATGTAGTATATAATACATTTTGCTTTAGATTCTATTTTTATAAATTGATGACACATGTAAATATGTCATACCTGGTCTATCAGTGGCCGTTGATGTTGTACGTACTTCCGGTGCATCAGTCTTGACTTCTGGATTCTTTCCTTTGCCATCACCAGCTTCCTTGGTATCGCCAGGATCCGCATTACCAGCAGCATCTTTAGGATCGTCATCATCATTCTTGGCATCTTCTGGAGCCGTATCATCTAAAGTTTTAATATTTCCAATGTTTTCACCACCTTGTTCATGTGTAATAGATGGGTCCTCTTTGTTTTTCGGAGTATCATTTTCATTGGCTTCACTTTGAACCTGAAGAACTGAAATACAAAAGATGATCTTAGGAAACACATACAAAACTTTTTGTTAATTTCATTCAAACGATTTTTGACATCGCTAATGGAATTTTATTTTTCCAAAGGTTAAGGTGGCGTTTTAGCCCATCCAGTGTAGAGTGTCAACAAATGCCTCGGATTCTGATCGGAATGAACTGGTCTTGTCATAAACAGTGATGTTGTTCACCAATACAGCACCTCCCCATGCTGTTACATTTTCTTGTACAGAACGATATGTGCCAATAATGTGCGTGGGCGATGCTTCCTCAAGGCACATCATATATGCTGCCTGATTGACAACATTACCTCTTTCTCTCCAGCTTCTATTTCCAATCATATCGTGTTTCGGTGTTGGGGTATAACTCCCATGGATCTGCCTCAATGTCCTCTGATGGGGTGACAATCATGGCATCCTTCACAATTTGCTTTGCACTAGCAGCAGCACCTGACATGCCTGATACTGCATAAGTGGTATTTCATCCGAGTGGTCGATTTGCCGAATAGTCAATTCTATAGTTTTTCTAATTTTAATTTTCCTAGTCTAATGACAAGAAACTTCTCATTGGCAAAAATTAGTCAATATGCGAATTAAGTGATTAAGCAAAATCACCACTTATAAATAGAGTATTATTCTTCACGTTTCATTCAGAGACGTATCCATCTTTGTAAACTGTGCTGATGGTGAACATAAAAATGCTAAAATTAGTGGTCTAAGAAGAAACTTCCGGTCTACAAATTTTGGATGATGAGCGTGCCCAAGGGTCGTTGCCAAACTTATGAAGGGGAGAGTAAATTGTTACAGTATAGAGAGATATGGAAACATAAACGCACTCAAATATCCAAATGGAAAATCTCAAAAGCAGGAAGATATGTTAACATTGAAAGTACTAACAGTTCTGAGAAAACAAACCCCAAATATCAATATCACATCACAACCAATAATCTAACGTATAAAGAATTAGTGTAAGACAAGAGGCGACGATTAATTTTCAATAATGTTTATCAACAATGACTGTACGTGCTTATTATCTCAGCTTATGTAACAATTGAAATGTTAGACATCGATAGATATTCTTTAATCTCTATGGTAATACAATACAAACGGGGTTCTATATACCAGAGGGGACTACTTCAAATCATGCAGTTCAGTTTTGCATGATTTTATGATAATCAAGACCATTATCATGGTCGCCATAGCAACCAACCAAAGAATCGCAAATGACGTTTCGTTAAATAATTATCTGGATAAATTGCTAGGTTCTAGCTAGGTTACTTAATTGTAATTTATAACCGTAAACCCATAGTAAACCTAGATACGCTACTATAGCGATCAAATGTGATAAAACGTAACACTTGATTACAATACCATTGTACAAGGGCTCAATACATTGATATACATTCAAAACATCATTTTTAATTACATCCATGGATCATATTTCTAATTTTCCGGCATTTCTAAAACACAGTTTCTACATGAAGTTAATTGTCTGATTGTTTTCTTATATGGAAGTTCCTCTCGCTTCGCCTTATTTCGCGTTTTCAATTACTCTGGTTGTATTTTATTCTGCAGAGGTTCGTGTTGTTCTCAATTAGTAACGCATAGTCACGGTGTATAACCCAAACGCTCCTACATGCACGACGGAGCGTTTCATTTATGCGGAAACGCTCCAGAGCGAAATAAAATGGCGGCTAATGAAGATTTCACTATGACCGTCAGTATTGTTTCTCTCGTTTCTCTTACATATCATATGTTATGGTGAAATATTATGTACCATTCGATGAACAATACCGTGAGCAAAGATCTTATTTATTCAACTTCTGGTGGTAAACTGTTATTTGCTTGATCAAAGCTCCGTAGTGTAGATCGAACGAATCTGAAGATGACGATTTGACCACAAATTACGAATTAAACTAGTATTTCTATGAAAACGTTAATCTTTCTGTTAAAGAAGTAGATCACAAACTCGTATATTCTCATTTCCTAAAATCCCAGTCCATATGCATTACTTGTTCTCAAGAAATCGCTTGTTTTCCTCGAAACGCTCCGTCGATTTAGAGCACAATTATAGAAACGCTCTTACCATTTTGTTTTGATATCATTTTCAGATTATTAGAGAAGAGTTCCGAATCGAATCTTTCTCTCAAAAACGTGTTGTACTTGTTAGGCAAATTGAAACATATGAACCTGGTGGTGCTAAACGTGCAACTAGCTGATTTAAGCCTACATTAGATGATGTCATGCCTACATGTGTGCTAAATCATAAAACTACAGAAAAAAAAGAAAATTTATATGTGAATTAATCTTTCTTCTTTTGATGCCAAGGGGTATAATAGATCTTTTCTTTCTCTTCCTGAAAAGGAAAGGCAAGCTATATATTTCCTAAACAGATCTAGACTACCGGAGCGTTTCCAGTTTACTGTGTTAACCAGATCGGAGCGTTTCTTGAATATGAGAATGTCATCATTTTTAAGACTGGATTTTCGGTCATCAAATCACTAATACGATAATGTATGGTGCGTTGAAGCATTGGAATTTGACTAAAATAAACGTTGGTGCTCTAATCTTGGCTCAACTAATCACATATATCGACAAAAGGGGTTTTGACCGGTAGAATGACAAATACGTTTTTGGATTTTGATAACTATACTGCTTCGTACAGCTCTTCCTAATTGCTTCAAACGTCAACAGCCAGCCAAGTACAACATGAATATCACACCCATCGAATGGTATACTCGAAATATGTAACTCATACCTCTTATTCCCATTATTGGGGAAATCGTCAGACGGCTCATTATTCCCGCCAGCCAGTTTTCCTACTTCGGAGCGTTTCTTTGTTTAATTTCAGTAATGAAACGCTCCGTCGTGCATGTAGGAGCGTTTGGGTTATACACCGTGATAGTGGTACGACATGGCGGATGCGAAATGCCATTAATGGTTAGTTTCATTATTAATGTAATTTTACTTTATCTAGTAATTTGGTTTCTAGTGTATTCTTGTGGTTAACAAGGTATTATACCACTCTAAGTCCAATTACAGTTGTATAACATGGGTCTATAACAACGATATAGAGTGGAGAGTGGTATATCGTCATCGTATACAACTCCTCCGTATACACTCCAGCGTATACCACTGTAGAAGTGCATTCTGGGAGATAATGAAAAAAAATCATGATTTCCTAGGATCAAGTGACGTCATAAATCAACATCACCATTATTGAGTTGGCTGTCAATGGGATATTTTTATGGTTTTTAATTGTTATGATTGTGTTCGAATCAACTGTAATTGAACTTAGAGTGGCATAATAAGATTATATAATGGTTCATTCTGTATATCGTGCATTTTATACTCTCGTGAGAATATAATATATTCACTCGTTCGCTACGCTCACTTGTGAATATATCATATACTCACTCGAGTATAAACACGATATACAGAAAGAACCATTATATAACCTCATATTATATGACACATACAAAAAAATGAAAAACCTTATCTTTCGAAGCGAAACAATAAAAATCAGATCCCCATTAGTATATGTACTGTACATTGTACATCATTGAGGTCTCCGTATGTGGAAATACCATTTCGGAAAGCTTCGGACTTTTTCGTTCAGTACTCATGTTTACCCCCGGTTATTGAATGTACCCTCGGACCAATTCTTCCAAAATGGAAAAATATCAAAGTCAATGCCTAAAAAGATGTTGATGCGTTATTTAGTATATCCACTTGATGGATTTGCAAAAGAAAGAAAATTAGTTTGATCATCGAATGAACATCTAAATATAACTAGTGACAATTGTATTCTATATCAGTTCAATAACGTAATATGTTAATAAGTGTTAAAAACAAAGCAGAATGTTGAGATTTACAATAATAAGTGTTAAAAACAAAACAAGGTAAAAAGTAAATCTCAACATTTTGTTCAGTTCAATAAAATAGAGAACTATGAAGAGCAGAAAGAAAACGGGCAAGTTGAGGTTAAAAATGACACGATGGCCTCTTACAGTATTAATCTGCCTATTTTGTCTACTTTAAACCACTTTGGCTTATATTGTAGTATTACCCAATGTTATCAAAGTGTGATATCGTCCCATTATTTCCACATTGTTACAATTGCATTTTCGCTAATATTGAGAAATCAGAGGTTGAAGTTTAGGTCTTCATAACTTTTGAGTAGTTATTTTTAAAAACTTATTTTTTTGTATAGGTAATCATGTGTATGTGTAGGCTTTGCAAAGCAAAAATCACTGATTAACAATAAATAAAACACATCTTTTTTATGGTTTCTTGTTTTTGAAATATCAAAATAACCCTGAAAACTGAATTTTTATTCACTTCCATTTTGTTATTGTCGCGTATACCATTATTCTGCCCATCTAATTATGAAGAATATGACTCTTGTTCCATTTTGACTGATAAGGTACTGGATGAGCTTGGTCCATGTTTTTGCTTACAGTATAGCATTTTTCTAATTATGTTAATTATGTGAAATATATCATTTCCCATTGATTTTGAAAATAATAGGGTCTAGTTTTTCAGCATCTGCGAATTATTGCCATTTATACACCTCAGGCTACTTTTATGAGGGGTACTATGATAATCATCAATAAGTTCTGTTATATACCTTCAATCACATTCATATTTCTAGGGATTATGTATCTCGTATATATAATTAGTTGCTACAACAAGTTTGATCATGATTGGTCAAGTGGTTGCCATAACAACACAACTAAAGTGCGAAAAATTGTAAATATTTTGGATAAATCCATCAGATCTTTAAAAGGTACATGGCAAAGGTAAAAAGCCTATAACAGGGTCAGTAATTGATTAAGTTCACTGAATGATCTTTTTTTGCTACAAATAATGTCAAATCTGCTTTCTTTTGTTTGTACTACATGTATGGTGTCATGATTTATGATCTCCTTTGTTAATTACCTACAAAATATACTCGTAAGTTATTGTCCCATTATTTCCACATTGTTATAACTATAAGTCACATGATCAAAATTATGTATCTGATTGGCTCTGCTGCCTACCCAAACATATATGACAAGGTGGGCCTAAATTTTTTTTCCTCATTTTGCACTTATACCAATGTGGCACTGGATATCTCCAAAAGGAGATGAAATCCATTGAAATGGACCTCAGAAATGAATTCCTCATGAAAAATTGAGAAAGATAGCATCCTTATCTGAAAATCTGTAAAAAGTGAGTTATAACAATGTGGAAATAATGGGACGATATGTAAAACTTTTTTTTAAATTTCAAAAAGTGGTTTTTGAAGGACTTTTCGTTCAAAAATTCGTGAATTTATTTAAAACTAACTTATAGAGGTCACGCGTATCTTTTAATAAGCCGCAATTCATACCAATGCATAGCATTCATCGTCGCATGTTTTTTGCCGAAAAATAAGAAAATAGGCGCATACAAGTGAGAAATGAACTCATCAGTGCATGAAAATGGTTCCGAGAAAAATGCATTTCAAAATGTTAGTTCTCATAGTACAATGATATCTAAAACATAATATATTCTTCCTTTTGACCTAGTTAGACAATCAACATTTGTTTATTATTGAAATCTAGCATATTTAGAAAAGATTGACATAGGGAAAAAAAGATTTTGAAAAAAGTTTTTGCCACCTTGACTTCACTACTGTTGCAAAATATTTTTGATATACTAAAACATTGATTTGGCCCATTAGATATGGTATTTTATTATTGAAATAGTGTGTCCTTTGTTAAATCTTTGCATTGGTGTTAAAAGGATAATCTTTTTTGAAATGCATTAAGAAATATTTGATGATTAAAAATGTTCAACTTTTTTTGAAAAATGGCGGGAAATTTGAATATTTGAGAAATGAAATGTTAACAACCTTTTTGAAAAAAATTATTTTTTCAAAAATCTCTAAAATAACTTTTTAAGTCATGACAATAGTAAATGAATTATAAAAAATATTTTCAAACCTTAGACGGGGACTTTAACATAAACATTATTAGGGGATACATTATAGTACTTAGGGACATAGCAGTACATTTATTGAATACATGGTTTGAATTCTAATACGAATCCGACCATCCGCATATTGGTTCATAGTCCCTCTGTTGTTATGCAATGTCAATTTCTACGAGTTATTACATATTAAAAACCAGTTCTATGATATCATCTGACATTTGAGATATGAACTATATCATTGCATAATATTGATATCTGCTATATGAATTGCGTCTTATTAGTTTTTGTCGTTTGGGATTTGTTTTCCATACACTGACTGGTTTTTGACAGATACTATACGTTTCGTAAAATTATGTTCATTCCCCCTTTTCGCTTGTGCTAAGATAACCATAATAATTATGTAAAAGCAGTGAAGAAGCGTACCCTGGAGTCATGTAAGGCTCTGGGTCAAGTAATGATTAGGACCGTTTTACTACATTGGATAAACTGCTTTCATGGCCTTTCATAGGAATTTGAGAATTGAATTGAATACAGTTACTTCCATTCTGCTTAGTCAGTTGTATTCTGGTCGATCAATTTGATTGGATACACACGATCAAAAGCAAAAGAGCGTGTCAGATGAAATAAAGCAGATTCTTGAAAAGGTTGAACGACGAATTTAGTCAGTTAAGAAACAAGTAGGGACATGGAATGTAAATGAATGAAGAAATTTCCAAGGCGATTGTTTGTCGTGTGTTATAAGAAAATGGCCTTGGATTTCGTGTTATTATTTCATTCAGTTGGTAACCGCAGATAAGTGGATAAGACAAAGCTTTCTAATTAGACACGTTAATACGTAGTGCATACGTTAATGTATTAGCAACGCCATGGCGAGAGGAAAATGAGCATAGCCTCGATGTCATGGTTTCTCAATCACAGTTAGAGCTTTATTCCACCAAATATACCCATGAGTCCCTTCATTGAATTCAGCATCTCTGACTCCAAAGGTTGTCAAAATACAGAAGTTTGTTTGGAACCCGATTTGGAGGCTTATGAGCAACTGATTCCTTGTGAATCAAAATTTGCATTGATGGCGTTTGTAAATTATGGGCACACGAATTATACATTCCTCTGCCCCATGATGTATTATCTAAGTTGACCATTCAAATTAACCATCTAATTATTCAATCCAAGCAACCCTAGTCACTCACTGCATTTTGCGCCATCTTTTGACAGTCATCTTAATTCCTAAAAACGAAATCTCAAGTGCTTCTATGTTTGATGATATTTTTATATCGATATTCGATTTTAGCCGTCGAACAAAGTTTGAAATGTAGGAAATGGAACGGGGAACGGATTATCAATGCGTATTCCGTCTCAAAAGCTGAGCAGAAATGAATCGGTAAAACTCTGAGAAGTTATAGAGCGCTGAAAAGCCCTACTGTAAAATGAAACCACTGATATAACAATCTTAAACTCGGATATGTACTGAATCAATTAAAAGCAAAACAGGATACGTCCATGCCTGCGTTTGAGAACATTCCAACTTTGTGGAGACTTCTCATCAATTACCGCTTAATATGAAAACACCCTCTATCTCTAGTATCATTTATGTGAACACATATACGGTGCAAACAGCGTTCATATTAGACAGGTTTTACTGTTCGTTCTAGCTCAGTGTTATGGCACTAATCAGAATATCTTAACATATTGTTTTATTTCTTCAAACATATAGCTTACCTAAGCCTAGTGTTAATAAACCAAGTATATAAATCCATTTGAGATATTTCCTCATCCTAATAGTTTATAATTTTATGATGCCACTCGACAAGTGTACAGCCTTCTACAATATGTTAGGTTTTACAAGTCTATCTTCGATACATCTACATTGAGACGCCTTTCGATTCCAATATCGTCAAGCAGGCAAGAACGTAAGTCTGGTTAACGGTATATTGAATCCATCTCTAGAGACTGTCACTACACAGAGGTACGGTTTAAAGCGAGAATTGGACATAGAGAGAGAGCGGCAGTTATAAAATGCAAAAGACTAATTCGATTTTTTCCAATAGCTAGCTCTATATTTGTTCCTACATTTGTAGGCTGCGACCAAACTCCCCTTATTTATGTACTCTAGTGAAAGAGTTAGAGAAGCAAACTAAAGGCTTCAAGCGCAAGCTATGATAATGGAGACTGATATTTGTTAGAATTTCAGCTCTTTGGGACGTGGAATCTCTACAGAATGTCGTCATAATTTAAGATGTGCGCGATTGAAGAAGGAAATACAAGAGACATGGGCGTAGCGCCTGTTACGCAAAGTACACCCATGCGTACCAAATAAATTTGAATTTTTTTAAATGTGTTACAGTATGTCCTTTCAGTGTGGGGGGGGGGGGGGGTTGTGGCATAAGCAAGGCAAGATTTTTAAGATTTGTTTTGAATTTTGCAAAAATTGATGCAACTTCCTTCAGAATTGAGCTAGAAGCTTCAAATGAAAAGCATTTTATAACTCTTTTTTCTTCTACCCAATGGTTCTATTTTTATTGGTTATCGCAGACATACCCGAGTGGGCGTACCAAAATTGATGATATCTGCAGGCCTGCGTTCGGAGGATGGATTTTTGTCTGTAAAATATAAAGGTGGCTTCCAGAAACTACCTTCCCATTTGTGATGCATGACACCTTTAAAAGCTTACAGAAGTAATTACAAAATTACATATGATACGAATAGCCAGTCGCCACTAAGACTCAGAATAGGCTACTGCAATCATGGACCTCTATCTAATTATTTGTTTTTGTGTATGCTTTTTATGGAGTCCTGCATCAAGTCTTTAGAATCTCCCTCCATCCACCATTGACTTAAAGAAATGATCCCCTGTGTCCATGCCTCTACCTACTTCGCTTTGTTGAGGCATAGTGAGAGACGAAAGGCGTAGCCCTCAATAGGCCTACCCGATTCTCTCACATAACGGCCGGGATAACGGCCAACTTTGTTTTGGTCCATTGCTGGGTCCATTTTGGGGTTATTATTTCCGAAATTCTTCGGCCATTGGGTGCCATCTTGTCGAACAATTATATAGGCCTACTTGGACCTCATTCACCGCTAATAATTTTTGCAGAACTTCGTACATGTTGTTCACGGTTAAAAATAAAATTACCAGTAAAAGAAATTATAGTTTCAAGAAAGCCTTCTTCTTTCTTTGAAAGCCGTACTAGGATTAGCAGATTTTCATTTGTATGAATGTTTATGACAATAATCTGTAAAAAGGCTAATAAGCCCATTTATAATTTAACAGTGATAGAATTTGAATAGAATATATTTTAAAAACTTAACAACTAATTTTTTTGTAAATAAAAGAAATATATATATTTACTTTCGTATCACTCAGTTTTTTAAAAGTAATTTCTTTAACTATTCCTTGCTTAATTTGTGTCAAGATACAATTATTCAAAAGTCCCGCTTTATACATTTCATGATAATGGCGTTACTGAATTGAAGATTGTGGATTCAGTTTCATTTTCAACTTTCAAATTAAAAACTTCAGATCTATATGACAACAGTATTATGAATTCGTCATTGTGTAAACATCTACAAATACCGAAATTCAGTTTACTGTAGTTTTGTTGGCAGATAAACAACGACATTGCGTGATTGATAAACTCTGACTGGATGATTGAGCAAATGTCGTATCTCTTCGGTTATTTCCGTACATTTCCGGTGTAAACAAAATGGCGCGGATTCTACGAGCTCCGAAGAAAGAGAAAGGCATTTAAAGTGCCAAAATACGTGCAATATAAGTCAATTCTCTAGAAAAATGTACTTTAATTAGACGTGTTTTAGTAAGGACTAAACGACAAACAATCTCGCAAGATGTGTGACGTGTGCTGTGATCTTCTAGCTCTACTTCAAGCCCGTAAGTTTTGCCGGCACATTTTTTTCATTTTTTCTTTGCAAGATTTTTGAGTATATCTTTATCATACTCCCTATGATCTGGTTCTTCTTCGTTCGAGTCCTTTATTATTTATTCCAACTATATCTGATCCTAATAATTGCTTTGTTATTGTAGACAAGTTATGTTATGTCTTCCAATAATTTTCCCAGATTCTGTAAAGTCACTGTTGTCTGTTAGTGTCATGGTGTTGCATCTTTAATGCATTTGACTGCATTTCTGTGACGTGGGTCAGTGTTTGATGTTCGCAGTCTCTTGCATCATCTTGGACAAACGCTACACTTTCCCATGGACTTTCAAGTGAAGGTCCATGATATCCTCAGTTCTATCCTTTCGTTTGTTTGTTTGTATCCTTTTATGCGCTATAATGCCGCTAAATGGTCTCGTGTTGCTTGTTTTACACCTGTGCTTACACTTGTGCTTCTCTCTTGTGCTTTTATTTTCATCAAGTTTAAAATCACTTATACTATTATATACAGTTTTATAATGTGCTCATTAGAATCTCCTGGTTTGCCTTATGTAACTACAAAAGGCATTATATAAATTCCTGTTAGACGATTCCGACAGGTTCGTGTTTAGTCCGCACAGGGTGCGTAGATCAAGGGGAGGGTTTGTGTTTTCCCCGAGGAGTATCCTATCTACTTTTGAGTAGAGCTCTAGTCTTTCAGTTTCGAAGAGTTTACAAGAACTTATGTAGTGGTCTACAGTTTCTGGTTTATTACATAGCTCACAGAGGTTTGTTGTACTAGGGTTTATTTTGGCTTGGTGGCTATTGAGTTGGGTATGACCGCTTATGAGTTGGTTGATGATGCAGGAAATTCTGCGGTTGGGAGATACAGTTTTGGTTTTAGAGCCAACCTTTGTTATTACCTGTGAAATGGCCCGAACTTTTTTAGAGTTAGAATACTGTCTTTGCCATTTGTTTTTGATTGATTGGTGTATTATATTGTAAGCTTCGCTTTTGGTAATACTAATGGAATTAAGCTCAAGCTGTTCTGCCAAACATGCTGCACTTTTTGCATACTTATCAGCTATTTCATTGCCATTGATGTTAACATGACCTGGTACCCAGTGACATTTGATATACTTATTTTGATTTTTGATATCAATACACAATTGTCTTATTTTCTTAATTACATCTACATGAGCTTCTGGATGTGCGGAAATGAAAGCTGAGGTAATTGCCGGTTGGCAGTCACAAAATAGCCAGATATTTTGGCCAGTGCTGGCTGCTTGTAAAAATTCCAACCCAAGTAGTAGAGCATAAACTTCTGCTAAAAAGTTTTTACCCTTTGCTGAAACCGGTTTGTTCAGACAAATTGGGTCTGTTAATAGTCCTTCCAGGTATATTATGGCTGCTGAGCCCTGGGTTGCCTAATGCCAATCCGTCTGTTAATACCACTGTATCCTTCTTTGGAATGTTTTTGAGGATTTGTTGGACTCTAGTAGTTTGAATGTTCTTAGAGCTTGTGAAGTCTTCTAAGTCAAAGGCTATGCCTAGGGGTGCAAATGGACACCATTCACTGCCTGTGTGTGCTTTTTCTATAGGCACTTGAAGCAGTTTTTTGCCAAATTCCCTAGTCCTTGATTGTAGGATGTTGAAATTAGTTACATGTTTCTCTTCTTTCCTGTTTAGTTTCCAGTGATTAAATTCTGAAAGTATAGGCTCGGATTCCTTTTTTGTGAGGATCGTAATATGTTCTTGAGCTTTCAGTAGCGCTGTTCACTGTAATTGTGCCTAAAATGGCCTAAAAATATTTTCCATGCATTTGGACCTTGTCAAGCATTACATGTTCCTGTTCCACACTGCCCAGAGAGACATTGTCATAACCAATTTTTCAAGAATGTGTCTATAGTAAAATCGTAATATTTGTGTTTCAGATGATGAGCGTGTTGATAGAGGTGAAGGTCATGAATTGTCCAAGGAAGAAGCCATGGTGGTGATAACATACACTAATATATGGTCTCAAAGGTAAGTTGATCTTTTTTTACCAGCTATCTCCATTACTTTGAACATGGGCTTTCAAATAGAGGGTTACACTGCAACCACGACTTAGTCAAGGTTTTAAAATTTAACTGGGGAGTTTGGATTTTGTACAATAGATTCTAACAACCAGTTGAGAAAAAATCTGTTGAGACTGAAGAACCGCACACAATAAATGGTGTACAAGGTTGAAGAGTTCAATACTAGATTTGATATTTGTCAATTCTCCCTTTCGCGGTTCGCTCTTTGAATCAGAACGTTTGCAAATATGTACGGAAAAAAGCACTCAAAAGGACAAAATTTGATTGGTCAATATTTTCCCACTATGCATTTCGCGTAGCTGTTTGCGTGACCCGAAAGTTCTAAATCAAACTAATTACGTGATTTACACCCACACGTTAAATAAAACAATGACACCATCGGAAGTATTCTTCTTTGTCATTGCTTTAATAGTCAGTATACCGAGTTTAATCAATAAAAGATTGTACAATGAACAACAAAATTCGGAAACGAGTATATTGCTTTCGGACCACCGAACAGATTGATCTAGATAATAGCGACGCGTCTTCTTTGGTCTACTGCTCAGTTGTTTGTGTGTTTTCAACATAACTCTATAATGTAATTTGAAGATGATGCTTTTATTCAGTTGTTGCATCAATGTTTCGGTTTGTAGTGCGGTAAAACCGTAAGATTGGCATGAAAGTATTGAAAGTCGAATGGAATTGTTTTTTCCAATATAGCGACCAGTCAACTGACAGTGTGTCGGATAAGCGGTCGCCATTCGCCAAATGCCATCAGAAAATACATCTGGCGAACAGTTTTTATGGAGCACTTGCCATATTGGCGATCTGGGATCAAATCAGACTCGAAAACCCGGAGATAATTGCATATTTCTGCCAAGGAACTCACTGAGATCGAAAATCCAGAACATCCGGATATTCTCTCTTGATCGATCCCGAAACATTTTCTATCGTGGATTCTGATCGGCCGTGCTCTGGATTTCTTTATTCGAGAGTTCTGATTGGTCGAAGAGATCAGATGCGCATACAAACTGCGCAGAAGCTATCGCCGAAAAAAACTTTTTAACTCGGACATTTCCTTCTTCATTCATCGAAATATTGGTTTACTATAATGTGGATCGCATCAAACGATAAATATTTATCGTGATGATGCATTGAATTACAAAATGCGCCACTTATTCTGCATCTTAGTGTAAGTTATGATGAAGTACTCTATTATCGCCCACTGACTTCTTTCGAAAATTATTTTTTCTGTGTATTCGGTAATTATACTTGGTTATTCCTTGATATTTCATGAACTTTGTGAAGCGGGGTGAATGGTTATAAGGGGGTCGGCGCTAAAAACGGTGATTACTGTTAATAAGCCACGTGCATTTTTTTGTTCTTCATTAATTTTTCTGTGTACATCTATATGTAGGGCCTAAAACTTGACTTTTATGAAGAATATCATGCTCAGTTTGCACGTGAAGGGTTCTAAATTATATCAATTATTTTTCATATCTAGGTGCATTCATGCACCCTCTGGGTCTCTGAGGATCGTGTGCAAGTCCTTACGACAATCCAACGCATTAGAGAAAAATAGCTGTTATATTAAGATTAATAAGAGATCAATCGTTTCTAATAATTTTTTCTGTACTCTCGTACAGGAATATGAATGAATATATCGTTTGAAAAATAGGTGTGAAAATCCCCATGTTAAACCTATGAGGGAAGACAAGGAAGTACAAATTTGTTCCTCTGTGAACTGCATCATTGGAAATATTTTTTACTTTTGAAGAGGGAACAACGAACTGGGAATTATTTATGTCTGGAGTCTAATGCTTGATTTCTGCAATATTTTTACATTGATGGAATATGAAAGTAATTTTGTTCAACAATCTTCGAGACCCAAGTTTTTCATGCATTGCATTTTTGTTTCAATTTCTTAAATGTAGGCTATAATATATTTTAAAAGTATTTATTATTGATGTTCTGTTTCAGACAATGCTTGTGCTGCTTCAAAGACTTCAAAAACTTTGAGAAGTTCAACAACATTGTCCAAGTGCTACTAAACCTTGCTATATGCTTCATACGGACTTTACCCCAGGACTGTCATAAACAATTAGAAAAAGAGAAACTGCAAGAGGAAAATTCAAAAAATTCTGATGCAACAAAAACAGAAGATATAAAACCAAGTGATAATAAGGCACCCAAGGATATTGATGATGAGAAAATATCAGTTGATGTGGTTAACGATAGTGATGATGAAAATATGGATGAGTCTGAGAAAACGGAGATTGAAGAATGGAGCATTGATGATAAGGATAAACTAATGCAGTTTGTAGCAAAGGTGTTTCTCATGAATTTCCCATTGTATATGGCTTACAAACATGGCATTGGAAATTCTTTAGAGGTAAGTTTAGAGACTTATATGTAAGTGTTCTAGTGATGGGACTCATGAAAAAAATCCTATTCGGGTTGGAAGGCCTAATCATTTGATTCATATTCATTTGAAACAGAAACCAAAAGTGAAAGTAAAACCAATTCACATTTCCCAGCAAATTATAATGACTTGCAGTAATAGAATACATACCATGCAAGTTATTCAACAATGTTGGATCATTAATTTGCTGCATAAATCGATTTGTAAAAATAACTGTCACTGATTTCTATAGTTTAACAAAATATAATATAATGACTAAGCATAGGAGTGGATCATTTTGTGAATGAGTAAAGATATCCAAGCCACATGTTTTACTATAAAAGAAAAATAACATGGGTGGTGTTTTTATGTAGTGACTATATTTCTGTTACTCTACTTCCAGGAGTTGCCCCAACAGGAGGCCACAGCCCTACAGAGCTATTGTGAAGTCACAGTAAGTGGGGAAGAGAAGAGGATGGTGGCATTCAATTATAACAATTAATAATTCAGTTATTCATTTATTATGTCACCTTCAAAAAGTGGTGACATATTGTTATGGTCTCCTTTTTTGTGACGGCGGTTGGTGATCGGCGTGCGGTGGTTGAAGTCTGTAACTTAAATTCTAAAAACTTCCAATAACTTAACAAATACTATTTAGACTGACTTCAGTTTTTTTCAAAATCATCTACAAGTTTTCAGAAGTTCAAATCTTACTTTATATTTAAGATTTGACCTTCAGTGACATTTTCAACGTCAAAAAGGTCTTTTTTCAACTTGCTTCAAATTTTTTCTCAAAACCATCTGCTAGTTATCAGAAGTTCAAATCTGGCTTAAGGTTTAAGATTTTACCTTCATTGACCTTCTCCATTTCTAAAAAGGTCAAAAAAGGTATTTTTTCAACTTGCTTCAAATTGACCAATATTTTTTCAAAATCATCTAGAAGTTTTTAAAACTTCAAATCCGACTATGGATTTGACCCTCAATGACATTCTCAAGGTAAAAAAAATTCATCTACAAGTTCTTAGAAGTTCTAATCTGATTTGAGATTTGAGATTTCACCTTCAGTGACCTTCTTGGGGTCAAAAAATAAAATTTCAACTTGCTTCAAATTGAACAATTTATTTTTTGAAAATCATGTACAAGTTCTCAGAAATCCAAAGCTGACTTAGATTGAACTCATAATATTGTGCGCACTTGGTGGTGACATTTTGTCATGTTAATGCTTTGTATTGTAACACTGTAATAATGTGCAGGGAATGGGAGGATGAGTCAATACAAAATGACTGTAGTATTACCTTTTAATATGAATAAATTGTTTATTGTGTCTGTTTAATAACCTTGAACTAATTAAAAAAATATATCCAAGTGTAACAAATTATTCCAAAATTATTCTTGGATTTTGAGCCAATAGCATGATTCTGTATGTTTCATAATGGAGCCAATATAAATAAATCATTGTATTGTTGTATGGATCTTCTGTAGTCAATATCCTGTTTTCTTTGCTACTATAGGATCCAGAGATTCCTGTGTTCTTGCTGCGGAATGTCTGCTTCTTCTGTGATCGCAATGGTGTGCATCTAGCCATGGGGCAGTGTTTTGACAAGGCAACCCCTGACACACTGCCATATACTCTTGCCCACACTCTCATCACAATTATAGCTAATGTAAGTACCATATTTCTTAAATAAGAGCCAATGTAATGACTCATTGTTTTTATTAATATCTCATGTTCCAATTAGCACCCTTTTAACTTCAGTTATCTGACAACCACTTTCTATGGTTTGAATCACATAACTATGATTATATTAGTAATATTAATTAGTAAACTCAGGGCACAGAGTTATATTGTAAAATGACTTAATTTAAATTGATATGATGTTTTGAAAGGGTGGACTGTGTGCTTGAATAATAAAGTAGATCATTCGAAATGATGCAATGATTTAAACTAGAAGATATAAATACTCAACTTCATATATAAATGAGATTTCCTTTTATTTCAGCTTCGTTTGTGGATGAACATCCCAACTGTAATGCAGTACATTGTTCCACTAAGGTCACATGTTATCAGGTATATACATTTTATCTCTTTAAGTCTATTTTCATGCGAGCCTCTAGAAATGCCCATTCGTCCATCTGTCTAGTCTTCTGTTCATTGGTCCAACCATTTTCACATAAGTTAAAACTTTCATTTATATGGGCCAATACACCTATGCTTCATTTTAGTAGTCAATGTTGGTAGTTTACTCCGTGTGAGCTCACCAAATGGTGCTTTCTTGGACACCCTATCACCAAATGGTGCTTTCTTTAGCACCTATCACTAAATGGTGTTTTCTTTGGCACCTATCACCAAATGGTGCTTTCTTTGGCACCTATCACCAAATGGTGCTTTCTTTGGCACCTATCACCAAATAGTGCTTTCTTTGGCACCTATCACCAAATGGTGCTTTCTTTGGCACCTATCACCAAATGATACTTTCTTTGGCACCCTATCACCAAATGGTGCTTTCTTTGGCTCCCTATCACCAATTGTTGCTTTCCTTGGCACCTATCACCAAATGGTGCTTTCTTCGGCACCCTATTACCAAATGGTGCTTCCTTTGGCACCATATCACCAATTAGTGCTTTCCTTGGCACCTATCACCAAATGGTGCTTTCCTTGGCACCCTATCACCAATTGGTGCTTTCCTTGGCACCTATCACCAATTGGTGCTTTCTTTGGCACTCTATCACCAAATGGTGCTTTCTTTGGCTCCCTGATCACCAATTGGTGCTTTCCTTGGCACCTATCACCATATGGTGCTTTCTTTGGCACCTATCACCAAATGGTGCTTTCTTTGGCACCTTTCACCAAATGGTGCTTTCTTTGGCACCTATCACCAAATGGTGCTTTCTTTGGCACCTATCACCAAATGGTACTTTCTTTGGCAACCTATCACCAAATGGTGCTTTCTTTGGCTCCCTATCACCAATTGGTGTTTTCCTTGGCACCTATCACCAAATGGTTCTTTCTTCGGCACCCTATTACCAAATGGTACTTTCTTTGGCACCCTATCACCAATTGGTGCTTTCTTTGGCACCTATCACCAAATGGTGCTTTCTTCGGCACCCTATCACCAATTGGTGCTTTCCTTGGCACCTATCACCAATTGGTGCTTTCTTTGGCACCTATCACCCAATGGTGATTCATCAGTACCATCTGCAATATCAAACTGGTCACAATTACCTAAAAGATTACGTAATATGAAAACTTTTCAATCCTTTAAAAAACACCAAAAGATCTTGTTTAGAAATCAAGAAAGTTTTATTAGCACTTCCAAACTCAATCTGAAAAGATCTCATGAAATTCTAATTAACAGATTTAGAGCCGATCTTCTTTTAAAAGCCCAACTTTATGCACATAATTTTCACATTTATTGATAATCCAAATTGTAATTGTGGAGCTCCTCACAGAAAAACACATTTTCCTTCAATGTCCTCTCATCAAACAAAGTATAACCAAATTAAAAACTGATATTATGGATACAACTGGTTCTTCAGACGAACACTCAACTCAGAATGATCTGCTTAATTTAATGAAACATGGTTCTGAAAATTTTTCCCTTGATTTAAATTCAAAACTCCAAACCCTTATTGCTGAATTCATTGAAACAAACCTATGAGCTCTTTCCCCTCCTTAACAGTACTTTAAATAATTTTGTCCACAGAGATATGTCCACCCCATGGTCAACCTCAAGTGCAGTGTTAACCCCTTGACCTTATTCATATTGTATTTGTATGATCTTACTGTACCCTTCTATAATGCCATTGGACAATTGAAGGGATGTATAATGTAATATCTTGTAATGAAATAAATTTATCTTAATAAAAAAAATCACCAAATGGTGCTTTCTTTGGCACCCTATCACCAGTTGGTGCTTTCCTTGGCACCTATCAGCAAATGGTGCTTTCTTTGGCACCCTATCACCAAATGGTGCTTTCTTTGGCACCCTATCACCAATTGGTGCTTTCCTTGGCACCTATCACCAAATGGTGCTTTCTTTGGCACCCTATCACCAAATGGTGCTTTCTTTGGCACCCTATCACCAATTGGTGCTTTCCTTGGCACCTATCACCAAATGGTGCTTTCTTTGGCACCCTATCACCAATTGGTGCTTTCCTTGGCACCTATCACCAAATGGTGCTCGTTTACATGTTATGGATGTCAAATAGAGACATAAAGACAAGTCTACACTGTCAAAAGTTTTGTTAATAGATTTATATTATGGAATGATTTGTAAGAAAATCAACATAAATCAGTTGAAATGTTTACATATGAAAATTATTTTAATTCAATTATTTTTTTGTAGGTATATGTGTAAACTGTCAGACAGGGACTTGAGAATGGCTGGGACTCGCAATATGACAGATTTGATGTGGGCCGCTGTAAAGGAGCCAGTTGAAACCACACTTGCGTATGACAGAGAAGGCTTGGATCTTGCCTTCAAATATTTCACATGCTCAACATTAACTATACGACTGGCTGGTTTAGCGCAGATAAATGTAAGGAACAAAGTTAACACGATCTACTTGTAGAAAAGCATTCAATTCTGATGAATTCTTCACACATCTTTTGAGAATTTTGTGATTTTTATTTGAGTGGACCATCAGTGAATTTTCATTTTAACATTTTGAGTAAAACTGTTTATTCCATAATAACATGTTTTCCCTGGGAAAATAACAGGGAATAAAAGTGTTATTTGAAAAATCCCGTATCAGATCCCGTATCAGCCAAAATCCCGTATCAGATCCCGTATTGGATCCCGTATCAGCAAAAATCCCGTATCAGATCCCGTATCAGAAATATTCCCGGTAATTTCTCTTGAGTTTTACGCTTTTCGTCTAGCACATCTCTACAGGAAGTAAAAAAATCGTTTGGAAAATTGAAATTATGGAAATTATTATCATCTAGTTTACGTCTATTACTGTGACAAAGGTCTATTACTGTGACAAATATGTCTAAGTATGCAACAGAGGATGTTGAAAAATATTATGAAATAAATAGGTTATTGATGGTCGTGATGGAATATGGAATTATTCCTTGAGAAAATATGATATTGGCCTCAGAAAATAACATATTGACACTCGGGCTATCGCCCTCGGTCAATATGATATTTTCCTTGGCCAATATCATATTTTCCCTCGGAATAAAATCCATATTCCATCCCTCCCATTAAATAACCTCTATTTATACTGTAGTATAAGAAATTCTGTTTGTGCATAAAAATGTGTTTTTGGTGAGCAGGCCAAGTGCCAATTACTAAACTCAATGACTTAGTGTTAGTATCTTAAGATTAAGGATTGATTCTTAGCACATCAACAGTTTTCAATAATGTTAAATTAAATTGATACATAACGTTAAGCAGTACAGTTTAAAAAAGACCAGTCTTCATCTTTTGACTTGAGCATATATGCATTATATGTCAGTACCTGTGAGTGAATATGGAATATTGACAACATACATGAGTATGAAATATTTCCTTTGTTTTTGCAGACCCAAATCAACATTTACAATGAATTTCTCAACAATGATAGTATGACAGAAGCTGAACAGTAAGTTAGTTTTTATGTAAATACAAGTTTTCATTGAAAATATAGCTTGTAGCCTGATTAAAGTTGTGCTTTAATAGTAGCACCACTCCCAAACTTGAAATACTTTTTCAGCCAGCCACTAAACAACCCTTGATATGAATAAATACTGTAATTATGGTATTTTCTGTAATAGTTATATTCATTATTCCAGTATTGGTGTTATTTTCTATAATAGTTATATTCATTATTCCAGTATTGGTGCCCAACTTGCCAACTGGCTTATAGAGAATAAGATAATTGAGCACATGTTTGGTCCCAATCTGCATGTAGAGGTGAGTAAACTTAAACAACAGTGTGGTCTTGATTGAAATGGGCACTATGGTCTCTTTGGCATTGTGGGAAATGGGCACTGTGGTCTCCTTGGCATTGTGGGAAATGGGCACTGTGGTCTCCTTGGCATTGTGGGAAATGGGCACTGTGGTCTCCTTGGCATTGTTGGAAATGGGCATTGCACTTACATGAGATTATGAAAATGGGTAAATACCCTGCCACAGTAAACCCACTTGGAAAAATGAAGTCATGTAAAATTGACATATTTTGACAGATTCTGTGTTTTTGTCAGAATTTTGTATTTTGAACTTGAGGAGATTCCCTTGGAAAACACAAACTTAAAGCATGCAACGTATGACCATATTTTGCCTATTTAATAGGCTAAGTCGTAGTTACACTACCACCTAATGATTTTAATTCACATTATATTTCAAAATCTCTTGTAAAATTGTAAAAAAAACTTTTTGCATTTTTACTCAGTTGGATCAGAAAGAGGTAAAACAACATCATTATCTCTTAAATATGTTTATTCAAGTAGCATTTGAAACTGTTTGGTTGTTGATACATGTATATAAAACATATTTACTTTCAGTTAATCAAACAAGCGCAGCCAATTCTAAACTTTCTAGCTATTGAACAGAAGATTACCAATGAACACATAGACTGTCTTTGGGCAGCAGGGCAGGTAAGGCTGAATATAGGCTGATTTCACATCGAGTTGGAATTATCAGCACTTTATTATCCCAACGAACGAAGTTCGGTAGGGATATAGTGAAGCCCTCCGTCCGTCCGTCCGTCTGTCTGTCCGTCCGTCTGTCCGTCCGTCCGTCAGTCAGTCAGTCAGTCCGTCCGTCTGTCCGGAAGATAACTGAAATACTCGTAGACGGATTTTCTTCATATTTAATGGAAAGATGTATATTGGTGAATAGTTTTACGCAAACAAAAATTTTTTCAAGATCGCCGCCGCTTTAAAAATGACGGGACTTTTTCACAAAAATTATAAATTTTTCATTCTGAACCAAAGTAATTAATATTATTGTTTGAAATTTTGGTAGTATATTCACAACATTTATCTATTTCACATATATTCTGTGTTTTTCATCCTGACCCCCAGGGGCCGTGTATGGGGGGAGAGGAAAACAGAAATTTTCGCTAATTTTTAGATCTTTCTAAAGTATAGCTTTATTATACTCAAATGAAAGGCAATTAAGAGTAGATTGCAAATATTGTATCTTTTTTCTGATTTGAGCCTCGTAGAATTCAAAATGGCCATCTAATGAACAATTTCGCAATAATTTTTTGATCCCTTCAAAGTATGGCTATATTATACTCAAATTGAAGGAATTTTGGAGTAGATCAGAATTATGGTATTATTTTTCAGATTTGTATCTCAGAAAATTCAAAATGGCTGCTTTGCAGGAATTCGCAATTCTAAAATCTCATTTTTTCAATTTTAACCAAAGTAATGAGTATAATTGATTGGAATTCGCTAATTGATATTTTGTTCGTTGGGATTTGCTACTCCGCGGAGTTGCCGTTATCTAGTTATGTTAATTTCAACAATGATTGTATAGCACTGAACTAACAATAATGCTGCACCCTCAGGGCAAAGTTTCTCTCTCGGGATACAGTTTATGGGGGCCTGATACCTAGTAGGTATGGAACACCACCTACTGGCACAAGTGCCCCCTATATTAAGATGCTCTCTGATGACGGCAGTGCATTTAGTTCACACTGTCGACAGATACGGGGCAGACAAATATTAAATACATGTAGCTTGATTATTTCTATTATCACACTTTGAAATGAGAAGAAGGGTATAACTAGAGTGATATTTACGTGAACTATTGATATTATGGATTGACCCAATTCATGTGAAGGTGAACCAGAATCATTACCACACATATCATCAACCATACAAGTGGATTGAGAAACCTGTATGTCCGAGCTACTTAAGATTAACCACCACATGTATGTTTTGTGTTCATAAGAATGAACCACCACTTACATATTTTATGTTTTATTCCAGCTAAAACACTGCAGTAAACAAGTCCATGATGTTATGATTCCTCTGATTAAGAGCCTGGAGGTTCAACCTGTACAGCATCTTCTAGAGCTGGTCTCCTCACTAGAGCCAATAGCCCATACTGAACAGACACTGTTCCTGGCCTCTGCACTCACAAAGTTCCTGTGGAACATGATGACCCAGTCAGGGAGTCATGTCACAGCTGTGCCTCACCATTGTCATAATCACTCATTTACTGCTTTAGATAAAGACCATGAAGACATTACTAAAGGTATTTGGCCCTGCTTTTCACTAAATGTATTTAATTTATCTAGCTATATCATTAAAGCATTATGCTATATCGGTTCAATTTTGCTGCATCATTTGAATCAGATTTTACAAAAATGGAAAAAATATTACAAAATGTTGTGAAACTATGTTGTAAAAGTCAGACAGGTAAAGTGCCTATTTTTGTTTTAAGAGTGAAAACGTCTGATTCCATTGTTTAAATCTTCCAGTTTACAACTATGTTATTCATCATCCAAATCCAAATCAAAAGTTCTTTCTTTTGGAATCCAAAGTTCAAGAAGAATCAAATTAATTTTATATATTTTTACTTTAGTTGGATTAGCTGATCTTAAGAGGCACAATGTCAGCAGTAGCGGAGAGGCTTCCGGAAGTGAAGATGAGGCTCATAGGAGACCAAGGTCACGAAGAGGTCAAGGTCATTCAGAAGTAAGTCACATGATCATGTAAAGAATATAGCCAAAGTTATATTAAGGTCAAGGTCACATTTTAAATCAAGGTCACTCAGAAATAAGTCACATGGCCACATAGAGGTCAAGTCATTCTGGGATCAGTCATTTGAAATCAAGTCCCATAGAGGTCAAGTCATTTGAAATCAAGGCCCATAGAGGTCAATTCATTCTGGGGTCAGTCATTTGAAATCAAGGCCCATAGAGGTCAAGTCATTCTGGGATCAGTCATTTGAAATCAAGTCCCATAGAGGTCAAGTCATTCTGGGATCAGTCATTTGAAATCAAGGCCCATAGAGGTCAAATCATTCTGGGATCAGTCATTTGAAATCAAGTCCCATAGAGGTCAAGTCATTCTGGGATCAGTCATTTGAAATCAAGGCCCATAGAGGTCAAATCATTCTGGGATCAGTCATTTGAAATCAAGTCCCATAGAGGTCAAGTCATTTGAAATCAAGTCCCATAGAGGTCAAGTTATTCTGGGATCAGTCATTTGAAATCAAGTCCCATAGAGGTCAAGTCATTCTGGGATCAGTCATTTGAAATCAAGTCCCATAGAGGTCAAGTCATTCTGGGATCAGTCATTTGAAATCAAGGCCCATATAGGTCAAGTCATTCTTGGATCAGTCATTTGAAATTAAGTCCCATAGAGGTCAAGTCATTCTGGGATCAGTCATTTGAAATCAAGTCCCATAGAGGTCAAATCATTCTGGGATCAGTCATTTGAAATCAAGTCCCATAGAGGTCAAGTCATTCTGGGATCAGTCATTTGAAATCAAGTCCCATAGAGGTCAAGTCATTTGAAATCAAGTCCCATAGAGGTCAAGTTATTCTGGGATCAGTCATTTGAAATTAAGTCCCATAGAGGTCAAGTCATTCTGGGATCAGTCATTTGAAATCAAGGCCCATAGAGGTCGATGTTATTCAAAGCTAGCAACCTACAGAACTCCACTAAAATGTAGCATGAAACATGCTCATGAAACGATATAAAAATCAATGCCATCTATATTTGCTAGAATATTATTTGTTGAATTAATACATAACTTAAAAGACATTAGTAAACCTGTTACAATATTGTGAGTATGAGGATAACTGAATTCTCAGTTTCATTTTGAATGGAATTTCATTTTCATAATTTGTATTACAGAGAGAGATCTCAGAACACCATCAAAGACTATTACGACAGAAAATCCATCAAAAATCCAAGCAAAAACACCGGTGTCATGATTCGGATAATAGCAGTGTGATTGCTCATAGTGACCTGAGCAACATCAGCGATGACAGTTTGCCAACTGATATGTCTGAGAATGAGCACATGTGTGGAAGAGGGGTCAGGAAAGGAAGTGCTCATTTCATTGATGTTAACGACATTGAAGATGAGGAGGAAGATCAGGGAATGAGCACTGAGAGTGAAGGAGATGAAGAGGATGATGAAGAAGAGGAGGAGAGTGAATCATGTGAGGAGATCTCAATTGATGAAGAGGAACAGCAGATACTGTTGGAACAAGCCCAGCACAGACGTCACCAACAGATGCTGCATCGATTGAGAATGAAAGAGATGAGGCAGCAGGGACATGTGCATGTTCATGATGATGACGAAGATGAGGATGAAGAGGAAGACTCAGATGAGGAAGATTATGAGACAGATGAAGAGGAGGAAGTGATGAAGAGGATGATGCGACACCGACGTCAAATGGAGGAAGACAGTGAGGATAGCGAGGAGTTTGATGAGGAGGATTTATGCGAAGAGGAGCTTGATGTATACCAGCAGGAACTGCTCCTCCAGCAACATTGTCCCCCACTGAGGGTAGTTACCCATAATTCACCCAAGAATAAATCACCTATCAAATCCCCCCAAAAATCAACAATCAAAGCAACACCGCCTAAGTCTCCTGGGAAGGCTCTGTCTAAATCACCAGAAAAGAAATTTGAGAAGACTGACAAAACAAAACCCATTTCACCTAAAAAGACTGGTGACCAGATAAGAAAAATACAACAATCAAAAGTCAAGTCATCCGATTCCAAAAAATCTAGTCCAGTAAAAAGTCCTCAAAAATCTCCACTTAAATCCCCTAAGAAGACGACTCCTGTTAAATGTGATAAACCAAAACCTGACAATGTTAGTGCTCAAGAAAAACAAATGGAAAAAAGTGAACCAAAAATGAAACCACAAATTGATGAACAGAAGAAAGAGAATGATCATTCCAAAGCTGAAAAGTGCAAAGAGGTGGAACAAGTTGATATGAAAGGAGGGCAAGATGAAGGCAACATGGAAGTTGAAGTTACTGATCTGACAAACTTTCAACCTACAACTGAACAGGATTCAGAGAAATGGTATGTACACTCAGTCTAAAGTATTAACATTTTTATTACTTACATGTTGTAAAAACAAGTGCCGCATTCTTATAGCATTCTAAACAAACCCAGCAATATCAGAGCCGGGTGTGGCATAAGCATTTACAAAAGGGAATAACATTGCAACTTGTACATTATTCAGATGGTGCTAGTAAGTGGAATCTTTTTAAGGGAAATGAACATGTTGTATTATTATTTTTTTGCAATGTTTTTTAGGGGTTTCCTGATTGAGAAGTCTGAAGAAGAAGGCAGCAACTCATCACGAATGAGTGCCAAATCAGATAAAAATATGGCTGATTTTGAAGGTATGCAAATCAGTATTATGTTCTTTCAACAAATCAAGACTGAATATATCATATAAATACTGTTATGTACATCCAAAAACAAGGCTCAAATGCAAATACTTTTTGGTTGCATTTTAATGTGTCATATACTTCAAGTTAAGAAACCAAATGTGGATAACTGCCAATTCAAACACTTTTGGCTGTGTCCTAGGAGCATTTGGATAAACCTTTATATCACATTTCAATTGCTGTTCCATGTATTTTAGGAGAAAAGGGGTTGAGTGATGAAGAAATTGCTCACTTGACCAGCCATGCTGTCCCAACCTGTAGCACTCCAAGCAGACAGAGACAACCAGCGCATGCTATGGGCTCATATGATAACACATTCTAATTGCTGTTCCATGTATTTTAGGAGAAGAGGGGTTGAGTGATGAAGAAATTGCTCACTTGACCAGCCATGCTGTCCCAACCTGTAGCACTCCAAGCAGACAGAGACAACCAGCGCATGCTATGGGCTCATATGATAACACATTCTAATTGCTGTTCCATGTATTTTAGGAGAAAAGGGGTTGAGTGATGAAGAAATTGCTCACTTGACCAGCCATGCTGTCCCAACCTGTAGCACTCCAAGCAGACAGAGACAACCAGCGCATGCTATGGGCTCATATGATAACACATTCTAATTGCTGTTCCATGTATTTTAGGAGAAGAGGGGTTGAGTGATGAAGAAATTGCTCACTTGACCAGTCATGCTGTCCCAACCTGTAGCACTCCAAGCAGACAGAGACAACCAGCGCATGCTATGGGCTCATATGATAACACATTCTAATTGCTGTTCCATGTATTTTAGGAGAAGAGGGGTTGAGTGATGAAGAAATTGCTCACTTGACCAGCCATGCTGTCCCAACCTGTAGCACTCCAAGCAGACAGAGACAACCAGCACATGCTATGGGCTCAGACTTTCATAAACAATTAGTCCAAGGTAAAAATTGCAAATTGGGAAACCTCTCTAATCCGGAATATAAACAGGTTTTACACGCTTCTCCTAATAACGCCATTTTGAAATTAGATACTCGTTTGAATGTTAATATTAATTCACACATAGGAAAGCAAGGTGTGTCCGATTTTAGCCAATCCGAACACAGTATTTCATTTAACTGCAGTGTATTGTATCACCAATCACTGTATGGAAGGTCATTCCTTATGTGGTTGTCAAGTTGACAACTTGACTCTGCAGATTGAAATTGATACTTTGCCAACTTGACCTTTGCAAAAAGTTTCATTGCAAATATGTGCTTTTAGTGATTTCGTATCTTTTAAGTGACATGTTAGAAAATATTTTGTAATATGTGAAAACAATTTAAGCCCAAGACTCAATGCATTGTGGAATGACCATTCCTTTCATGCTTTGTTTCCTAAAATAAACACTTGATATCGATGCTCAGCGCACCTCGTGCAAAATTTGGAAAGCAACACCTTCAAGGAATGGTCATTCCACATTGCACCGAGTCTAGGGCTTAAATCCTTAACTAACGTAATTTGAGAAAAATACAGAAAAGTGTTCAGTACTTCTGGACCTCTCAACAATCAAAGTAATTAGACTATAAGAGTAGCAACCACTCATATTTGCATTTAACTCCATTAATAGAGAAAACAGGAATAACTGAAAATATTTGTAAAATATGATGGCTTTTTATATAGTTATTCTTCAGTGTTGTCATAAATATTTTCCCTGAAAATATAAAAGCTACTGTTAAATGGTAAAGCCATTGTCTCATACTTGTTTGAATTATTTCAGGCTCCAGGAAAGTGAATGAGTCTGAAAGCACAAGTAGCAACCCCAATAGCAGCCATATGTTGGAGGATGTATCTGATAGGGGGAATACATTACTATGGGACCTCATACAGGATGATACAGTGGTAGGTGATATTGTCAATTAATCAAAATTTTGTGTTGGTGGTGACAAATTGTCATAGTCAATGTTTTTGTGACCTACTGTCTGTTTTTGGCATCAAGCTTCATCGTTCGGCATCTGTATGTTTATAAGGATAAACAGTTTATAGAACATTGTTCAACATTCTTGAACATTATTGAACATCAAATCTCCTTTAAACTGTACTTGTAGCATTTACTGCCAGAAGGGCTCTCAATGGAAGCAGAGAAGATCCTATGTTCTCTGATTTGCTTCACCAATGACCATAGGATCAGGATGAGCTTCATTGAGGCATGTATTGACAATGTGGCCCATCACAGGTCTGTCCTCGTCTCTCTGAGGATGCTACCCAAGCTATTTGGATCCTTCCCAGTGTTCACAAGGGCAACTCTGGACACATATCAAGTCACAATGTAAGTCAAGTCAGAATGTGGGTCAAGTCACAGTTTAAATTTAAGCCTCATGTCAAATGTCATATTAAACGTTGGTCAAGTTATACTTAGGTCAAGTCAAAGTCACTTACTCCACCTCAGTTCATCAATTTGAAATAACATGAAACACAGTTGCATATCACTATATGACATTTGCACTCATTATGTCTGAATTTCTTTTTTCAGGTGGGCTGAAAAGGAACTGAACATGATGCAGTATTTCTTTAAAGATTTGGTTTATTACGTTGAGGTGCTACAGAACAGAGAGAGGTCTCACTACATCTACACACACAGGGATGAGATTCAAGTCCGTCTACATTTCCTCGCATACGTCTTCTCTGCAGTTGGATCACCTGATGCATTCCGTAAGTGTTGAATTCTTCATATGGTTTTAAAGGTGTTGTCGGGAAGAGTAGGTGATGCAAATTAAAATAGGAAAGGCAAATTTAGTTTATTAGGCAAATTTAAATTGGTGTGCCATTAAAGTCAAGTGGTAATTAAAATTACCATTGGAATATTCAGTTTCACTTTAAAAATGTATCAATAAATCAATTTCTGTAAATTTTCTTGAGACATTTTGCCTCACCTGCCTCATAATCTGCCTCACCATTCTTGTGGCATTTTCATGATTTCCTTGTTTCACAATGTAAGTTTGCCAATTGAATTCTTGTGTTTGTGCAAAAGGTCCCTTTGAAATAACAAAGATTGCGAATGAATCCCATGATGTCTAGATGGAGTAGGGTCAGTCATCCATCCATTCATTGTACTAATACAAATGACAAGTTCAGGCTGCATGAAGAATGACAAAATTATACTCTATTTTGTGTGAATGTTCTGCAAACAGAAGGTCAAATATCCAATTTAGATCACAAGAATGGATGGTTTGCTGTTGATGCCACAGTGATGCTAAAAATTGGATTTGTAGATGTTGGGTCATTTGTGTTATTTCCAATATTAATTCCAGTTTGGTTGTATTTATCCTTATCACTTGAAGTGTTTTTCTTATCACTTGAAGTGTTTTCCTTATCACTTGAAGTGTTTTCCTTATCACTTGGAATATTTTCTAACTGTTCAACCTTATCGCCAGCTGCAGTTGTACACATGTTTGGAAATGTTATACTTGATGATATAAGGAATGTCCAGAACAGCACCATCCCAATGAAGATTATTAAAATCTGTAAAGTGATCAAAAATATAAAGTGGGGCCTGTACTCGTCCAGGATGTGCATTCTGTTATCTACAAAATTGAAATAACAGCTTGTGACGTGAAGTCCAATAAGAACCATGCAAAACACAATAAGTAGCAATGTCTTACAGCAGTCGACTTTCACTGGCGTAAAACCCAACACCCCATCAACGAGGATTAGCACGCCACCTATAATTCCTGATACACCCAGTGATAAGAGGAATGTTCCTTGTATGCCTATGATGCTCAAGAGCAACACTATCATGATGCTTAAAAGTATGACAAGGGCGCCACCTATAGATTTCACCCATGCAGTAATTTTGGCTTTTTTATCGACGTGTATGTTCTCTCCCCAGAGATTTGTCATTTGAGGGGACATTTTGTTAATTTATTTCTTGTTATTTCCATCAATAAAAACAATGCAGTGTTGCGGAATTGCAAATGTCACTTCAAATATAAAATGTCTATCAAAATATTCACCTATTTTCCACTCAAACCAAATGTTTTTGTCAATCATTTCTACGCTTTGTGATTCGTTTATCAAAATATTTGTGGTTTGTTTATTCAATATTATTTTGCATATTTCCAAATGGCGTTGGGCCACAGTTACATATAGGTTGATTAGCACAAGTCATTGGATGACTTCCATAAGTGCATTATATATAAATGAGTTCTCCTATTTGATTTTAATTACAATTCTGCCTTTCATCAAATCTCCATTTTAATTGAAGCGATGCATCATTGATATTTATATGAAAACAGTATGTGTTACGTGTTATATACAGTATGTGTTTATTAATATCCTCCGTTTTTGACAATTCAAAATCTGTTTTACAACTATTTTTGATCACTTTTGACCAAAATGCTCTGATTTTCCATGTTAATCCATTGTGTCTATTGTAACACCAGCGTCTAGCCAATTCTCAACATAACCACTGGAGCTAACAATAAACCAAGACATAGAACTAGACTGTTATATCCTTATCTATTACAAACCCTACCTTATCTGACCATTTCCATTTTGATTTTAATATCTAGAAACCTATAAATGTTGATTGAGTAGAGCTTTTTAGTTTCCATTAAAGGGGCTCACTGGATTTTTTTTTTTTTTTTTTTTTTTTAATTAAAATTTATTCACATACAACTCAACATTTCAAAATACAATATTTTATAAAAAATATTTTTAAACACATTTTCTCAATCATCAATGTTTCTTACATATTTTTCATATTCAAACATTACAGATATATTTTTTCTTTCATTTGAAAACTTAAAGTCATGTATAGTTTTCTTTATTACAAGTGTCTTATATAGTATTTTTTTATCTAATATTCCTATTCCTAATTTCTCATTTTCATTCAAATCTACATCTTTCCAAATATTTTTTATAGCATTACAATGTATAAAAAAATGTTCAATATTATCAATTTCATTACATAGTTTACATAAATCAGATTGTTCTATGTTATATTTTTTTAATAAACCGCCATGTGGATATATACAATGGAAGATTTTCCATTGGATACTTAAAAGACCAGTGTCTGACGTGCATTTAAAAAGCTGATTCCAAATATCTGAACCAATACTTAAACCCTTAAATTGCACATCACACTGCCTTTCTTTGACAAGCTTATTCCTGGTTTTCTGTGATGTCAATTTTTGAATTTCTATACCTCGAAATACCAGTGTTTTGCTGGGCTTTGTATTACCATACATATGAATTCTCTCTTGATTTAAACAAGCTCTTAAAATGTTATATTGCATTACAGTTTCAGCATTTTTCCTATTAATTCAGCAATAACCTCATATGGTTTTAAATGTTCATTTACAACGACATCTGATATATAGATTAACCCCTTTTCTATCCACTTGTGAAAGTACAAGGGATGTCTGCTCAATACAATATTTCTGTTGTTCCATATTATAGATTCATCTGCATAATTACTTTTGTTAAGCCATGTACATAATAATTTTTTATAGAAAATACTTAAATGATCAATGCCTTTCAACTGATCAACACTTATATTGCTGTTGAAAACACTAAACTTTTTACCTACTTTTCCGTACATATACTCTGGTATAGCTCTCCAGTGGCCATTACCATTCTCTGTTAATCTTTTGATCCATTGAAACATATATGCAATTTGTAAGTCTTTACAGTTAATCATCTTCAAACCACCACAATCATAATCTTGTACTAAAATATCCCTTTTTACTTTATCGGGCACCTTTTTAAGGTCCTCTTCTTTAAATTTTCCTTTTGCCCATATAAACTTGAACATCATGGTATTTATTCTATTTAGCAATTTATCTGGCAAAATAAATGATTGCAATAAATATGAAAATTGAGATAGCAAAAGTGATTTAAGTGGATAACTGTGTTCAAATAACACACCAACATTTGAAATAATACAAGCCGTACATGCATGCATCTTTTATAAATTGCATATTGTATGCCACTTCCTTTATCCTGGTACTATATAGTATTTACAGAATAGAAGGATAGCATCAAAGTCTATTGATGGTGCACATATATGCCTCCCCTTAGGAATAAAGACCGAGATTTTATGATTTATAATATAGGACCAAAGATTTTATTGTGTTCATTGTTAAAGGCCCCATATAAAGTTTAAACCACTTTGGCTTATATTGTAGCCTATCCCAATGTTATCAAAGTATGATGATTGATTCCTTGAAGGACTTTTTGTTCGAAATATCGTTCATTTATTTAAATCTAGCTTTTAGAGGTCACACATATCTTTAAATAAGCAATAGTTAATACCAATGCAAAGCATTCATCCTCACTTGTTTTTTGTCAAAAAAATTAAGAAAATTGGTTTATAAATAGTCGAGAAATGAAATCATCAATGCATGAAAATAGTTCAGAGAAAATGCATTTCAAAATTTTAGTTCTCATAGAAACCAATAGTACAATAATATCTAAAACATAATATATTCTTCCTTTTAACCTGGTTAGACAAGCAACATTGGTTTATTTTTGAAGTTTAGCATATTTAGAAAAGATTGACATAGAAAAATATTTCAATTTTTTCTAAAAGTTTTTGCCACCTGAGTGAGTGATGATGTATATAAAATATTTTCGATGTGCTAAAACATTGAATTGGTACGTTAGATATGACATTTTATTATTGAAATAGTGTGTCCTTTGTTCAATCTTTGGATTGGTATTAAAAAGATAATCTTTCTTTAAGTGTATGGTAGAATTTTTTTTTGAAAAATGGTGGGAAATTTGAGTATTTGAGAAATGAAAAGCTTACAACTCATTTTTCAAAACATTTTTTTTAAAAATCTCTATAATAACTTTTAATAGTAAATGAATGATAAAAACATATTTCCAAATTTTCCATGCAATTGAGGACTTCGGCAATGGCCAGAGTAAACTTTGAGGTCATATATTTGCCATGAATCATATAAACAAGTCTTTGTTACGATTCTAATATGATAATAAACAGACAAGAGAAACAACTATTTGGAATTATCCGTTGATGTAACACCTGCTCGTCGGTCTATATTTCTTAAGTTTATTTTTACAATTCTGATATGAAACAATATAGCTTACAGAAGAAATATCTTTTACCGAAATATCAAGCATTTTTAGCTAATAAAAACTTATTAATGCTGCTATCATGGGATAAGCCATGGTATTACATGCCATATTACAGTTCTTTTATGTAAGCTTTTAGGGAACTATTTACTCTGGGGGATTAATCTGCCATCTGGAATAAATGCACCTATTGTCAAATATCATGATGGTCAGGTTTTAAAGTGGAAAAGAGTGGAATTAGCAAGGAATAAAGCAAACAGGCATGTAGTTAACACTCAAAATTATATAGAAATGCATGGAAATTGGGCAGATTAATCAAATTTTAAAGGGAAATGGAGTTAAAGAATCATGAATGGATTGGAATTCCATGCAAGGGGTTATATGAGATCAATATTACAGTGAAACTTATTTGCATCAAACAGTCATAGAGTTAAGTATCTAAGTTGTATTTAAAATGTAATATTTTATTCAAATTAGAAGTAGTACATTGCTTATTGTTCCATCTTAATCTTGCTCATCCCTCTTGGATTTTGAACAACAGGTAAATATTCCAGTTTTTTTTACCAAAATTGCCTCTTGTTTAATTGTATTTTCAGTATACAGTTTGTAACTTATATTGTATTCTGTCTGTGTATCTGATGCTTATATGAACACTTTTCATAAAACATCTTATGTTTCACACAAAATAGCTTAGATAGAACCATGAATATTTATTGAAAATGTGTTCACATTTCTTCAAAATCCAGAATATTGCGAATGCAGAAATGGAAATGTGAACACGTAATCTGAACTCCTTTATTTGGTCCCAATGACGTTAGCATTAGATAGGTTTGACTATTATTTATTGCAATCTTGGTATTGAAAATCCCATTGAAAAAATAAGTAAGTAAAAAATAACTGGAAAATTTACCTGTTAATGATTAATGGATTTAAATGCACTTCAGGGAATTATCGCTCGGTTTAATAATTTGTGGCCCCAAAGCAATCACATTGGAAATAATTTATGCACTTAATGGGATGCATTTACCAATGTGACATGGGTATTTTATAAGCATACTGTCTGTGAACTCCTGTAGCGCATTTTAACCCATTAATTTCTCTATATACTTAATTCATTTTTGTCACAACCCTTGCTAATGCATCATACATCTTACATAGAAAATGAGCCTGTTGTTTATGAATTCTATTCATCACCCCATTACTTGTGTTGCATATTAATTGAGTAATAAACAAATTCCATGCCTCTAAGCTGCTCAGAAATTTTGTTCTTAAAGTTATTATAGTCTGTGCAAATGGCTATTAATAGCTATTAATCTTCTTTCACGTCTAACGTGCTAGTGCATGCTTTTTATTGCACAAAATTCCAGGAAAACCGCTTACCTGTTCAACTTCAAATTTTAACAGATTCCAGTTGAATTGTGTTTTTCTGTTTTGCCAAATGTGAAAGGATTTGAGGATCTAACCATTGAGTGTGGGATAGTAGCCTTAATATTTGCTGTGCAGGGTTGTTTGCAACTGTGGATACATTTAAGCTCACTGGATAATTCAATATATCAATATGGTGTTTTAAGTATCTGTACATTGTGCAGCATATCTGAAAAATATGGAAGATTACATTCCATATGTCTTGGTTTTTACTGATCCATTTTCAATCACAATTCCTTCACAATTCATCAACACTAATATTTGTGACTGGTGTCCACTGTCGGCAATAGGTGTCAGCTCCAGTACTCTTTGTAATTGCAACCAGGTTGTTGTCTTAGTTCTCTGTGTAACGTTTATAGAGGGCACTGGAGAGAGCAGCTGAAACTGCGGCAGTTAGAAAACTGATGACGGGGATAAACACATATATTCCATCAGTTAAAATCGTGAATACAATGACAAGAATGAAACATATGACTGCGAGTGTAATAGACAAGCCCAGACATGTCTTTATTAGTCGCCCATTCTTGTATTTAATTGTCTTTATTCCAACTATGCCACTAAAGATAAAGATAACTGCTGGGAGGATTGTGACATATAGTTCCATCACTGCTGCGTAAATCGCGAAAGTCAATGCAAGTCCTAATATGGCAACACCTTCTAGGATTTGTATAATTGCCAACACTCTTACGGCTTGTTCGATGAAATGTTGTCTGACATCCTCTGGTGTTAATTCATGTGGTCGCCCTGTGCTTGAAGTTTCAATGTTTTTAGAAGATGTGGCTACCACAAGCTGTCTGTGAACATTGGACACATCAGGCTCCTCAGCGATCAGGTGTGTCGTGTTCGGTGAAAATGTTGTTTCTAAATCATTTGTACTGTTGCAGATTTCCATTTCTGTTTCGATATCCATCTTGGCGCTTGTTGCACCATTAATCAAATCTTTGGTTTTAAGATCGCATGTATCTGTTTTATCCGTGTCAATATCAATGAGTTTTGCGATAGCATCTTCTTTGTCTCTGGACAAGTCATTCATGCAAATATTTTCAGTCATTTTGTTACTTATAGGGACTGTTCCAATTTGCTTTTTTGCTTAAGCTTGTAGCTTTATTAGCTTACCATTGAACGGCATCTGAAATGAACATAAAGTGCAGATAATTCTTCCGTGAAGAGTTGATTGATGAAGGCTCTCTCTCTATAAAGCAATTAGAGTCTCATAATATGATGAGCATTTTATACTGTGGTTGACAAAGGCAGCCAGTTAGCTAGATTTAGTATCTTTCATTTTGGAATATTTTTAATATGAATATGTATTCATGTATGAATATGAAATTATAACATGGTAACAGTTGCAAAATTCCTCAAAATGACAGGTGATTTTGGCAAAAACTGACAGAGAAAAAGCCCGTTGCTATGGAAATATTATGATGAACTTGCCTTTTTACTGTACTTTACTTGTTCCTTGCTTTTCCTCTCTATTTCTCTCTATCCTTCCAATTTGTATGCGTTCAGTCATAAATATTCTGATCAGCATCCAGGTCTATAGTCTATAGCATCCAGGACTATTATTTTGCAGTACATCTTCCTTCTCTGAACTTATTATGTTCAGTGACTCAATACAACTTCATTTGCCTTGATGATATATTGCAGTATTGATGTTATAATATTTCATCAAATTGCAATTTGACATCAAATGGCAATTTGAAATATTCCAATGCTGAATGATGTGAAACATTGCTGTTTTAGTTAATTAATACTCAATATGTAAGTTGTAGAGAAAAACTGGAGTTGACACGGTAATGAAAAATTGAGCCAGGAGTCAACAAAAGAACAGCTCTCTTGATGTCTGGAGATTCTTTTAATGGAATAAAGAAAAATGGCCGAAATGACTTCTTAAGTGATTTATCAATTTTTAAAAACATATGGAAACATCTTATTGTTATTTAAGTAAATACTTCTTTGTCTCAATTTTCTATTTCCATCATTCAAATGTTATACTTTCCACTATGAACATTTAAATGAGTTGTAACTATTGCTGCTTGAAACAGTTTCTCAAAGTCACAATTATCGATGCTCCATTCAACACGATTGTTCGAAGCCCTTAGTGCGTCAAAAACGCAAGTCTATAACTATTTACTGCAGAAAACTGATGCAGCATTCCCAGTCCTATGGGTTGAGTGTAATCAAGCTGATTCTCTTCTTGAAATTGATGTGCTATCCTTCATTATGTATTTGATTAGTTATAAAATGAAAACCCAGTAGAGTATTAAAACGCAAAAACTGGCCCATATTAGAGATCTTACCTCTGTTTAATCTCAAAAGACACAATACAAAATGTATCTCATTTCACTAATTTGATTCACTTTGGCTATTCAGGCATCACTGCTTTTACATAAAATGTCCGTCTGCTCAAGCTTATTTATTAAATAACTCTTTAAATTTGAATGAAGTGTCCAATATTTTTATATTTCTATCTAACTATGAGTGTCAACTACATGCCTGTTTGCTTAATTCCTCACTAATTCACTCTTTTTGCACTATTTTCTAATTCAAAGGATGACCACTATTATGTCTTGTCTGTGGGTTTAGTCCCTACATGGATTTTCCTTTGACATAAGGCATAAATAACATGGCTTAATGTTCGGTCTCTTTGCCCTCTTGGGTCTTTAATTGACTTTAACAAAACAAAAGTGTCTCTGGAATCCTAATGCCTCATTACTTTATCACCCTTACAAAATGATGTAATCATATTTTCTTAGTTCTATCGATTTGTAGTGGTCTGGAAAAAACTGACTGCCTCTAATACATTTGAATTAACATTTTTTAAGGAACATACTTTTATTAGAATCTTCAAAGATTGGATTTATACAGGGTGGCTCAAAAGTGGTAGACTGTAAACCTACATTTTGGCCACCCGGTATATTAAAAAAGACATTTCAATTGTATTGTCATGTTACTGTGAACAGAGTTTACAGATTGAATCAGTAAACAAGATAGGAGGGAATTCTTTAAATTTCAAAAAATTCAAGAATGGAGGTAGTCCATTCATCTTTTGGAGGAAAAGTATAGAATAGATATAAGTATGATAAAGATGATGTCATGATTTGGAAGGAATCACAGGCAGGAGTTATAGATTCATAAATATTTAAACCAAAGTAGCATTCAAGAACCAAAGTAGCATTTTCAAACCAAATTAGCATTCTCAATCCAAATTAGCATTCTCAAAGTAACAGATAATGGCTCACATTTTCAATAGAGACTGTTTCTACTGCTGACTTTTAATTTCTCCTTTGAAGAAGAGTTTTCCAATTTCTAGCAGAGTTGTGAACTGTTCAGTTATAATTTGTATCCCATGGGGTAACTTGTAGCATTGCTGCACCTTATGGAATAACATCTACCTAATTACAACAGAGAACTTGCGCTTAATTTGTCCGTCTGCTCATGCTTTTTCTACTTGTTTTCTCTAAAATTTGGATGACGTCTCTGATATTCTTCCATTTCTGTTCAATTTAGAGTGTTCATTATATGCTTGTTTACTTTATTCCTTGCTAACTCCATTCCTTTCTATTCTACTTTGCATTTAAAAACATGACTGTCATTAAATATTTTGTCAGACTTACCTCCCATCTCATTTCAGCTTCTGTTTCCCTTTTAGCATTAACGAAATCATTAATCTTATATGAGAGAAAATATCTGTTGCCTAACAAAATTATTTTCTGATAGTGATCATATGTTTTGAATGCAAAATGGATAGATCCGCTCGGAAAGTATTATTAGATATTCAAGATAATTCTAAATTAAATTGAAATGTGAGGGAAATTTTGTTTGTCAAGGAATTTTGAGGAAAAGGGTCGAAATATTTAACAGATTGAAATTTAAGAAAAGGATAATGTTCATATCAGCCTAAAAACACTTTCTATTACCTTTTCAAAGTGTTTCTAAGAATTATTAAGAGTTACTTAAGGGAGAATAACTCCCATGATGTTCCTGGATTGTTTAGACATTGACATTTTGATGTTTCCTTTGTGTTCTATTATACATGTTGAGTGAGAATCAGACGATAGTCTCAGTTATTCTTCTTTTCAGTGTGTCATAAAGGTATTATTCCCCAAAATATGAGCAATCAGTTTCCTTAGGATTCAATACACATGAGATAACATTTTTTCCTGTTGTTTTATTATTGATCTTTGTACTTTAGCATCAGTTGTGTATATGGGCAACTAAATTATCTCTTTAGCAGAATCTATGTACCACATGTATTATTAAAAAAAACTCATTTTTGTATCTTATCTCATATTTTTGAGAATTTTTGTGATATTCGTCCATGTTGACATGTCTTATTTACTATTGCATCCTGAAAAATGATAAAACCTGACCAGTTGATCAGTTTTGTTTCAAGATAATTTCCCATGAACAGAAAATGATCCTGCAGGGGAAGCTAACTCAGAAAAATGTTAAAAAATGATAGTTGGTTGACAATTGCTGTTTCACTTGATGATTGAACATAGTGTGTTAGTGTTCTTTAGATATCGCCTCTCGTGATTTTTGATCAATAAGTTCTTAAATATTTGCTTTGATATGGTAGCAATATGGGATAATGTAATAACAGTTTCATTCTAGGCGTGATAGCTTCAACCTAAACATCAAACATGGGCACCTTCAGTTTGCCCAAAATGAACTGATTTTAGATTTTTATGCCCAGAAACTTGCACAACAGGACTTTATTGACCTGTAACGATAATGGAGGTTTTTACACACAATAATTAAATAACAGCAAACATGGGATTATAAATAGAGATTTAAAGGATGGGACAAAAATGGGACCTAAAATTAAAATGAGAATGTTTTAATTGTTTACTTGCAGGTCTTACCCTTGAACAAGTAGACACATTGTGGAGTTGTTTGGCCACTGATGAAGAATGTTCTGACGATTGTCTTAGTTGGTTCTTGAACCAGGCCAAGAGTAAGGACCATCATGCAATGGGGCTAGAGACATTTAAACATCTTTTTATGGAGAAGGTATTTTTTTTTGTGGCACTATATAATTCTTGTGATCTGCCAAGATGACATCAGAATCTGCACCCCCAAATGCAGATTACTGAATTTGTTCCTTTTCTATTCTGGATCTTCTGACTTCTGCTTTGAAATAAGCATTCTAGAATTATTATATAGTATTATTTTTACCATTAATGAAGGTGGCAATACCCCTTTGGTATATTTACATTATATAACATTTGTGTTTTATGCATGTAATCATAGGAGACTCACCTGGAAATCTTGCCTTAATATAGCCCTTCGTTTGCTCATTCATTTTTATGTGCATTTATACACTGACATACAGTATAAACTACTGCCTTTCAGATCACATGGGTAAGCCACTGTAATCAACCACTTGTTATACAAGTTGGGATAACTTAACTGTTCCCTTTTCTGCATAAATGTGTTGCCCCTAGTCACCATACTAACCAAATTTTTCAGATGCCACAGTTGCGCCCAGAGTCTATGACAATGACGGGACTGAATTTGTTCCAACAGCTCTGTCATTTGGCACGAATCGCCAACTCCTCCATGGATAATGCGCTCCCAGAGGATAAGATCAGTGGGATGAACCAGCTGTGGGGGATAGCCCTGAGGGCTCAGAATACGGATGTCAGTATGAATGCGGTCCAGTTCATCAACAATTATTACATCAATTGTAAGTTGTGTTATACAGTATTTTTTATCACTTACATTACTGTCAACATTATATACATACTAGTTTTATTTTATTATGCCACCATCAGAAGTGTTGTACATTAGAAAAAATTCTACAAATCATATCTCACATCTTGCGTGCATGTATACATATGAATGAAGACTTTTTTTAGAAATATTATATTATTAGTTGCATATCCTGTAAATGTGTGTTGCAAATCAACTTTTATTATGTGTAGATGTATGTGGTGATCAATATTTCATTCATTTTAGATGGTAGCGGCTCTCTAGAAAAGGAGGAAGAATTTGTCAATAAGTGCATGGATTACCTCGTCAATGCCTCCAAGAATATCTCCATTGACCCCGAATGTGAACTCATGGTGATCCAGCGTGGTTTGATTCTCTTGAAGAACCACCTTGAAAGCTTTAGGCAGCGTTATGCCTTTCACATGCGTAATTGGTTACTGGATGGCATGGGCGTGTTCAGCCATCAGAAAGGTGTGAAAGACAAACAGTCCACACCTATCAGAGTTGTGTTACAACCAGCAGGACATGCAGAGAAGGTAACATGTTATGCTATGTATGAATTAAAAATTACCACTTAATGATAGGGCCTAAACATTACAAAAGTCTTCTCTGCCAATAAGGTAAACTGTCAGTCATGGAACTAAGATTTGTCTTCATTGTAAGATTTTGAACTCAATGGGTGATTGGTTTGCATGCTCTCAATGATAAGCATAATAATGCGCCTCATTTTCTAGATAACCATAGAAATGATGTCAACAGATCAAATAGCCGATTTACGCGCTGAGGTGACCCGCTGGTGGAGTGCTTTACAGAAACAAGAGCAGAAAATTAAGAAACAGCAAGCTGCTGGAACTACTTCCATGTTGACCCCTATCCTGGGGTCAATGTTAGGTGATGGACCAATCAGAATGATCACTTTGGGCCAGGAGTTGTCTTTTGATGTTGATGAGAAAACACTTTCTGAAATGCAGTTCAAGGATCAGCAGGTAAATTCCTTTTCAGTAAAAATAAACAGTGTAACTCAGTTTTTGACCTCTTGGTATCCTGACACATAAAGTAACTAAAATACATGAATGTTCTCCGACCTCCCTTCGAAGAGGTACAGTGTGATACTAAAGCAATACAATAATTTATATCTGTGTAACCTATCACTCTAGTCTTGTGCTATTGTACAATAATGCACAATTCACACAGCTCAATATTGCACGAAAATTGAACACTTTCTTTATCTCTCCAGCTGCTGTTTGTTTCTGTGGGTGCCAGCAGGACCCCCAGGAAGCATGATGGCTCCACCCCCACATCATTCCTGCCTGCCCCAGATAGGGACCAGATCCCAATGATGTTGCTGCAGAAGTCTCCACACTTTGAGCAGCTATTCAATCTGCTGCAGCAGCTTGCAAGTCTCAATTGTGATGACTCTATGGTGAGTACATATGCACTAAGCAGTTGCAAGTCTCAATTGTGATGACTCTATGGTGAGTACTAATGCGCTTAGCAACTTGCAAGTCTCAGTTGTGATGACTCTATGGTGAGTGCACATGCACTAAGCAGTTGCAAGTCTCAATTGTGATGACTCTATGGTGAGTACACATGCACTAAGCAGTTGCAAGTCTCAATTGTGATGACTCTATGGTGAGTACACATGCACTAAGCAGTTGCAAGTCTCAATTGTGATGACTCTATGGTGAGTTCACATGCACTAAGCAGTTGCAAGTCTCAATTGTGATGACTCTATGGTGAGTACATATGCACTAAGCAGTTGTAAGTCTCAATTGTGATGACTCTATGGTGAGTACATATGCACTTAGCAACTTGCAAGTCTCAATTGTGATAACTCTATGGTGAGTACATATGCACTAAGCAGTTGCAAGTCTCAATTGTGATGACCCTATGGTGAGTACACATGCGCTTAGCAATTGCAAGTCTCGATTGTGATGACTCTGGTGAGTTCACATGCGCTTAGCAGTTGCAAGTCTCAATTGTGATGACTCTATGGTGAGTACACATGCACTTAGCAGTTGCAAGTCTCAATTGTGATGACTCTATGGTGAGTACACATGCACTTAGCAGTTGCAAGTCTCAATTGTGATGACTCTATGGTGAATACATATTCACTTAGCAGTTGCAAGTCTCAATTGTGATGACTCTATGGTGAGTACACATGCACTAAGCAGTTGCAAGTCTCAGTTGTGATGACTATGGTGAGTACACATGCACTTAGCAGTTGCAAGTCTCAATTGTGATAATGGTGAATACATATGCACCAAGCAACTTGCAAGTTCATACTATGACTCTTAGATGGTTGGGTGCACATGCACTTTCAAATTTCAACTGTAACATCTCTCTGGTGAGTTCACATAAGTTATATTAGTGCATAAAAGGCTATAATGAACAGTTCAGAATACATAATAGCTGGTTTTATGGTCTATTATTGCCAAGGTCAGAATACTTAAAGTTATCTTAGATACATATCTTAAGATTAATCGTTAAAATTCGTGTTCTGCTTCTCATTTCCACACTTTTTTATTGCACCCTTGTTGACTGACTAACCTGATACATTTAACTAGTTTTAACCAGTTTGTTTCATAAAGATGGCAGTCTAATAAGAAAAGCTGGTTCAGTTAAAATCGTTTAGTAAACCAATACATTACTGACATCTAGATGTCTATATCTTAGTGTTGATTATGACAATTTGATTGTTCAAGATTCTCTAGAAAATTTTTGTTAACAATGTTGGAAAAGTTATGCCTGATTACTATTGATTACTTTTTCTTTTTTGCATTTGAAAACCTGACCACCATAACATTGTGTTGCTATTTCAGGATTCCCAGGAGCTATGCAGCATACAAAACAAGGCTAGACTGTTGTCTAGGAGAGTCTGGGAATTGCTCATGTTGCTACCCACCAATACAGACATCTTGCTAGGCTTTAAGAGTATCATCAATAATGAAACAGAGGTAAATGAAATTAATAAAAAATATTCGTAATTATATAGATTGTATATATATAAAGTAATTCATTACAAAAAAAGAACCCTGTAAGTTTGAAACGAGTAATTTCAGAATTTTATGGTTGATCTGTTTTGGGTCTACATTTATTTTATTACCTGAAAATCCCATAACACACCCCAAGAGGCACTTGGAGACAGATCAATTTGAGAGGAGCTGATTTTTTTTTCTAGTATAAACATTTTTTCTTGGTTTTCAGAAGGCTAGTAAAGAGAAGCAAAGGGTTGGTGTAGTAGATTGGGATTCTCTTCTATCAACGCAGAGTTCCCACAAGTTGATGTACTCACTACAGATTGTAGAGTCGCTGTCTAGACCACTTAAGAACAGAAGGAGATCTATGGTATGTATATTTACCCTATTGCATGTAATGTACTCACTACAGATTGTAGAGTCTCTGTCCAGACCACTTAAGAACAGAAGGAGATCTATGGTATGTATATTTACCCTATTGCATATAATGTACTCACTATAGATTGTAGAGTCTCTGTCAAGGCCACTTAAGAACAGAAGGAGATCTATGGTATGTATATTTACCCTATTGCATATAATGTACTCTCTACAGATTGTAGAGTCGCTGTCTAGACCACTTAAGAACAGAAGGAGATCTATGGTATGTATATTTACCCTATTGCATATAATATACTCACTATAGATTGTAGAGTCTCTGTCAAGGCCACTTAAGAACAGAAGGAGATCTATGGTATGTATATTTACCCTATTGCATATAATGTACACACTACAGATTGTAGAGTCGCTGTCTAGACCAGTTATAAGAACAGAAGGAGATCTATGGTATGTATATTTACCCTATTGCATATAATGTACTCACTACAGATTGTAGAGTCTCTGTCAAGACCACTTAAGAACAGAAGGAGATCTTTGGTATGTATATTTACCCTATTGCATATAATGTACTCACTACAGATTGTAGAGTCTCTGTCAAGACCACTTAAGAACAGAAGGAGATCTATGGTATGTATATTTACCCAAATCTTACACATAACAAACTAATGGAGCTCCACTTGGCCAACAGGCTCACTGTTGACTTGCCCAGTTTGGAGATATGCATTGCATGGAATGTTGTTATATCAAAGTTGGGACATTTTCCAGATATATCATAGCATTTTTAGTCTTTGTTGAAATTGTAAGCACTTTCATTGTATGTGTTATTATCACAATTCTAGGAAAACTGTTCATCCAAGAGGAGACGAGGGCTAAGATCTGATTAGGTTTTGGGCATGCTGGGAAATCATATGACGTCCATGTTGCTCTTCAAAGTACAATATTTATCATGATGTGCCTTTTCTCTTTTTGTACAGATGCGCTCAGGGGGAGGTGATTCTTACTTGAGCACAGATTCTGAGATGTCAGTAGATTGTGAAACTGCGGAAGAGATTTGGAGTAAACAGGTGAGTGGATAGCATAAATGCAATATAAAAATAATTGAGAAATGATTTTTGTCTCCGCTAATTGTTTAAGAGTAAATTGTGAGGATACGCTGTTTTATTTTGGAATTCTTATTGACAATGAGTCACTCATTCTGAACTGTTAATCATGTAGTAATTGAAATTATGTTAAAATATGAACCGATGGTTTGTGAGATAAATGTACCATAGGTATATTATTTTAATGGATTCAAAGGCAATTTTAGCTTATCTGACTATTTTTCCAATTTTTTTTTTGTTGGCATAACTTAATACTGCTTAGAATAAATCCAAAATACAACAAATTGATGATAATTGTATTTATTTATTTTTAGTTTATCACCCAGGGAGGTTTGAAGCATCTCTTTAACATCTTCACATCTGGTGTCTTACAAGTAAAGGATGGAGACAACTGGAACCAGGTAATATAAGGTGGAAAGTAGGAATTGAGAAAGCGAAACCTGGAAGCAATATTAGGGGGAAAGTAGAAATTGAGAAAGTGAAACCTGGAGGCAATATTAGGGGGAAAGTAGAAATTGAGAAAGTGAAACCTGGAGGCAATATTAGGGGGAAAGTAGATATTGAGAAAGTGAAACCTGAAGGCAATATTAAAGGAAAGTGAAATGTGGAGGCAATATTAGGGGGAAAGTAGAAATTGAGAAAGTGAAACCTGGAGGCAATATTAGGGGGAAAGTAGAAATTGAGAAAGTGAAACCTGGAAGCAATATTAGGGGGAAAGTAGAAATTGAGAAAGTGAAACCTGGAGGCAATATTAGGGGGAAAGTAGAAATTGAGAAAGTGAAACCTGGAGGCAATATGAGGGGGAAAGTAGATATTGAGAAAGTGAAACCTGAAGGCAATATTAAAGGAAAGTGAAATGTGGAGGCAATATTAGGGGGAAAGTAGAAATTGAGAAAGTGAAACCTGGAGGCAATATTAGGGGGAAAGTAGAAATTGAGAAAATAAAATGTGGAGGCAATATTAGGGGGAAAGTAGAAATTGAGAAAGTGAAACCTGGAGGCAATATTAGGGGGAAAGTAGAAATTGAGAAAGTGAAATGTGGAGGCAATATTAGGGGAAAAGTAGAAATTGAGAAAGTGAAACCTGGAGGCAATATTAGGGGGAAGGTAGAAATTGAGAAAGTGAAATGTGGAGGCAATATTAGGGGGAAAGTAGAAATTGAGAAAGTGAAACCTGGAGGCAATATTAGGGGGAAAGTAGAAATTTAGAAAGCGAAATGTGGAGGCAATATTAGGGGGAAAGTAGAAATTGAGAAAGCGAAATGTGGAGGCAATATTAGGGGGAAAGTAGAAATTGAGAAAGCGAAATGTGGAGGCAATATTAGGGGGAAAGTAGAAATTGAGAGTGAAACCTGGAGGCAATATTAGGGGGAAAGTAGAAATTGAGAAAGTGAAACCTGGAGGCAATATTAGGGGGAAAGTAGATATTGAGAAAGTGAAACCTGAAGGCAATATTAAAGGAAAGTGAAATGTGGAGGCAATATTAGGGGGAAAGTAGAAATTGAGAAAGTGAAACCTGGAGGCAATATTAGGGGGAAAGTAGAAATTGAGAAAATAAAATGTGGAGGCAATATTAGGGGGAAAGTAGAAATTGAGAAAGTGAAACCTGGAGGCAATATTAGGGGGAAAGTAGAAATTGAGAAAGTGAAATGTGGAGGCAATATTAGGGGAAAAGTAGAAATTGAGAAAGTGAAACCTGGAGGCAATATTAGGGGGAAGGTAGAAATTGAGAAAGTGAAACCTGGAGGCAACATTAGGGGGAAATAGCAAAGTGACACCAGGTAATATTTTAGGGGGATAATAGCAAAGTTTAATAAATATTCGGGAATAGTGAGATGGTACTCTGTTATAGCAGTCAGGGGCACAGATGATAATGCCAAATCACAAGAATTTTGAGTACTAAAAAACAAGTCTGCAGTGTTCCATTTGATGCTGTGATTTCAGAATCCGGGTTAATGTTGTCATTATTGTTATAATTACTTTGTAGCTCTAAATTCATTTGAATGATTTGATTCATATGATGAACATTTGATGTAGTGCCTATGATCTTGTGATATAGTAATGTTGATAAATCACTGACCTCCATTGTGTTGATTTGGGGAAAGTGCTGACCCCCTCCCCATCCTTATTCCAGTGGAGTCAAGAATGCCTAGCTTATCTACTAAGACTGGTCAGTCAGTTTGCTGTTTTGCAATCTGATGGTGAAGATGACGTCTTTGAGACATTTGAAAGCCCAAGGAAGAAAATGAAGCGACACAAAGCCAGCGAGAAAATGAATATACAGACTCTGAATCAGGTATAGCAGGAGCCTAGATAGAATCATTAATATCCTTATAAACATTAAATTTTGACTCACATTTGAAATAGTAACTTTCTGAGACATGGTATTTACTGTATTTTACCCCATTCATTGAATAACCACTTGAAATATTATCAACTTTATTTGTACATTGTAGGCAATTCTGTCAATGATAAACACAGATACTGTACTAAAGATCCTGATGACGATATTGTATGATGCGACTCTGCCAGCTGATCCTAGCCAAGTGCACAGTGGATCATGGGGTAGAACTGAGGTAGGTATAACCAATGAGGGATTTATTTATTATAAGTTGATTTAGTTTATTTCAGTAACTTGCACAGGATTCCTATATGGTGTTAATTCAAATACTACCTGTTTTCATTGAAATCTCTCAATATTTCACCCTTTTAGCAGGGTGCAAAAAGATTTTCATTAGGATGGCAAGTAATTTTGGAATATCAATTTGGTGCAGCTGTATGCTAGGAGAGATCACTTCATTATAAAATGCAGGATCTCATATCTAGCATGTTATTTTGGAATTTCAATTTGGTGCAGCTGTATGCTAGGAGGAGAGATCACTTCATTATAAAATGCAGGATCTCATATCTAGCATGTAATTTTGGATTTTCAATTTGGTGCAGCTGTATGCTAGGAGGAGAGATCACTTCATTATAAAATGCAGGATCTCATATTAAGAACATAATTTTGGATTTTCAATTTGGTGCAGCTGTATGCTAGGGGGAGAGATCACTTCATTATAAAATGCAGGATCTCATATTAAGAACGTAATTTTGGATTTTCAATTTGGTGCAGCTGTATGCTAGGGGGAGAGATCACTTCATTATAAAATGCAGGATCTCATATTTAGCAAGAGGTATCACTTATCTTTATCAGTGAGGAACATGTTCTTGAACATAGAGTGAAAAATGTGATTGAAGTATAAAGTAAATGCTCATACTGTATGTTTGTTTTCAGGTGGTTCACTATGCCCTGTCATTCCTTGTTTCCTGGGCCTATAGCTGTGATAAGGTGCTCCCTGCTCTCTGTAGCTGTGATAATTTTCCACAGTGGCTAAAACGATTAACTCTTGAAGCACCGGAGGTATGTTATTTAGCTGTATTCACTATTCATACTTGTATATAAGGTCCAACCACTCATGGTGAAATCACATATCATCAGGTTAGTCATGACTGTAAAGCTTAAGCCTTAATACTAGCAACCATTTTTTCAATACAAAAACAGGCAAAATCAGGTCAGATGCCCCATCTGTCATTTAGAAACCATCAAGGGACTGTCTATTTCACATTGTAGCCATACATGAGACTAGAAGCATGTAGAGGTATAATTAGACTGTTTCTATTTCACATTGTAGCCATACATGAGACTAGAAGCATGTAGGGGGATATACAGACTTTGTTTGGGGAGGTCAGATGATGGAAAACTTGGTTACAACTTTCTGATGCCAGTTCTTGCCAGCCTCCTCAGCTTCCTGAGTAAAACCTTGAAGATGAAGCCTCGTAAACGAGATGTAAGTTTTTGAATAACTTTTGTCTTTTAAATTGCTCACTTCGAGAAATTCAATTTTTTCTTCAAGTTCAACATGTCTTGTGCAGTTACATTACAACACACAATAAACGCTACTGTGTCTTTAATACTGATTTTAATTTAGTCAAAAGCTTTAGTGAATGAGTTTAAAGAAAACAGTTATTTCCTCAATGTCGACGAGTGTTTTTCACAAAATATTTATACTTATTATCATCTGACTGTTTTATTGTCATTTTAATGAATAATTAGACCAGATTTTGGGAATATAAGATGAATATTTTTGTGATGAGTAATAAATGTATGGGACGGCATATTATATCACTTTGTGTTACTATGCCAACTGATATGTTATTCCATGTTTTTCAGTATGATGACAAGGACAAAGAACTCTATGGACCTGGGTCCAGAGATTACTTCTGGTTGTCATGCCAACTAATATATTATTCCATGTTTTTCAGTATGATGACAAGGACAAAGAACTCTATGGACCTGGGTCCAGAGATTACTTCTGGTTGTCCTGCCAACGAATATATTATTCCATGTTTTTCAGTATGATGACAAGGACAAAGAACTCTATGGACCTGGGTCCAGAGATTACTTCTGGTTGTCCTGCCAACGGATATATTATTCCATGTTTTTCAGTATGATGACAAGGACAAAGAACTCTATGGACCTGGGTCCAGAGATTACTTCTGGTTGTCCTGCCAACGGATATATTATTCCATGTTTTTCAGTATGATGACAAGGACAAAGAACTCTATGGACCTGGGTCCAGAGATTACTTCTGGTTGTCCTGCCAACGGATATATTATTCCATGTTTTTCAGTATGATGACAAGGACAAAGAACTCTATAGACCTGGGTCCAGAGATTACTTCTGGTTGTCCTGCCAACGGATATATTATTCCATGTTTTTCAGTATGATGACAAGGACAAAGAACTCTATGGACCTGGGTCCAGAGATTACTTCTGGTTGTCCTGCCAACGGATATATTATTCCATGTTTTTCAGTATGATGACAAGGACAAAGAACTCTATGGACCTGGGTCCAGAGATTACTTCTGGTTGTCCTGCCAACGGATATATTATTCCATGTTTTTCAGTATGATGACAAGGACAAAGAACTCTATGGACCTGGGTCCAGAGATTACTTCTGGTTGTCATGCCAACTGATATATTATTCCATGTTTTTCAGTAATTTCAGAGATTACTTCTGGTTGCTATGCCAACTGATATATTATTCCATGTTTTTCAGTATGATGACAAGGACAAGGAACTCTATGGAGCTGGGTCTAGAGATTACTTCTGGTTGTCCTGCCAACGGATATATTATTCCATGTTTTTCAGTAATTTCAGAGATTACTTCTGGTTGTTATGCCAACTGATATATTATTCCATGTTTTTCAGTATGATGACAAGGACAAGGAACTCTATGGACCTGGGTCCAGAGATTACTTCTGGTTGCTATGCCAACTGATATATTATTCCATGTTTTTCAGTATGATGACAAGGACAAGGAACTCTATGGAGCTGGGTCCAGAGATTACTTCTGGTTGCTATGCCGACTAATAGATGGCATTTGTCACAATGATGCAGAGAAAAGTTGGCAAGAGGTAAAGAGTTTTTTAAAAATTTTGCCTATGTGGCTACAATAAAAAGTAAATCTCCTTGAAAGCTAAGGGTATATTTTCTGTATGAGAGCATATAGGTTTGGTTGACAAATGGCTTATCCTAGATATTAAATTTTAAATTCTGATAAATATGGTTAATATTTTTTAGGAGGAAAGCACAGTGGATTTGGACTGGTTGGCGAGCCATACTATGGGTCTAATACTAGATAGGGAATATAAAGAGACTAAACAGTTGGAGGATGATGGTCTCATTGGTCTGTTGAATGTTACATCTGCTGTCATGAAACACAATCCACCTGTGAAGTTCCAAGAGAGGGGACAGGTGAGTGCCCTAACATAAGGCCATGCATAGAGAGGGGACAGGTGAGTGCCCTTAACATAAGGCCATGCATGGTATTCCAAGAGAGGGGACAGGTGAGTGCCCTTAACATAAGGCCATGCATGGTATTCCAAGAGAGGGGACAGGTGAGTGCCCTTAACATAAGGCCATGCATGGTATTCCAAGAGAGGGGACAGGTGAGTGCCCTTAACATAAGGCCATGCATGGTATTCCAAGAGAGGGGACAGGTGAGTGCCCTTAACATAAGGCCATGCATGGTATTCCAAGAGATGGGACAGGTGAGTGCCCATAACATAAGGCCATGCATAGAGAGGGGACAGGTGAGTGCCCTTAACATAAGGCCATGCATGGTATTCCAAGGATAAATACCACCATTGTCATGGTAATTAGTGGTTTGGTAGTCACCATTTTTATAAGTGTTCTAACTCTCTAAGGGATTGTAACCACATTTGCTTTTTGATATCAAGTGTCATTGACAGTGCTAATATGACACTGAAACTACATATATACATGTACATATACATATACATATACATGTACATGTACTTAACATCTTCCAAGATCAATTGATAATAATTGAAACATTTTCATAATGGATCTTCAAACATGTGTGCAATTAATCATGGAAAGAAAAATTTAAGTTTGATTTTTGAAGTGTATTTGAAGTTTTATATGAGACCATTTACATACAAACCAATGGGATAGTTGTGAAGTAACCTACTAGAGACAATAAATTGGTTCATATTTTCACCCTCCTCACCCCGTTATGATGAAATATTGTCTCTCTAAAATCATATGATTAATAAGTCTATTGTTTCACTTTCATTTTCATTTCTTTAATTGAATAGTATGAACTAGAAAAATCTGATTTAGATTGAGGAAAACCAATCCAAAACAGACATTGAACCTGTGCGAAACAGTTTGGTCCATCATGATAAACTGCAAACAAATTTGTATTTCCACATGGTTTCCACCAGGCAACTTTCCCATATGTGCAACTGGATATTGCATCACTATACCGATCTTTCGTCCAAAATGAGCCATGGTTGTTCCACTTGAATGAATCTCTGATTGTACTAGTTCCAGTTGAATTGAAGCCTCCCAAAGTTAGTGCATATTTGTTCTTTTCAACACCAATACTAAAGCTGGAATACTCAGCCAACCCATTCTCATTTTTCCATCCAACAAGCTCAACTCGTAACATGTAACGTCCCTGCCGAAGAATAGATAAAATAGCCTCAAACCCAATAAAGTATTCTCCTGGAGTTGAACCAAAACCATTTTTGTAGTCATTCCATGTTCGATTATGGAAGATCTCTTTGCCATTGAAGCGGTGGGCAATCACTATCCATCCATCCTCACAATTTGCCAGGACGTGTTTTCCAGATTTTGTAACTATTGTATATGGTCCATCTCTGGCTTGGAAACAATCTTTTTTTGCTGTTAAAATGATAATGTGACCACTGTAGTTTACAATTTCAAAATACATCGAGTCTTCGGATATACATGTACTTGTATTAGTGGACATAATTCGGTCAAAGGAAAAAATGTTCCTCACCTTCGCCACCTCCATTTTTGATTCCTGTTTCCAAAATAGATAATTTTGCAAATATTTTATTAATATCATCCTCCAGTTTTGAAGTCATGGTTCGAATATCCCTTTTTAGATCAGATATTTTACCCAATAATACATTTTCTGATTTAATGGTCATACTGCCTATTTCATCTTCCAATTTTGTGATATCTTTTCTCTTACATAGGACATTGTTGCATGTTTGACCCTTTATTAGACCTATAACATATAATAATAATAATCATAAGAGATTGAGTCTGTGGCAAACATTAAGTTGATATCAGTACAGTTAAGCAATTTCAATCCCCTCCCCCGAAAAACAAAATTTGAAAAAATTATTTGCTTGTATCCCCATCCTCCAACAATATTGACTTAGTTCTGCCAAGTGGATGCTCTCCTTACATGTAGTAGTAACTATTAAAAGAAGATGCTCATGTACATGTTTTATAAATGAGGATGTGATATGGTGTCTTAATGTGCATTATAATTTATATTCTTATATTTGATTAACTTACCTGAAACCAAAGCAAAAGCCAAAATGGCCAAAATAACACCATATGGTTGATGCATTTTGCCTTGCTTCAAAATTGATGCATTAACTTCAAGGCAGTATTAGGAAATGTATAGCTGATTCACTTCAGTAATGTGCTTGATTTGTTTACTCACCTTTTGTGTTGATAACACGAAAAAACAGTCAGTAAAGATCAGTGTGTTAAAGTTAATTTCATTAAATACATGATAGAACAAGTAATTACATATACCTATTATTAATATTAAAAGGTTACTTTGAATTACAACAAAGTACAATATGTTATAAACATATGTCTTCTGTCTATATACATGTATATATTGGGAAAAAAATTTCCAAAGTATATGTACAACAAGTTGTAAGGCAATGTACCTCTAATCCTCACCAATGACAGGAATTAGATCAAGTCTTAGACTTGTTGTCCTATCTTATGTTTTAATCAGTATATCAAATGTTCTATTTTTACAGAGTTTTACACTGGAGGTTTTCTGGATGTTGTTTGCGTTACCTACACAAGAGAAGCGCCATCTGCCCAAGTGCAAGTCCCATACAGCCAGGTCTGCCGCCTATGACCTTCTAGTTGAAATGGTGAAATCTAGTCTTAATAATTATGCTGTCTTCCATGAGAAAATGCTGGCACAACATATGAAAGGTAGTATTATTTCACATATTTATGCACAGAGTAACAGAATTAGCTTTTTATTTACAGATAAACAGATGATATTTCCTACAGATCAAGATTAGATTGCCCACTATTATTTGTCAACTAATTTTTGACAAATGAAGTCTACCATTTTTTTGAACCATATTGTGGTCCATGATGGAGAAATTAGCCTTTTTCACTTTTTGCTCCCTCTGAATTGTCCCATTTTTGGCCTATAGCTTTGACCATGACCTTTTTGATATTGATGATAATCTCATTATTATATTTAGATGGCCATTCCCCATATACCTGGGACCATTGGCCCCATGAGGATGGCAGATCTACATGTGGCTATGTAGGACTCACAAACCTTGGTGCTACTTGCTATATGGCTACTTGTATGCAGCATCTCTACATGATTCCTCAGGTTGGTAAATATAACATCTTGCTTCTTGCTCTCTTTGTGATTCTGGCCATGCTGACTTTATTTCAGTCCTTGAAATGAGTCTATGACATAATTTTAAATTTTATATCCTTTTGTGGCTCATTTTTAGACTGTAATCCCCATGCAATATATCAATTATCAAAAATTTCACGAAATGGCGTTAAAGCTTTGAATTTTAATTTTGAATGTTTTGTTCAAACTCCTACTGTTTCTTCATTAAACCTGTTCTTGATAAGAATGGAATCAACACTTTGCACGTCTTTCTATTATGTTTCAGGCCAGAAAATTTGTGCTTGAAGCAAAGTGCAGTCAAAATACTAAACACGAAGGAACATTGACGGAGTTGCAGAAAATGTTTGCATATCTCTTAGAAAGTGAGCGAAAAGCTTATAATCCCCGCAGCTTCTGTAAAGTATACACAATGGACAAGCTGCCGTTGAATACAGGAGAGCAAAAAGATATGACAGAATTTTTCACCGATTTGATTACGAAACTTGAAGAAATGTCTCCTGAGCTCCGTAAACTTGTGAAGAATTTATTCGGTGGTGTGATCACAAATAATGTTGTATCTTTGGACTGTCCACACGTTAGCCGCACGAAAGAGGAGTTTTATACTGTTAGATGTCAGGTGGGTTACAATGCTTTTATATGAAACTATGTCAATACATGCTAATAACCATGTTATTTTATGTTTATAAGCTGCCTTTGAAAATATAGCCAAATAAGAAATTTCCCTTAAATAGAAACTTGTCCGAAAAGTGAAGGGGTTGTGAGTTCAATCCCCACTAGGGTCGACTGACTTTTTCACATCAGCCCTTAGCGCAGAATTTTGTTCTGTGTTTTCATTAAACATGCGAGGCCAGTACCCATTGACTTCTGACATTTTGTAGGTGACAGATATGAAGAATCTCTATGAATCCCTTGATGAGGTTACAGTCAAAGACACACTGGAAGGGGACAATATGTACACATGTTCAAAATGCCAAAAGAAAGTCCGTGCAGAAAAGAGGTACGTGAGAAAAAAAATTTCAGAATTTTTGACTTACAAAGTTGATTTACAAGAATGCAAGTATGGTGACTTGAGAAACACTTATAGATTAAAATCATGTTTTGAAGAAAAGAGTAGCATTGATTAAGATGAAGGCTTTAGACTTTTCCTTGAATTGGAAGTGGCATTTGTGCTTGCTTCTGACAAGATGTTTCAACACATTGAGGCACACATTCAACATGTGAAATAACCCTTCTCATATTTCCAGGGCCTGTTTCAAGAGACTTCCTAAGATCCTATGTTTCAACACAATGAGGTATACATTCAACATGCTAACAATGATGAAGGAGAAGGTCAACACACATTTCTCATTCCCCCTAAGGCTGGATATGTCAGGCTACTTAGAGAAGAATCTGCTAGAAGCCAGTAAGCTAAGTGGTAAGTTTGCTAAACTGTCTCTACTCACAATGTCTGGCTCCTCATGATATGTGTCCACTCATAATGTCTACCTACTCAAAATGTTGTTCACTCAAAATCTCGATCTACTCAAAATGTCAGTATAATCTCTGTCTACTCAAAATGTATCTTCTCAAAATGGTGGTCTACTCAAAATGTCTATTTACTCAAAATGTTGGTTTTCTCTTATTATCTACATACTCAAAACTCTAGTTTGCCACAAGTGTTGAGGGTGCACCAAGGTTAATTTTTGCACTTTATATCCACTTGCCACAATTGATTAAAGGTACATATCAATTAACCTATTTTCCATGCATTTGTCATTGACCGAAGTGTAATACATATCACCCAACATTTACAAACATGAGTTTCGGTAATTCCTTTTGAGATTACATACTATATATAAAGCCTTACATGTTTATAGTATTTATATATTGATGTTTGCACAGAAATCAGGAAACTAGATTTGCTGGATGGATTCTGTGGAGGTATTAACTAAGTTGTAGGATATAAGAGTGTTTATCTAGCTACAGGCTGGGTCAAAATGTCTTTTCTCCAAACTAATTTAATAGAAGCTCACCCCCTCCCCCCCCAAATTCATAAATCTTTTTGCAGCTTTCAAGGCATGTTCTACAGTAAAATCATAAAATGATTGCCATGTACTGGTACTATGTGCTCTCCCTTAAAAATGTTTTGAAAAAATCATCAACTTTATTGTCATCAATTTCTAATGCTTTTTTGGCATATAAACCTGCCTTTCTAGCCCTCCCTTTAAATATTAGTTATGAGAAAAGTTTTGTTCAGTGATGTATTCAGATTACAAGAAAGCAATTTGCACTCGGTTCTTGTATTTGTATTTATTTAAATGTTAATTGTTATATTGGTTTTGTTGTTGCATTTGATAATTATAATTTCAGTTCAATAATGATCATAATATATAAGAGCTCCTTTTCTTTTCTAAAAGATTTTCCTTGACCTAAATATTGAAATGAATGTATATTTCTTATGATGACGTTATTAAGAAATAAAGACCCGAAGAGCAGGTGTTATATCGAAGAATACATCCCGCAGGGCTAGGCACAAACATTTTCTGTAACCCAAATGACCGAACGGAGTGAGGGGTTCGAAAGCTTTTGTGCCTAGCCCAATGTTGACTTTGTTCACAGTTTATAGAAGGGGTGAATACAGTCATGTTCGAATGATTAATATTTCCGCGATGAATATTCTCTTTTGCTTGGCCATTAACCAGTCAAGTTAGTCATTCCAATTATTGGTCATAATGCCATTCTTCTAGGTTTAGGGCCAAAACATATTGCCAAAATTCAAAAATCTCTTTCTAATTTGTTTACATTAATGTTGCTACCTGCATTCTTGGATGATGGCATCATGAATATATATATCAATCACTCCTGTTCTAGTTTCTTTGGTTTACCAAAAAGGGTCAGGATTTATAAGAAATAAGAGTAATTCGCAAAATTGGCCCAAGTTTTGAAATTTTCAGATGATGACGAGGAGGAAGCTAATAAACAGGAAGCGGAAGAATTTGGTGAAAATATTGAGGTGTACTCTTACGAGTTAATAGGTGTCACTGTACACACGGGAACTGCTGATGGCGGCCATTACTATAGTTTCATACGAGATCGTTTGAACAAGAATGAGACTGGCCAGGATAAGTGGTATCTGTTTAATGACGCTGAGGTGAAACCGTTTGACCCTAGTCAACTGGCCTATGAATGCTTTGGTGGAGAAATGACGGTAAGTTTTTTTTGAAAATAGATCAAATTCTCAATTTGATATAATTAACATTTTTAAGTGTACATATGGATGTCAAATTCTTTCATAGCCCACATTTTTCTTCAATATTGTTTACCACTATCATGTGCCATCATCTGTCATTGACTTGTATTTTCAGAGTAAAACATATGATTCTGTGACTGACAAGTTCATGGACTTCTCTTTTGAAAAGGTAAGTTCAGAATGCTAGCTGCATGGTTGAAACTTTTCAAATGGCTAGAATTAAACATTTATTAGTAGATATTGTTAAATGCTGCAAAATAGCTATAAACTGCTTGATTGATTTATACTTGAGCCTGTATTATTCTTATCCTCATGGATCTTACAAATCATCAAGATGTTTTTTGTGATTAATGAGAAACTAATGCCCATTAGTGTTCAACCGTGCCATCTAAACAATTCTATGATAAGGTATGTGTAGTTTTTCATTGCTTAACTTTCAGACAAACAGTGCCTATATGTTGTTCTATGAGAGACGAAAACAAACTGATGAAGAATCAGAGCCTCAATGTGAGCAAACTGAAAATGAGGCTGCAACAGATACCTATAGAGGGCAGGTCAATCTCTCCAAGGAACTTGCAGAGGTAAATTATTACATAGATATGAAAATTATTAAGGAAATTTTGTTTCAATAGCTTATTGTATTATTTTCTGTAAAGAATTAATATACAAATAATATTAATATTTTGGATGGACTGTGTTTAGAAAATATTATTTCCTCCATTAACTTACATGTAGTTAGAATTTTAATTCAAATCAAAAACGTTTATATATAAGAGATAGTATTATATCATTATTTTTATTATCTAATGCTTTCATTTGTGTTTCCTTTCAGTGGATATGGCAAGATAACACCCAGTTCTTGCAAGATAAGAACATATTCGAACGAACCTATTTTGAGTAAGTTAATATTTTCTTTGATTATGTTATCCATGCTCCATAAACAATGTTTTGAAAAAAAAAAATGTAAAGTGCAAAAGTTATACCAGGGTTGGGTTAAAGACATTGGGCATTTGGTGTAAATTTCCATATGGCCATTTGTACTTTAAAGTGTGATATTTTTTGTTGCAGGTTTATGTGGCAGATGTGTTCTTATATCCCAACCACTCTCATCAAAGAAGACCCAGTCACTGTGCCTTTATTAGCAGCTAAACTAGGAACATCATTTGTGCTAGAGACTCTCATACACTCAAAGGAGAAACCTCTAATGGTCAGCTGGATAGAACTGATATCAAACAAGTTTAATTCTTGCCATGCAGCGTGTGAGGTAATAATATTGCAGTGTCAGTTCAATTATTCAATGTCACCTAAACATTGGGCATTATGCAACAATAAAGTAGTTGCTAACATGCTCATACCAAAACATATCATCAAACAATTGAACATAATTACAAGTGTACATGTATGTGCACTTGTAAGAGATACAAGGTGGTAACATTTCTTCATATTAACGATGTGCTTCAAACACATAGCTGCTTGATTTCTGGTGACAATCACTTTTCACTATTTGTAATAATCTTGAAAAAACAAATTGCCAATTGGGCAATAGACTGAATGCCAAGATGTTAAATTGGGCACTTTTCACTGTTGGCAATGAACTTGGAAAAATAAAATGTCTATTGGGCAATGTCCTGAATGTCAATATGCTAGTTAAATTGGGCAATCACTTTTCACTCTTGGACTCGGAACAACAAGTTGCCTATTGGGCAATAGCTTGAATGCCAAAAATGCTTAATTGGGTAATCTACCATGTTTGTATTTCAGTGGTTCCTGGACCATATGGCATCCGATGATTGGTGGCCAGTTCAGATCCTCATCAAATGTCCTAACCTAGTTGTCAGACAGGTAATATATTCATACCCTCAACTCTTTTAAATGTTTAGAACCATATTTTCAGATGCAGTCTTCAAATATGATATCACTTTGACTGAATTTGAATATTTAATGATGAAATGATTATTCTAATTTTGCTATAAAATGACATATAATTAATTGATCTGTTAACGAGTTATTTAACAAAAAAGGCTGAACACCATAACCTCTATCTCAGTCTCCTTGCATACATTGCCATACATTATATCACACTTGGCCATGTTATTCTGTGTGTTTTAGATGTTCCAGAGGTTGCTTATCCATGTGATAACCCAACTAAGGGCTGAACACCATAACCTTTATCTCAGTCTCCTTGCATATATTGCCATACATTATAACACACTTGGCCATGTTATTCTGTTTGTTTTAGATGTTCCAGAGGTTGCTTATCCATGTGATAACCCAACTAAGGGCTGAACACCATAACCTTTATCTCAGTCTCTTTGCATATATTGCCATACATTATAACACACTCGGCCATGTTATACTGTGTGTTTTAGATGTTCCAGAGGTTGCTTATCCATGTAATAACCCAGCTAAGGGCTGAACACCATAACCTCTATCTCAGTCTCCTTGCATATATTGCCATACATTATAACACACTTGGCCATGTTATTCTGTTTGTTTTAGATGTTCCAGAGGTTGCTTATCCATGTAATAACCCAACTAAGGGCTGAACACCATAACCTCTATCTCAGTCTCCATGCAATGGAAAGTGATGGGGAGGAGTGTGAGCTTGCAGAGTTGGGCTCTCAGTCATGCGTCACACGATTCATCAAGAAAATGCTTACTATTGTAAGTGTATAAGATAAGACACTCTATTTATAAAAATGAGAGAATTAGAGAAAATGATCCTAGTATAACTTAGAGGTAACATAGTAATTTTCTATCAGTGGGAGTACCTTGTTGATTGACTCAAATGTACTTTGTTTTAATGTCTCCGCCAAGAGGTAATGATATATCGTAATTGCCACCATTTGTGACTAGCATACAGTGGCTACATCTATAGCAATTGTTACATTTTTGTAAACCTACTTGGTGTTGTCATGTATTGTTTTGTTTTAGATCGAGAATGTGAAGCCCAGTAGTAAACATCTCACAGAGTACTTCGCATTCATGCTAGACTTTGCCAAAATGGGAAGCAATGAATGTATCTTCCTCATCCACATCAGTGCAATATCAACATTCATCAACTTCTACATGGGACATAAGCCAGCTGATTATAATGTAAATCTTAGTTTATATTATGAAATAAGATGAAAATAATTATTATTAATACTTATTACTGGCCAGTGTGGTCACCATATTTTTATTGAAAGTATATTCTCACAGCATTACCCATTTTACTTATTATGAAGATCTTGTGTAGAATTTTCCAGAATTACTGAGTTTGTAACATTTCTGAGCATTATTATCTTAAGGACTAAGACAGTTATATTGATTTTTCATTGTGTGACAACAATGTCCAAAGTTTACAACCTGGCCTTACACTTCAATGTTGTTTATCTGACATATACTTATTTCCTAACATTTCTTTCCATAAGCATGCAGAGGCAACATCCGAAGATGACGAAGATGAGGATGATGATGTCATTCCACTCTCTGATGAAAAATACCGTCCCCAAGCTCTTGAGAAAATGATCACTTTGATCGCAATGTTAGTCGAGAATGCAAGGGGGGAAGATAACAAACTGGAACTGCCAGAAGATGATCTCCAAGCTCTTATAGATAGAAACTACACCCAAATTAACTACCCGAATATGACGGATAAGGAATTCTTCAATTCTCTCGGAAATACCATGAAATTGGTGAGTAATTAAGTTTTTCTCCATAATTTGAAGTAAAATATAGAAAAACCTTGATGCACTTAATCATCACATTGCATGTTTATTATCTTAAAGATTACTTTAAACTATATTATAAAATGAGTAATTCTAAACATTTGATTGGTTAACACTTTATATGTGATAGAGAGACACCACAAATTTGTTTATGTTTGATCCATGACATGTATATTTCAGGAGTTTCCATTCCTGTTCAGTCAAATCAGAGACTGTATCAATGTGAGGCAGACGTGTAATCTAATATTTAGTCTATCCAGGTGGAATGACAGATTGGCATATGCTGTGAGTACATATTATTATCAGAATTTGTATATCAAATCATCATGTCTGTATGCATAATGAAAAAGTAATTAACCTGTGAAGTGGACTTATATACTTTTTGCCATGCATGTTGCACCAGCCTGTTTATCAATGACATATTTACATACCTCCTAGATTCAAAAACAATCTGCCCCCAAAAAGATTTGTAAATGATTGTTTTCCCCACATACCTTAATATAATTGTACTGCTTCTCTTACTGAAATACCATGATTTATGATTATAGATTGTCAATATGATGTTCAACTCCATCACAAAGCTGAACTCAGACCAAGCCCAGCCATTCTTTAAACTTCTCTCCTGCTTAGTGGAATTTGTCGGTGGTCCCCCAGGCATGCCCCCATTCACGCAGTTCATACTGAGAAAATTCTGGGAAGTAAGTATGTTAAGTATTTGATGAGGTAATCAAGAGCTGCATCAATTAGTTGTGTTAACCAACCTCTCTTCCAAACCCATATGCAATTTTCCCTTTTAGGCGATTGTATTGAGAATGGCTTACATAAATGATCACTTTAGATTAATCTCATAATGATGTGAGCAACTAGGTGATGACAATTTGTCATGTTAATGTCTTGTGTAATTTTATGTAATAAATTTTATAAGGTATGTTGTCTATGTCTGTCTGTTGGCAAACAAAACCTAGTATTTAAATTTTAATCGGACATTCATAAATCGACAGGGGGCTCTGTTAGTTAGTGTCAGATGGATATTAACAAATGCATGTACTTAGTCTCAACTTTTACTATGTTGGTTTCAGTTAACTGAATTCTGCCCCCAGCAGTGTCTAGAATGGCTGAGTAACCAAGTGACCAGGAACAAGTTAGTCCACAATTGGGTCCTGAAGCACATGAATGTCTGGGTGGAGCAGTACCTCATGGCAAACTCTAATATAAGAGTCAGAAATGGTAAGTGCCCCTTGCATGAATGTCTGGGTGGAGCAGTACCTCATGGCAAACTCTAATATAAGAGTCAGAAATGGTAAGTGCCCCTTGCATGAATGTCTGGGTGGAACAGCACCTCATGGCAAACTCTAATATAAGAGTCAGAAATGGTAAGTGCCTCTTGCATGAATGTCTGGGTGGAACAGTACCTCATGGCAAACTGTAATATAAGAGTCAGAAATGGTAAGTGCCCCTTGCATGAATGTCTGGATGGAACAGTACCTCATGGCAAACTCTAATATAAGAGTCAGAAATGGTAAGTGCCCATTGCATGAATGTCTGGGTGGAACAGTACCTCATGGCAAACTCTAATATAAGAGTCCGAAATGGTAAGTGCCCCTTGCATGAATGTCTGGGTGGAGCAGTACCTCATGGCAAACTCTAATATAAGAGTCAGAAATGGTAAGTGCCTCTTGCATGAATGTCTGGGTGGAGCTGTACCTCATGGCAAACTGTAATATAAGAGTCAGAAATGGTAAGTGCCCCTTGCATGAATGTCTGGATGGAACAGTACCTCATGGCAAACTCTAATATAAGAGTCAGAAATGGTAAGTGCCCATTGCATGAATGTCTGGGTGGAGCAGTACCTCATGGCAAACTCTAATATAAGAGTCAGAAATGGTAAGTGCCTCTTGCATGAATGTCTGGGTGGAGCTGTACCTCATGGCAAACTCTAATATAAGAGTCAGAAATGGTAAGTGCCCCTTGCATGAATGTCTGGGTGGAACAGTACCTCATGGCAAACTCTAATATAAGAGTCAGAAATGGTAAGTGCCTCTTGCATGAATGTCTGGGTGGAACAGTACCTCATGGCAAACTCTAATATAAGAGTCAGAAATGGTAAATGCCCCTTGCATGAATGTCTGGGTGGAACAGTACCTCATGGCAAACTCTAATATAAGAGTCAGAAATGGTAAGTGCCTCTTGCATGAATGTCTGGGTGGAGCAGTACCTCATGGCAAACTCTAATATAAGAGTCAGAAATGGTAAGTGCCTCTTGCATGAATGTCTGGGTGGAACAGTACCTCATGGCAAACTCTAATATAAGAGTCAGAAATGGTAAGTGCCTCTTGCATGAATGTCTGGGTGGAGCAGTACCTCATGGCAAACTCTAATATAAGAGTCAGAAATGGTAAGTGCCCCTTGCATGAATGTCTGGGTGGAACAGTACCTCATGGCAAACTCTAATATAAGAGTCAGAAATGGTAAGTGCCCCTTGCATGAATGTCTGGGTGGAGCAGTACCTCATGGCAAACTCTAATATAAGAGTCAGAAATGGTAAGTGCCCCTTGCATGAATGTCTGGGTGGAACAGTACCTCATGGCAAACTCTAATATAAGAGTCAGAAATGGTAAGTGCCCCTTGCATGAATGTCTGGATGGAGCAGTACCTCATGGCAAACTCTAATATAAGATTCAGAAATGGTAAGTGCCCCTTGCATGAATGTCTGGGTGGAACAGTACCTCATGGCAAACTCTAATATAAGAGTCAGAAATGGTAAGTGCCCCTTGCATGAATGTCTGGGTGGAGCTGTACCTCATGGCAAACTCTAATATAAGAGTCAGAAATGGTAAGTGCCCCTTGCATGAATGTCTGGGTGGAACAGCACCTCATGGCAAACTCTAATATAAGAGTCAGAAATGGTAAGTGCCTCTTGCATGAATGTCTGGGTGGAACAGTACCTCATGGCAAACTGTAATATAAGAGTCAGAAATGGTAAGTGCCCCTTGCATGAATGTCTGGATGGAACAGTACCTCATGGCAAACTCTAATATAAGAGTCAGAAATGGTAAGTGCCCATTGCATGAATGTCTGGGTGGAACAGTACCTCATGGCAAACTCTAATATAAGAGTCAGAAATGGTAAGTGCCCCTTGCATGAATGTCTGGATGGAGCAGTACCTCATGGCAAACTGTAATATAAGAATCAGAAATGGTAAAGAATGACATAAAATACATTCAATTAAAGGAGTGTTGGGAAAAAAAGGAATGGGGCCGGGCAAAAAATCAGCTCAAAACAGTTGTTAAAAATTATTTGAATAACGAGTCTTGCTGTTTATATATAGTGTCAAATAACTACTTTCTCCCCACTGTTTAAGAAATTCATATATTTCTTCATTGTAATATATATTATGGATATTATTTGTAGCTGCTAGCCGCTTATTGTTGCACATTAGCCTTTCATAATGATGAGATACATATTTACACAATGGAATTTGAATTTGTAGCTGCTGGCCACTTATTGGTGTCCCTTGTGCCTTGCAATCACTTCAGACAGGTCTACAGATCAACCAGGAGTCTCCCTAGTCCACACAAAGACATGCATGTAAGTGCAAATCATGTTTCAATTATGGTTCTATAAATATTTGAATGATTTACAAAAAATTTGAATCCATCACATGTTTTGTCCAGTATGAGCAATGAGTTTTAAAGGATTTTCCGGCAAAATTTGTCTGTTGCTAATATACATGTACCCCTTTTATCTGTATGATTTGATTGAATTCTAATTATTAAACTCTGGCTATTTCAACTCTGCTCTTAAATATACATTTTGAACATTTCAGATGTCACCAGAAGCATTAATCATACTGCACGAGATCTATAAACATCTCCTCAACCTGCTGCCAAATGCCAAACTCTATGTGGACACCGCCTGCCATGGAACAATGAAACTGATGCCTTACTTCTTGCTTATGATGTACTGCTTAGTGAGCAAAACAGAGAAACTCATGGTAAAGTGGCTTACCACTTAATTGTGAGCAATACAATGAAAGGCCAGAAATATTCTATGAAAGTACAGAAATATGAAATGAAAGGCCAGAAATATAAAAAGAAATAAAATGAAAGGCCAGAAATATAAAATGAAAATCCAGAAATATAACACGAGAGGCCAGAAATATAAAATGAAAGTCCAGAAATATAACATGAGAGACCAGAAATATAAAATGAAAGGCTAGAAGTAAATATGAAATGAAAGAGCACAAGTGAAAGGCTAGCTGTATAAATTTAATGAAAGCTGCAATATAAAATGAAAGGTTTGCAATAAAAAGGCCATAAATACTGACCAGTACATAAATTGACTTATGAGAGAGACCTTTTGAGATAGTTCACACACATAAATGTTGATTTTTTTAAAAATAGTGCCTCACTATTTTAATTGAAACAAGGTCTTCTTGTTTTATCTCCCAAGTTCTGTATTTTTTATGTCTTACAAAAGTCATGTTTGTAGAACAGTGTTTTACAATCTGTTTTGAATTTTTTCTTTTCAGTTTTCGTGCCATTTTCAAGATCTGTGGACATTATTCCAACCCAAGCTGTCAGAGCCACCTATCTCCACCCACCAGAACAAACAAGCCCTCCTGTTGTTTTGGTATCAGGTCTGTGTTGACTGCCCAGAAAATGTGAAGCTGATTGTCACAAATGCTCATGTCACAAAGAACATTGCCTTTAACTACATCCTGTAAGTAGAACATGCGGTGAACTCCCTCCCAAAGATTCTTGTCAACAGTGTGCAAGTTGGCCTATTTGAGGCATAATAAACCAATATTCATAGTTGTGTTAACAGATTTGCATGAATTTTAACATGATGCAGCTATGCTCTCATGCAGTTAAGATCACTGCTATTTTTGTAACTTGTAATCATACTGCAGATTTGCACCCAAAGATTGTCTGCATGTGGATTTTATCAAATAACCAATCCAGTCATTTTGATGTGTAGTAGTGAGCAGACCATGGTCTCCGATTATGTAAAAAAATGTACCCAACATATCTGTGTCTGTTAATTAGTGGCACCCATTCAAAGCAGTAGATGATTTTATGAATCAATTTGATTATTTGTAGAGCGGACCATGAAGACCAAGATGTTGTTATGTTCAACAGATGTATGCTCCCAGCCTATTATGGTATTCTGCGTATGTGTTGCGCCCAGTCTAGGACATTTACACGGCAGCTTTCTCAGCATCAGAACATTCAATGGGCTTTCAAGAACATCTTACCATACTCAATGAATTACACTGCTGTAAGTTAAATTTAGTTTTTTTCTTACACCTTTTTGACTCACTTGGAGCCTATGGAATCATCTACTCGTCCATCTGTATATCTCTCTTCTTTTGTTATTTTGTTTTTATAAACATGCGCATCAAACATACATTGTACATTGGAGATTCATAGCTAAGTGCACCTGTGGTAATTCATGAATTGTTCCTCTTGGGAGGAGTTCCACTAACAGAGGTTCATTTAACCATGGGCATTCAATAGATTTGGGCATTCTATTGTAAGCCCATGATTTAACAATAAGTCATAGGTTGCGGGACTTATGGAGGTGTATACACTTACAGAGGTGTTCCACTTTACAGGTTTTACTGTATACTATCACATGTTTCCTTTAATATATTCCAGGCTGTGGATGAACTGTTTAAGATTATGCGTATTATGGTCACCAAACACCAAGATGCCTCAGATGAGGAGCTACGAAGTATTGCAGCATTTCGTAGCAACACAATTCGACTGTTTATGCAGAATATTGACTCAAGAGCTTGGCAGACAATCATACAGTAAGATTTTAGATATTTTCTTTCCAAAACTTAGTTTTGGATTATTTTTTTCATAAACTTTGTGTACATTTATACTAACTGCCATTCATTGATTTTTTTGTTTAATTCAGCAATTTACTGTACCATTTTGAATTAGCATTAAAGCAAACTATTCTTGTCTTATATAACACTCATATGCTATGATTATATTTACAGGGCATTGAAGATTGTAGTTGAGAGTCTTGAGGACAGACTTCTAGTAATCTATCATGTGCTATGATTATATTTACAGGGCATTGAAGATTGTAGTCGAGAGTCTTGAGGACAGACTTCTAGTAATCTATCATGTGCTATGATTATATTTGCAGGGCATTGAAGATTGTAGTCGAGAGTCTTGAGGACAGACTTCTAGTAATCTATCATGTGCTATGATTATATTTACAGGGCAATGAAGATTGTAGTCGAGAGTCTTGAGGACAGACTTCTAGTAATCTATCATGTGCTATGATTATATTTACAGGGCATTGAAGATTGTAGTCGAGAGTCTTGAGGACAGACTTCTAGTAATCTATCATGTGCTATGATTATATTTACAGGGCAATGAAGATTGTAGTCGAGAGTCTTGAGGACAGACTTCTAGTAATCTATCATGTGCTATGATTATATTTGCAGGGCATTGAAGATTGTAGTCGAGAGTCTTGAGGACAGACTTCTAGTAATCTATCATGTGCTATGATTATATTTACAGGGCAATGAAGATTGTAGTCGAGAGTCTTGAGGACAGACTTCTAGTAATCTATCATGTGCTATGATTATATTTACAGGGCATTGAAGATTGTAGTCGAGAGTCTTGAGGACAGACTTCTAGTAATCTATCATGTGCTATGATTATATTTACAGGGCATTGAAGATTGTAGTCGAGAGTCTTGAGGACAGACTTCTAGTAATCTATCATGTGCTATGATTATATTTGTAGGGCATTGAAGATTGTAGTTGAGAGTCTTGAGGACAGACTTCTAGTAATCTATCATGTGCTATGATTATATTTGCAGGGCATTGAAGATTGTAGTCGAGAGTCTTGAGGACAGACTTCTAGTAATCTATCATGTGCTATGATTATATTTACAGGGCATTGAAGATTGTAGTCGAGAGTCTTGAGGACAGACTTCTAGTAATCTATCATGTGCTATGATTATATTTGCAGGGCATTGAAGATTGTAGTTGAGAGTCTTGAGGACAGACTTCTAGTAATCTATCATGTGCTATGATTATATTTGCAGGGCATTGAAGATTGTAGTTGAGAGTCTTGAGGACAGACTTCTAGTAATATATCAGCAAGGATTCACTTTACTCTCTGATGTAAGTAAATATAATTCAAAAAAATAAAAATAAAATATGTATTATGACTTAAAGATAAAGTATTCAAATTAGGCAGATGACTTTAGACGCCTATCTCAACTAATGTTTATGTTTATTCTTATAATGATCTTCCAGTAATGATTTACAAATGCTTTTGGCTTTTAAACCTTGTTTCATTCTATAGTTCATTCTTATTTCAGTGTTTCCAAACCCTCCACAGTATGTACCATGAAGCTACAGCCTGCCATGTAATCCAAGAGATACTAGACTTGTTACATATCATCATACCTATACTTAAAGTCGGCAAACTCTACCAGGAGAAAAAAAGTAAGTATTTTAAAAATAAAAGTGTTAATCGTCACAGTCCGTGTAAAAGTTTATGTTATTCTTGCTATGTTTTGCACTGAACATACTTAGCTATAAAAAGGTTCTGTCGCAGTAACCATGAGGTCGTGAGTTCAAGACGCATTTACTCCATTTATTGTTTCATCGTTTTTATTATTTATAGTGGCTGATGTGAGAACCTGCCTGGTGGGCTGGAAGGGGAGGATGGATTTTGTGCGTCGCCTGCTCACTCTACTCAACACCTACACTCCACCTGAAATCCGCATAGCAACATCAGGTAGTTAACCCTTATCATACTTGATCACATACTCTCCACCTGAAATCCACATAGCGACATCAGGTAGTTACCCTTATCATACTTGATCACATACACTCCACCTGAAATCCGCATAGCGGCATCAGGTAGTTAACCCTTATCATACTTGATCACATACACTCCACCTGAAATCCGCATAGCAACATCAGGTAGTTAACCCTTATCATACTTGATCACATACACTCCACCTGAAATCCGCATAGCAACATCAGGTAGTTAACCCTTATAATACTTGATCACATACACTCCACCTGAAATCCGCATAGCGACATCAGGTAGTTAACCCTTATCATACTTGATCACATACACTCCACCTGAAATCCGCATAGCGACATCAGGTAGTTAACCCTTATCATACTTGATCACATACACTCCACCTGAAATCCACATAGCGAAATCAGGTAGTTAACCCTTATCATACTTGATCACATACACTCCACCTGAAATCCACATAGCGACATCAGGTAGTTACCCTTATCATACTTGATCACATACACTCCACCTGAAATCCGCATAGCGACATCAGGTAGTTAACCCTTATCATACTTGATCACATACACTCCACCTGAAATCCGCATAGCAACATCAGGTAGTTAACCCTTATCATACTTGATCACATACACTCCACCTGAAATCCGCATAGCAACATCAGGTAGTTAACCCTTATCATACTTGATCACATACACTCCACCTGAAATCCGCATAGCAACATCAGGTAGTTACCCTTATCATACTTGATCACATACACTCCACCTGAAATCCGCATAGCAACATCAGGTAGTTAACCCTTATAATACTTGATCACATACACTCCACCTGAAATCCACATAGCAACATCAGGTAGTTAACCCTTATCATACTTGATCACATACACTCCACCTGAAATCCGCATAGCAACATCAGGTAGTTAACCCTTATAATACTTGATCACATACACTCCACCTGAAATCCACATAGCGACATCAGGTAGTTACCCTTATCATACTTGATCACATACACTCCACCTGAAATCCACATAGCGAAATCAGGTAGTTAACCCTTATCATACTTGATCACATACACTCCACCTGAAATCCGCATAGCAACATCAGGTAGTTAACCCTTATCATACTTGATCACATACACTCCACCTGAAATCCGCATAGCAACATCAGGTAGTTAACCCTTATCATACTTTATCACATACACTCCACCTGAAATCCGCATAGCAACATCAGGTAGTTAACCCTTATAATACTTGATCACATACACTCCACCTGAAATCCACATAGCAACATCAGGTAGTTAACCCTTATAATACTTGATCACATACACTCCACCTGAAATCCGCATAGCAACATCAGGTAGTTAACCCTTATCATACTTGATCACATACACTCCACCTGAAATCCGCATAGCAACATCAGGTAGTTAACCCTTATCATACTTGATCACATACACTCCACCTGAAATCCGCATAGCAACATCAGGTAGTTAACCCTTATCATACTTGATCACATACACTCCACCTGAAATCCGCATAGCAACATCAGGTAGTTAACCCTTATCATACTTGATCACATACACTCCACCTGAAATCCGCATAGCAACATCAGGTAGTTAACCCTTATCATACTTGATCACATACACTCCACCTGAAATCCGCATAGCGACATCAGGTAGTTAACCCTTATCATACTTGATCACATACACTCCACCTGAAATCCACATAGCGACATCAGGTAGTTACCCTTATCATACTTGATCACATACACTCCACCTGAAATCCGCATAGCAACATCAGGTAGTTAACCCTTATCATACTTGATCACATACACTCCACCTGAAATCCGCATAGCAACATCAGGTAGTTAATCCTTATCATACTTGATCATATTGTCACCAGGAGCAGAAGGGTTCATCAAACATATGTTGTACTTTTCATCATATTTCTTGTGGGCCTTTGCAACAGACTAGGCAGTAGGTCCATCAATCTATCCATCCATTAGTCCGTCCATCTGTCCGTAAATCATCGTTGTGATTTTTGGCCTTTTGTTAATGTGTGGTCATGGTCTCTATTTTAGTCTTCCTTTCCAATCCCTATATCTAGGTGTGTACATATGTATCTGTATAATATCTAATAGCTATTAACAGGAATATTGAAATTCCCCTCTTGAAACAGTATGTTTCTTTTGTTCTGAAATGATATGTATTTGTAGTGAAAAAAATATGATGTAAAAATATTGCTTTGTGTAGCCATCTGTTTTTCATTTAAAAGCGCACTATACTTAATTTAGAACAAAAAGTAAAAAGAATAATCATTGAAACATGTTACTCAAACACTTGCTCAAATCTGACACAAAGTCTGATTTGCTTTAATATTGGACCAAGGAAAAAATAACTCCCATAGAAAAAGGCATATGAAGTTCAGAGATCATTAGACGTGCATGCACATGTTAAACAAAGAGCATGTTTTAAATTACTATTGATTTAAAAGATGGCGACACTTCTATAAAAATGAATGTATCATGTAATACAAACAACTTCGCCATCTTTCAATGACATTGATAAAAACTTGATATATAAAGCTTGACAGATCAAAAATATTTTTTGACAATTTATTGTAAGCTTTGACGTGGTCCATTTGAGCTGTTGTTGGTGTCAAATGAAAGATAAGGTTCTTATCAATACATTGGACATATATATGAAATTTAAATGTATGTCTTTATTTTGCCCAAAAATGTTGAAAATTCCCAAAATGGGCCTTTAATACCCAAGTTAAGATTACTTGAATGGGTGAGGGGGGACAAGAAAATTGGAAGAACATTTAGCCGAACCTTTGAATTAATAAAAATGTAAAACTGTCTCTATATAATTTTGATGACTGGGATTTTTTATAATGAATATGTAAAACAATTTATTTTATTTCAGATGTACTGAGGGAAATGATAATTATCTACCCTAACGACGCTCTCAACCATTTAGTGCCAATATTACTGAGCAGTCACATGACCTTCCAGGAACAGGGTATCTGTCGTAAGTGATTTGAATGTTTTGTCAATGAAGGCTTAATATGCCAGTTATTAAACTATAATGAAAGGCATTTGTGTACCAAAAGTGGCCACTATTTGCATAAAGAAATGTTACCCTTTCCCTAATAATCAAAAAATGTTGATGTTGTTATTTTACTTCAATAGCTCCAATGGGTCCATATTTCCCAAAGAGAGGCCAGAAACCGATCAGTTCGAAGGCGTCCATACGTCCTCCCAGGCCACAGTTCCAAATGTTCCTGCATCACAACCAGCTAGAGTCAAATAAGGTAATGTTCAACTATTATACAGCAGCACAAAGCACTGCTTGTTACAAAAAATCCAATAAACCATCTTATGATCCAACGTTTCAATGGTCAAGTGATTCCTCAACCCTCCAGGAACAGTTATTTAAATTAACCACTTTCAGTATGGGCAACTGCTTACAGCATTTTATTCACCATATTGTCATTGTCTCCCCTATAGGGTGTTGATGAGCAGTATGACCAGGCTTTATGGGATTTCTACACCCAGTATGGGCAACTGCTTACTGCATATATTACCCATATTACCATTGTCTCCCTATAGGGTGTTGATGAGCAGTATGACCAGGCTTTATGGGATTTCTACACCCAGTATGGGCAACTGCTTACTGCATATATTACCCATATTACCATTGTCTCCCTATAGGGTGTTGATGAGCAGTATGACCAGGCTTTGTGGGATTTCTACACTCCGTACTACCTGGTTGTGGACCTTCTAGTCAGAATGGCAGTCAATCAAAGAAACCTCAATGATGATGTCATCAATCTTAGTAAGTTACCATAGCAACCGCATCTTTTGACCTATTTGAGAACAACTACTTATTTTTTGTTTCTTAATGCATGGATATTTTTTGCATATTCTGTGAAAGTCTTGAGAAACATTGAAAACAAGAAAATAAGACTATTTTTGCATAAATGACCTGTACATCATTTCTAGCAAAATTACCAACTAGCAAAGTGAAAGATAATGTTTAATTGTCAGTGTTGCATTAATTTAACTGTAACTGGTAGAATCTGTCTAATCTGGATGTCATTGGGACTAGACAAAAGTGTTTGGATTAGCAGGTTTCACATTTAATGTTTTTTTCATTTGTGCATCAATGGGAAAACTATTACTGAGAAAAAGTTTTCGCATCAAAAGGTATTTGGATATATGTTTTTACTGTATTTGTCTTACATATGTTTAATGTTATTTCAGGTGCAATGGTAGCATATGAAGGTGTTCCTCTACATGTGCCATACTTTGGTAAACTATGGTATGAGATCTACCATGTACTGTATTTATCTCACATATGTTTAATGTTATTTCAGGTGCAATGGTAGCATATGAAGGGGTTCCTCTACATGTGCCATACTTTGGTAAACTATGGTATGAGATCTACCATGTACTGTATTTATCTCACATATGTTTAATGTTATTTCAGGTGCAATGGTAGCATATGAAGGGGTTCCTCTACATGTGCCATACTTTGGTAAACTATGGTATGAGATCTACCATGTACTGTATTTATCTCACATATGTTTAATGTTATTTCAGGTGCAATGGTAGCATATGAAGGGGTTCCTCTACATGTGCCATACTTTGGTAAACTATGGTATGAGATCTACCATGTACTGTATTTGTCTTACATATGTTTAATGTTATTTCAGGTGCAATGGTAGCATATGAAGGTGTTCCTCTACATGTGCCATACTTTGGTAAACTATGGTATGAGATCTACCATGTACTGTATTTATCTCACATATGTTTAATGTTATTTCAGGTGCAATGGTAGCATATGAAGGGGTTCCTCTACATGTGCCATACTTTGGTAAACTATGGTATGAGATCTACCATGTACTGTATTTGTCTTACATATGTTTAATGTTATTTCAGGTGCAATGGTAGCATATGAAGGTGTTCCTCTACATGTGCCATACTTTGGTAAACTATGGTACGAGATCTACCACTCAGAGCAAGTAGACAAGAAGTGTATCCAGCATTTATGTGCTAGTAATGCCCTGGTTGAGTATGTTGATGCTGTATTACTTGATGAGAGATTGTCTCTGAGTGATAGCCACATCTATCAGTTCTTCTGTAACTTCTTCCCTAAGGTGAGACACCATTTCCAGATTTGTTCTTTTCTGACCTTATTATTTTCCCAATTTTAGATGTTTTTAGACAGAATTAATCCATAACCCTTACATGTAGTTCTAATGTTATACTGTCTACATGCCATGCCATGATTTGAAACTGGAGTGTAATTCTGTGTTGAAGACTAGTGTGAAAAAGTATGTCTATTAGATTGTGGTTAAAACCCACATTACCCACCCATATGGGCACTGTGTTTATTGCCCTAACATAGGTGTACCAACCAATCATTTAATCAAGATTCCATATGGGCACTGTGTTTATTGCTCTAACATAGGTGAACCAACCAATCATTTAATCAAGATTCCATATGGGCACTGTGTTTATTGCTCTAACATAGGTGTATAAACCAATCATTTAATCAAGATTCCATATTGGCACTGTGTCTATTGCTCTAACATAGGTGAACCAACCAATCATTCAATCAAGATTCCATATTGGCACTGTGTTTATTGCTCTAACATAGGTGAACCAACCAATCATTTAATCAAGATTCCATATGGGCACTGTGTTTATTGCTCTAACATAGGTGTATTAACCAATCATTTAATCAAGATTCCATATGGGCACTGTGTTTATTGCTCTAACATAGGTAAACCAACCAATCATTTAATCAAGATTCCATATGGGCACTGTGTTTATTGCTCTAACATAGGTGTACCAACCAATCATTTAATCAAGATTCCATATGGGCACTGTGTTTATTGCTCTAACATTGGTGAACCAACCAATCATTCAATCAAGATTCCATATGGGCACTGTGTTTTTGCTCTAACATAGGTGTACCAACCAATCATTTAATCAAGATTCCATATGGGCACTGTGTTTATTGCTCTAACATAGGTGTACCAACCAATCATTTAATCAAGATTCCATATTGGCACTGTGTTTATTGCTCTAACATAGGTGTATTAACCAATCATTTAATCAAGATTCCATATGGGCACTGTGTTTATTGCTCTAACATAGGTGAACCAACCAATCATTTAATCAAGATTCCATATGGGCACTGTGTTTATTGCTCTAACATAGGTGTACCAACCAATCATTTAATCAAGATTCCATATGGGCACTGTGTTTATTGCTCTAACACTGGTGAACCAACCAATCATTCAATCAAGATTCCATATGGGCACTGTGTTTTTGCTCTAACATAGGTGTACCAACCAATCATTTAATCAAGATTCCATATTGGCACTGTGTTTATTGCTCTAACATAGGTGAACCAACCAATCATTTAATCAAGATTCCATATGGGCACTGTGTTTATTGCTCTAACATAGGTGAGCCAACCAATCATTTAATCAAGATTCCATATGGGCACTGTGTTTATTGCTCTAACATAGGTGAGCCAACCAATCATTTAATCAAGATTCCATATGGGCACTGTGTTTATTGCTCTAACATAGGTGAACCAACCAATCATTTAATCAAGATTCCATATGGGCACTGTGTTTATTGCTCTAACATAGGTGAACCAACCAATCATTTAATCAAGATTCCATATGGACACTGTGTTTATTGCTCTAACATAGGTGTATAAACCAATCATTTAATCAAGATTCCATATTGGCACTGTGTCTATTGCTCTAACATAGGTGAACCAACCAATCATTCAATCAAGATTCCATATGGGCACTGTGTTTATTGCTCTAACATAGGTGAGCCAACCAATCATTTAATCAAGATTCCATATGGGCACTGTGTTTATTGCTCTAACATAGGTGAACCAACCAATCATTTAATCAAGATTCCATATGGGCACTGTGTTTATTGCACTGTCTAACATAGGTGAACCAACCAATCATTTAATCAACATCCACATGATGACTCTTTCTAATGGTACTATATATTTTCAGGTTTACCAACAAGTTCTCAATGACCAGGGTAAGGCCTTAATGGAGAGTATTGTGGCCTCAGTTGTGGCAGAGAGGGCAGCCTTGGACAATGTACGCAGCGATAGGGATTTCAATAATATAGCTCAGAGAATTAATGGGGTAGGTAGATTTAATTTTCCAGCAAACATTTGTTCTCTGCTTGTTGATGATCTATGAATCTCCTCTTTACATGTAGAAACTAAATTCACTTTTCTAGGATGGATATTCTCAGTGTAGCCTTCGATAAATTTAAGAGATTTCTGTTTGGTACATAAAGAACCTTAACCTTATGGGGTTTAACCTTTGTCTGAACTTAAACCTTTCTTTAACTTTTGTATGATCTTTCACCTTTGTATGACCTTGACAGAAACATTTATATGACCTTTAACCTCTAAATAAACATTTAACATTTAAATGACTTCAAATTAATCTTTTAATGACATGTAATCTTTATCTGATTCTTGTAGGATGTACGTGCAATGTTACTGATTTTCTCAGTCCAACCTCCCAAGAGTTTTGGTGGCATCTTAAAACAAAACCTTCAGTCGATTCTAAAAATTTGCCAGAAGTACCAGCAAGCCAAGAGGGCCAGGGAAGAGCAGGAGAGAAAGCGAGAAGAGCAGGAAAGGAAACTGGAAGAGCAGGAAAGAAAGAAGCTTGAAGAGGAGAGGGAGAAGTTGGAAAGGAAGAAGATTGAGATAGAGCAGGAGATAGAGGCGGAGACGAGGAAGAAGCGAGGAAGTGTGGATAGCAAGCTGCCAGAAACTGGAGGTACTGTATTTTGAATGCTCAACTTTAGGGAGGTACTGTATTTTGAATGCTCAACTTAAGGGAGGTACTGTATTTTGAATGCTCAACTTAAGGGAGGTACTGTATTTTGAATGCTCAACTTTAGGGAGCTACTGTATTTTGAATGCTCAACTTAAGGGAGGTACTGTATTTTGAATGCTCAACTTAAGGGAGGTACTGTATTTTGAATGCTCAACTTTAGGGAGCTACTGTATTTTGAATGCTCAACTTAAGGGAGGTACTGTATTTTGAATGCTCAACTTAAGGGAGGTACTGTATTTTGAATGCTCAACTTAAGGGAGGTACTGTATTTTGAATGCTCAACTTAAGGGAGGTACTGTATTTTGAATGCTCAACTTTAGGGAAGTACTGTATTTTGAATGCTCAACTTAAGGGAGGTACTGTATTTTGAATGCTCAACTATAGGAAGGTACTGTATTTTGAATGCTCAACTTAAGGGAGGTACTGTATTTTGAATGCTCAACTTAAGGGAGGTACTGTATTTTGAATGCTCAACTTAAGGGAGGCATTGTATTTTGAATGCTCAACCCTAAGGGAGGTACTGTATTTTGAATGCTCAACTTTAGGGAGCTACTGTATTTTGAATGCTCAACTTAAGGGAGGTAATGTATTTTGAATGCTCAACTATAGGGAGGTACTGTATTTTGAATGCTCAACTTAAGGGAGGTACTGTATTTTGAATGCTCAACTTAAGGGATGGGCAGAGATTCTATCATGTTATTTAATCTCGCTTGTCGTTAAATGACTAAAATCAAGAAGCTATTGATCTACAAAGTTAGCCAATGAACATTTGTGTTGAACTTAATATTTTATCAAACATGCAATCCAAAATACAAAGTTGTTACAATTATTTATATCTACCCTTGATCTTATATATATATAACTCTGACTGGTATATTTCAGGTGGGTCAGCAAAAAAGCGCCGTCGCACAACCTCAACAGAACACCACATACAGGGGGACAAGTCTGAGACTATTGAAGATAAAAACCCAACAGATAAACCCATGGATACTACCAGTGATATCCCCTCTAGCACCACAGATGACTCTAATGTTCCTAGTGATAAACCAGGCCATTCTAGTGAAAAATCAGGCCAGAGTGAAAAACCAGGTCTACGTGACAAATCAGGCCTCGGTGACAAATCAGGCCTTAGTGATAAACCCAATGTTACAAATGACAAGCCAAGACTTTCTAATGAAATGCAAGAGTCAACAAGTGACAAGCCTACCCTTTCAAGTGACAAAGATATCCCATGTGACAAGAGCCTTCCTGGTGACAAGGCCAACCTTCCAAGTAGCAGCAAAGATGTTCCTTCGTGCAGTACAGACAATAGTAATGACTCTTCAAGTAAAGATACCTCTGAAGATCAAAAATCAAGCGATAATGACTCAAAACCTGTCACTCAAGATCCAAAAACAAAAACTATGAAAAAGTCCAGTGAAAAACCAAGCACTTCAACGAGGGCTTACGAAAAACCTGGCCCACTCTCGAAAAAATTAGCAAGAAACCCTCGAGAGAGGCCAGGTCCTGTGGATATGTGCATTAGAAATATTGATAATTTATTTGGGATGATAAACAAAGGAAGGGACAGTAGTGAAGAAACAGAAGACCAATGATGTGGAAATAACAACATCAAAAATGTCATGACAGTATTTTTAATGTTAATAATACAGTGAACCTGTCTAATACGAACACCAGTAATTTTCAGATTAGCAGGTGGCCACATTTCAAGTTTTTTAATCAAATTTGAGACAGACAGAAAGCATTTAGATTGAGAGGTGTTTCATGGATTAGAGAGGTGTTTGGATATACAGGTTTAGTGCACAATGAAAATATGGTAAATATAATATAAGATTTTTTCAAAATGGTTGTAAATGTTCACAAAGTTTGTCAAGATTGTATTCAATGCTATGGAGATCACTGAAAAGAAATGTGAGAAAATAAGACTAATATTTTTGAGAGAAATTTAATGAGTACATGTGCACTTTGTATGATTGTTACAAAATTGAAAACATGAATGTCGTTTAATAATTGGCCAGGGTGTCCTCTGGATTGTGTTATATTATGCATTTTATGGAATATATAAGCGAATCATCGTACATGTACATGATGTTGTGCGTATGTGTTCATATTCCTGATGTTCTTATTCTACAAGAAAATAGAGACAGTTTGATAAGTAAAAGGAACTGTACAATGTATGTATTAAATGGGTTAATTTGACTTTTTCATCTCAATTTTACTAGCTGAATTTTAGATTCCCATTTGTTTTGAATAAATTGTAATTAAAATTTAAATTTAAATTTTGACTGAAATATGTTGCATTTAGAAGTTTGACACCTGTCTTTATTATGAATAATTTGTACAATTCATTGTTTGAATTTAAACATATAGAATACATGTGGATACACTTCAATAAGGTATTGCTGAAATAACATAATATAAACAGTTTATATAAAACATGATTGGAGTTTGGATGTTTCTTCAATCCTCTCTCAAAAGGCCACATCTATGGACTATTTTTGTTGATGAATATGTGTACCAATGTCATGAAAACTTGTTTAAAAGGACTTAATAAGTAATATACATGTACTATGTCCATAGTGTTAACAAGAAAACTTATTAACTATTTAGTGAAGTCACAGATCCACTAAGATGGATTCAAAATATGTTGCCCCAGCAAGTTGTATTGATGTGTTTAGATGCGTCAACAATAGATGGCAGTCTGTGAAGAGTTAGTAGACAAACCACTGGTGCCATCTAGTGCCAACAAGGAAATGCCTAAAATGAATGAGAAAGTCTAATCTGAATGCCTGAAATTAAAATTACAGTAATCTGAATGCCTAAAATGAAAATTACAGTAAAACCTATTAATCCGAATGCCTATGGAAACGGCTAAGAGTTAGAATAAATGGATTTTAATATTTTGAGGTTTTTTGAACACAAAAGTCCTTGGCAGATAAAAAAATGAGTAGCTTTCACATTGAGAGCTATTTGATTAAGAGAGTTCAGATATACAGGTGTTCAGCTATACAGGTGTTCAGCTATACAGGTGTTTAGCTATACAGGTGTTCGGATATACAGGTTTTACTTTAGAAGGCACAAGAGTGGAGTCACTCAGGAATAAAGTGAACAGGCATGTAATGAACACTGTAAATGACACCAGGTAATGCGAATCATGCAGTCAATTCTAATTTAGGGAGAAAACCTGTAAAATGGCATGAGTGATTCTTCTCAGCTCCAGCTCTCTGTAGGAGAACACGCAACACGCGGTGCTTGTCATATTGACAAAAATGAAAAGTTCTAGTTCTGTCTTTGTAACTTGAACATTTTATAATAAACTATTGTCTCAAAGACATGCATAATTGTGTTTTGTGCGATTTGAGGTTTCTTTCAATACTCATTGTATTTTTACCGACATCAACTTTGTTAAAATGTACAGATGGCATTTAAGACTGTATATTTCTGTCCAAAAGCTTCGAAGCATATGTTACACAGTATATAGATCGAATACCAGTGAAGATATACTTGATATGTGGATCAAGATATCATATTTTAGCAAAAAATGCCCAAAACCATCGAATATCACTTCTTAAAAAGCGATATTCGATTGTTTCAAAAGTGATATTCTATATTAAAAATTTTATCAATTTTTCAAAAAAAAATGTTGCAACCATTTTCAACATTCTTTCGCTGTTCAACGCTTTTCTATGGAATAAACGGTAAATTATATTTTTCACTTTTTATCAGTGACACGTGACTTCGTAGAACTCTGCGGCTCAATACATTAAAATACATTTGAAATACATAGGCTAATACAATTAGATTAAAAACAATAAAAGATAAAAAACAATTCGTACACGATACATGTATAGAATATCAGATAATTTGACTTAGAATCTTAAATTGAATTTATACCATGTTTACAAGTGATGTGTTCTATTATTTTGATTTTTGAGTCCTGAGTTTTATCCACAAATGGATATGTAATGCAAGAGCGAGCGCATACGCCAAACAATATTATTTTGCACTTGTTACATAACAACCCATGGATACCACGGTAACATGAGATAAAATGAAGATTCATCAAAATAAATTACCCTTTCTACTTTCCAAATATAGTTGCTCACTGTCAACTGACAGTATATGTGAACATTTGAATTCAATTTTCTCTAAAATGTTAATGAAATAATTTTTGAAGTGCTTTGTCCGTGAAGTACCACGCCACTTGTTATTTAAATAATTAATCCTCGGTAACATTTTTTGCTCTACGGCGGCCGTAGCTTTATAAAATATGCATCAAACTGCTTATCCTTATATTTTGGGCTTCATATTTCTCAATTTTGGAAAGCTACGGCCGCTGTACGGTTGCCGTAGATCAAATGTGACCAAGAAATTACATGTTATCGAGAATATAATCAGTTTCTCAATACTTTGCTATATCATGCTTCGAGCCATCTTTATTACAACTTGGGTCGTCTTTTTTATTATGTCCCGCAGTGTTTTTCAACTTGATACACTTCTTGTATATTCAAATCATCTACTGAAAAAGAAGTATCTGCGGTGGACACCCCTGCGATAGATCTCCCTGAATGGTCATCAAGTTTATTCAATGATGTCACAATTGTGGTTCGTTTTGTATCATTCGATGTAGTGCTGTCCCGATGTCTGCCATTTGTGAATATATTGATCATCGCATTGCGAAATGTGGTATGGCTGAACGCATATATCAGGGGGTTGATACAGCAGTTTGTATAAGCTGCCAGCGCTCCAATTTGGAATTTAAGTCCTACGTAGTTGTCAACTATTCCAGCGTAGAAACACACTGAATATACATGAGACCAAGTCCAACACAGGAAAAATGCCATGGCAACACCAATTAATGTGCGTATGACCGTAATCTTGCTTCGTAGCATTTGTTTTTCCCGCTGCGACGTTCCTACATTTGTTTTCGCCTGCCTGTGTATAAGGACAACCATTCTGCTGTAGCAAAAGATCATCAGGCACATTGGTATAAAATATTTGATAAAAAATTTAACAATACCAAAAACAGTTTCGAATGTTCTGCTTGGCATCTCTGTCCATAAAGAGCAAGAATTACCTTTCATCGTTGACGTCGTTATTATATAGATATCAAGTATGATTCCGACAAGCCACACCATAATGATCGTAGTCCAAATATGTTTTCTTGTGATGTATGCTTTATAAGATAGCGGATGGATCAAAGCTATGTAGCGTTCCATGGTTAATGCAACAAGGTTGAACGTCGATGACGTCATGCATGTCCATAATAGAAACTCAGATAACCACACCGAACAGAAAAATGTTACAACCGGTCCTGGTTCAGAAATCCATGGCCAGGCCATTCCATCAAACATTTTATTGAAAAATATGAAAAATGATGCAAACAAATCGATTATACTTTGGTTAATAAGCAACATATTACTGATCTTTCGCCTCAGGTCAATTGATTTGAGAAAGACAAAAAGTACAAATAAATTTCCGAAAAATCCCATGCCACCAACTGCGTAGAAGAATATTTTTTCGGTAAATGAATTTGAGAAATTAACATCAAACGTAAACTTTGTATCGTTAAAATGCGGTGACGTGTCTACTGTCGAATTTCCATTATCATGTCCATTGCTCTCCATAGTTGATAAATATGTCTAGTACATGTAGGTAGTTAGAGTCCATTCAGTAAATGTTTTTGTGAGTCACATCGATCCCATCATGATCCTGGTTTCTGTTTACCGCTCCGTCGTGCCATCGACGTTTTATTATTCATTTTTATATATAATTAGTGGCCCTTACAATAGATTTTCTTTTTTAAGGAGAAACATTTTTCAAAAACTGAGATGGGCTAATAATACAGTGGCGGATCCAGGGGGGGGGGGGGCATTTGTGGGCCCAGAAAAACCTTGTAGGGCTTCAAAAATGGGCCTTTTGGGCCTACTTTGGTCTTTCAGGCCTTTTTAGTCCAAATTATCAAAAATGGGCCTCAAGTTTTCAAAAGTTGGTTTTAGGGAAACAACATTTTTTCCAGACTCAAAATTTGCCCCTCCCCCGTTGTTAGCTTCTGGATCCGCCAGTGTGACCCAGTATCTATCGGAATGATTCAAATGACATTTCATTAGTCTAGCGTCAAGCCCCTGCACACAGAAGTGAGAAATGAGAGGTGTTTAGTCAATAGAGGGGGGGGGGGTCATAGAGGCTTCCAACTAGACCAACTTTATTGTTTAATTTTGAAGATAACATATTGTTTTAATGTAAAACGAGAAATATGTGGTCTACCAGTAATGCCAGTCAAAATTAAATCTGTCCAAAATTGTTCGCGATACATTACGTGGTCCGTTCTGTAGATTAATGTATATAATTTTATCCTATTGAAGGAGACAACAATTCGTAAAGTTAAAACCACAGACATATAAAAGGCCTGATTGAGTTTCTACTCTTACCCGGCCAGATCTAGATCAGATGAAACATAATGCTATCCCATGAATGCTATATGCATTGTCCTATTTACTTGAGTCCATTAACCTTATCCATGGAACAAAAAGCTCTTAATAGCATTCAAAGATTAATTAACAAAGTCCTATTATTTCCCGATATTTTCAACACTGATACTCACCTAGTTACGCTGACGATACGCCAGCGTAACAAGATGGAAGAACTTCAGGGCTTCGGTTTCGGTAATATATTTTTATTTCTCGATTCTACACCACTTAAAAGTCAAGTTGTGGACAATAATTTTGCTCAAAGTTAAGTAATCGTTAATATACATAATAACAGTTATGTAACAAACGGCAGGTAGTGGTAGAATCTACGTGTGCCCGCAAAGGACATTTAGAGCACATGTTGAAATGCTAATAAAGGTACATAGTTGAGCTAGTCATCAAAAACGTTTGTGGAGTTGCTCCATGGAGCTAGTTTTAATGTGCTTAATGAATAATGAGAATAATATTATACAGACAGAAAATGATACACCATTGTGTAGGTGGGTGGTTGGCATTTTTGTGTCACCCTGTATATCAAAAATAATCAGTAAGAAATATTCATTCTTTAGAACCAGGCTCACCTTCAAACATAATGGCATACTGGGATATCACACAGGATATTCTTTGTCACGTAAGGTATGTTCAAGAAATGAAAAAGATGACAGTGAGAAAAAGAAACAGCAGTTTTCGCAGTATTTGACACTTTACTAAGAAACACAAGTCTCATATTTTTCTGTGGAAAAAGTACAGATATATTGAACATTCAGCTTAAATTACAATTTTTCAAGTTTATTGTTCAAGACAGTCACATGCACATTTTCTCAACATATTTGTCAAGATGAAATAATTTACAAGTTTATAATAATTGATCCTATGAGTCCACTTGTTAAAATAAACTAGCACCATAACCAAATGTTTGCTTGATTGGAAGCCAATAATATTTCATCCAGCCCTCTTGGGTTTTTTCATAGTCTTGTTCTGGGATACCCGTTTGTTCAAGATTTAATTGAGTACAGTCAGCCTTTTCCTCCAAACTGAGAGTCACTTCTGAATAATGGCCCGTGGGCCAATGTTTAAATCTCCACTTTTGTTGTATTGTTTTATAGGGTTCCTGAAATAGTAAAAATTGTATTGTTTATTAAAGTGATTTTACAGTTTGATTAAATAGAAACAAATATATTTTTGCATTCCACTACAATTGATAGTAATTATAAATAAATGAAGAGAGTGAAATATCTTCAAAGAAAGGCATGCAGACAATTGTCAATCTATTTAAATAATTGCTTTTTTTCAAAGGAGGAGGGAAAGTATCGCAACAGATTTAAAACATTCATATGTTGGATATTCGCTATTTTTTTAGGATTTAAACAGGTGCATATGTTAGGCCAATGCATTTCCTTCAGGAAAATCACTCATAGAGATGATAAACTTGAACTATATGTCAAACTAATACATTTTATAGGTATATTACCAAAATTCCAAACAGTAATACTCATTTCAAAAATTATTTGAGTTATATCCCAACTGAACTTTGTTCGTTAGGATATTAAAAAAATTGTACATACCACATTGATAAATTGTCCTGCTACATTTCCCCCGAAGTAAGTAAAGTTCGCCCCAGGTTCTGCCTGGTTCTCAACAGGTCCTCTAGTGAAAGCCTGGACCCTCTATAGATAATGCAAATACACAAATAAATTTATATTTCATGTACTTTTTCAATTTGGAACTTGTCATGCCACCTATTAGATGATACAATTTCATAAAACTTAAATATTGTAAAAGAAATAAATGTTTCTATTCATGATGTAAACTGCCGGCTGTAATAACTCTTTAATCATATATATTAGTATTTTAGGGTCAGAAATACTGTAGGTAATGAGTAACTGTAATGGGGAAATGATGACCAACCTCTCTTTCTGTAAGAGCCCTGTATAGATCAACAGCCTGACATTTGAATTCTTCTTTCAATTTTAACGTTTTAGTTCTTATTTTTACACCAATGTCCAACTGCCCAACATCCACTTTTGATAATATACTTGAAGTGGAAGCCTGAAATAGAAATAGATTTTGAAAAATAATAATTAAAGGTCCAATGCAAAGAATTTTTGTTATCATGTTTTTCATTATTTGAGACATTTTTCAAAAAACCTTTGTAACAAAGTAACTGGCCTTAAAGGCAGAATCAGATCTATAGTGGTGACAAAGTTACAGACAACATGTACAATTTACCTACCAATCCATTCCTTACAATCTCAAATACAATATCTCCAAAAAGATTCAGGATATGTTATAAATTGGTGAAGTCATTATGGATTCAAAGTGCAAAAATGGGTGAAAAGTGTTTAAATTCTTCCAAATAATAATAATGATATAGAAAAATAATGCATTACTGTAAAAGTCTTTAGTTTTCCTGAAATAAAGTGTGAACTTTTGGGATTTTTAGAAAATAGACATGATAAGGAATGACATGAGCCAGAAATATTCTAAAATTGAAACAATTTTTTGTTTGTCTGCCTGCTAGATCTGTTTCTTTTTTTAATTTTAAAATATTTGATTACATCAATTTTATAAATATTTCTAAATGGTTTAAATTTCCATGGGGCCTTTAACTTTTTATTTTGAATATGCATTCGAAATATATTGTACTATATTATGTACAATGTTACGCCTTAAAGGGTCAGAAATATGAACAATCAAACCTCTCCTCATGTATTATATTATACCTTTTGCTTTGATATCAGATTTGCCTTTTGACTTTACCAATGATATCACAAGACTGTGATGTTACCAGTTACAAGGTCACTGTCAAAATAATAATGTCAAGGTGAAATTTATTGGGGATGGCTGGATCATTGTTTTTATTGAAGCACTGATTTATTTAATTCTTATATTGTACATTCAATACGCACCTTTTGTGAAACTGTATTTTTATTTGTAGTTTTGTTTACTGGTTTAACAACTTCACCATCTTTTGCAGTGGGAAGAATCATACCCTGACTGTATTCTGAAAATACCATAAGTAGAAAATGTTTTAGGTAGAAGCGAGAAGCTAAATAATCATGGTCAATGAAACTTATTAGAATGAAAGAACATCGAACAAGATTTAATTATGGCAAATATGAATTTAAACCCATGCTGGATGACAGACAAGTTTGATTGGGTAACCTTTTTGGCTCAGCCTGTATTAAAACATCATGTTATCTTGTTAAAATGAAAAACTTTTTAAAAGCATTAGAAATGTTTTGAGGAAACTGGCATATAGAATGATCAGCATTATTTACAATGTAATTCAACTGAAATATGATATATTTTGAGATCACATTCATTTTATAATACTAGTACCTTCTTTTAACTTTTTGATATACTGGCCAAGTTGCTGTTGTATTTTTTCCGTGCCATTCACCCTGAGGATTTCTTTTAGTTTATATGCATCATCATTTTTGCTTTTGGTAGTTATTTGAATCTGTAAGAGAAACAAATGTTATCAATTCAATCTTGAATAATTCATTTGTACAATTTCTCTATATCTGCCTCGACTTCTTTTGATGAGACATGAAGAGATGGTATTACCTAGAATTCATAGATGAACATTTTTGTATGACTTACATCAAGGTCTTCAGGATCATTCTCATCACTGAGATTCGGGATCTCCATGGTGCCTTTGAATTTGCTCTTTCCATCTGTGAGTTTGCCTTAATAATGAAAAAAGATAAACCAAATGAAGATTTAAATAGGTCAGTTTCTGCAATACTGATCTTATATTGCATCAAAATTATTTTAATTTCTATTTAACCATAGCCAGAATACTCTCAACCAATCAAATTGTTTACTGTATATTGGGTTAATTTTGCGCTACTTAATTTGGCTATTTTGGTATTTTTCACATTGGCATGGCAGCTATTCCATTTGGCGGACACTAGGGCTTTGACATTGCTCTGACACCACAACTTCCAAATACATCAGAATAAGAAACAATAATTGTTGAATAGGTACTCCCTATGGGAAGCTCAATAACGTTCATTCAGCTTATCTTTTCAGATTTTGTAAAATCTGAACTGGAAGTAACTTAAATACACAGGACGAAGCTCCCTGGAAGATTCCCAGGAATCCTTTCTAAATTTTGGCTAAGATGTAAATTGGTGTTTTTTTCATTTCGCCAAATTAAAGTGGGCGCCAAATGTACTTTAACTCAAACCTTCAAACTTATGAAAATAAATTGCTTACAAGTAAACATTAGGAGTTTCAAATTGAAAAAGGTTCTTACCTTTTTCAAATTTCAAAAGTGATTTGGGGGTGGAGGGAGGTAAATTGCAAGGATTGGATTTGTTACAGAAAAATCTTGAATATTACTAAGTGGTTGATAATGCAACTTCAATACTGTATTTTATAAAATTTAATTTTTATTTCCCATTCATAGAAAAATATGAGTTTTGCTTTCCTATTATTTGCTGAGGCTTCGCCATCTATTTTGCTAACTTCGGTGATTTCACAACATTTTTCAAAATGGCCGCCTTCTACTAAAAGTGTCTTTAGACAGTGTGCAATGTTTATAGTATTCACATACCAAATATGAACAAAATCGCTCCACTACTTTTCGAGTTACAGCAAAAATCGTAAAATAATGAGTAAAGACCGCCATTTTTCAAGATGGCTGCCGTGTGCTTCTTTAATATCTACATTTCTAGCTTTAATAATGTCCTATATAATTTTTTTACATCTATAACATATTGCTATTACAGTTTTACATATTGCACCTAAATTACTGTAAATTCGGCACTAAAATGGCCGCCATTTTGAAATGAGCGGCCATTTTGAAAATCGGCTTTCGAGCAGAACTTCTACCCCCATAGGGTATAAGTGTACAAAATATGAACAAAATCGGGCCAACGGTATTTGAGTTATTGCCCGGACGGACGGACGTACGTACGTACGTACGTACGTACGGACGGACGGACGGACGGACGTATGTACGGATGGACGGACGGACGGACGGACGTACGTACGGATGGACGGACGGACGGACGGAGGCGTTCCCTATATCCCTCCGAACTTCGTTCGATGGGATAATAATTGTAAAATTATTCACTTTTTATGGTAATTTCATCGGGAACAATTTTGTAGTCTTCAATTATGACATATTTGGCCTAAATCTTTTGATTTTCAGTATGGAGAATCAAATTCATCTGCATATTTCGACTTTATCAATGTCGCCAAAGATTATCATATTTTTAGATATTGTAGATTTAAATGTCCTATTTTGTATACTTTAGTTTTAATGATGGTAATATTTTTAATTTTTTCATTTACATCTACATAAATAATCTGCAAAAGGCTGATGAGCCCATTTAAAGCAGATATATTTACTTCCTGCGAAAGCTATGTGGATTTTGATACATAGCTTTCCCATGGCGCACTGGACAGCTGAATAATAGTGACCTTTAAAACATGAATAATGAGATCAGCGACTAACTTTTGGTCTCTAACTGAGTCTTACATCAGTATCATCCATCCGTGCAAGTATTGGATACAAGTCTTGATCGAAAAGGAAGTACATCAGCGCTCCAATACTTTGCATGGAAGGATGAAAATGATGTATGACATAGTTCAGTAGTTAGAGAGCAAAAGTAAGCCGCTGATCACCTTAATTCGTGTTTCAAATAATGAAAAAAGATAAACCAAATGAAGGTTTAAATATTTTCTTCAATTCTTATCTTATATTGCATCATAATTATTTTAATTTCTATGTAAAGGCCCACTATACTTAATTTAGAAGAATAACGAAAAAAGTAATCATTGAAACATGTTACTCACACACTCGCTCAAATATGACACAAAGTTTTAGTTGCTCTAATATTTAACCAAGAAAAAAATAACTCACATAGAAAAAAGCATTTGAAGTTGAGAGATAATTGGTAGTGCATACACATGTTAAATAAAGCGCGTGTTTTAAATTGATCTTGATTTAAAAGATGGCGACACTTCTTTAAAAATGAATGTTTCATGTAATACAAACAACTTCGCCATCTTTCAATGACATTGATAAAAACTTGAAATATATAGCTTGACAGATCGAAATTATTTTTTGATTATTTATTGTAAGCTTTGATGTGGTCCGTTTGAGCTGCTGTTGGTGTCAAATGAAAGATAAGGGTCTTATCAATACATAGGACAAACTATGAAATTCAAATATAAGCCTTTATTTTGACGAAAAACGTTGAAAATACGCAAAGTGGGCCTTTAACCATAGCTAGAATACTCTCAACCAATCAAATTGTATACTGTATATTGGGTTAATTTGGCGCTACTTAATTTGGTTATTTTGGCATTTTTTCACATTGGCATGGCAGCTATTCCATTTGGCGGACACTAGGGCTTTGACATTGCTCTGACACCACAACTTCCAAATACATCAGAATAAGAAACAATAATTGTTGAATAGGTACTCCCTATGGGAAGCTCAATAACGTTCATTCAGCTTATCTTTTCAGATTTTGTAAAATCTGAACTGGAAGTAACTTAAATACACAGGACAAAGCTCCCTGGAAGATTCCCAGGAATCCTTTCTAAATTTTGGCTAAGATGTAAATTGATGTTTTTTTCATTTCGCCAAATTAAAGTGGGCGCCAAATGTACTTTAACTCAAACCTTCAAACTTATGAAAATAAATTGCTTACAAGTAAACATTAGGAGTTTCGAATTGAAATAGGTTCTTACCTTTTTCAAATTTCAAAAGTGATTTGGGGGTGGAGGGAGGTAAATTGCAAGGATTGGATTTGTTACAGAAAAATCTTGAATATTACTAAGTGGTTGATAATGCAACTTCAATAATATATTTTATAAAATTTAACAAATAGGGGAAGGAGCAGGCCTGAGACTTTTCAAATTAGTTTTCCCCCTCTCATGAAATTCAACAGTCTGTTTAAATGTTTAATTGTGCAAAAATTAGAGACAATTAAAATTAAAAAATAAATGAATGAATGAATAAATAAACATTTTTACATAATATGTTGAACATACCTGACCATTCTGCTTTTATTTCCCATTCATAGAAAAATATGAGTTTTGCTTTCCTATTATTTGCTGAGGCTTCGCCATCTATTTTGCTAACTTCGGTGATTTCACAACAGCCTGAAAAATAATATATTTTTCAAAAATCTGCAAAAATATAGAGGTATAAATTGACATTACTAAAAATTAATTATAAATTTTCAAAAATTTCAAAGTATGTTTAAGTTTCTAATGTTTTCATAATGTTTCTGTTCAAACTGAGCTACAATTCATCCTTTAACTTCTTAAGATTATTTCTTAAATTTTACCTTCATCTGTTTCTACTTTAAGGCCCACTAGTAAATCTGTAAGCACCTTTTTTGACCATTGTGTTGCGTTTTTCTCGGTCCTGAAATTTCATATGGTATAATCATGTAATTTTTTCAATCATCAATAAGCAATAATTTGACCCTTCCCCTATAAGAAATATGTTTAATTTGGACGGATTCCCTAGACACTATAAATTCTATAGAATCAATAAAAGGTACAATTAAAGACTTTAATTTAACTCTGAATGAAAATGTAAACTTACCAGTGCCAATTGTTCACATTAGTAGCATCAGCCCTTTCCTCAACAATCCATCTAGGGTCACCTTCTCCCCATTTGGCCATTTTATGATGTTTAGTTTAACTGAAATGGTTTAGATTATCATTGATGAACTTCAATGTCAATTAATTTTCACCAATATTCATTACCAAATACTTTACTGCAAACAATTGCCATCTACTTGCCTGAATGGCTTCATGAATGTTACCAGATTGAATGTTACCAGATTGAATGTTATTTGGAAAGATATGCTGCCATTTTTCTCACAGATAACCTGGATTAACATTCATTTGGCTATCACGTTGGTAGCATTTGTAAAGCCATTCAGAAAAAATTTGATGGCGGATAAGCTAAAGTGAATTTGCATTGGCAAGTTGAGAAGTGCCAAAACGTCTGTCTCAAAAGAAAAGATAGAAATTAATCTTAAAGAGTCAATTGTGGTAAGAAGTCATAAAGTAAGGGCTGAAAAAATCAATTTTTGGAATATAATGTAGGGCTGTACCTGATGTCTTTACAACTACTCTTCAAGGTAGGTGTGGCACCGGAGATGATAGAAAACCATTTAACAAAAGGCAGCAGAAAGGCAGTAATAAATATGGGGTAAATTCACAATTTTAATTAACATTAATAAGTCGAATAAAAAGCGACTTACTTTTGGTCTCTAACTGAGTCTTACATCAGTATCATCCATCCGTGCAAGTATTGGATACAAGTCTTGATCGAAAAGGAAGTACTTCAGCGCTCCAATACTTGCACGGAAGGGTGAAAATGATGTATGACATAGTTAGAGAACAAAAGTAAGCCGCTGATCACCTTAATTCGTATTTCAAAGGTCACTATTATTCAGCTAACCATTTCTCCGTGGAGAGCCATAAGTTTCAAAATCTAAAATGGCTCTCAAAGTGAGTAAAGATATATAGTTCACTATAACAGTGATAGAATTTGAATAGGATAGATTTTAAACCTTAACATTCAAAAAATAGATTTATGGTTTACAACTCATTTTAAAACTGAAAGGAAACTCCCTGGTTGGCCAATGTACCGCCTAGGAAGTCCATAAAAATTATTAGCTCACCCCCCCTACGTCATTTTCATGATAGTCTGCATAGTTTGTATTTTCATCTCTAATTTAGCTCACTTCTAACTCTATGATTTGAACATAAAATAGTCTAATGTGAAGTGTTGTCGCGATTAATCGATACATCGCGATATACATCGCCAAAGCTGGTTTTGGCGATGCATCGATGTCTGAAACAAAACATCGATATTTTTAAAAAAATTTAATTTGCTAAAAATCGCCCTTTCTTATCTTATTTTGACGCAAATTGCCTACCTTTTTTCATGTCTTATTTCATTTCCCAATGTTTTCTGATATTCTTTCGCTTTAAAACTGTTTTAGCTAGTCGAATTGAACCATTAATAATTAAAGAATTTACTTTACTTTCATTTCACCGTTACTAGAAGTTCCCGGATGTACCAGCCTACTCTTATTAATATGTTCTGTTCGGTATTTTAGTGCATTAGCCTTCGGTATTTCAGTGCACTTTTCTCGAACTTTTTCGCGATGTACATCGATGTTTACTACTGAAAATTGCCGATGCATCGATGTACGATTATGGCACATCGCGACAACACTACTAATGTGTGAGGTAAATTAAAAAAAATTCAAGAACAAAACTGAATGCAAATCTTCCCCACAGAAGAATTTATAGGGGTAGAATGCAGTGCCCAATCATTGAACCCCTTATGATTATCTGGGTGCCAATCAAGTCCTACGAATGCTAATTGACGTCATATCTAATAATACATTATAAGGGATAACCTTTATGTCACTATACCGTAGAATAAATGAATAAAGAAAATGTCAAAAACATGTGGCTTATGAAAAAAATGTCATAGCAACCAAATAAACCATTTAGAGTACAATCAGGATAATTATTATAATTTAAAAGACACAAATCGTAAGCTGATCATTTACCTGTATTCGGATGGTCGTATATTTTGCCTCGAACCTTCTATCCCTTGCTATATAAGAAAAATAAAAAAGCAAGAAGAAATTTCTGGAAAACCGGAAGTACAAATTTGTCTGTGGGAATCTAGGTCATGACACGCCAGAAGTTGGTATCGCGGGAAAGACAAAATTTGAAAACCAAATTGTAACACTTGTTTCACCAACATCGCTTGATATATGACAGAAAACTTCTTCAAATATTAGAATATACAATGATTTCGATCTAAAGAATAATACCAAAAAAGAAAACTGGGAGAATCATCTTGTATCAGTGAGTACATGCACAGGAAGTTGTATCACTAGCCTAGGCCTAGAGCTATCAAGACCTTTTTCGGCCTTTATTAGCCTAGATCTATGGGCTTTTGCCCCCCACCCCTCTCATAAGAGATGAATTCCGAGATTGGGGAAGGGCAAAAGGCTCCGTTAGGGCCAAAAAAGGAGGCCCAAAAATGTCTTGATACAACTTCCTGTGAGTAGCCTACATGTTTGTTTCAAGTTCCTAAATTTGTCTTCACAGTTGTTGTTGTTGTGTACCCCCATAAATGATAAATGTGGGGTTATTTTGAGTTTTTTGATATTTCGGACATTCTCAAAATTAATAACAAATGTCCGAAATATAAAAAAACCTCAAAATAAATATCAAAAAACCTCAAAATAACCCAACATATATGGGGGTATTGTTGTGTTGCATACGCCGCTGTTTCCTCGGCAGTTCGTCTCGTGTACTGTAATTTCTCTTTGTGCTCTCTCATGTGCTTCAATTTTCACTTGTTGCGCAGATATTGTATTCCATTATTTTGTTTCCAAGGCAGTGGCGTAGGAATAATGTACGCTAATATGCCAATGCGTAGTGTTGAAGTGAGAGCATGGGCTCTTTTTCTATGTTCTTCAGTCATATTTTCATACATATTGCAGGGGCGTAGCCAGCTTTCAGTTAGGGGGGCTGCGATCGCCCAAAAAATTTTGGTTATCAGTCAGAGGGGGGGGGGGTGCGATTGTGGCATAAACTAGCCCAAAAAATAAGATTTATTTTGAATTTTACAAAAATTGATGCAACTTCCTTCAAAATTGAGCTACAAGCTTCAAATAAAAAGCATTTTAAAGTTTGTTTCTTCTTCTTTCTCATGATTTTATTTTAATTGGTTATGGGGGGGGGGGGGTGCACCCATCGCTTCCCCTCTGGCTAGCTACGTGAGTTTAAAATAACTGGTTTGTGGTCTCAAGCACTCCAAAGGAATGTTTTTAGATGCATGTACTACTCCAAGAAATACATAACGAAATTCACCTAAATGATGAGAAGGTTCGTGCCACTTTAAGAAAAGACCAAGAAACTGAGCTTGGTTCCATAAAACCTCAGATAAAACCAAATTATCTATATGTATCTCAGACCTGCCAACATACCATTTATGGGGAACCTATTGTAAAAGTTTTGTTTTTTCCTTCTAATAACATTCAACTTTTATTTATGGGAACAATTAATCAAAATTAATTTCAAATTAATTTAAGTGTGACAAGACCCTTTAAAGTACAAGTTTATGTATACGTTTTCAAAACAACTTTTATCGAAACCTCTCTAGTGTGAGAACAGTTACCCGCCCAATTAATCTCTTTATGAATTATAAATCATGGTTAGTTAGTAGTATTGCAATTGCAACATCAAGATCACCCTGTATTTAATCAGAGACATAATAATAGATAACACATATCATCTGTCTCTGATTTACTATGGTTATTACCATTTTCTTTGAAGAACAATGCAACAAGAAGCAATGGGTACGTGAAATCATGGAGAGAGTCTAGCATCATGATCAGAGTTCTATTTATTGGACTGTTGTGTGTGGGTCTCGCCTATGGGAGAACTTCATGCTCCTGGGGTGTGGAGGTTGCCGAGTCATTCAACCTCTCATCGACAACCAGCAGGATCTTTAGTACAAAAGATATTGTACCCGTCAACGAATATATTAAAAACCTTGAAGTTTACCCTCTTATAGCTCCAAAGGTATGTACAGTATTGAGAAGTCATTGATAAATAACTAAGGATATTGAATTTTGAATGAAAGGGTCAGTAGCTGTAATTCTCATGATCCTGAACACTATTATATTTTTCATTCATAAATGAACAATAAGAAGACTGAAAATATCAGATTGAAAAAATAGAGAGAAAATAGCCTGTCCAATTGGCCTGCTTTCAATGAAATCTAACTATCTTTATTGTATTTCCAGGATGAAGCTGTTTTCGCTTACCCCTATGTCCTAAAAATAAGATTATTGTGCCAAGATGCGGTAAGTTACATGCATACATATAAATGTATTGCATAATTTTTAATCATAACTAATCATTACTATTAATTCAATGACTATTGCCCCCCTGTAGCCAGGATTTGCCAAGAGGGGGTTCACTTTTTGAAAAATTCCAGGGGGAGGTTCACATGTAACAATTTTTGTCCAAAAATGGCCAAAATCAATTAAAAAGTGCTCAGAATGGTGAAAATTGCATGATTTTGAAAGATTTTTTGGCAAGGGGGGGAGGTTCGCTCAAACCCCCCTGGCTACGGGCCTGTTTGAGCAGTCAGTTCGCACATCCTAAATCCTGCTCTTGAGTCCCGCTGGACAATTTTATTTTCATTTTAGTTTAATTTTTAAGATTCAGCTGGAAAGTAACATTTTGCTTAAACTATCCACAATTCATTGGGCCCTGGTCTTAAATACTTTGAAGTTTTTGCAATTAAGATCAATTGTTCATGAATCTTTTTTTGTTTAGGACCCATTTTTACAAACAAGGCGCTTGATTCTTTTTGGAATCACCCCTGAGGTCCATATGGAATATGAGCTTGAAGACAGCACCTACATTAGCAATACATTACATGGTCAGCTGTTAGATCTTATGAAATACCCAGGTGAGTGGGGGGAGGGCAGGGGGTAAATTGAAGACGACTCCTACATTAGCAATACACTACGTCACGGCAAGGGCGTTACAATACCCGGGAATTTATCGGTTCGTGCAGTACTTGTTTGTGATAGCGCCCTCTGTAGGTCACTGTGCTTAATAGCCTACAGTAATACAGGGTAGGATATCGGGAATTCGGTCAGTTTCTATCCGTCGATTACGCTATGAATTGAAGCAAGTGTGACCACTTTATTCACTTAAACAATTGATAATTGATTAAATCTTTAAACAAAATCGATAAACACGTTATACACTTCCTATCTCCTTAGAAATTAGCATGTATTTATGGATTGTGTTTTCGAACAAGGCTCGACCCAGACCAATAGGGAAATCCTTATGCTAATTAGTATGACGTCATATTTTCCTGGGGAATCCTAGATTTCAAAGCCTCACTGTTATTGTGACAGTGTCAAATGTAAACGCTCTTTTTGCAGACAGAAAATTGACAGATTAGCTTTTAACTTTCAGCTTTGATGTTTAAATATTCTGTATTTCTACAGGACTTCTTGCTGAATATCATATAATGTTATAACTTGATTTGGACCATGCCTGATTGATCATTCTGAAATTTTGATTGTCGTTCATCATTATTGATTGGCAAGAAAAATAATTCCTATTGTTTTCCAGCGAAGTCAAAATGTTACACCATGAGTTATGATGTCGAGTTTGCATCATGTTAAATTCTGCTAGTGATTAGAAGTCCATGCACAAGCATACACATATGTCTCTTATGATAAGAGACAAACACACCTAGGCTCCAGGCCGTGGATGGAAATATAAAACTATTTAAGGCACAAACTGGTATTTAATAGACCGATATGTAGTGTCTGCCATGTATTGAAGGTAAAACAATGTGCATTATTAATGTTACTTCTATCAATACATGGATTGTGCAATGGAAAAGCAATGGCACAATCAAAAATGTGCATATCAATCGTGAATATCTCTCGGTTCAAAGCTTATTTCCAACAGATTCGTGTCAAAATATGTGTCTGAGTAACAGTTATACATTATAAGATCGCAAACTCTTACCAATTATCAGCCGAATGGCTCATTTTCAACGAAATGTCCTTAAGACAACAGCCCTGGGTCGCGCCTGAGACCAAAAACTATTTCAAATAGCCCTCCCCTAAATATATTGGATAATCACATTTATGCGTGCGCGCGCAGCTCATCCACTGAACGAAACGCCACTTCCTGCTGAAATCACCGGGTATTGATCTTTCCCTTGGTCACGGTCAGCTGTTAGATCTTATGAAATACCCAGGTGAGTGGGGGGGGGGGGGTAGTTTGAAGACAGCTCCTACATTAGCAATACACTACATGGTCAGCTGTTAGATCTTATGAAATACCCAGGTGAGTGGGGGAGGGGGTAGCTTGAAGACAGCTCCTACATTAGCAATACACTACATGGTCAGCTGTTAGATCTTATGAAATACCCAGGTGAGTGGGGGAGGGGGTAACTTGAAGACAGCTCCTACATTAGCAATACACTACATGGTCAGCTGTTAGATCTTATGAAATACCCAGGTGAGTGGGGGAGGGGGTAGCTAGAAGACAGCTCCTACATTAGTGTTATGTATCTGGTTTCGGTACTGGTCATTAAGATATCTGATACCCTTAACTGAGTTTACCATGCCTATAGCAGACATTTGTAAGTCTGGCTTCCTACTAGAAACACACTAACTATGTAGTTCTTATATTATGTTTGATGTATAATAAAGTCTTGATACAAAACACAACATGGTGTCAGATGTGGGATTCAGAATTAGTAATGATCATATTTCAATGAGATGACTGTTAAAGTTTAATTTGTTTTTAAACTAAAAGAAGGGAGATGTTATGTATCTGGTTTCAGTACTGGTCATTAAGATATCTGATACCCTTAACTGAGATTACCATGCCTATAGCAGACACTTGTAAGTCTGGCTTCCTACTAGAAACATACTAACTATGTAGTTCTTATATTATGTTTGATGTATAATAAAGTCTTGATACAAAACACAACAATTAGCAATACACTACATGGTCAGCTGTTAGATCTTATGAAATACCCAGGTGAGTGGGGGAGGGGGTAACTTGAAGACAGCTCCTACATTAGCAATACACTACATGGTCAGCTGTTAGATCTTATGAAATACCCAGGTGAGTGGGGGAGGGCAGGGGGTAAATTGAAGACAGCTCCTACATTAGCAATACATTGCATGGTCAGCTGTTAGATCTTATGAAATACCCAGGTGAGTGGGGGAGGGCAGGGGGTAAATTGAAGACAGCTCCTACATTAGCAATACATTGCATGGTCAGCTGTTAGATCTTATGAAATACCCAGGTGAGTGGGGGAGGGCAGGGGGTAAATTGAAGACAGCTCCTACATTAGCAATACATTGCATGGTCAGCTGTTAGATCTTATGAAATACCCAGGTGAGTGGGGGAGGGCAGGGGGTAAATTGAAGACAGCTCCTACATTAGCAATACATTGCATGGTCAGCTGTTAGATCTTATGAAATACCCAGGTGAGTGGGGGAGGGCAGGGGGTAAATTGAAGACAGCTCCTACATTAGCAATACATTGCATGGTCAGCTGTTAGATCTTATGAAATACCCAGGTGAGTGGGGGGAGGGGGTTGCTTAGCAGGGGGAGGTAGAGGGTGATAGTATGGATAGGGGAATGGCAGACAACAAAAAGATTGATAACATTTCAAATAATGCGATTCATAGGGCTAAAATATTTCAACACAATAATTAATTTGTTAGAAAGTTAGTTTTGGAATATACTGGATTATATATGGACTACAAGTTTAACTAACCTAATGAATAATTATGTATTTTACATTGTACCTGTACTCTCAGCCATCAATGTTTGGGCTTATAAAATCCCCAGTTTTCTAACACGGGGAATCTTAGCTTCATGTTACATGTATTTAGGTCTGTCTTATTTATATTGAGTACATTTATGTCATTTTATCTTGCAGAAAGTTTCTCGCTGACGCATTGTTTCCAGGCAGTATGTGAACCAATCTGGACTGCCCCCCTTCCTATACACATGAATACAAAGTGGATCCACATCACATTCACTCTACCAGGCTTTAAATATATGATGCCAACTTATAGGTGAGTTTTGAGTACATGATGTCAACTTTTTTGTGAGTTTTGAGTACAAAGTTCAAACTAATAGGTGAGTTTTGAATACACAATGCCAACTTATACTGTATATGGGTTTTGAGTACGTGTTTTGAGTACATGATGCCAAATTATATTTGACTTTTGAGTACACATTTCCAACTTATGGGTGAATTTTGAGTACATGATGCCAACTTGTAGGTGTGTTTTGAGTTCATTGTTCCAACTTGTAGGTGTGTTTTGAGTATATGGTTCCAACTTATAGGTGTGTTTTGAGTATATGGTTCCATTTTATAGGTATGTTTTGAGTATATGGTTCCAACTTGTGTGTTTTGAGTATATGGTTCCAACTTATAGGTGTGTTTTGAGTACATTGTTCCAACTTATAGGTGTGTTTTGAGTATATGGTTCCATTTATAGGTATGTTTTGAGTATACGGTTCCAACTTGTGTGTTTTGAGTATATGGTTCCAACTTATAGGTGTGTTTTGAGTACATTGTTCCAACTTATAGGTGTGTTTTGAGTACATTGTTCCAACTTGTAGGTGTGTTTTGAGTACATTGTTCCAACTTGTAGGTGTGTTTTAAGTACATTGTTCCAACTTGTAGGTGTGTTTTGAGTACATTGTTCCAACTTATAGGTGTGTTTTGAGTACATTGTTCCATTTTATAGGTGCGTTTTGAGTACATTGTTCCAACTTGTAGGTGTGTTTTGAGTACATTGTTCCAACTTGTAGGTGTGTTTTGAGTACATTGTTCCAACTTGTAGGTGTGTTTTGAGTACATTGTTCCAACTTGTAGGTGTGTTTTGAGTACATTGTTCCAACTTGTAGGTGTGTTTTGAGTACATTGTTCCAACTTGTAGGTGTGTTTTGAGTATTTGATGCCTATTTATAGGTGGAACCGGAGCCAACTGTGACCTGATATGTGCATTTTGAGTTCATGATATCAATTTATAGGTGGGTCTTGAGTGCATAATGCCAATTTTAGTACATAATTTTTGTTGAGTCATGAGTACATGATGCCAACTAATTGCTGATAAGTCTTAAGGGGATGTAGAATGTCTTCAATAACTTGTTTATTAAATATTTTAACTGTATAAAATGTTACACATACATGTACAGTGTAAACACATTGTTGGGAAATAACAAAAACTAAATTGAAAGATAATTTTTTCAGTAAAATGATATCAGTCAATGGCTATGGTACTGAATTATCCCCCAAACCATTCAGTCTGCTTGGAGACAGTTACAGCATCTCCAGTTTAGATGTGAGTGTCCCTCTGTCAGTCCATCAGACTCCTAATCTGGCCCAGGCCTCAATTGCTAGTGGATTCACCCAATCCAACATAGGACTCTTCAGTGAGGATCACTTCAAGACTTTTAACACATTTCAGGTAAGTAACATGGTCAAGGTAAGATATTGATACATGTATGTCTCAAATGATGTATTTTACACCCACTTGAAAATCATTGTTTCTGCACTTCCATGCAAACTGTACTCTGAAGATTTACATCAATTACTTAAATCCCTTTACTTGTAATGATAACAAACACAAACATCATGATATTGCTCAACCTTAGTGCATTAATCCAGGGCCTATAGCCAGATTTTGCCAAGGGGGAGGGGGTCAGTTGTTAAATAATTTCATCCCAGCTACCAGCTTGCTCTGTATCTTGTTTGGAGTAAATAAAGGAAGGTCTAGCAAATCAAAATGATAAACATCAATCTTTCATATTGAAAAAAAGAATTGTCATTAACTTTTTCATTCACATTCATTAATTTAAATATCATTCTTGTTTTTAGTTTGATATATTGGAGCACCTAGCGACATCTATAGTCTGTCCCAGCAGTCTCAACATAACAGGAAATGACATCATTGATATGGTTGTTTTAAATGATCGCACAATTTTTGCAACTGTGGTAAGTTCTTATACATGTACTAAGTAAAATTACTAAAAAAAGGGTCAACGATACATAATTGGCCATTTAGTTGCATAGAAATCACATACCCTCTGTTAAGAAAAAAAGGTGCATGGTCCTTTATTAGTCATATCATTTTCAAAATTTTGTAAAATATTATTAAACGCTTTGAGGCACATGACACAAATATTGTTAATAACTGGTAGAAATTTTAAAAAATTAGATGAAAATTTAAAAAAGTTAGCAATGGTTAAAACCATTGTCTCACAACCTAACTAATGTGACTTTTTCCTTTTTATGTCATAAATTACACTGTGCTATTATACAGTGCAATATATTTTCTTCTAAGCCTAGGATATCATCTTCTATATGTTATATTCTTCATACCATTGTAAAGTTCATTCCAAACTGGTCATAACTGACAGGTTTGAAATAAACATTGACACACTGACAGAAAATTATGGAGGTGCCAAAATCTGTCTAAAACATGATTATTTGGACAATTTTACGCCTTAAATAGCAGTGAAATTAAGGATAAGATGTGACCATTTTGCTGAATAAATAAATTCATGTCTCAGAAGATCCTCTTCTTAAGCACATTGCTGGGTATAGGATTTCTCAAATTTATAATGTCAATTTATGGTAAAAAGTCACACTCACGATTTTTGGAGTTGTTATATTCAATTCTTTCCAACTTTTCACCATATTTACAAAATCCTTTGAAATTTTTTCAATTTGGTCAAAGTCTAAATACATCATGCCTCTGAAAGTTTGGTATGATAATAATGAAAAATAGAAAAGATATGATTGGTAAAGGACAATGCCCCTTTTTTCTTTACAGAGATTTTTATTTCAAGTTTGGTTCGGTAGAAGTACTCGGCGCATACTATAGTGTATTGGTTTTGCATATTTTTTATTTTATTTCCAGTATGTTTTAGAAGTCCTAAGCGCATACTGTAGTGTATTTGATTTTATGCTTTATTTTCAGTATGGTTTAGTAGAAGACCTAGGCACATACTATAGTGTATTGGATTCATACTTAAGTTCCAGTATGGTTTAGTAGAAGTCCTAGGCACATACTATAGTGTATCCAATTAATACTTTATTTCCAGTATGGTTTAGTAGAAGTCCTAGGCACATACTATAGTGTATCAGATTAATACTTTATTTCCAGTATGGTTTAGTAGAAGTCCTAGGCACATACTATAGTGTATCAGATTAATACTTTATTTCCAGTATGGTCTAGTAGAAGTCCTAGGCACATACTATAGTGTATGGGATTAATACTTTAGTATGGTTTAGTAGAAGTCCTAGGTACATAGCATATCAGATTGATACTTTATTTCCAGTATGGTTTAGTAGAAGTCCTAGGCACATACTATAGTGTATGGGATTAATACTTTATTTCCAGTATGGTTTAGTAGAAGTCCTAGGCACATACTATAGTGTATTAGATTAATACTTTATTTCCAGTATGGTTTAGTATAAGTTTTAGGCACATACTATAGTGTATCAGATTAATACTTTATTTCCAGTATGGTTTAGTAGAAGTCTTAGGCACATACTATAGTGTATCAGATTCATACTTTATTTCCAGTATGGTTTAGTAGAAGTCTTAGGCACATACTATAGTGTATCAGATTAATACTTTATTTCCAGTATGGTTTAGTAGAAGTACTAGGCACATACTATAGTGTATGGGATTAATACTTTATTTCCAGTATGGTCTAGTTGAAGTCCTAGGCACATACTTATATAGTGTATGGGATTAATACTTTATTTCCAGTATGGTCTAGTAGAAGTCCTAGGTACATACTATAGCATATCAGATTCATACTTTATTTCCAGTATGGTTTAGTTGAAGTCCTAGGCACATACTTAGTGTATGGGATTAATACTTTATTTCCAGTATGGTCTAGTAGAAGTCCTAGGTACATACTATAGTGTATGGGATTAATACTTAATTTCCAGCATGGTTCAGTAGAAGTCCTAGGCACATACTATAGTGTATGGGATTAATACTTTATTTCCAGTATGGTTTAGTAGAAGTCCTAGGCACATACTATTGTGTATCAGATTAATACTTTATTTCCAGTATGGTCTAGTTGAAGTCCTAGGCACATACTATAGTGTATGGGATTAATACTTTATTTCCAGTATGGTTTAGTAGAATTCCTAGGAACATACTATAGTGTATTCGATTACTACTGTACGCCCGGTATAATTTCGTGAATTTCACAAGGTTGAAATTCATTACTATTCCAGGAATTCTTGAGCTACTCGTGATGTCATATTTGGATGAGATTTACTATAACTGGGATCTTTATCATCGGCAAGCTGCATATCAACCTCTATTGCATCGTCATTTTTAATATTAAAGCAAAAGTGCGTGGCTCCCATAATAACTTTACCGTAATTCATACTGTATTTTATCGTATTCGGGGATTCCCCAGTATATGATGTCCAATCAAATTGCAGGCTACGATCACGTGAACAATCATGCGCACGTGCTCTTTCATTGCCGCACATGCGCATAGTAAAGTCATGGAGTTGCACAGTACTATTGAAGTACTATAACTCGATCCAAACTAGTAGAGAAAACTCACAAAGCAACAGCGAACATTGGGATACAGTACTAGTATCCATTTCAATGGCAAATGAGGTCAGTTTATAAAATTGGTTATCGAACGTGCCAATAGCAAAACGAAATGCATCAGAGCCCCGGGTAAAAACAAATTCCCGGGGATTAAATTGGCAATTTCGCGACGATAATTTTTTCGCGATTATAACACCCTCCCGAAAAGCGCGAAAGTAAATCGCACGCGAATAATACCGGGCATACAGTACTTTATTTCCAGTATGGTTTAGTAAAATTCCTAGGCACATACTATAGTGTATCAGATTAATACTTTATTTCCAGTATGGTTTAGTAGAAGTCTTAGGCACATACTATAGTGTATCAGATTCATACTTTATTTCCAGTATGGTTTAGTAGAAGTCTTAGGCACATACTTTAGTGTATCAGATTAATACTTTATTTCCAGTATGGTTTAGTAGAAGTCCTAGGCACATACTATAGTGTATGGGATTAATACTTCATTTCCAGTATGGTCTAGTAGAAGTCCTAGGTACATCTATAGCATATCAGATTCATACTTTATTTCCAGTATGGTTTAGTTGAAGTCCTAGGCACATACTTATAGTGTATGGGATTAATACTTTATTTCCAGTATGGTCTAGTAGAAGTCCTAGGTACATACTATAGTGTATCCGATTAATACTTTATTTCCAGTATGGTTTAGTAGAAGTCCTAGGCACATACTATAGTGTATCAGATTAATACTTTATTTCCAGTATGGTTTAGTAGAAGTCTTAGGCACATACTTATAGTGTATGGGATTAATACTTTATTTCCAGTATGGTCTAGTAGAAGTCCTAGGTACATACTATAGCATATCAGATTCATACTTTATTTCCAGTATGGTCTAGTAGAAGTCCTAGGTACATACTATAGTGTATCCGATTAATACTTTATTTCCAGTATGGTTTAGTAGAAGTCCTAGGCACATACTATAGTGTATCAGATTAATACTTTATTTCCAGTATGGTTTAGTAGAAGTCCTAGGCACATACTATAGTGTATCAGATTAATACTTTATTTCCAGTATGGTTTAGTAGAAGTCCTAGGCACATACTATAGTGTATCAGATTAATACTTTATTTCCAGTATGGTTTAGTAGAAGTCCTAGGCACATACTTATAGTGTATCTGATTAATACTTTATTTCCAGTATGGTTTAGTAGAAGTCTTAGGCACATACTATAGTATATCCGATTAATACTTTATTTCCAGTATGGTTTACTAGAAGTCCTAGGCACATACTATAGTGCATCTGATTAATATTTTATTTCCAGTATGGTTTAGTAGAAGTCCTAGGCGCATACTATAGTGTATCAGATTAATACTTTATTTCCAGTATGGTTTAGTAGAAGTCCTAGGCACATACTATAGTGTATCAGATTAATACTTTATTTCCAGTATGGTTTAGTAGAAGTCTTAGGCACATACTTATAGTGTATGGGATTAATACTTTATTTCCAGTATGGTCTAGTAGAAGTCCTAGGTACATACTATAGCATATCAGATTCATACTTTATTTCCAGTATGGTCTAGTAGAAGTCCTAGGTACATACTATAGTGTATCCGATTAATACTTTATTTCCAGTATGGTTTAGTAGAAGTCCTAGGCACATACTATAGTGTATCAGATTAATACTTTATTTCCAGTATGGTTTAGTAGAAGTACTAGGCACATACTATAGTGTATCAGATTAATACTTTATTTCCAGTATGGTTTAGTAGAAGTCCTAGGCACATACTTATAGTGTATCTGATTAATACTTTATTTCCAGTATGGTTTAGTAGAAGTCCCAGGCACATACTATAGTGCATCTGATTAATATTTTATTTCCAGTATGGTTTAGTAGAAGTCCTAGGCACATACTATAGTGTATCAGATTAATATTTTATTTCCAGTATGGTTTAGTAGAAGTCCTAGGCACATACTATAGTGTATCCACACAGCCAACAGTGATCTTACAGCACTGTGTTGACAGAGTTAAATCTCAAGACTTTGATTTGCATACCAAGTCCTATCTGATTGCTATTGGTCATGGAGAGAATAACACAGAGATTCACATGGGCAATCTGAATCTGGCTGAACCAGGTAAAAATCTTGATTAGAATTTTTATTTCTTCAATTTGTTTTAAACATACATGTACATAATCTTTCACACTTCCCTCCAAAAGTCCTCAATGCAACCCAAGTCTTCCATTGCTATTTCAATGTTTACGTTATAAAAAAGTTCCTCATATTTGTTTTCATGCTCACAAATTTACAAAATGTGTACTGTAGCTTATAAATTATAAAGTTGTTTTTATTTGATAGTAGGGATCAGGTGTTGTCACCATTTTCAGTTTGGTTTTTGAATCCCTCAGTTTGGTTTTTCGTTTTGTTATTTAGTTCTTATTGCACCATTATATTCTGCTACCTGTATGATCATAAGAATGTAAAACAAAATTAACCTAACCATGTATTTATTATCTCATGTTTCAGGCTATGTCTCTGTTTTTCAAATGTAATACTAGACACTTTACTGTTGAAATGATATTGGTGTTAGCTGAATCTAATACTTGAACATGAATATCTTTCTCATCCATTGGTGTTTTTCTCAATGTCCTCAGCAGTCATTTTTTCTTGATCTGCGTTATTTTAGGTGCACATGTATTTATGAACTGTACTTTTCCTCAATTAATGTGAAATCCGAGAATTGAGCCTACAGTTGTGGCCAATGATGGTTGGAGCTCTGCAGTATGCAGTTTAGATTAACTGTCTGACGCCTAGTTGGAACTACAAGAAAAGTAGCTACAACGCCGTTTTGGCATCGAACAAATTTGGCACTGTTCCAGCACCATTTCGACACCGTTCTGGCACTGAAACCTTTCGACACCAAAATTTGCTACCGGACTAGTCAGTCCATTTGGTGCCGAATTAGGCACCAAAGTTTGGCACAGAAACGGCGTCGAAAATCAGATTGCATTTTTAGGGTGATCAGACCATATATTTGACTACATACACATTTGCTGATTTGGATGTGCCAATTACAAGGTCCCCCTGGTTGTTCAGAGTAACTGCACTAGGGTATTTAATTCCATCACTTTCACTCATTATGATTTTCTTGAAATTGGCCTCAGGGGAGAGGAGCTGGATGTTGTGCTTTCCATAGTCAGCTATGATGATGTAACCAGCACTATCAACGCAAACACTCATAGGATACTTCAAATTGTAGTCTCCCTCACCTCTATAGAAGGCTAGCAGATCCCCCTTTCTGTTGATGATTTTCACAGACGCATCTTCAAAGTCAGCGATTAAAATGGAGTTGTGGTTGATGGAGGCAATGCTGACCATGGCTTTGAACATCCCACTTGGAGTTGTGTTTGTAACATTACGTGTAATGATGTTGAAGTGAGAAATCGTTTTGTCTGTGTGATTAGCTATGATTAGCTCTTGGTGCTCGTTGAATGCTATAGCCATTGGGTTTTCTATAGTGGGTATTAGTATGTCTCTTATGGGTTCACCTCTGATGTCAAACAACCTCACTCTACCAGTATCATTGTCATAACCTGTCCACACTGCCACCATGTCAGCATAAGTTGCTACACATAACGCTTTATCTGCAACTAGAGTCTTCAAAACATTACACTGATTGTCACACAGCAAGGTTTTATAACTTTTTTTGTATACATTTAATTCTGCATCTGCTCCACACATAACATAGAGTCCATTTGATAGGACTATTATAGATCTTGTGAAATTGAGAACATTCTCTTCGATGGACTTACTCTCTTTGATTTGAGCAACATCCAGCAACATCCTGTCAGATGAGGTGAATGGTTCTCTCTGTGTTCCATCTGTTCTTTCAGGAACCTGATCTATATGCAGCTTGTTTGTTTGTTCATCTCCATTAAAAGCACCATCTTTGTCATCTGCTTTGGCTGCTTTTTTCTCAACATTATACTTGACTATCAGTTTTTGTGCCAAGGCTTCAATGTTCTTTAACATAGTTTGCATGTTGCTAAGTTCGTTAGGTTCCAGTGCTTCTACATCAACTGGGGCAATGTCAAATGCAAGTTCTAAATTGATGCTAGCTTGGACAAGAGTTTCCTCACGGAGTCGCATTTCAATCATTGTTGCCAAAAAATCATAATGTTCCTTCAATGCTTCAATAAATGAATTAAATGCTTTTATAGAACGTGTTTCTAGTTTTCGTAAAAAGATTCTACATCTCTCTGAGGCTGTTTTCTCTGCCATAACTTCTTCGATCATAGAGCTTGTTAGAATCTCATCTCGGTGGCAAACATCGACTAAATCCCTGATTTCCAGGTTTGGGACTATATCATAGTGACATCTTTGTAAAGTCCTTTTATGCACATCAGTAAGGGGACTGTCTTTGCTGTGCTTTGCTGCCATTCTGAAGTTATGTAAAAACAATACATTTGCATTATTTAAGAATCAAAGGTTTTTTATTTCTTTTTACTCTTAACACTATAGCATCTTAGATTAAGACATGTTTTTTTTTATTCTTTATATAAATAGATAAAATCATTTTATACCATACAGACATTAAGACCATCACACATGTTTTAGGTGTATAGAAATTAATAGGTGTCAAGGAATAATTATTATGTATTCCACTTCCTTACCAATCCTAGCATTTCCCCCTCCCTCCCATGAATTCAAATCATAAAAGTACCTACCTTAATTTCCGTGTGGTAAATATATATGATATATTATTTATTCATGTATTTTTACAGTTAGTAACATTACACATAAAAATTAAGCCGTGTACTTTTAGTGTATGTGTAGATGTGCACGTTTGAAGTGTTTATTTGTACAACATTTTATCAGGTTTAAGTACACATTTAACACTCATCTTCAAAAGTTTGGCAACCCCTCCACAACTATTAGACTACATGTTCAAGTTTATTCAGGATTTTTAAAATTTCATCTTTCCAATACGTTTCTCACAATATTGTTAGCTTTTGCAATCACTCACTCACTTGTACTTCCTGGGAAGACTTTGTTCACACTAAACAAACAGGCTTACAATATGTTATCCAATGAGGAGGCAGCTTATATTGACAGACTTTTAGAGGGAAGTATACCTTTATCTTAAGTTAACAATTCTTATGGTAAACACTCCTGCCAACTGGGTCACACTGACTTTTCATATCAGTTGAGAGCTTTAAAGAACCCATATAAGAGTATAGTTTAAACCACTATTGGTTTTAAACACCAGATTTAATCGAAAAAGTCTTACCCAGTAATATCAAAATGTGAAATGCACAACTATTTTAAAAATTTGGTTTTAAGAAGTTCAGGTCTTGAAAAGTTATATATTTAGATGGGGTCTTTAAAAGTCCCACATGAAGAGAAATGAACCCATCTATGCATGAAAATGGTTCAGTGAATGGTCTTTAGAAATAATGCATTTTGTACTTTATAATGGAATATTTAATAATTACAAAAATGGTGTGTAATTTGAAAATTTGAGAAATGAAAAGCTGATAACTTTTCTTTCAAAACATTAAATCAAAAATCTCTAAAATAATAAGTCATGAAAAATAGTAAATGAAAAATTAAAACATATTTTCAAAGTTTGCATGAGGCTTTTAAAGCACAAGACTAATTTCTGCATTCAAATTGCTATGTCTTGTTAAAATGAGCCTACATGTATAAAGATGTATTCTCATAACAATCTTTCTCATATGACTGGCACAGATTCCAGCATCTTTCCCCCTAAATATGCTTCAATGTACATATGACATGTATGTATACATTTTTAAGTGTGTGAATTTTAGAAAGTCCAATTCATCAAAACATACACCCTCACCCAAATTTCCTCAATTTAGAATGTATTATGTTCAATAACCTCCCAATGTATTTCAGTGTTATTGATTTTTACAGTATTCCATTTCAGGTTCACAGTTAGCGTTCACAACAATGAGTTTGAACTGTAGTTTAATGTGTGGAGCTATCAATGAGTCTGTAACCAACTGCACAGTCATAGATGGCGCTATAAGTGGTATTGAAGGCGATACTACAATTCTTTTGGTCGATTGTTACTTCGCAGAACATGCCCCACATTTTGCTCTGGTGAAATATTCAGGTAAGTTACTGCTATACTTAAGCTTAATGTTTAATAAATGTTACAGTAAAACCTGTGTATATTGAACATCTTTTTTCCAAAAAATGAGAAAAAGGGTTGTTAGGTGTTCACTATAGAGGGGGTATTCATCCAGAATTCAGTTGATGGTTTGTCTGGAGGAATGGTGTCTACTAGAGACAGGTTTTCACTTGAGAGAGATTAAGATTTTGAACACCTGAGAAGCTGATTTGACAGGTTAGAAAATTTGAAGCCAAATTATGGTACCTACGTTATGATACCTCCAGAATATGATGTTTGATCTTAGATTCCAAAATGTATGTTAATACCTGGGTTTCCATGTAATGTTATAGCTCAGGAAGACCCTGCCATGAGCCTGCAGTCTGCTATCCCACATACAATGGACTCTCAGAGTGACATAACAGTGCACAATGCACCTGGTGTTTCTAGCCTGCCAAGTATAGAGATCAATCTCACTGCAGTCGCATTCACTAGACACATATCACCACACCTCTACATATGGGGAAATGTGCTACTTTTAAGGTATGGGTTGTTGCCTTTTTGACTTGCACATATCACCACACCTCTACATATGGGGAAATGTGCTACTTTTAAGGTATGGGTTGTTGCCTTTTTGACACGCACATGTCACCACACCTCTACATATGGGGAAATGTGCTACTTTTAAGGTATGGGTTGTTGCCTTTTTGACTCGCACATATCACCACACCTATACATATGGGGAAATGTGCTACTTTTAAGGTATGGGTTGTTGCCTTTTTGACTCGCACATATCACCACACCTCTACATATGGGGAAATGTGCTACTTTTAAGGTATGGGTTGCCTTTTTGACTCGCACATATCACCACACCTATACATATGGGGAAATGTGCTACTTTTAAGGTATGGGTTGTTGCCTTTTTGACACGCACATATCACCACACCTATACATATGGGGAAATGTGCTACTTTTAAGGTATGGGTTGCCTTTTTGACTCGCACATATCACCACACCTATACATATGGGGAAATGTGCTACTTTTAAAGTATGGGTTGTTGCCTTTTTGACTCGCACATATCACCACACCTATACATATGGGGAAATGTGCTACTTTTAAGGTATGGGTTGTTGGCTTTTTGACTCGCATATATCACCACACCTATACATATGGGGAAATGTGCTACTTTTAAGGTATGGGTTGTTGCCTTTTTGACTCACATGGAATCACTCACATGCCCATACTTTGTATGTCCATAAACCCACCAATGCATCCAATACAAACAATAAAATATACATTACAGTATAAGGTTTATATACAGAAATATACATTTTCTGAATACAATGAACCTGCATATCTGAACACCTCTCTAATCCAAACATCTCCATCCTTCACTTCTTTCATAGCACGCAATGATTACTCTTGGGCCGAGGATGAAATATCTTTGAATATGAACATCATTTTTAGTATTAATTTAACATAATGTTTGTATCTTACAGTCCAGACCAAGGTGATACTGTGCACATGATGGCTGTTGTACAGGAGGATGATTCCTATATAACAACACTAACCTCATCCAAGCAAGGCAGAATTGCTATTCTTCTAGCAGATAGTCAGGTAAGGATTCATATCATAGTCTACAATACAGTATGATTCTTTGAGCTTACATGTACTTGGTAGTGTGACTATTCATAGTCAGGTAAGGATTTACATCAAAGTCTACAATACAGTCCAAATACATCACTATGGTGTGGATTGATTTAAATGTTTCAGATATGTTAGTTGAATAGATTGTGATTGCACTTGGTGAATTTGAAGACATTTGTTTTGTATATGCATTATGTTTGCATTAGAATGTATTTCAGGTCCCATGATGTTTGAGATGAAGGCTTTTAATCAGCTCTGCTTTTGTTTCACATGAAAAATATTATTAATAAATAGTGTACGATGAATGCATTTAATCATTAATGCCACACCAAGTACTCCTAACACTACCATTAATACAATAAATCCAATGATGTCCAAAAGTAAATACTGGAACCAGTTCAGTTGATGAAGTCCCTGAGATCTCAGATGTGGGGCACCCTTGTGACGTAAGATGTAATTCACCCAGTATTTGACAGTGGCCTCTGCCTCTATAGGACGATCATTGAATATTTCCGCAGCTGCCTTGGCTTTCTCTTTGTATGTGGAATTCCTTATAACCTGCAAGGAAATGTCACAATGGTCATGTTATAAGATACAACTTAAGAGAATATGAGTGGAATAAACATGAAAATAGAAGAGAAAGGAGTGGAATTAGTTAGGATAAACAGTATAGTTTCCACTCTAAGTTGTTATAGCAATGGAAGAATATCATACAGAGATAGATAAAGTTAAAAATGGTATATGTACCTCTTGCATCTCTTGTATGAGTGTCTCGCTTGTTAATCCAAGAATATCAACACTTCTTCCCGATTGGATACGATTTGTGATTTTTTCTGAGTTGTATCCTTGATCGAGAAAAAATGGGATATTTATAGTCAGCACTGCATGCTGTACAGCTTGGTATGTACTTAGTAATCCACAGTGATGGATGAATAACTTTACATCTGGGTGTCCTAAGAGGTCATTTTGTGGAATCCATGGCCTTACAATCGTATTCACTCCTAATGATTTTGGAGCTAGACCTTCATAACTCCAAATGACTTGTTGTGGCATGGCGGAAAATGCCTCCGCAAACATTTCTGCCATTTGCATTGGAAGGTTACGAAATAAAGAACCAAAACTTGCAATTATAACTCCATTGTGGCCAGCCTTTTTAAATATATCATTGTAGAAAGTGTCTAATTTTGATGGTTGCTTCAATGTAAATCCATCAATTGACACAACATGTGGCATGAATGGTTGTGGGTAATGCAACATATTATTTCTGTTAACAAACACTAGGGAAACTGTTTCCGAGAAGTTCTCAATATTTTCACAAGATTTTGAATTTACATGCTTGTATTTGAGACATATATTTTTACCAATTGACATCATGTTATATGCCACCCATCTTAGATGAAGATACTCTTTGACATTCATAAGGCGCTGTGCAAATGTCATTGTGTCACTATAGTATGTTGATGCGGGCACATATGCAGGGTTAAGTGGGAATATATTGTTTGATAATGGGGTCATTGGGCCCCAGTTGATATAGGAAATAACTGGTATGTTGAAATGGTCTCCAAGTATTCGAGCAATTAATGTATGGTCATCCGTAACAATCAATTCAAAATCAGACGTTTCCAATATTGACCAAAGTTCCTCATCTTGCAAGGCAAGTTCCATAATTTCTGGAAATAATGGTGAGAATGTTGCCATACATTCTGTCATTGTTAATCCAATGTAAGACAACAGCCATTCCTTATTTGCAGTGCTTCGGGTTTCAGGTTTTGTTTGATATGTAATAACATTGAATTCCTCAGTGAATCGATCTCCCTCTACAGTTTTCAACAATGGCTGGTGTTGCATTTGATCTGAGCACAATACACTAATATTATGCCCCACCCCCTGGAGAATACGCCCCAGGGTGAGGAGATTCGTTACCCTGCTATTGTAGCCTGCATCCAAGGGGGTGAGTAGTATCCTAGCTCCATCACTACAGGATATTGAAAGCATCAACAGAAACATCAGAAAAACCTTCATATTTGTAAATGCAATGTATTTTAACTTCAAGTTTTACATGTATATTTTACCTCTTAGTTGACCTTCACTTAAAACAAGAGTAAAGAATAAACCACTTGTATCCTCTATCTCTGAATTCAAACTTAAAAGTGTTGCAGGTCAGTGTGCCATGCCATTTATGGCAGATAAACTTATTCTAGCATATGTTTTATATTTAACATATGTTCATGTGCACATTGATTTAAGTTGAGAGTATAAGCAGAAATTCATTCCCTCATTTTCTATGAATCTAAAGTTTAAGCTTTATAGTACTTATTTTTGTATATTCTACCATAGAAGAGGTATAAAAATGTAAATTAAGCAGTTGCTCAGCTAAAATAAAAATCTTTGAACATGTGAAATTACCTTATAAAATGCCTTAGCAACTTTTTCCAGGGTATATAGGTGCAACCTCAACATTATTGTTGTGCTCAAAATGTAGTAGAGCAATTATATACATGACAGCTTGGATAATAAAACATCCACTTTTCAAAATTAACACTTGTATCTTTCTTGCTATTACCTAGTTTTAGTCTAAATGGACTTGTTCCTATAGACTCTTTGCATTTATTTTATCATACCTTTTATAGTATATATGTTTTACACGTTTCATTAAATTATCTTGTTGTGTTTAGTTTTATTTTATTTTAAAGGGTCTGATTCTTGATACCATGGACTTTCATTACAGATATTTTACTGTGTGTCTGAATTACATGTCCATGTTATGCTCTCTGTTTTTTTTTGATGGCGGTTGGTTGTTGGAATCTGGCGATTGGTGGTTGACAGTTGATGGTTGGCTTCCAGCATCTGTAACAAATTCTTACAACTTCCAATAACTTAACAAATACTGTTCAGATAATTTTTTTCTAAATCATCTACAAGTTTTCAGAAATTCAAATCTGACTTTGGATATAAGATTTGACCTTCAGTGACCTTCTCAAGGTCTAAAAGGTCTTTTTTCAACTTGCTTCTAATGGACCAATCTTTTTTTTCAAAATCATCTACAAGTCCTCAAGAGCTCAAATCTGATTTTAGATTTTTTCAACTTGTTTAAAATTGACCAAAGTTTTTTGAAACTTTAGATTTGAGATTTGACCCTCTATGACCTACTCAAGATCAAAAAGGTATTTTTCAGCTTGCTTAAAATTGACCATTTTTTCAAAATCATTTGCTCGTTCTCAGAAATTAAGATCTGATTTTTAGTTTCAAGATTTGACCTTCAATGAGCTTCTCAATGTAAAAAAGTATTTTTTCAACTTGCTTCAAATTGACCATTTTTTCAATATCATGTACAAGTTCTCAGAAATTCAAATCTGACTTTAGATTTGAGATTTGACCTTAAATGACCTACTTAAGGTCAAAAAGGTATTTTCAACTTGCTTCAAATTGACCATTTTTAAAAAGAAATCATCTACAAGTTCTCAGAAGTTCAAATCTGACTTTAGATTTGAAATTTGACCTTAAATGACCTACTTAAGGTCAAAAAGGTATTTTCAACTTGCTTCAAATTGACCATTTAAAATAAATCATCTACAAGTTCTCAAAGTTCAAATCTGACTCAATTAAGATTGAACTCATAATTTGTGAGCAACTAGGTGGTGACATTTTGTCATGCTTATGCCTTGTTTCAATGTATGATTCAGCTCTGGTATGGTACAGTGGGAAGCATAGTCATACATAAACTCTACCCATCAGCTGCTTGGGGCTATGTCTACAGCCATCATAGTGACCTGATAACATCACTATTAATGCTTTGTTTCAATGTTAATGCTTTGTTTCAATGTATGATTCAGCTCTGGTATGGTACAGTGGGAAGCATTGTCATACATAAGCTCTACCCATCAGCTGCCTGGGGCTATGTCTACAGCCATCACAGTGAAGGAATGCCTGATAGCATCACTATTAATGCAGTATACTTTGATATAGAAGGAGATCTACACATTGTGAGTATGGTTTATGACAATTAAGTTAAATACCAATAAAATACCAAGAGGGTGATAGTTACAGTGTATATACACTATAGAGTTGAGGGATAAACCTCATATCCAAAACCTCCTATAACATAACTTCCATATCTGTATGTTTCAGTTGACAAGCTAATTACCAAGAGGGTGATAGTTACAGTGTATATACACTATAGAGATGAGGGATAAACCTCATATCCAAAACCTCCTATAACATAACTTCCATATCTGTATGTTTCAGTTGACAAGCTAATTACCAAGAGGGTGATAGTTACAGTGTATATACACTATAGAGATGAGGGATAAACCTCATATCCAAAACCTCCTATAACATAACTTCCATATCTGTATGTTTCAGTTGACAAGCTAATTACCAAGAGGGTGATAGTGACAGTGTATATACACTATAGAGATGAGGGATAAACACCATATCCAAAACCTCCTATAACATAACTTCCATATCTGTATGTTTCAGTTGACAAGCTAATTACCAAGAGGGTGATAGTAAGGCATTGCTGTATTTAAGGATAAACCTCATATTCAAAGTGTTCCAGGTCCGTAGCCAGGATTTGCCAAGGGGGGGGGGGGGGGGTTCAGTTTTCAAAAATTTCAAGGGGGTTCACATTTGACAATTTTGGCCCAAATATGGCTAGAATCACTTGAGAAGTGCTCAAAATGGTGAAAACTGCATGATTTTGAAAGGCTACGGGCCTGTGTCCCATTCCATAAAAATCATATCCCTATGTTTCAGTTGGCAAGTTATGGGAATAATACTATCGCATTGAGGGATAAGCCTCATATCTAACACTTCTCATTACATAACTATCATATCCCTATGTTTCAGTTGGCAAGTTATGAGGAGAATAGTACTATTGTCTTGAGGGAGCATACTGTATTTGTGGAGGAGTTATTGGCTTATGGGAACCAGATGGCAGCTGCTAAGCTACATAATCACCCCAGTGTGTGAGTCACATTTTTGAAAGCACTTGAAAGGATAGATATGCCCAATTTTTATCCCATCGAACGAAGTTCGGAGGGTAGAGGGAACACCTCTGTCCGTCCGTCTGTCCGTCTGGGCAATAACTCAAATACCATTGGCCCGATTTTGTTAACATTTTGTACACATATACCTTATGGGGGTAGAAGTTCTGCTCGAAAGCCAATTTCCAAAATGGCCACTCATTTAAAAATGGCGGCCATTTTAGTGCCGATTTTACTGTAATTTAGGTACAATATGTAAAACTGTAATAGCAATATGTTTTAACGGTAAAATAATTATAGAGGACATTTATGAAGCTAGAAATGTAGATGTCAAAGAAGTTGGCCTTTACTCGCTATTTTACGATTTTTGTTGTAACTGGAAAAGTAGTGGAGCGATTTTGTTCATATTTGGTATGTCAATTCTAGAGCACTGTCTAACCCAGTAACGCTACTTTGTAATGAGACAGTACCATTGAATGATTCCTTCTTTTGTTCTTTATTCTAGAGCACTGTCTAATCCAGTTACACCACTTTGTAATGAGACAGTACCATTGAACGACTCCTTCTTTTGTTCTTTATTCTAGAGCACTGTCTAATCCAGTAACGCCACTTTGTAATGAGACAGTACCATTGAACGATTCCTTCTTTTGTTCTTTATTCTAGAGCACTGTCTAATCCAGTAACGCCACTTTGTAATGAGACAGTACCATTGAACGATTCCTTCTTTTGTTCTTTATTCTAGAGCACTGTCTAATCCAGTAACGCCACTTTGTAATGAGACAGTACCATTGAACGATTCCTTCTTTTGTTCTTTATTCTAGAGCACTGTCTAATCCAGTAACGCCACTTTGTAATGAGAGACAGTACCATTGAACGATTCCTTCTTTTGTTCTTTATTCTAGAGCACTGTCTAACCCAGTAACGCCACTTTGTAATGAGAGACAGTACCATTGAACGATTCCTTCTTTTGTTCTTTATTCTAGAGCACTGTCTAATCCAGTAACGCCACTTTGTAATGAGAGACAGTACCATTGAACGATTCCTTCTTTTGTTCTTTATTCTAGAGCACTGTCTAACCCAGTAACGCCACTTTGTAATGAGACAGTACCATTGAATGATTCCTTCATTCAACTTTGTCCATTTAAAAGCATCCACTTCAACTCAGAATTTGAGCAGCGTTATTCCAGATTCCAGGTAAGTCTCATAGAATATTTAATATATGCAAAATTCATTGGGTACGGGGTGAATGGAAAACTGCTACCTTTCTAGTAAGGCAGGCAATGTGGAATAATATTAATTGCGACTTATTTTGGACATGGTATGTTCTTCAATATAAGCAGTTGTTGAGAGTCTTTATGTTTTACACATATAATATAACACATATGTTTATGGTAACAAAGATATCATTGATTTGTCAGATATTTTGATTTGTAGTTTTAATATTTATCTCAAACTGTTCATGTCTTTTGGCTCTTCTCAGTTTTGGTTATGCCATCTCAACACGAGGCTGTTAAAACAACTGAACACTGTATGGATGTTATTTCAAAACAATATGTACTTCATAATGATCATATAACAATGAATTTTTTTCTTATATTTGACAAGTAGATCTATGATTAGATAAAGCTTTATGATTCTAGCACTAAAGATCATTTTCGACTAAATATGGCACAATCTATTGTAATAGAGATACTATCTATCCTCCAGAAAAAAACACAAATACATAACACTTGGACTTAACCCTACAACTGCATGCATTACATGTAGACTAATGTTTATCTAAATTATTATATAGATTCTCCATCAACCCTCCAAGAACATGGTCATATGCCAGACTTCACAATGAAGCCTCTTTGTTACTGTACCAAGCACAAATACATAACACAAGGACAACCCTACAACTGCATTACATGTAGACTAATGTTTATCTAAATTATTATATAGATTCTCCATCAACCCTCCAAGAACATGGTCATATGCCAGACTTCACAATGAAGCCTCTTTGTTACTATACCAAGCACAAATACATAACACAAGGACAACCCTACAACTGCATTACATGTAGACTAATGTTTATCTGAATTATTATAGAGATTCTCCATCAACCCTTCAAGAACATGGTCATATGCCAGACTTCACAATGAAGCCTCTTTGTTACTGTACCAAGCACAAATACATAACACAAGGACAACCCTACAACTGCATTACATGTAGACTAATGTTTATCTGAATTATTATAGAGATTCTCCATCAACCCTCCAAGAACATGGTCATATGCCAGACTTCACAATGAAGCCTCTTTGTTACTATACCAAGCACAAATACATAACACAAGGACAACCCTACAACTGCATTACATGTAGACTAATGTTTATCTGAATTATTATAGAGATTCTCCATCAACCCTCCAAGAACATGGTCGTATGCCAGACTTCACAATGAAGCATCTTTGTTACTATACCAAGCACAAATACATAACACAAGGACAACCCTACAACTGCATTACATGTAGACTAATATTTATCTGAATTATTATAGAGATTCTCCATCAACCCTCCAAGAACATGGTCGTATGCCAGACTTCACAATGAAGCATCTTTGTTACTGTACCAAGCACAAATACATAACACAAGGACAACCCTACAACTGCATTACATGTAGACTAATGTTTATCTGAATTATTATAGAGATTCTCCATCAACCCTCCAAGAACATGGTCATATGCCAGACTTCACAATGAAGCCTCTTTGTTACTACTGTATACCAAGCACAAATACATAACACAAGGACAACCCTACAACTGCATTACATGTAGACTAATGTTTATCTGAATTATTATAGAGATTCTCCATCAACCCTCCAAGAACATGGTCGTATGCCAGACTTCACAATGAAGCCTCTTTGTTACTATACCAAGCACAAATACATAACACAAGGACAACCCTACAACTACATGCATTACATGTAGACTAATGTTTATCTAAATTATTATAGAGATTCTCCATCAACCCTCCAAGAACATGGTCATATGCCAGACTTCACAATGAAGCCTCTTTGTTACTATACCAAGCACAAATACATAACACAAGGACAACCCTACAACTGCATTACATGTAGACTAATGTTTATCTAAATTATTATAGAGATTCTCCATCAACCCTCCAAGAACATGGTCATATGCCAGACTTCACAATGAAGCCTCTTTGTTACTGTACCAAGCACAAATACATAACACAAGGACAACCCTACAACTGCATTACATGTAGACTAATGTTTATCTGAATTATTATAGAGATTCTCCATCAACCCTCCAAGAACATGGTCATATGCCAGACTTCACAATGAAGCCTCTTTGTTACTATACCAAGCACAAATACATAACACAAGGACAACCCTACAACTGCATTACATGTAGACTAATGTTTATCTGAATTATTATAGAGATTCTCCATCAACCCTCCAAGAACATGGTCGTATGCCAGACTTCACAATGAAGCCTCTTTGTTACTACTGTATACCAAGCACAAATACATAACACAAGGACAACCCTACAACTACATGCATTACATGTAGACTAATGTTTATCTGAATTATTATAGAGATTCTCCATCAACCCTCCAAGAACATGGTCATATGCCAGACTTCACAATGAAGCCTCTTTGTTACTATACCAAGCACAAATACATAACACAAGGACAACCCTACAACTGCATTACATGTAGACTAATATTTATCTAAATTATTATAGAGATTCTCCATCAACCCTCCAAGAACATGGTCATATGCCAGACTTCACAATGAAGCCTCTTTGTTACTACTGTATACCAAGCACAAATACATAACACAAGGACAACCCTACAACTGCATTACATGTAGACTAATGTTTATATAAATTATTATAGAGATTCTCCATCAACCCTCCAAGAACATGGTCATATGCCAGACTTCACAATGAAGCCTCTTTGTTACTGTACCAAGCACAAATACATGACACAAGGACAACCCTACAACTGCATTACATGTAGACTAATATTTATCTAAATTATTATAGAGATTCTCCATCAACCCTCCAAGAACATGGTCGTATGCCAGACTTCACAATGAAGCCTCTTTGTTACTATACCAAGCACAAATACATAACACAAGGACAACCCTACAACTGCATTACATGTAGACTAATATTTATCTAAATTATTATAGAGATTCTCCATCAACCCTCCAAGAACATGGTCATATGCCAGACTTCACAATGAAGCCTCTTTGTTACTATACCAAGCACAAATACATAACACAAGGACAACCCTACAACTGCATTACATGTAGACTAATATTTATCTAAATTATTATAGAGATTCTCCATCAACCCTCCAAGAACATGGTCGTATGCCAGACTTCACAATGAAGCCTCTTTGTTACTACTGTATACCAAGCACAAATACATAACACAAGGACAACCCTACAACTGCATTACATGTAGACTAATGTTTATCTGAATTATTATAGAGATTCTCCATCAACCCTCCAAGAACATGGTCGTATGCCAGACTTCACAATGAAGCCTCTTTGTTACTGTACCAAGCACAAATACATAACACAATGACAACCCTACAACTGCATTACATGTAGACTAATATTTATCTGAATTATTATAGAGATTCTCCATCAACCCTCCAAGAACATGGTCGTATGCCAGACTTCACAATGAAGCCTCTTTGTTACTATACCAAGCACAAATACATAACACAAGGACAACCCTACAACTGCATTACATGTAGACTAATGTTTATCTGAATTATTATAGAGATTCTCCATCAACCCTCCAAGAACATGGTCATATGCCAGACTTCACAATGAAGCCTCTTTGTTACTATACCAAGCACAAATACATAACACAAGGACAACCCTACAACTGCATTACATGTAGACTGATGTTTATCTGAATTATTATAGAGATTCTCCATCAACCCTCCAAGAACATGGTCGTATGCCAGACTTCACAATGAAGCCTCTTTGTTACTACTGTATACCAAGCACAAATACATAACACAAGGACAACCCTACAACTACATGCATTACATGTAGACTAATGTTTATCTGAATTATTATAGAGATTCTCCATCAACCCTCCAAGAACATGGTCATATGCCAGACTTCACAATGAAGCCTCTTTGTTACTATACCAAGCACAAATACATAACACAAGGACAACCCTACAACTGCATTACATGTAGACTAATGTTTATCTGAATTATTATAGAGATTCTCCATCAACCCTCCAAGAACATGGTCATATGCCAGACTTCACAATGAAGCCTCTTTGTTACTGTACCAAGCACAAATACATAACACAAGGACAACCCTACAACTGCATTACATGTAGACTAATATTTATCTGAATTATTATAGAGATTCTCCATCAACCCTCCAAGAACATGGTCGTATGCCAGACTTCACAATGAAGCCTCTTTGTTACTGTACCAAGCACAAATACATAACACAAGGACAACCCTACAACTGCATGCATTACATGTAGACTAATGTTTATCTGAATTATTATAGAGATTCTCCATCAACCCTCCAAGAACATGGTCATATGCCAGACTTCACAATGAAGCCTCTTTGTTACTACTGTATACCAAGCACAAATACATAACACAAGGACAACCCTACAACTGCATTACATGTAGACTAATGTTTATCTGAATTATTACAGAGATTCTCCATCAACCCTCCAAGAACATGGTCGTATGCCAGACTTCACAATGAAGCCTCTTTGTTACTGTACCAAGCACAAATACATAACACAAGGACAACCCTACAACTGCATGCATTACATGTAGACTAATGTTTATCTAAATTATTATAGAGATTCTCCATCAACCCTCCAAGAACATGGTCGTATGCCAGACTTCACAATGAAGCCTCTTTGTTACTGTACCAAGCACAAATACATAACACAAGGACAACCCTACAACTGCATTACATGTAGACTAATGTTTATCTGAATTATTATAGAGATTCTCCATCAACCCTCCAAGAACATGGTCGTATGCCAGACTTCACAATGAAGCCTCTTTGTTACTGTACCAAGCACAAATACATAACACAAGGACAACCCTACAACTGCATGCATTACATGTAGACTAATGTTTATCTGAATTATTATAGAGATTCTCCATCAACCCTCCAAGAACATGGTCATATGCCAGACTTCACAATGAAGCCTCTTTGTTACTGTACCAAGCACAAATACATAACACAAGGACAACCCTACAACTGCATGCATTACATGTAGACTAATGTTTATCTGAATTATTATAGAGATTCTCCATCAACCCTCCAAGAACATGGTCATATGCCAGACTTCACAATGAAGCCTCTTTGTTACTGTACCAAGCACAAATACATAACACAAGGACAACCCTACAACTGCATTACATGTAGACTAATGTTTATCTGAATTATTATAGAGATTCTCCATCAACCCTCCAAGAACATGGTCATATGCCAGACTTCACAATGAAGCCTCTTTGTTACTATACCAAGCACAAATACATAACACAAGGACAACCCTACAACTGCATTACATGTAGACTAATGTTTATCTGAATTATTATAGAGATTCTCCATCAACCCTCCAAGAACATGGTCGTATGCCAGACCTCACAATGAAGCCTCTTTGTTACTGTACCAAGCACAAATACATAACACAAGGACAACCCTACAACTGCATGCATTACATGTAGACTAATGTTTATCTGAATTATTATAGAGATTCTCCATCAACCCTCCAAGAACATGGTCATATGCCAGACTTCACAATGAAGCCTCTTTGTTACTGTACCAAGCACAAATACATAACACAAGGACAACCCTACAACTGCATGCATTACATGTAGACTAATGTTTATCTGAATTATTATAGAGATTCTCCATCAACCCTCCAAGAACATGGTCATATGCCAGACTTCACAATGAAGCCTCTTTGTTACTGTACCAAGCACAAATACATAACACAAGGACAACCCTACAACTGCATTACATGTAGACTAATGTTTATCTGAATTATTATAGAGATTCTCCATCAACCCTCCAAGAACATGGTCATATGCCAGACTTCACAATGAAGCCTCTTTGTTACTATACCAAGCACAAATACATAACACAAGGACAACCCTACAACTGCATTACATGTAGACTAATGTTTATCTGAATTATTATAGAGATTCTCCATCAACCCTCCAAGAACATGGTCGTATGCCAGACTTCACAATGAAGCCTCTTTGTTACTACTGTATACCAAGCACAAATACATAACACAAGGACAACCCTACAACTACATGCATTACATGTAGACTAATGTTTATCTGAATTATTATAGAGATTCTCCATCAACCCTCCAAGAACATGGTCATATGCCAGACTTCACAATGAAGCCTCTTTGTTACTATACCAAGCACAAATACATAACACAAGGACAACCCTACAACTGCATTACATGTAGACTAATGTTTATCTGAATTATTATAGAGATTCTCCATCAACCCTCCAAGAACATGGTCATATGCCAGACTTCACAATGAAGCCTCTTTGTTACTGTACCAAGCACAAATACATAACACAAGGACAACCCTACAACTGCATTACATGTAGACTAATATTTATCTGAATTATTATAGAGATTCTCCATCAACCCTCCAAGAACATGGTCGTATGCCAGACTTCACAATGAAGCCTCTTTGTTACTGTACCAAGCACAAATACATAACACAAGGACAACCCTACAACTGCATGCATTACATGTAGACTAATGTTTATCTGAATTATTATAGAGATTCTCCATCAACCCTCCAAGAACATGGTCATATGCCAGACTTCACAATGAAGCCTCTTTGTTACTACTGTATACCAAGCACAAATACATAACACAAGGACAACCCTACAACTGCATTACATGTAGACTAATGTTTATCTGAATTATTACAGAGATTCTCCATCAACCCTCCAAGAACATGGTCATATGCCAGACTTCACAATGAAGCCTCTTTGTTACTGTACCAAGCACAAATACATAACACAAGGACAACCCTACAACTGCATTACATGTAGACTAATATTTATCTAAATTATTATAGAGATTCTCCATCAACCCTCCAAGAACATGGTCGTATGCCAGACTTCACAATGAAGCATCTTTGTTACTGTACCAAGCACAAATACATAACACAAGGACAACCCTACAACTGCATTACATGTAGACTAATGTTTATCTGAATTATTATAGAGATTCTCCATCAACCCTCCAAGAACATGGTCGTATGCCAGACTTCACAATGAAGCCTCTTTGTTACTGTACCAAGCACAAATACATAACACAAGGACAATCCTACAACTGCATGCATTACATGTAGACTAATGTTTATCTGAATTATTATAGAGATTCTCCATCAACCCTCCAAGAACATGGTCATATGCCAGACTTCACAATGAAGCCTCTTTGTTACTGTACCAAGCACAAATACATAACACAAGGACAACCCTACAACTGCATTACATGTAGACTAATGTTTATCTGAATTATTATAGAGATTCTCCATCAACCCTCCAAGAACATGGTCATATGCCAGACTTCACAATGAAGCCTCTTTGTTACTATACCAAGCACAAATACATAACACAAGGACAACCCTACAACTGCATGCATTACATGTAGACTAATGTTTATCTGAATTATTATAGAGATTCTCCATCAACCCTCCAAGAACATGGTCATATGCCAGACTTCACAATGAAGCCTCTTTGTTACTGTACCAAGCACAAATACATAACACAAGGACAACCCTACAACTGCATTACATGTAGACTAATGTTTATCTAAATTATTATAGAGATTCTCCATCAACCCTCCAAGAACATGGTCGTATGCCAGACTTCACAATGAAGCCTCTTTGTTACTGTACCAAGCACAAATACATAACACAAGGACAACCCTACAACTGCATTACATGTAGACTAATGTTTATCTGAATTATTACAGAGATTCTCCATCAACCCTCCAAGAACATGGTCGTATGCCAGACTTCACAATGAAGCCTCTTTGTTACTGTACCAAGCACAAATACAGAAAATATTGGAAAAGAACAAACTGGATGTGAAACCATACCAAAGTGAATACACAAATGCTATAGAGGAAATGAAACTAGCTACAGTTGAGGAAATGGTAAGTTCAAAGAGCAGAACTTCCTTAAGAAAAAGGGGGGAGGGGGGTTATTCTTGTATCTGTCATATATGTTCTTGTATTTGTTTTTATGATTCCTTTATTGAAAAAACATAATATGCAACATTGACCTAAGGGCCTATGAGACATTATTAACCCTGTAAGTATTTTGTTTACAAGCACTTGTACTGCATACATACATTTCTAAATAAGAAAAAATGGCCTGTAAAAATAAAATCACATCTAATGTGATTCAAAAGGATTTCACTCTCTTCTAGCTGAGATAAGGTAATGGTAAATTTTCTATCATGCCACTCTATTGCCCCCCGCCCCACCCCTTATTCCCCATTCTGTTCAAAAACTAGGTTTTAGAAATAATCTTGAATGTTGATAGAGTGCAAGAAGGATGAATATAAAAGTTAAACAGGACTTCAAGTAAAATGGCAAAAAAGTATTAAAAAAAATCACTTTTTATATATTTCCAGCAATTTCTTCAATACCAGTTTAGGAGATTGATTTCCATGAGTTACATTTTCCTGGATCTGTCGTACTCAGAGAAAATTCTTGGAGAGCCTGAAAATTCATACGAGCCACTGCCAGAGGCAATTCATCTTGACTATAGAGAGAAATATAGCTTTTCTATCTCTATGAATTTATATCCTGAAGGTGGGTCAAATACAGGGTTGTGTGTATCTTATGGATAGTTTTGAATATTAGGCATATCCTATATATCTACTTAATCTTTCCAAGTCCCATTTTCCAATATGTGTGATCAATCAACTAAGTAAAACTATTTCTGTTGAAATAATTTACCAGACCTTATACTGGATGCCAATGAGGCCTTCAAAAAGTGTTGGAATATGCAGGACAAGGTTTTTGATATGTGAGTCAAGAGGAGATAACAAAATTAGAACAGAAATTAAGAGGTGATTGAATAAGAGGTGTTCAGTAAGACATGTTTTACTGTATATACTACAATTTATATATATCCAATTTATATATCAAATTATTCTATTTTAGTGAGTGATTCTGGTAATTTTGATGCTGTCAGGCTGAACTTTGAAGTGTCTCACCCTAGCTACCTCAGTATTAACACAACACGAGATGAGTTTACGTATAACAAGTCTGTTCGATACCAGGTAAATGCTGATGTAGCCAGCAACCTTTCCAATTTTTTATATAAAATAACATTTTTAAGTTTTTCATTTTAAACCAGAGTAATAATGTTATTGTTTGAAATGTTTGTAGTATATTCACAACATCTATCTATTTCACATATATTCTGTGTTTTTCACCCTGACCTCCAGGGGCTGTGTATGGGGGTTTGGAAAACAGGAATTTTTCGATAATTTTTTTCACAGCTTTATTTTACTCAAATGAAAGGCAATTTAGAGTAGATTGCAAATATTGTATTCTTTTTCTGATTCTGCCCTCGTAAAATGGCTGCCTAATGTTGCATTTCTTAAAAATGTTCTGAAATCTTCAAAGTATGGCTTGTATTATCCTCAAATTGAAGGAATTTTAGAGATCACAATTATGGTATTGTGTTTTTCTGAGTTATGCCTCAGAAAGTTCAAAATGGCTGCCTAGTGCAGGAATTCTCTATTACTTGAAGATCTCGTCAATGTTTAGAAGTGAAGTAAGAATGTGGAATTTTTTATTCAATTTATTTTTTCTCAATTCCTAATGTTTGCCAATTGTCATGATTCCAGGTGACTCTTGGGGAAAAGGGAGAATACAATGTTGCCAGTTCTCCAGGCAAGCTGCCCTACCCAACAACTATGATGATTAGAGTTGAGAACTCTGACCTACAGTGTATAGATGCAAGCAATGGACCTTTACAGTTAAAGGTAAGCTACCCTACCCAACAACTACGATGATTATTATCCCATCAAACGAAATTCAGAGGGATATAGGGAACACCTTCGTCCATCCGTACGTATGTCTGTCCGGGCAATAACTCAAATACTGTTTGCCCGATTTTGTTCATATTTTGTACACATATACCCAATGCGGGTAGAAGTTCTGCCCCAAAACCGATTTTCTAAATGGCCGCTCATTTAAGATGGCGGCTATGTTAGTGCTGATTTTACTGTAATTTAGGTACTGCATATAAAACTGTAATAGCAATACATGTATGTTTTAAATGTAAAAAAGTTATATTGGACATTGATTAGCTAGAAATGTAAATATAGAAGAAATACATGGCAGCCATCTTGAAAAATGGCTGCCTTTGCACGTTATTTTACGATTTTTGCTGTAAGTCAAAAAGTAGGAGAGTGATTTTGTTCATATTTTATATGGCACACTGTCTAATGACATTTTGAAAAATGGCCACCAATTTTTACATTTTTTAGTATAACTTGAAAAGTAGTGGAGCAATTTTGTTCATATTTGATATGTGAATACTTTAAGCATGGCACATTGTCTAAAAAAACTTTGGGGAGTAGTCGGCCATTTTGAAAAATGGCCACCATTTTTATGTGTGTTATTTTACATTTTTTATAATTATTCCAAAAGTAATAGAGCGATTTTGTTCATATTTGATATGTGAATACTTGTAAGGATTGCATACTGTCTTACGACATTTTAGGTAGTAGGCGGCCATTTTAAAAAATGGCCAGCATTTACATGTATGTGTGTGCGATTTTTAAAAAATTTTACATGTGGCTACTTAAAAGCATATTACTTCTTCTGATGACAACTTGGCAAGTGAGCAACCATTTTGAAAATGGTGGCCTTTCTTATGGGTGTTATTTTATGATATTTGTAATATATCCTTAATTTTTTCATTCATATTCTAGGATGTGTTTACTATGCAAGTTATATTGGGTTGTCCCCCAGGTAGGAGACTTGTGTTTGACATGCAAGCAACATTGGATCGCCTGAAGACCACAACAGACAGAAACTATGACTGTTCTACACCTGACCTTGAGTTACCGTGTCTCTACTATAGTTCCAGTAAGTATTCTGAATGAAACTAAACATACGTAAGGATTTATTGCACATCAGTCACAAGATATCCAAGCTATACTAATAACTTTTTTAAGTGTGCGCCAAAGTTTAAAACTGCGCAGGCGCAGCGCTCTCGCTAACCTATATAAAGAGATTACAGGGTACAGGCTTCAGAGTAGCCTGGTTTATATAATATTGAAGGGCATGCTAATTGTACACACGGGTACATGCATGAAGCCAGGGAGGTGAACAATCTTCGTCCCGTGTTGATTTCCCGTAACCAGGCAAGTTTCACCATTGAAATTGAAAATTACTATTAGATATACTTTGTAGATATTGTTTATGAAGCTATTAAGTGTATGCATCAGTCAAATGGCTCATTTTGAACATATAAAAGGTATTTGTGTTTTGTTTCCCAGGGAACTGTATTCCCATGTAGTACACACATAAATAGTATACATTATGTTAGTACTTGAATAGCCTGGTTTATATAATATTGAAGGGCATGCTAATTGTACACACGGGTACATGCATGAAGGCCTAATATTGATATAGCTTGCATACCTAAATAAAAAATAAACTCTTCTAATCCCCTTATGTAAACACGGCGGTATACGTAGCCCGATTTATCGGGGACTTTAAGGAGGTCAGCGGGTCAGAATTGAGAAAGCATAATCATGACCAGCTGTATATCTTAAGTCCAGGACTCATTTCCAATTTTACTTAAATATATTTCAAAGTCTGGACTGATCTAATAATTCAGCCTTTGGCCGCCCTGTCACTTGGGTGAAAGAGAGATTCACTGGAGAGTACACTTTATATAATTATTATAGAGAATAGCTATATAGCTTTGTGTGAATATGTGTTACAGCATTCTGGCCTTTCTTCACTCTGGTGGATGCTGTCACTTGGGTGAAAGATAGATTCACTGGAGAGTACACTTTATATAATTGTTATAGAGAATAGCTATATAGCTTTGTGTGAATATGTGTTACAGCATTCTGGCCTTTCTTCACTCTGGTGGATGCTGTCACTTGGGTGAAAGAGAGATTCACTGGAGAGTACACTTTATATAATTGTTATAGAGAATAGCTATATAGCTTTGTGTGAATATGTGTTACAGCATTCTGGCCTTTCTTCACTCTGGTGGACGCTGTCACTGGAGTGAGAGATTCACTGGAGAGTACACTTTATATAATTATTATAGAGAATAGCTATTTAGCTTTGTGTGAATATGTGTTACAGCATTCTGGCCTTTCTTCACTCTGGTGGACGCTGTCACTGGTGTGAAAGAAAGATTCACTGGAGAGTACACCTTGAAGGTTATAGGTGGCAGTCATGAGTCAAAAGATAAAATTGTCCAATTTTCCAAATTCCAGATACTGACCTACAATAACGCAAAATCGTAAGTTGATGCCTTGATTTATTGATTAGTACTGCAGATTTAAAGTATCATCATTTCAGAATTTTAAATTGTTTGGATCATTTGATAACTTGATGTAACCTGGTCAATTTCATATATTTTTATTATTTCCTATTTTTATGTTGATCAATCCCCATTTATCTAACAGTTTCATTTGAACAGGTCCCTACTTCACACCAGTTTGTCAAGTATTTAATTCCAATGTTTTCAATTTTTTGTATACTTTCTACGTTAGCTTCTTTTGTTTAAACCAGTTTTTAGCTTTTCATGCTTTGCTAGTTTTCTTACAACGATTGTTCCTTTATAATGTCATACACACTCACATATGAGTTGGGGTGTTGCCCAGTAAGTCAGGTAGCTAGAGTTGCTTCAGAGTTTCTGAGATGATCATGCAGGCCCGTAGCCAGGGGGGGTTCGGGGGGTTCCGGCGAACTCCCCCCTGGCCAAAATTTTTTGTATGATTTTTGGCCAAATTTGCCAAAGTGAACCCCCCCCCCTAGAATTTTTGGGAAAAGTGAACCCCCCCTTGGAAAATTCTGGCTACGGGCCTGTCATGTGTAGCTGATTGTAAAGAAAAGTGTAATGAATATATAAGCACAAATGCTAAAGGGAAGGGTGACTAAAAACTTTAAAGAAACCTAACAAGAAAAGCAAACTGTAAGTGTAAATCTGTCATAAGAAAAGTAGACCCTATATATCCCAAAACCATGATCTAACGTGAAAAGAAACAATGTCTAACATCCCCCTACCCCCTCCAATCGAGAACCAATATCACAATCCAGGACCAGAACACAAAGGGACATTTCATTCATACTGAAGTCATTACAATACATGTTGAAGAAAAATTGAAAAAACTGATAGCCAATACTCATAACATCAAAAATTCAAAGGGTCAACATCCGTTCGCAAAGCCATCATCATAATCCATAAAACACAACAATTCAAAATGGTCATCAGGAGAAAACTACGGCTGGTTTCGATCCCTATTTCTCAACCATTAATGCCATAGCTGGGATCCACCTCAAAAGGTGCCAAGTGAAAAAATTGTGATTTCATTGCCAATTTAATTATACCATTCCTACATCCTTCATGAAATAGACTTTTGAATTTTACATTATTTCTTGTTTACTTCTTGCCTTCCACTCGCCCCTTACATTGACATGTTCTGTAAAGCACAATTAAGGTTGTGGCAAATATAGCTACACTTTATCAAATGAAACTGGATGAAGTGAGATTATTTTTGGAAAATATAGTACAATGCAAGAGTGATTGTGTGACTAATGTGACTGAAGTAAAATTGATTGTGGCAAATGAGAATAAGCAATTGTAACAAATGGTGGTCTTAATAAAATGCAATATGTTACACAGGCCAGAACCTACTCTGATTATGGAAGCAACAAACGAAGGAAAGTACACAAAGTCTGGTTGGGCAGTGTATGATTCTACCTCTAATGCTATAAGGTATGGACTTTTAACTTTTTTTCAATCATTCAATCATATATATGCCATTTATTATTTCCGAATGAGTGGTGACTTATTCTTAAAGTCTCCCAATTTTTTGTAATATATCCTGTTCTAATAATGAACAAAATTTCACAAATTAATTTTAAAGATATTATGTTTTAGGATCTAGAATCAGAATGAGTCTAGGGGAAGGGCCAAATCACACTTTGGCAGAATGTTGACCTTTGTGTTTTAAATATTTATATGTATATGGTCATATTTACAGTTGGATGTGTGTATCTAGCGCCCCATGTACCAATGTACCTGTAAAATTCCTGTTACCCTTTGTGTTTCTCTATATACATATGGTTATATTTACAGTTGGATGTGTGTATCTGGCTCCCCATGTACCAATGTGCCTGTAAAATTCCTGTAACCCTTTGTGTTTCTCTATATACATATGGTTATATTTACAGTTGGATGTGTGTATCTGGCTCCCCATGTACCAATGTGCCTGTAAAATTCATGTTACCCTTTGTGTTTCTCTATATACATATGGTTATATTTACAGTTGGATGTGTGTATCTGGCTCCCCATGTACCAATGTACCTGTAAAATTCCTGTTACCCTTTGTGTTTCTCTATATACATATGGTTATATTTACAGTTGGATGTGTGTATCTGGCTCCCCATGTACCAATGTGCCTGTAAAATTCCTGTTACCCTTTGTGTTTCTCTATATACATATGGTTATATTTACAGTTGGATGTGTGTATCTGGCTCCCCATGTACCAATGTGCCTGTAAAATTCCTGTTACCCTTTGTGTTTCTCTATATACATATGGTTATATTTACAGTTGGATGTGTGTATCTGGCTCCCCATGTACCAATGTACCTGTAAAATTCCCAAACTCTCCAGAGTATTATTTCTTAATGGAAGTATCAAATGTGTAAGTTGACTATCTATTTTGATCTCATCAATATTTCTATCCTCTAAAATTTAGTCTCAGTCTTATTTTTCTGAAATTAGACACATAACTTTTTAAAGAATGATTCAACATTTAAAATTTATTTCCTAAACTTCAATTTACAATAATATAAATGTTGAATTACAATTGATTTTGTCACAGTCATGGATATGTCAAGACTAGATTGATATTTATTGATTTAGTATGTAAAGTAAAACCTAAATCAAGTGGAACACCTCCTTTATAATTCATGTTAAAGAAGAACACCTTTACCTCTATATTATTGACTTAATGTTAATTGAACAAAAGGGACACACCTTAAGTAGAACATCTGGAACCAAGTCAATGGCAGGCCCATAGCCAGGGGGGGTTCGCAGTTCTTTCAAAATCATGCAGTTTTTCACCATTTTGAGCACTTTTCAAATGATTTTAGACATACAGGGTGATCATTAAGTTCTGGGAATTGGTTTGCCATTTCAAGATTTCTCAACCATTTGAGTTGAAATTTTCAGCAGGTGTTCATTGTATAATTCTGAATTGACAAGCAATGTTTCATATACATATCACATCTACAATTTATTTTATTGTAATTACAAAAAAAGTAAAAGTGGTTTGCGGGTCAGCAAATTTTGACTGATGTTAATTTGAAAATTTCCTGCCAAAACATATTCATCTTGCTTAGATAGTTGCTTCAAACTACCTGTACTAGAGGCAGAACAGTACTCTTGAAGTCATTTATTCAGAAGTATTCTTCATTGCTGAGAGGATCATTTCATTTATGATTGTTTCCATTAGCCTTGGACGCACATGCGTTGTTGACAAACTTCATAAAGATGTGTTCCAGTCCTCCCTTTGGTATCCCTTGAAGATTTGCTCAAGCCGTTGAAATCAGTCCCTTATTGGAATCAAACTTATGACCTCTCATATAATGCTTTAGCACCCAAAATGTATTGAAGCCTAATGGTGCTTCATCTAGTGAATATTGTCTGGTGAATATGGGGCAGTAATAACTTGTGTGAACCCTAATTCTTCAAGAGTAGTATGGGCAGCTTTAGTAATCGGAAGAAGGATAGTCTTAATGAAAGATAACTCCCCACTATTTTTAGTCATGATTGTTACTTTGAGATGCTGATGAATGATACAAAAATAGAGCAAAGTACACTCTTATATAACAATAAAGATGTTACTTTAGAAACATAAGTTAGAAGTATTTGAAAATATAAAAAATCACAGAAATATGTCCACCAAATAGATATTTATTAACCATACTTTTGGATCAGGCAAAATTTGAATTCATTTTTTATTTTACTTGACCCGCTACGGCATTTATCTTGTTGCTATAGTAACAATAATTATCCATTGTGACATCAGATGATAATGAGACTGTTTTATCCAACCCAAAATTACATTCCCCATTTACCTTGAAAATTTCAAGTAAATTGGTTAAAAAATAATGAAATGACAGATAAATTCCCAGAACTTAGTGATCACCCTGTATTTGGGCCAAAATTGCCAAATGTGAACCCCTTCTGGAAATTTTTGAAAACTGAACCCCCCCCCCCCTTGGCAAATCCTGGCTACGGACCTGAAGGGTGTTACCCAGTGAGAACCCAGCAAAATCTAGTACAGTAAGATCTATGTTAATGGTACTAATGTACCTTGGTACATTTAAAGTGTTCTACTGCATGAGGGGGTGTTCCATTTACAGAGGTGTTAACTTTGTAGATGTTTCGGTACCTTGGGATATGAAGATATAATTTGATAATAATCCTCATTATTGGTCAATATTATAGTCTCTGCCAATATACTCTGCAGTTTATATTTTGATTATTGTTTTAATAGAGACACAGGAAACACCGACTCTTAACTGCCAATATACTCTGCAGTTTATATATAAAGCACCGACTCTAACTGCCAATATACTCTGCAGTTTATATATAAAGCACCGACTCTAACTGCCAATATACTCTGCAGTTTATATATAAAGCAGCGACTCTAACTGCCAATATACTCTGCAGTTTATATATAAAGCAGCGACTCTAACTGCCAATATACTCTGCAGTTTATATATAAAGCAGCGACTCTAACTGCCAATATACTCTGCAGTTTATATATAAAGCAGCGACTCTAACTGCCAATATACTCTGCAGTTTATATATAAAGCACCGACTCTAACTGCCAATATACTCTGCAGTTTATATATAAAGCAGCGACTCTAACTGCCAATATACTCTGCAGTTTATATATAAAGCACCGACTCTAACTGCCAATATACTCTGCAGTTTATATATAAAGCACCGACTCTAACTGCCAATATACTCTGCAGTTTATATATAAAGCAGCGACTCTAACTGCCAATATACTCTGCAGTTTTTATATTGATTGTTGTTTTAACAGGGACACAGGAAGCACCGACTCTAACTGCCAATATACTCTGCAGTTTATATATAAAGCACCGACTCTAACTGCCAATATACTCTGCAGTTTATATATAAAGCAGCGACTCTAACTGCCAATATACTCTGCAGTTTATATATAAAGCAGCGACTCTAACTGCCAATATACTCTGCAGTTTATATATAAAGCAGCGACTCTAACTGCCAATATACTCTGCAGTTTATATATAAAGCAGCGACTCTAACTGCCAATATACTCTGCAGTTTATATATAAAGCAGCGACTCTAACTGCCAATATACTCTGCAGTTTATATATAAAGCAGCGACTCTAACTGCCAATATACTCTGCAGTTTATATATAAAGCAGCGACTCTAACTGCCAATATACTCTGCAGTTTATATATAAAGCAGCGACTCTAACTGCCAATATACTCTGCAGTTTATATATAAAGCACCGACTCTAACTGCCAATATACTCTGCAGTTTATATATAAAGCAGCGACTCTAACTGCCAATATACTCTGCAGTTTATATATAAAGCAGCGACTCTAACTGCCAATATACTCTGCAGTTTATATATAAAGCACCGACTCTAACTGCCAATATACTCTGCAGTTTATATATAAAGCAGCGACTCTAACTGCCAATATACTCTGCAGTTTTTATATTGATTGTTGTTTTAACAGGGACACAGGAAGCACCGACTCTAACTGCCAATATACTCTGCAATTTATCGTAAAAGTGCATGGTCTTCCAATAGATGGCATTCAGATGTCACTAGTTATTGTTGTCGTAAGTCAATTTCTCCCAACTTTAAATTATTTAATTTGCTCCGTCTCGAAATTACCCTTTTAATTATCCCATCAAACAAAGCTTTGGGGGATATAGGGAACGCCTCCATGCTGGCATCCATCCACCTGTCTGTAATTATTGTAAAGTACAATATTTTGGTCAAAAAAGCAAATGCTAAAAGGCAGATTTCCTTCTTATTGTCCAACAAAGTTTGGGGGATATAGGAAACACCTTCTGTCTGTCTGTCCGTCCGTCCGTCTGTCCGTCCGTCCGTCCATCTGTCCATCCATCTACAAAACAAACTAAAACATACAAAAGTTAGGACATGTATAAATGTTACTAGTTTTACATATTCTGTTTCAATATGGTCCTTTAATTGCTTATTTTTTAGATTCAAAGTAGTTCCAAACATTTAAAATTTTTCCGGAGTATCATTTCTGTCATTATTAGAGCTCAAAAATCTAACAAAATCTCGGAGGGGGGGGGGGTCACCCCCGACATCCTCCCCCTTCCGACGCCAATGATAAAATTCCCTCAATACTAACATTGGGCTTTCAATAGATCTCTTGAAAGCCCATGATACTAACCAAGGCAATCGATGCATTAAGATAAATTACATTCACTTCTTAATGTTGAATTTGACATATTTGCTTATACAGGGTGTCAAATGGCGTTGTGACCCCCCTCCACTGCATAAACTAGGAAAGATACACACACATACCATATACCATTGGAAAGAGCATTTAATTGTTGTTAACATGTGAAAAGATGTAGATGCATGATGGAAAATAAGATATATTTTTAACTTACTTTTAAAAGTGAGTATGACCCCCTTGGGCAGCCTTAACCGCTACCAATCTAGCCGGATATGAAGCTAAAAGGGAATGGAAAAGGGCTGTGTCTTTCTCAAGAGATTTTAATACTTTTCGGAGGTTCTTGAGCAGGGCATCTTTGGAATATCTGTTCTCTGCAGCTTCAGTGTCCATAAGTTGCTCTGTTTTATCCATTAATATGGACCCCATGTGCTCTGCAGCATTCAGGTCAGGGCTGTTGCTCGGGTATTCATCAATACCAAAAAAGTCTATGCCAGATTCTCAAAAATCAATGAAATAGAGCACTACACTAGTACATTTCAAATGCATGTGACACTATGTAGCAATATCTGACCTAGGTCATCTAGGGTTTATTTTATCCAGAATTGAATGCTCTTTCCAATGACATACATAATGTGTAGGTACCTTTCTAAGTTTATGCCGTGGAAGGGGGGCACAACGCCATTTGACACCCTGTATATGACTTAAACAGATGGCTAATACTGATAATACAGGTAATAAAGTCATATCTATTTTTTATATTTACAAGTAAAGGAAGGAGAAAAATATTGATTTTTTCGAATTAAATGGTATAAAGTAAATTCACCTATTACTCCCACCATATTTTTTATTATCACAACGAACGAAGTTCGGTAGGGATATAGTGAAGCCCTCCGTCCGTCCGTCCGTCCATCTGTCCGTCAGTCAGTCAGTCCGTCCGTCTGTCCGGAAGATAACTCAAATACTAGTAGATGGATTTTCTTCATATTTAGTGGAAAGATGTATATTGATGAATAGTTTTACGCAAAAAAATTTTTTTCAAGATGGCTGCCGCTTTAAAAATGACGGGACTTTTTCGCAAAAATCATAAATTTTTCATTCTAAACCAAAGTAATATATATTATTGTTTGAAAATTCAAAATGGCTGCTTTGCAGGAATTCGCAATTCTAAAATCTAATTTTTCAATTTTAACCAAAGTAATGAGTATAATTGATTGGAATTCGGTAATCGATATTTTGTTCGTTGGGATTTGCTACTCCGCGGAGTTGCCGTTATCTAGTTATTTATTTTTATAATTAAAATATTTAAATGTGGTAATAAAGGACACAATACAATACATTTTAGAAGTAATATAATTTTATAATCATTACAGACATATTTGTTTCATAACTATTGTTTTTTCATCTGTTCTGTCTGTCTGTTCATCTATTCATTCTGAATATTTAAACCTTATTTACCCACAATTTTGTTTTTAGGATAGGTTCTGAGAAAAGCATATTGTCTGTATTATTTGCATTATTATTTCATTTCAATATTACTTTTGCAGCTACTCACACAATGTTTTGAAGAATAATTCCATAAATGCAGTATAAAGTTTCTCATTATAATGGATACCATCTCTATACCACTCCGTTTTATTTTTACTCAAGTCATATATTCCGTAAAATGGATGAAAAAGCCTTGGATTTGACTCATAGTATTTATATATCACTTGTAAAGCCCATTGCTTATATTGCTCATATTCATGTTTAATCTTCCATTTGTTTGAAACATATGTTGGTTCTATCCAGTACACTCTCGTATTATTGTGAACTACTTGCTGTAATAGCTCAAGGAACCATGTTAGGTCCCGTTTAAGATCGGAGCAACCTCGCCTTTCTGGTTCGTGGTGATTCCCAATGATTACAATAAGGGTTGGGTAGTGTGGCTCGGTGTAGAGATATTCATTGAAGATGAATTGTTGCGTTGTCATTGATTCACGCAGTAACTGCCATATTTGGAAGAACTAAATGGGTATTTCTTTGCATTTTTACACTGTTTTGACCTTCTCTGGGTTATCATTTCATTGTCCATGTAATACTCCATTGCTAAGTATTCAATGTCAAGCTTATGTGTAAACGCCTGTACAGTTGCATTATGGGATACCCCACTCGTATTATGGGAAACTTCAGTTGCATCATGGGAATTAACTGGTTGCTTGGTGACACATTGGTATAGAAATGAAGTACATGTTAAACAATCCCTTTTATGGAATTTTGCATCTTTCACCTCTTTAAAATATTCTTCTGTTGGATCACTAGTCCCATCAATTTCCTTTTTCACTACTTTACATTTGTATTCCCTTTGGAGTAACTTCAATGCCGCATATCCCCATCGTCGCCCATTAGAGTCTCCTAATATCAACATTTTTCTAATTTTTAAATCTGGAAGACATTTTGGAAGATATGAATTGCCAAATGAGAACTCACAATTGCTTGGTATCCACGTGTTATTTATCCATGATCCTTCAGTGTACAACAAATTGTTTTTCAATAAAACTTTCCGCAGAAATTCCGAATTGCATTTTTCCACTAAATAATTTGAATATATTTGTTTAGGCCTAGTAGTAAAATTGTTCAAATGTATATTTAAATATTTCAAAGAGCTTCCAAAGTTAAAATATGTGTACATGTATGTTAAAACAGCTAAAACTGTAAAACAAGCTCGTATAGTAATTTTCTGATTCATAATGTAGTTGCTCAAGCTACAGAGTACAGTGATTCCCTGAGAAATATTTAACTATAGTAATAACAATAAGACAGATATATAAATATATATTGCATTGTAGCTATTACTCATCCCAGTCAGTGATTAATACTTCATGTACATGAATTTAAAAAGGAACTTCTTGGATTATATAATCAATATTGTATCAAAAGGAGACTGGCCTTTGACAAATTTCAAGTTTTCATACCTCACGTGACCTACTGCATAGAAGTGTAAATTCTGTATTCACGATTAGTGTATTGATATAATTTCAAAAAATATTAGGTCAAAAAAGAGATCTTCAAATCAATAACTGCACATAGACATAAAACTAGAGCATTTTCACAGTATGAAAGCACTATAGGATTTTTATCGGACATTTCTCCATGTGTTATCATGTGCAATGGCTCTAATCATACTTCTCTCTTGTTTAAACTAGGGCCGTGCCATTCGACCGGAATCGGTCCGAACCGCGGACTTTTGTTAAAATACCGGAATTCGGAATTTTAATATCATGTTCCGAAGGGTTTCGGAACAATATCGGACCCTTACCTTAGTACTTGCTTTGAATCGTTAATATCCGTGACCATTGTTCCTCCAGTGATGTTTTCCTTCAAACTACATCCAATTTGCATGTGTATTACTCGCATAAACAAAATAAATAGCGGAGAAATCAACAGAAATCGTTATGATTTCGTTTCAAAACTTTTTCAATTACGCATGCGCATTATGGTCAGAGCAGCCGGAAGTGAAAACAAGTAGAAAAAAGATCGAATTTTCTCTCTTTTTACAGATTTTAGAGTCTATTTCTTTCGTAAAAACATTCAAACTTGCTTGACAGGAAAGGTAAGTGTTAACCTGACAAACTTGGACGACGATATCGTCATGATCGCCGTCGAACTCACTCATACATAATTATTTTCATTTGTGAACCAAAAGGGGTTCCGAAAGTTCCGATTCCGTGAGACCAAGTTCCGGTTCCGATTCCGAACCGTCCGAACCGGTTCCGGCACAGCCCTAGTTTAAACTCTCCGATGCTTCTTCAAGGGAAAAGCCATGATTTCCCAAGGTGGTTCAACTTTTCCCTTGTCTGGGGCTTCAGTTTAGAATGAAGAGGTAAAGTCAAGGCAAAGCGGATGGAGGTCGCAAGACAGAAACTGTTTTAACAAACCAATTGAATTACAGAAAATAGTAGGAAATAGCTAGTGTAGATGTATGATTCATTGTTTGCGAAAAGAAAAGGGGGTTGTCATGGGTCATGTGTTTTTACAAAGATAGGGGGTTCAAGGAGAATGGGAGTTCGCATGAGGCCCACACTATGGCCAAGCATCTAGAGTTGTAAATGTGGACAGTGTCTTAAAATGGCCACGAAATCGTGACCATAAAAAGTATACCAATGAAAATTAAAAGTAGAAAGAAAGAACAGAAAGTAGAATGAACTTTATTAAATATGAGTTCATATTCATGTTGGAAAATATAGTTATTAACATTTGTTTTAGTTTCCTTTTTCACTCACCCTATACATACAACTTGTGGTCCTTTGATGAAGCAAGGAATTATATAAACTGTGACTGGTTTGAAACCAAGATTTTCTCACAATAATACCTCATAAAACCCATTGATGTCATTTTGATCCACTATGGCTTATTGTAAAGATTGTTGAAATTTATTTCAGTGTAGTGTACTTTGCATCAGTAGTTACGTCATGTGTTTCTACGCCTGGTACAACAAACAGGGTATTAGGTCATACTTGTTGAAGTTCCCAGTTTTCCAGAAAATCCTTCTTTGGAAAAAATCAAGTGAAGATTTTGAGATGGAAACTACTGTGCTGCAACCTCCAAAACTGAGTAAGTACAGTAGGCTCCTTATATCTGCATATCATACATTCTTCGCTTTGGGCTTTTGTCCAGATTATGCTTTGGAATTTTAATGTTTGAGACATGAACAGGTGTGGGTTTGATTCTCTGTCTAGTGTCCCTCTATCACTGTATGGTTAATGTACATATATATTTCAGCATTCAATTTTGAAGACATGAATAGTGATTCTGTGTCAAGTGTCCCCCAATCTTCACAACGTCTCTGGGAAAAAAGTGCTGAAACTATCATAGAAGATGACGAAGAAGATGAAGTGGAAGAAGAAGAGTTACAGGCAGATGAGGCTTCTGACTCAGATTATGATGAACAGGTTATTGTCATTTTTGTTGCTTTGTGATAAACATTTGTGATTGAATGACTGACGGCAATTAATATGCTAAGACATGTAAAAATATTCAGAATCCATGTGTCTGTAAAATAGGCAAGGTAAACTATTTTACACTAATCATTCAAGCAAAATGTATAGTTACTACTAGAATTAAATTTCAAATGAGTGCACACAAGGTGAGTGAAGGCAGATTTTAATCTTAGTGTCGTTACGGGGTTTTTGGAGTGAAGGTGTACAGTGTTACTGCTTTAAGTACTGAATTCTTTTTCAGGTTATTAATGATATCCAGATAATCCCAACTACAGATCCCTCAACCAACAAGCTAGACCTTGTTAAAGTTCAAACCATTGGACCTGTAGTTCCTAAAACACCATCATCTCCTCGTGTTTATGGTAAACTGCAACCCGCTGGACTATCAGGTACTCATCCGTTTTCTCTGCCTGTGTCTCCAAAAAAGGATGTAAGACCTGGTTTAGTTAAAAGCAAACAAGGATCAAGCCATAATGACAATCAAAACAATGCTAATGTTGATGAACATACAGAGGTTGATATGAAAAAAGGCAATCAGAGTTATCCTATTGATCAACATAGAGACAACAACAATCAAAGTAATTCAAATGAAAAACTGGAGACAGAATTTGATGAGAGAGAGAATGAGAATGTTAACAATAATAATATTGATGAACATGAAAAAACAGAGACCATGAGAGAAAGGATGCACAGCAATGACATTCTGATATTACCTAGTATATCTGAAGGATCGGATTCATGCTACATAGAAATGAATGACATAACGTCCATTCGTAACGAACAAGAATTTAAGGATGTAGGGTGTTTGAAAGATTCTGAACAATCTCAAATTGAAATTGGTGTGGCAAATAAACCAAATGAAAATATTGAGGATAAAATGTGCCCAGCTGTTCGCAATCTTACAAAAACAGTGGGGATTACTAGTATTGCTCAACCAACAGACAATAGTTCCCAACCAATGGACAGTAGTGCTGAACTAAGAGACAACATTGTTCAACCAAGCGATAATATTGCCCAACCAATAGCCAATGTTGCCCAACCAAAAGGCAATATTGGTTCTTTAGCAAATTCTATGGTTCAACTTATGAATACTAAAAAACAAGCAAAACCCAAAAAATCAAAAACGTCTTGTAAAAAATCTCACCCAGCTGTCCAAATGTCACAATCAGAAGACAACGTTCTATTTCAAGCATCCCGAGAACAGTTGTATGTTAACATACCTGAGTTTGTAAGCAACATTGTAAAATCTGCTAGTGCAGAATATATTGTAGAAACAAGTGTCCAAGCTACTAGTCGAATTCTCTTTGAGGAGCATATCAGAAAAGATAGGGGATGTAAGAATAAGACCAAGGTGAAGAAAGATTGAAGTCTTCTCAGCCTCTGGTTATGAAAGCACCATTTCAAAAAGATTTATTTTAGTAGAGGGGCGAATGAACATTTGTAGAAATAGACTCCCCTTCTAAAGTTTGACAATTGGAAGTCTAATTTCTTGCTCAACGGACAGGCTTTTCAATGGAAACTTCCTTTTGTAAAATGTATAGTTGGGGTGTAGGTTCAATTAGTATTGGACGGGGAGAGTTATTAATTGTTAAATTATTATTGGGAAGATGTAGATTATAATGAAATGTAAATATGTATGAAATTTAATATATCAACTTATATAAGAAATAAATTTAATGTTCAAATTGGCAGAAGGTGTTAGATCTGTAGATTGAATAAGTGTTTTTGGAATGTTTATTTTCAATTTATGTTTTATCAATATTATCAATCTACCCGTTAGATTTTGACCCATATGACCTAATCATTGATTGCCAAGAGTCACAGCAGCCCGTAAGTGTCTTAATACGGCCTGAGCCTAACATACTGGCAGATACGTCAAATACCTATATATTGACTTGGAATGACCTTGAGGTATAAACGTTGACCTTGACCAAGGGCTTCTTAAGCATGGGTCACCAGGATCACATCAGACCCAAATGTCTTAAAACGTCAAATACCTTGATATTGCCCTTGTAATGAGCTTGACCTTCGTAAGGATACCCATTCGCCCACTTTACTTGTTAACCAAGTGTGATGACCGAAGGTTGACCCACTGGCGGGTCCAGAAGCTAGCAATTTGATTTTCAAATCAGAAAAAATGTCCCAAAGTAATGACCCAAAACTAATTGAGGCCATACAACATTTTTGGGCCTAAATTTTGTTTTGGCCCCAAACATTATCAATCAACTCTGAAGATTTGAAGACAAAGCATGCAATACATAGACATATGTACTTTGATATATATTTTTTCCCTTTTAACATACAATGCAGTTGAATGCAGGTTAAATAAAACACCACGATGGTCATCAATTAGTACACCATTTTGATAGCCTATGCCATAATTGATTTTGAATATTTTGTTATCACTATGTGGCATTCATGCCACATTCATTTCTGCAGGGCCCTCCACAAAGGTTCCATTGAATGCTACACACTTCCTCATCATCCTCTTAAAACAAGATTGAAAGATATGGTCAAATGCCAAATTCGTTCTCTGACATGTCTGACACAGTAGCAAGCTGCACAGCTTGTTTTATTTCATCAATATTGTTAAACCTGCGTTCTTTCTCTTAATGTTTTCTCAAATCGACCTGCAAACCCTGACCATACAACACCGACATCACAATACTTACATTTTGTTACCAGGCAGCAAAATATTTCAAACAACACAACACTTGTGGGATATTAAAAAGTTCAAATCTAACTGAAATATGCCCAATTGGCTAAAGCATGGGCTTTTAATTGAAAAGAAGCTAAAGAAACTTCAGAATATGTGACGTAAATGTCGGTCAAGAGGGGTCATTCATCAAGCTATCGCAATCACTGCGAGGTCGCAGACACTGCGACCACCGTGCGAGGTCGCAGTGACTGCGACTGCGACCTATTCATTAACAAAGCGCAGTCTGCGATGTCCCTGCGACCAGTCGCAGTGATTACCACGTGCACGTACTTGTACACGTACTTGTACACGTGTTAGTTATCCTTCCGTGATCCTATTGTATCATTTCGTAAACTTTTATAATAGTTAACCTAGGCATGTGATATCGCAAAATAAGGTCCACATCATCGTATATTTGAAGAGGATCTGTACGATCTCTAAATACGCGTTCTCTACGCAGAGCATTACGGTTGAAATCAACCATCAGATGCGCCATTTTGAACGAATAAACGCTGCCAGCAGACGATTAACATGTCATGCAAGATTGACAATATGGATACTGAGTGGGTAGAGCCACGTGGGTTCAAATCACGCGTAACGTACAATCACTGCGACCGGTCGCACGGACGGTGAAGTACTTAAAAATACAAGCCGAAAACTAGCTGTTTTTGATAGTATCACAAACATGTCATAAACATAATGCATATGTTCTTCAAGGAAATTAAAATACTGTATATCAACATGTCTTACATAGTTTTTCTTCAAATCTTGAGTTGATAGATAATTGAAAAATCTTGAGTTGATAGATAATTGAATGATGTATCACTGGTAAAAAATTAAAAAGATCAATAAAAAGCATCCGTTAAAAAAGCGTCCATTACGTATTCACGCAGTCCTAACTTCGACCGTTAATTTGAATTTTTGACCTACCAGGTGCTTGAAAATCAAGGATTGCGAGTCTCATACTGCACCGTTCTTCTTCAAACTTATACCATTAAAAGCAGAACAAAATTGCCTTTCTGTCGGTGCATTACTTTATTGTAAAGAGTCCCTCGTTCTAGCAGCGTTTTGGTCCCCAGCTGTTAGAAGGCCTTCTTACAGCTGGGGACCAAAATGCCGCTAGAAGCAGGGACTCTGTTGAAGAGAATTATGAACCATCAGAAAGGGATTTGTGTTATGCTTTGAATGGAACAAATTGAAGAAAAACGGTGCAGTATGAGACTCGTAATCCTTGATTTTCAAACATCCGGTAGGTCAAAAATTCAAATTAACGGTCGAAGTTAGGACCGCGTGTTATTGATCACCCCTTGTAAATGTGTTCCAACTGCTTAATAGAATTAGATAATCTGAGCTTCGCATTTATGTAATTAGTTAATCTGATCTTCGTTATTATATAGCCCTTACTTTGTATAGATAACTGTCAAAATGACACTTGAACTATGGAATGATGGAGTGTTACTTCCATTCTCCATCACACATGACAGCATGACATATCTGCCTGTCGTAATTAAAATCAAAAATGAGGACTATTAGCTTATTATGTTGGCACCTATTTTTACATCACACCACGCTGGAAGCCCTGAGATGAAAAAAGCCATTACATGTATTCAACAATATCTTCAAATAATAATGCATATCGAATGAATAGCAGTTAATGATGGAAAGTGGAGGCCATGAAAAGCTGAAAGACACATTTGGAAATAGTGGAAGTGGCAATGGCACGAATCTGACTGCACAATTCAGAATGAATTATATTGTTTCATTCAATGAAAATATAATATACTATGTAATCAGTTCTTTGGGATTTCTTGGAAACTTTTTTGTGATATTCATTTTTCTGAGATCCGTACATCTCAAACGAAAGATCAACAATATGCTAATTATCAACCAAAGTATGGTTGACATGGTTGCATCATTATCCATATTTTTGACTAAGAAGTTTAATGGAATGGACTGGCCATGGATAACTGAATCAGGACCAACTGTGACAGTTTTCTGCAGATTATGGCTATCCGAGTATATTCCTTGGGCCTGCATGGTTGTATCAACCTTCAACCTTGTTGCGCTCACCATAGAGAGATACATAGCGTTGATCTATCCGCTTGTTCATAAGAGACGTTTAACGAAGAAACATATCTGGATTGTGATCATATCGGTATGGATCCTAGGCTTTATAGAGGATCTTTATTTAATTGTTAGTTCTAAAATGGTCGGCAAGTTATGTTCAGTGTGGACAGAATGGCCGAGTGAAATAGCATCAACTGCGGTCGGTATTCACGTTTTCGTAATAGAATACTTGATACCTATTTGCATTCTATTATTTTGCTATACCAGAATAGTTATAATGATTTATAATCAGGCAAAGATGCAAGTGGGATCTCTAGAACGAGATAAACAAATTGCAAGAAGCAAAATTAAAGTGATACGTACACTTATTCTCGTTTCAATGGGATTTTTCCTTTGTTGGACATGGACTTGGACATATTCTCTTCTTTACTACATCGGAGTAGTTAACACCTTTTCCGGGCCACTTTGTCAAATTGGTGTTTTTGCATCATATTGTAACTGTTGCATCAATCCATTTATTTATTCATTTTCTCATGCTGAGTTTCGGAATGCTATAAAAGATGGATTTACAAGATGTCATGACGGACAGAATACTGTTTCAACAGGTTTTGCACAACGGGCCCCTGTTAGTAAAACGCATGAGACAGAAACAGAACGTGGTAATAATGGCGTTTCTGAAAGTACTCATTGAAAGAATAGTCTGTCATTTCGGCTTTACTCATGATAAATGATAAAATTATTTTGAATAAATATACGATACATAATAGTTGCAATGCATTAAAGCCAGTTTCTAAACACATCATTGTTGTCAGGTTGTTCAGAGTTTAAATTTTGTTTTTACTTTTTTAACATTCAAGTTATGAAATTAAAAGAAAAATGTTCAAAGATTATTTAAATGGATTAAAAAATGCTACCACACAATTTGTGTATAGGCTAGTTCTGATTGAACATTTTTAATACGATACATCAAATAATCTCAGAATTTCATTGGGAATCACTGCCATGTTAGTATTCCTCGATTTTTCAAATATTTTTGAGTCGATATCATTACACTACAATTTCATTATCGCACCTAAAAAAGGTACGATATTGTCGTCAGCAGCTTGGCGGGCGGGTGGCGTCTCACTTTTGTTATCATCGCGATTCCAGGAAAACCACTTTTTTACTTCAGATTTACTTCAAATTTCCATAAATGTTACATGGTAAGAAGTTCTAGAGCTGATCAACTTTTTGGCTACTATCTTACATTCTGGCGTCAATTTTTGGAGTTTTTAGATAGATTCTGTCATCGCGATTACAGGAAAACCACTTTTCGGATTCGCTTCAAATTTTCACACGTGTTACGTGGTAAAAAGTTCTAGAGCTGATTAACTTTTTTGCTACCATCTTGCATTCTGGCGGCCACTTTGGAAGTTTTTAGATAAATTTTGTCATCGCGATTCCAGGAAAACCACAGCGGCAGTAGAAATGCCCTTTTTGGGCGATTACGCCGTGATGAATATGTTAATTTACTCATGATTTTTAAGAAATAAAAGAGTATTTATTATTAAAAAAGGAAACCCACTTAACGGTATTACTTTATATTTTTACACATGTTACAAGGTAAGAAGTTCTGGAGCCTGAGAGCTGATTTACTTTTCGGCGGCCATCTTGCATTGTGGCCGCCATTTTGGAAGTTTTTGTTAGATAAACCTTGTCATCATTATGTCAGGAAAACCACTTTACAGGTTTACTTCAAATTTTTACACATGTTACATGATAAGAATTTTTTGAGCTGATTAACTTTTTCAATTTCAATAGAATCCATTACAATGGTAGTATTCCTCGATTTCTAATTGACTTGAAATTGACTTTTCAAGTCAATTTCATAACTTCAGCTCAGTCTGGCTTCAGATAATAGGGGATTTCAAATAGTGAAGCCTTCCGTTCGTTCGTCCGTCCAGAAAATAATTCAATTATAATGTAATTGTGTTCTCTTGGAACTTGTACCTTATCCCCCTATACCAGGTCGTTCAATAAATTCACGGAAATGCTCTCATTTCAATGGGTTGAATGCAAGTGACTAAGAATCTTTGAAAATGCGATCATTTTTCCGTGAACTTATTGAACGACCTGGTATTATACTCATTAGTTACCTGAGTCGCTATGCCATTAATTCATTGAAAAAAAGTCAGAGATAATTATTCAATTAAGAACCTTCATTTAATCAATACGTCAATATGACATTACAACACACCTGTCACTCCATGGAAAAAAATCACGTTGATCATGCAAAAAACGAAAGGAATTATCAGGGAATGAAATCAGTAAACAGGTTCACCGGTTACACACTAAATTGTATATGCTTATTTAATCCGACACATCATTCAAATAAAAGAGAAAGGTTGGAAAAATGCGTTATAAGATAAAAAGAGATTTTGAGGGCGGGTAATATGTTCGCTAATTATCGTCTACTGAATAAATAAAAACAGCGAAACAATATTACACTGTACATTTATTTATAAGTTGTATTCAATAGGTTACAACTTTTAGAGAATAAACTTAATCCCACGTAAAAGTGAATTTCTGAACTTTCAATGGAAATAAGACGTCGACAAAGAAATATGTGAATAGGGTCATTTTTATGGACACTCACACATGGAATTGGGAGCGAAAATAGGATTGATCTTTCTGTGTTGATAAAAAAACATTTTTTGTTCTTCCTGGATTAACCATCAAAATATTTAATACGGTAATCACAATCGTAGACTTTGAAAATTAATTAATGCGTAAAAGAGATTGCAACACAGGCATAAAAGATCGCTCATCAAAGGCATAAAAGATCCCAGACCCACAGGCTGGTATCGAAAGATTTATCCGCTGTGACGGAGCATGCTATTTTTCATAAAAACACTAAGAATGCTTCACGATTTATTTTTTTAACTCATATGTTTCGTTATATCAAAGATAATTACTTACTCCATGCAATGGATATATCATTTGCTTATAACCTCCACTTCTGTTTGAAGTCCAATAATGCTAGGAGTAAAATCTATTGAAAACGGCGCCAGAATATCAAACTCTAAAATGTACCATTTCTTTTTTAACTTTTTAATGGCATGATATAGTGACACGATAATATTAACATATGTTTTCAGCATAACTCTGAATGTATTAATGATATTATAATGCATTGGGTCTTTTAAATTTTTTTATAAAAAATAATATTAATATTTTTTGTCCGCTGTGACGGAGCATTTTCACAGTTCACATTTGCAACTGCTCCGTCACAGCGGACAAAAAAATTAAACAATATTTTTTATAAAAGAGTTAAAAAGACCAAATACATCAACATCTCATTTATACCTTCATAGTTATGCTGAAACCATGTGTAAATATTATCATGTCACTAGCCTATATCGTGCCATTAGAAAGTTAAACAAGAAATGGTACATTTTGAAGTATGATACTCCGGCGCCATTTTCAATAGCTTTTCTTCCCAGCGTAATTGGACTTCAAACAGAAGTGAAAGTTACCCGCAAATGATATATCCATTGCATGGAGTAAGTAATTTTGTATGGTATAACGAAACATATGAGTTAAAAAATAAATCGTGAAGCATTCTTAGTGTTTTTTTGAAAAACAGCATGCTCCGTCACAGCGGACAAATCTTTCGATACCAGCCTGTGAGACCAAATTATAATCACTAAAATAGTGACTAAAATAGATAAAGAAGTATGTTGGATATTTACGTGGATTATATATCTGCTCCAAGCAGAGCTGTCTTATTGCTGCTTAAGACACAGAAGGTGGAATACAAGGAAAATATAGTGCAACTAGCAAAAGGTAAAAGGCGGATTTACACTCCCCTCCATAAGTTTGACAACCGGAACTTTCCATTGGATAGCGTGTCAAAGTTTCAACCTTAATATTGTCCTTAATTTCAATAGATTGGGAATTTATAACAAATTAGCATAGATAGGCCCAAGATGGGCCTTAAATTTTCAAAATTTGGACCCAATTTTTTGATATTTTTTTTGATTTTATATTTGCCCCCCCCCCCCTTGTTAGCTTGAGAGCTTCATTTAAAGTGTACATAAGCTCTGATCAGAATTCTCAGGGAAATTAATTGATAACTGAAAACGTAGAGTGCAATGCGGGCCTTTTTTCTCGAGGGGATGTAACCAAATGATGCGGGCTATTTTATTGTGAATTTCACTTTTTGCAGGGGAACACAAAAGCGATAGATATAAGAAGATAAATCCATTCGGACTTGTTCCAGCATTGGTGGACGATAGTTTCGCCCTGACTGAAAGGTACGTATGTCACATTTATTTGAATATTTCTTTTTATCATCTGAAAATGTATTATGGATATGTTACTGTTGATTGGTATCGATTAAACAGTTTGATATAACTATATTTCTACAGGTCTATGCTTACTTTAAAAGGATTGGGTTCGTTTTCTAATATTGCCCTTTGTGCGCTGCTGTATATAGACATCCTATTCGCTTGTCTTTTTTTATTGTAGAATGTATTGTATTAGAATATATGTTCTATACTATTTTGAATGATAAAAATAAATACGTATGTATTATATTAGGACATATGTTAGATCGTATTTCCAGCTCTGCGATACTACGTTACATTGCAACGTCAAAACCCATGACAACCAATGTGTATCCTAGCAACCAGCAAAGCAGAGCACGTGTTGATGAATACCTATCTTGGCATCAAAGCAACATTAGGAAACATACAGGCAGTTACTTCAAATATAAGGTAAATCATATATTGGGAAAGAATACAAAGGGCAATATATTAGGATTAACCAAAACACCAAACCACTTTAATATGTAAAATGACTGTTCTGCGAATTTTGCCGATAACAAAAATATTTGTAAAATCAAGTCCATCATACATATCGATACGAAAAATGGCTAAATTAACTTTACGAAGGATCTTGGTCTGTAAATGGCTGCTATATCAGTTATACTAAAAATAAGAATTTGGTGTGATTAATTCATGGAACAGACTTCCCAAAACTAAATCTTCAGTTTTAATAATAAATCAACCAAATTTCTTTTTTTTATTCTAAATCAACTTTGTACTATGATTGTCTATAAATTAGCGTTCTTTTTGTTTCTCAGATAGTCGACAAGCTGATGTTAAAACTGCCAATTGACGAGAACAAAGTCACTGAACACGCAGGAGAACTTAATAAACGTATTAATGAACTAGCCAATATATGGCTGAAAACTGGTCCATATATGGCAGGGGGAGAGCTCACTCTCGCAGACATCCAATGTATCACTGAGCTAATTCAAGTTCGAGCTGCGGGATTTGAAATCAAGGAGAACGTGGTTCTTGAATGGATTGAACGTGTGAGGGAGAGTTTAGCTCCACATTTTGATGACATGCACAGAGATATTGAGAAATTGTGTGCAACATTGAGATGCTCGGGCCTTAAACATGAGTAGAGCCTATGTGCATGGTTCTTGGTGTAGCTATAGGTTAAATAAGGGACAGAGAACCACATTCATTACAGTTTAACAGGCCGAGACGTCGCACCTTACAGAATAACCTTAAAATGAAAGATTATCCAGAAATATGGTCAGAACTGTCGAACCTATTAGAAAATAGGCGTAGACTTGGACTGATGAGATCAGTATAACTGATTCTGAACTCGTCTATCCAAGTATTCCTACCTCCAGACCCCTGCTCATTTTTCTGATTGGCCCAAGTATCCAGTGTTTACTTATTGTGTCAAGTGCATTATATAGATGCGTACGTTGTTGTCTTTCAATAACTCAGATACGAGTGGGTCGTTACCAGTTTCACCACCAAGTGGCTCATTCGGTTCAGATAGCATGTCAGGTATAGCAGAGAGTTCCCTTTTAACATGAATATTCATCAGTTTTAGTGGTTCAATTTTCATATCATCCTTATGTATATAATAGTTATGCAAATTAAAATATGTCCAGTAAAGGAAAATAATTTGATTTGTCCAATACAAGAAGAGATATGTCACATTTTGTGGTTTTATAACATGGGGTCTATGGGGAATCTCCCCGAACTAGAAGTCACATTTTCAAAAAAAATATTCATAGATTTCAAATATGACATCACTTTGATTGAATTTTGAATACTTAATGACGTAAATCAAGTTTATTTCTACTCGCATCTAGTCTATTTACCACTGAATTTCATGTTTCTTATTGATACACTGTATGTTTGTGGATACCGACATCGGTCATAAAAACTAAGAAATCTAGATTTTCAACACCAGTTTCGTCCTCGATTGAGTCATGAAATAAATTAACATTGAATTTTTTAATCATGCCATTTTTATTGTTTCAATTGAATATACATAGAATCGGTCCTTGAGGATCTTATATATAGTACTATGCATCTCCATTTCGCAATTCGCACATAACTAGGCAGGGTCTGTCTCAAGCCAATCAGAACACAATATTTCACAAAATGTGGATTCTCACCTGGTTAATTTTCACATTAAGGCTGCGTTTTTGAACTGCCCGCGACGGAAGTCAATTGCACAATATTTAATAAGTTTTCCCCCTATTGCCCTAGGTATCACGAAAAAGAACGATAATCACCTGCGGTGCAAGTTAGATGGTCACACGTTTTCAACAAAAACAGCTTATGAAAACACAGGACCATGTAATTTGCACTGCAGGGCTTATTCCCTAGCACCGCGGGCATTCAAAAATACAGCCCTAGTGAACTTGATTATACCAATATCATGATTTCAAGTTGCCATTTGATTAAAAAAGCTATAAGTATCATAGGGTATAACAGAGACATATAATAACCTCTGGGTATAACAAGGCATGTGCTTATGCAGGTCAAATGTCAAGTAGTCGGTGCTGACCTCGTTTTTACCATTTCACCTCGTAACCCAAGAAGAAAATCCTTGCAAAAAAATTCATCTGCACTCATTCAAAGTCTGGAAACTTCAAACACTTTGTTAAATCATCCTACGATTCATTGAGTCATGGACTTAAATTCTTGAGTGAATATGAATAAATCTAAATCGTCCTTATTCTTGTATTCCATGCCTACTAAGGTTCTAGGTAAATAACGAGCGGGAATATATACTGTATCTAGGGATATATCACCGAGGAGCGGGGCGGGATGGATACAGTCTGTATCCATCCCGGTCCCGCTCCTAAAAAAATTTTTTCAATTTTTTTTCCTATTTTTTTCAAATTTTTTTTCAAAATTTATTTTCAACATTTTCAACTTTTTTTTCTAATTTTTTATTCTTTCTCAAATTTTTGGAAAATCTCGCAATCTTTAAGAACAAGAAAACGTGTACTAGTCAAATCACTAATGGGTTTCTAACATGGTGATAGTTCGGGATCATATATATTCTTAGATTTTCGGCAAACAGACTAATATGGACATTCTAAAAATTTTGATCCGCATTGCCAAGCGCGAATCGCACTCCTTCATGGTGAAAATTCAAGATGGCCGCCAAAATTATCGTCAAATATGTATATTTTTTTGATACTTTTTTTACTGCCTTTATTTCAATAAAATGTGATAAATTAATGTCTTCAGGTATTATCTAATAATATTCCTACCAAATGAATTTTTTATTAAGTATAAACATAAGAAATAATATATAAATAATTTAATAGCGCCATCTTTTGATAAAATTATACCAAAATTGACGTCAAAATAACAAACATTTCCCTTATTCACTGCTTCTTTTCAATAAAATTTGACAAGTTTATATTTTATCAAGGCTTACTGATAATATTCAACATATATCCGTCAAAATATTTCATTATAATCAATAAAGAAGAGTGTTGGGCAGCCCTACCTATAGGTATATATGCATTGAACTGCTCTGAAACATAAATTAATGATTATTATTTTATTCATGCTGACCCAATTTACTTATTCTTAAATAACTGTTATCTGTAATGAAAATGTTAGATTTTCAGCACACAGACTAATATGGATATTTTAAAGAACTCAATCCGCATTGCCAAGCATGATTCTCACTCCTTAAAATTCAAGATGGCCGCCAAAATAATCGTCAAATAAGAATATTTTTTTGATAATTTTTTTTCTGCTTTTATTTCAATAAAATGTGATAAATTAGTGTCTTCAGTTATTATTTAATAATATTCCCACCAAACAGTTTTTTATTAAGTATAAATATAAGAAATTGCTCTTACAGCACCACCTTTTGGTAAAATTATACCAAAATTAACGTCAAAATAATAAACAATTTCCTTATTAACTTCTTCTTTTCAATAAAATTTGACAAGTTTATATTTTATCAATGCTTAGTGATAACATTCAACATATATCTGTTAAAATATTGCATTATAACCAATAAAGAAGAGTGTTGTGCAGCCCCACCTATAGGTATATGCATTAAACTGAAACATAAATTAATAATTATTATTATTTTATTCATGCTGACCCAATTTGTTTATTCTTAAGTAACTGTTATCTGGAATAAAAATGTTAGCGTTTCTAGATTCAACAACATGTAAGTTGTAGAAAGTAGAAATGAGAGTTATATGAAGGGGGAGGGGGTATGTAAGTGGGGATAAGGTTTGTGGGTATATATTGAGGCATGTCACCCATCTTGATTTTCTGTGTGTTTCTGCACTCTGAAGTATAACAGAACTGTATTACAATTTTCTTCATTTTAGTTATATTGAAGTCAGTTTAAAGTCTAATATTCATTGTCTCTCATGTTGACGTGTATAAAGTCAACAAATTATATCAACCCAGACCAAACACCTGTACTTGCTGCCGAACAGCCCCTCTTTGCACTGTTCAAGCAGTTATAGTGGACAATGGCAAGAGATGGGAGAAAAAACGAAGCTGATAAGGATACTTGGTGGAATACACACTGAGATAGGAGCATTTCACATCTTTGGCAATCTATGAGAGAACCCTGGATGGATAATCTCCCTCTCTCAAGCTGGCATAGCCACATCTGGTACAGCTGATTCCTTTATCAAAGTTAACCAACTCGCACTAACTTGCAGAGCACATCTTATTGACAAAAAAGCCTGTGAGACACATTGTTTGTGCTGTGATATCGATGAATAACCTCAGTTTGAGTTGGATGACTGGGTGAAAAAACAGTCCCAGCTGAATGGCTCTTCCCAATTTAAGTTCTGGTCGATGGTAATGGATCTTAAACTTTTGAGAGGGCAACTTCAGCCTATACAAAGATACCCTTTCTGAGTTGTTGCCATGCCTTTTTATACTCAATCACACAAACTAGTCAAGGTGGCTACCGGTTCATATCCGTGACATGAACCAATTTAATGCAACACACCAATCAGTGCTTGGTGAATTCATTAAGGGAAACTAAACTGACTAAAACAACAAGGCACATGACATGAACGAAATCATACCATCTAGATATTGTTTTGGACAGTTATGAAACTACATGTAACAGTTTAGAGTCTGGTATAAGAAATAAGAGAGGAAACAGTAAAAGGAGGCATATTTATCCTGAAAATTCCCTACCTAGAAACTGGCAAGATTGTTTGTGTTTGGAGTAAAACAAGAGAGAGCTGTTTCAAATCCTTACTGCAAATGTGAGCAATATAATTATTCATGAACGAAAAAGACTTCTCGCAACCTTTGATCAGGATGTCATGTGTCAATCCACAAAAACAATCCACCAAAGACAAATAACCTTGCACACAATCAACACATTTTTTCTGAATGAACCAAATGAATATGAGTTGGATTTGACAAGGGGAGACAGTTCAGGTACTTGGCAGCACATGAAATGGCGAATTCCATTGGGCCTCAAAAAGTCTATGTCTGCCATTATTCCACTCATTGACAAGTTACACCTGGATTTCATGGAAGCAGGGGCAGAATTATAGCATGGGACAGGTGAAGCTCATTTTCACAACTGATGAATGCATTCCTCAGTCTAATAGATGATCCTTTATTAATGTTATGTTGCTGTATGATAAATTCAGCAATGACACCTCAATCAACACTGCAAGAAAGAATACATTTTTACAGAGGACTAACTTCATTATTGACCACATTCCTCCAACAGCTGACGCCTTAATGCAACACTGCAAGGGAGCATTGTACCAAGGTGTGCATATCTGGGGTCAGTTTAACAAACCAAGTCCTATCATTCCCCGGGTATCATTCCATCTCCACAGAACTGGGGCTGGAGACCAGAGCCAAGAGACAACACTCAGAAGCCACACAGGACTACCTTAAAGCAGATGGCTGATGCTAGTCAACCATTGGTAAAGTGTGGTTGTCAGAAGCAGTGTTTCCCATGAAGATGTACCATGTACAAGCTTGAAGGCTACTCTAGTAAGCACATCATTGTGTGCCTGCAATGGAGAGTATTCATTAGAATGACTAAAGTAAGGGTTTAAATATGGTAATACTAGGCCTATATAAGATGCAAGATACCCCCTATTTCCCCCCCCCATAAATTTATATGGTTGACATCTTAGAGTTGGCATTCTACTGTAAAATAATACTATAGAATATTTTTTATTATGCATGGTACATGATACAGATCAAATCTTGGCTCTCCAAACTATTACATGCTTCCTTCAACAGTTCAATATATTATAAAACACAGTTTTGATTTTGAACAATTTCACCAATAGGTGGCGCTATGGGAGACATTCTTCATTATGTATTTGTCTAAATATTGTTTGGAAAGGAATCAGTTTCTACTAAAACATACAAACCTAATATATTCTGATGAAAAAAGGATGGAGATATGATAGGTACAGTACTACAGTATATATGAAATATACATATTTTAATGATTTATCGAAAATTTGGACGAAATCTTAAAAATGGGGGGAATGAACAACCAAAATCTTCTTTTTTGATAATCTAAATATTTTTCAGGGTAGAATTATTATAAATTGATGTTGAAATATACTAATTAACCACATTTTATTGAAAAAAAGGAATGAAAAAAATTATCAAATGAATATTATATAATTGTCGGCAATTTTGGCGGCCATCTTGGATTTTCACCAAGAAGGAGTGCGAACCGCGCTTGGCAATGCGGATCAAAATTTTTAGAATGTCCATATTAGTCTATGTGCCAAAAATCTAAGAATATATATGATCGCGAACTATCGAGCCATTATTGACTGGGCTATACCGTATGTTTTGGGATTTTGGAACTTTATAAGGTATGATGTACCTAAAACCTCAGTAGGTATGAAATACATCTGTTATGTACGGTCGGTTTTGAATACAGGATTTATCCCGCGGGAAATATGTGTATCTCCCTCGGTCCCTGCGGTCCCTCGGGAGATACACATATTTCCCTTGGGATAAACCCTGTATCCAAAACCTCCCAGTACATAACCCTTATTTAACTTCTTGAAATGTAGGCTGTACATTATATGAAATCCTTACTTTAACAAACTGAACAGGATTACGAAAATGATGAATGTTGACAATTCAATATTAACTAAAACATGAACACTGCTGCTTGGAGTAGGACGAGGAGTGGGGACATTGCACAAATCATCAACACTGCTATTGGTCTTACTTAGCAATGCTGCTGCTCCCTTCGAACGCATTTTGTAGACGCTTATACGTTTATCTCGTCCGTTCATGTCGTGAATTGTTCTTGTTGTTAAGGATATTATCTCAAAAAATTCAGTCGGGGGAATCAGCACCTCCTTTTCATTCGGCTCTACGGATAGTCTTTCAATATCTGCCCCAAAGCAAGTGTTGATTTCATACAAAGTTGGTTTTGCAGACAGATAAGCGTGATTTTCGTTCTTAGATGTGGATGCGAACTGTCGGAAATTGATTAAGTCACCATTCTTAAGCTGTGAGTGAGACCCCTCAACTCCTCGGTAAACATCTATGCAAGTTTTCGTTTTCAGTTTACCCGTACCTTGTTTTATTTGCTTAAAGAACTCTTTCCATCCCTCCATTGGATTGTTTTTTATATCAGTGACATTGCTACTCTCGAGTGCGAGTATACGACTACGTGTGGCAGCATTGAACTGTTTCTGGCACTCGGGTAAAGGAGCAGTGTAGGCAGATATCGCACGACCCTCGCTTTTATCAAGACAATATGGATATACTATGGCTTTTGAGTTAGTAGCTTCATAGTCATCAACATATTTCAAAGCCGTATCTATCGCTGGGTTTGCACTGGTTTCTTTTCTGTCTTCAAGAAGTTCTTTGATTGCCCTCTCGGTAGCTCTGCGATCCGTTACGTTTATCATGTCCAATGCGTTTCCGTTCAGAGGGTCAATAACCGGTTTGTCGATTGTAATCCGTTCATCGCGTTCACTCTCTGTTGTTTCATTAACTTTGCAGTTATACACAGCCTATAAATCAAAATATTTGTTGTAATTATTGATATCAAAATCTGGTTCATGCAAACTATATGATTTTATGAACAAGCTTTTTGTTCAGATTTACAGAAAATGAATTATTTTTTCTTACCAATAAAGCGCATACGCCTACAATTCTCTGCGTCAACATTCTGAGCTTGATTCTCTTAGGCTACAAAACGCTCAGCTCTACGGTGTCACACACTACAGTAGTAACTAAAAATGACATGAACGTAATGTATATATCATATCAGGTGACCATCAAAATGTAGGGTGTCCAGGAAGTGAAGTTATAAGAGCTATCACTTTATTGGATGAAATTCTTAGCTTATTACACTATTGTCATACTCTGTCTAAAGCCCGGTATACACCAATGGGACAAGTTGGGACCTCCATAGACTTAACATTGCGTGAAACCTTTTGGGATTTTGCCCCATGGAGTCCGTGGGAGTTTTGCCATGGGGCAAAGTAATCAAGGTTCGATAGGACTCAGTGGGATTCGATGGGCAATTTTGGATTCGATAAAGCAGAGTATACACCAATGGGGCAAGTTGGGACCCCATAGACTTAACATTGCGTGGGACCTCGTGAGACTTGGAGTCCGTGGGACTCAATGGGACTCTGTCGGATTTTGCCCCATCGAGTCCCATGTGGTCCCACGTGGGACTCGGTGGGATTTGATGGGGCAAAATCCCACGGAGTCCCATCTTGCCCCATCATACACCAATGGGACACGGTGGGATTTGACGGAACTACATGGGGCTCGATTGGATTTACTAATCAAAGTCTGTTGATGTTCGGCGATTTAAAAAATCATGATTGTCATAAATTTCCAAAATATTTTTTGAAAGAGCAAGAACATTCAAACATGACAGGCTTGTAACATATTACATCCAATCGGTTGCCAGATTCGGATGAAGAGGAGTGTACGTTTGGGAATTGAAAAGTCCAACTCGTCAAGTATTAAGACTCCTGCACAACGCATTTATTTTATCAGAAATGAAAATCCTAAAATCGCAGAGAAATGGTTGACCCTTTTTGGCGTAGTCAAGCTGAAATCGAGGCCAATCTGAATATTGATATATTCTACTCGTGTTCCACGATTCCATTGCTTATCGATGTTCTATGTTGCAACACTAAACATCTCCTTCCCAATTTTTTCCTCAATTACAATAGGTGGAAAATTGATAATTTTGATGAATGTTGTGGAAAATTGATAATTTTGATGAATGTTTGAAGATCGTCATTCCCATGTAAACCAATGGGAAATGGTGGGTTCGGGGAAAATCAGAAATCGGGATATCTATTCAGTAAAAGATTCAGCAAAAAATATTAATATCTAGAAAATTGAATTGTCTAACCTTTTTGTACACTAAGTATTTAGTTTACTTGATGAATACTAAAGTTACATAATTTTTCGCCTCCTGTGTTATTTCGATAGGAGAGGTTTTTTGAAAAACAATTTTGACTTTAAAGCCCTATAACTTTGTTGAACCTGAAGAAACATTTTTTTGTTAAATGAAAGTTAGCAAATTCTGATGGATTGATATTCTGTCATATGACTTGCGGCAAACCTACCATTTCCCATTGGTTAACATGGGAATGTCGATTTTCAAAAATTCATCGAATTTATCATCAATTTTCGACCTATTGTAATTGAGGAAAAAAATTGAGAAAATTTGGAGGTATTGGAAAGTCATTTTACAGTATAAGTAATTTCATCGCAGGTTAAGGAAATAAAAATTCAAACGTAAAGAGGCTTTAAGACGTAGTTCAATGGGGGAGCTAAGGTTGCCAAACTTATGGAGGGGAGTGTAATAACATTATAACCGATCGCATGTGTTAAAATCCAGGATTCTGAATCATTTTTATATCTGTTCGATATAAATATTTTTTGAATAAGTAGTCTAAGAAGTGTAATAAATATGATGGTAGTGAAATTCTACCACTGCTGCCATCTTTGTGTAGGCTAAAAACTTGGTTACTTTTGGGATTCAACATAAGCTATGCCTTTAAGATTAAACTGCCCCTTTCTGACAAAAATACGCCATACCGTTTTCAAAAAGATGTAACCACTCCTGACTAACAATATTCGCCATGGATACTATTCTACGATTTATATTACTTTTTAGAATTGTTTAAAGCCGGTTTCGGTAAACAACTCAGTGCTTTTCGACCGTTGTAAAAGGGTAGTTGGTCCTATCAAATTATTGTCCTACTCTCCATTTATTTATTTGGTGACCTAAATACAACTCTTTCCTTCATTATCTTATACACAATCAGGGCCAGTAAGGGCCGTTAAGAAAGAGGACCATAATCCCTGGGGACCATCATTTCACACCGTGACGTCCTGTTATAATACTAAAACCAGTTTTACAGTCAGTTCAGAAGCAAATGTCCTCCTCAACAAAGTCAAATAAACCATATGTCCGATCATCTTGGAGAATTTTATTTTTATCAAATCATGTACATTTTAAATTGATTTGGATCTTGGCATCTGCTCTATATTCTTCTCAAGTTATGGGAACTGAAATTAAAAGATCACAAGATACAAAAATGTTTGGATGACGTCTAACGTGTTGTTTTTGAAACCTAAGAACAACATTGAGGATCTTTGCAACCTAGTTAGTACAATGAAGTTCCTCAAACTTACTTGACATTTACTATACATTTCTTTTCACGTTTGTATTTGGGTTGTGATCATTATAGGGGTCGCTTCTGTCCCCATACGTAGTCTTAGCTTTGTAGTTACTTCGCATGACTTCCTGCGCGCGCACATATTCAGCGAACGTCAGGTATCCGTCATCGTTTTGGTCCTCGTCTAAGAAGTTGTCAACTATTCCTAAACGTATAATGCAAAGAATGAAAAAATAATTATTTATCATTAAAGTACAGTGTTCAATAATCCCTTGTGGGACACATGGTCATCATTCTGATACTCATAGCATCTCTCTCTATTGCATCCAGAAGGATAGAGATGGAGAGGGCGTGGCTTACCATGATGCATGCCCATGATATATTTGTGGGATGACATAATATAACAGAAGTTTACCAGTGCCGCCATCTTTATATCGACCTAAAACCTAACGTTTATATTGAAGCAAGCGAACTCACTTTGAATGCTTTTGAACCTGTTATTAGCCAGCTTTTCATAAAATGCTTCTCTTTCTTCCCCCTGTAGGCTTGTTTTCGGTTTGGAGAAATCACCCATCCAGTGATTGTACCCTTTCCAGAGTTCTAAACCATCTAGTTTGTTGTTTTCGTCATGATCGTTTATCCTAAAACATCAAGAATAACCACAACTCATGATTTCTTCCCGATGTCCTTGTATAGTTTTTCTTCATATCATAGAGAGACGTGGAATTCAATTAAGTTAAATTTGTAAATAACTATGCAGATTATAAATTGTAAGTGTGCAACATCGGAGTAACAATATTTCATAATTGTATGTTTTTGCCTTTGTATACCCTATATTCCTCATTTTAAAATACACGTGTATCTATTGCACCCATTTCTTAGGGTCATTCAAATTCTTCATATTCTTTATTTTACATGAGTACCAACACCATATACCTTTTTGTAGGCCTAATTGTGCCTCGGATATTTCACATGCCCCCGTATTCTATATTTTTTTTATCTATTTTTATCCCTCACAGCCAATCATCATATTCCATATTTTTCCACCCCATAACTCCACCCCATATATTTCATATTTATTATTTACCCTTCATATTCCATTTTACCTCTTATAATAAATATTTTGCCTCTATTTAATTTAGAAACCCCTTTTAACGTATGGTTCAGTAGAACAAGGATTACACGCTACTTTGAAATATATGGTGTGCTACATAAAACGTTGACATCATAATGAATATTAAACCATGTTTACTCTAATCAAGAATACACAAGATTTACTTGAAGAAATGGAACAATCTTTCATTGTTCGTCATTTTAGTCCAATCCACTTTGTCCATTTTACCACCGTAGTGCTCCTTCATGTGCCTACAAACATCAGGGAGATGATACTGTAGTTTGATACACAGGAGATTATGAGGGAAAACATACAGGAGAAAGGGGGAACTTAAGAATAATGGATGATTAACGAAAAATGTGCAGGTGCGTAATTACAATTACAGAACTGGGAGAAGGGCGTGATCTACGACCCAGGAGTCTGTTTTTGTACGATCATAAAGTATCCCAGGGGATGATACTCACTCGGTGTCTTGTAGTACTTTCTCTACACTTCCGGGATCATCGGGGTCAAGGTCGGGGTTACTGTGATGGTCATGGCTTCTTATTATCACAATCAAACCAAGCATCACAAAAAGCTGATATTGCACCATGTTTTACTTGAATGTCCCCGATCTAAGAATAATAATTAGACTTACAATACAGATGTGTGGTAACTAATTAGATTTACAAATGAAATACGACATTACCATGCAAAATGTCACCCATGCAATCCGTTACAGACGCCGACCGCCGAACATTGTTACAAAAGCCGAACATTAACCGCCAATTACCGCCCATGGTCCTATTTGAGAGAAACCCCGTAAGGCCCAGGAGAGGAGTAATTATAAGTACTAGTGGTAAAAGTGGCTAAAAGCTGGAGTAAAATCACTGATTAAGTAAGATAATATTTCGTTCTGGTCCCCCTGTATAAGAAGCCACCTGGGTCTCTTGGTCACTTGTAAAATACGGATAACCGCAGAATAACTTTGTTAATTAAAAAATAAGTAAAACGAATGAACAGATAAAAAAAATCAAGTTATACTTAACGGCGATAAAAAAACAATGCTATACTCTCATGTTGTAGTTTATGAATTTTGAACAAATAATTAAAACTATAGGCCTTTCAATTGCTTTGCTAAAATGGGTAAATAAGCAGTATAAGAAACAATAGAGTAATATTTCAAATTAATTATTGATCAATTAAACGAATACTATGAATTATAACTGTTAAAAATTACAGGAAAATGGATAAAGCAAAACTCACCTTACAACGGTTAAATCTCGATTTTTTCTAACTGTCTTGGTTTAGTGCAAAACAGTTATTGTTAAAGGTATGTTTTGCCCAATAGAACACAGCCAAGTGACACCAGTTGCCAGAGGGAAAATACATCCTTACTGTTTCACAACATACAAGCCATTAAATGAAAAACAGTATATTAAGGGAAAAGCTCTAGACGATAGAAACACTTGGAGGGTCGCTTAATTAGTAATTAGAAAAACAGCAACTCCCCACAAATAAATATAATGTATATCTGATTAGATACCACCCATGACGTGACAAGGCACCATATCAGGGAGTCTTTCTTGGGCAAAGGCCTTATACTATTTAGACATCAGCTTTCAGTTTGACCAAATCTAGACTTCCTTCTTGAGCAGATTATATAAAATTAGAACCAAATTCGTCTCCATGTGTTTGAGTACTCAAATGCGCCCGTTTTGAACTGAGTGTCCATTTTGGAAAATTACTACTTTAGATATTCCGATATGGCATAGCCTACGTATAAATGTCTGGGTTATCAATTGCAAGGATTGCAGCTTGCGAAAAATGGTGGCCATTTTGAATCAAGCTACCATATTGAAAATTTCACCCCGAGCACAAGGATGATTGGAGGCTAGAGTTCCAACTCGATATTCTTTATCTCCAAGTAATGCGATATTGCCGATCATGCCTGTATATTTCTACGGCTGCAGAGGAAGAATTAACGATATTCTCCAACAAAGCTACAGCCGTCATTATTGTCGATATATACCTGGCTATAAATTCACAATCAGCATTAATGATCTTGATCATTTTTGTGTGTTTTGAATTTTTTTCTTTGGTAATAAGACCAAAACTTGCGATTCAAATTTTGAGGTGAGAAATACGACTCCAGGACTGACATTAGCTTTGTTAAAGAATATCGATGTTGCTTAAGCCTATGAGATCTGAACCAAATCAATCAACCAGTTTTTTTAGTTATTGCCCGGGCAGACAAGTACATGCTCAAGGGCATGAACGGACGAACGGCTTCTCTATACCCCTACTCGAACCTCGTTTATTGGGATAACATTTTCATTTCACTTCTTCAAAAAGAGCTTCACTTAAACTCTTTTATGTTTAATTAAGTAATCTTGGATCTCACTTAACCTTATCAGAATACCAGGACGCTGGTCAGAATTCAATTAGTTTGGGGGTCATTAGGTTATTATCAGCATCAAAAATGTCATCGTTAGAAGCAATGCCTTCTCCATCTCCGTCCTTCTGGACGATGAAAAGTAATCAAGTGAGAGATATTATGAACATCAGAATTCAAAACTGTATTTATTCACTGATCTAGTACTTATCCCCCCTCCACCGGAATATTTGAACTGGAAGGGGACTATTTTGAGGCTTATAAAATACATTTGTATTTGACTAGCAATATGTCAATCAAGCCAACATTTGGATCTGACTGTGCAAGCGGGAAACAATACAAATATTAGTTAGAGTAAAACAATCACTTTATTAAGTATCAGGAATTTCAGCGAGATGGAAAATATAACATTCAACAAAAGCTCAACTATTCTTTATTATAATTTTGGAACTTGTGAAAATACTACTTTAAGTTCCACAAATAATTCGCAGATACAAAATTCAACCAATTCGTATGAGGATCAACAACATGTGGATGTCTTTAGATTTGTACTTGATACAGTATTATCATATATTGTAATAGGACTTGGACTTATAGGAAATACATTGGCGTTCTTGGTGCTTTCAAAGGAGAAAGTTTCGAACACAAGAGTGTTTCTTCTAAAGACACTATCCATAACAGACATAACATTTCTACTACTAGCGCTGCCCTATTCATTGATCTATAATCACTATGAAGAGTTTATAGAGTTGGGAACTGTGGAAGATATTGACACATTGCTCAATGTACAGTTACCAATTGCTTCAACAGCATCTACGCTCACAACTTGGATGGTTGTGTTAGTAACCATTGACAGATACATACACATAACGAAGCCACTCCGTGCGAAGACATTGTTAACCGTCAAAAGAATGAAATGGACTGGTGGATGCTTAGTAGTTGGAGCATGTTTGTACAATATACCTAGATACTTTGAACGGTATAGTGACACTTGCTTATTACGCTGTACTCCAACTTATAGACTTATATATCATGTGATTTTAAATGCGATTTTTAGGTACTTTGGACCTGTTGTAACAGTTTTTATCCTTAATATAAGACTAGTTCAGTCCATCCTAAGGTCTCAATCCAAACACAAGAAGCTGACAAACAAGGAAATTGAGGAAAGAAATCATATCACTGTTATGATTGGAATCGTGTCAGTATTTATAATATGTTCAATAACCAATATAATTACAAATATCATTAACATGCTGACATATTACGATGTCATTAAAGTCTCACGTTATCGCTACCTATTAATTTCACTCTCAAACTTTTTTCTCGATTGCAATTCGTCGTTTAATTTTGTAATATACTTCATGATAGGAAAATCGTTTAGGAAAAGGCTAAAACAATTATTTATGATTAAAAACAACAACTGAACAATAATGTCTAGACTAGAATAACAAATCATTAACATTTATTGTATGAAGTCAGGCCCGTAGCCAGAACCCTGAGAACCCCCCCCCGGCCAAAAATCTTTTCAAAATCATGCAGTTTTTCACCATTTTGAGCACTTCTCAAGTGATTTTGGGCAATATTTGGGCCAAAATTGTCAAATGTGAACCCCCCTGGAAATTTTTGAAAACTGAACCCCCCTTGGCAAATCCTGGCTACGGGTCTGGAAGTACTAATTAAATTCCTAGAGAAGCAAGTAGAATTCAGTTGCCATCTTGAACATTTCATCTTGAGCAAGAGGTCCTATTTCCATAAGACATATCTTTAAACATTAATCACATAAAATCAGTCAACTGGTATTTGATGAGTTAACCATACATACCTGATTGTCTTGCAATTTACAGATATTCAAGACAATTCTTTGTAAAAAGTTTTACCGCGTTGGATATAATATCATATATATAAAATAAAAATATATTCAAATATGGTTAAATCCCCGTTCATTTGTTTTTATTTACAATACATCCTTCATTTGCCAGACCCTTCTTATTTACCTCTGGAAAGTTCACTACAAAGTGGCGTGACGAACAAGTAAAAAATTTCATTTAATGCAACTATAAAAGTAATTCTTGAAGGCTGTATAGAAAATATGTATGAGATCAAAATCTAGCCATACTTCGTTTTTTTAGAATTTTTACTTCTGCGTCACAGGGCCCTGAAATATAACTTAAAATACACAAAATGTCCCCTGTAGGCTACCGGATTAACCTACTATTTTATTGGAAACCCCATTTAAATATGAATAGTACCTGACACTGTTCCATTCATATTTAAATCAGTTGTATATAATACTAGGTTAATCCGGTATCCGACAGGCGTTAGTTGCATTCGCGAATACAAGGTTAGTTGCTCACAATATTATGAGTTCAAATCTTAAATCAATCAACTGGGCATCGCACCGAATGAAAACAAAGAATCTGCAAAACTCGTTAGAGATGACCTTTTTAAAATACAATTATAGAAAAGTGAAAAGAACACTTATGACTCTGAGTACTACATTCCTCACTCATTAGGGCAGCCATTAACAAATTGGCCCATGCATAAATTATTAGTTTTATGTCCCACCGTGCACATAGTGTGGAGATATATTGTCGGTCTTGATGCGTCTGTCCGTCTGCCTGTCTGTCCGTCTCCGCGAGACAGTTTTATCCAAAACCGCTACAGATTATATATCGTTATTTTCAGGAGTAACTCATTCATTAATCTAATGTATGTCTTTTAATATCTGCCAATTTAATTAAGGGTATAGTAGATGGTAAATTTTACATTTGGACAAATGAAGGCATAAAAATGCAGGGACTCAGATGCGAGTAGGTAGTTATCAGTATGACCGCCAGGTGGCTCGTTCGGGTTAGATAGCATTGCGGGTGTAGTAGAGAGTTCCCTTTATATGTTTTAGTGGTTAAATCATATCACTCTCATGTATCTAATAGTTATGCAAATTAAAATATCTCTAGTAGAAGAAAATGTTAACTGTCCAATACAAAAAAAATTCACTTTTAGTGATTTTATAACATGGGGTCTAAGATAAATCTCCCCGAACTAGAAGTCACATTTTCAAAGTTGATATAACAAATTTCGAGACCATATTTCTAGATGCACCTTTACATGTAGATACCAAACATGACATCACTTTAACTGAATTTCGAATATTTAATGACGTAAATTAAGATTTTTCTACTCGCATCTAGTCTATTCTAATAGGCTGTTTTGCACGGCCTAATCTATTTGGAATGATTAAAAGACTTTCTCTCATCCAAAGCGTGAAGATAAACCTCTCATTAGGAAGCGACATCAAACTCTAAACTTCTTTAAAATAGAGTTTCATCTTAAAGTACATATGGTACATTACACCTGTAAATTTGAACACCTCTCTAATCTGAACACCTCCCGATATGAACACATTTTTGCTCCCAAATCTCACACTGACTCTTATATTGAAGTAAAAAACTTGAAATGTGAACACCTGCTAATACGAACACTTTAATCGGCCCATTTGGTTTTCAATTTAGTCAGGTTTTACTGTATTAGGCTCTGTTCCTCTGGCAATTGGAAATGACACTCAACAGTAGTATAAATGCTCTTCAAATGTGGTGTATTTACTCAATTGCAATGATATGCTTACTACATGATATGCAACAATAAATAATAAAATGTCTACAAAGCATTTAATGCTTGTCCTATTTATACTTTATCATTTTTTTAAAATTATTTGGAATGTTGGAATTTGTTTACATTTTCTACATTTTTCAAAATGTTTATAAAAACTAACAGCAAATATGCATTCATAATTAGTTTGAGATCAATTGATAATAAAAAGCAAACTTTGATGAACTAATAGCATAAGTGATAATCATCGGAGATCTTAATGCAGTAAAACCTTTCTTAGTGAACACCTCTCTATAGTGAACACCTCTCTATAGTGAACACCTCTCTATAGTGAACACCTCTCTATAGTGAACACCTGTGTTTAGTGAACATTACTTTAACACATATTTTACATTGACATCTGTATGGAATCTCCTCTCTACAGTAAACACTTTTTGGTTCCATATGTGTTCACTATATACCGTTTTTACTGTATTGGAAACATTCAAAATTAATTTTTAATTTACACACGTGTTTTAAACTTCCCATTTTGCACACCATCATATCATATATATATGTATATAAAGGTACTTGTGACACACACATGTTGACATAAGATTATACTTGAGATGCAAGCCCTTTGACATAACATTGTTACTCAAGAATTTTGACATACATTATATACTTGAGATGCAAGCATTTTAAGATTACAAACCCATGTGAGGGAAACATTGTGCTATAATATTATTTACTCGTGATGTAAAAACTTTATCATAACATCACAAGTTTGTGACACAAGCATTTTGACATGACATTATATACTTGTTACACAAGCACTTTGACATAACATTGTTACTCAAGGATTTTGACATGGCATTAATTTATATGCTCGTGTAACACAAGCACTTTGAAATAACAATGCTTCTCAAGCATTTTGACATTGCATTACATACTTAATACAAGCACTTTGACATAACTACATTGGCAATTGACATACGAGTCATTAGTATCAAAATATTCAGATATCATCATGTGCCTTCATTCATCACTTAACTGATAAAAGTTAAATGAAATGCATATTAATGTACATATCTATACAATTGGGAATGTGGATGGCTCGTTTTGTTTTCCAACTGGTGACCATTACATCCGACTCAGGGATGGTCAACTAAAACAGAAATCGTTAAAGATAAAGGGATTGGGGATGAGAGATATACCATTCACCTTAAATGTTTTAATAACATATCACTGAAAAATCTTTACATTGTGATCCTACAAAAAAGCACCAAATCTTCTCAGAATTGTCCCTTACAAAGCAGTGAAATAATGATATTCCCTTACAAAGCAGTGAAATAATGATATTCCCTTTTGTCATAAGGGTTCAGTTTTCCGTAAGCAGATTGCCAGCTTTCAATTATCTTCTGCAATCTGCGATTTTCTGTTTCTAATTTGACATTGCGTTTTTCAAGTTCATTGAACTTTTCAAGTGTAACATGATTTGGTCCAAATGCACGTTTTAATTCATTGTTTTCCATTGCAAGATCTTGCAGACGATTTTGAAGCTCCATGATTTTTTCAACGAAAGCCTTCCATTTATTGCTACCCTTGCGATGTTTTTTCACATTATTGTATTCCACTTTTAGCATTTCCGTGGCAACGATAACTGTTCGGAGATAATTATCACTATCAGCTGTTACACTTACGCAGACATCTTCTCCATGACCCGCAGGATTTGAAACCATGGTAACTGGAGTAAACCCCTTTGAAGAGACGCCTGGTGGCAAGTTATCTGTGCTACCATAATTTTCCTTTCCCGATTCAGTCTCACTATCAGAGACATCTGTGTTATGTTTCTTTTTTGTTGAAAAGAAACCACGTTTTTTCTTCTCCGTATCTGATCTCATCAAGGGGGAGGAGTTAGTTACACTCGGGGTACTCCGTGACCCAAAATTGAATGATTTTGATCTCATAAATGGTAGACCTCCTTTTGATTTCACTTTTGGAGACTCTGGTATAACTGGACTATGGCGTCCATTTGGCGAATTTCTGGGAGCTTTTAGTTCATCTATTCGATACATGTGGGAGCTTGGTGAACTAGGGGAGGTTGGAGATAAGTTATTATTGGGTGAACCACGACTATAGTTCCAAATATTGCGACGGTCTAAACTCATAGTGGTGCCCCCTGGTGTTGATGGCATTGTACTGCTTTTATTCAAAATGTCAATCAGTTTACTTTCCAATTCTTTATCTTGTTCAGTCATTTCTTCAATCTCTTCATTCTTCTTCTTAAGCTCATCGATGGTGTCATTTAGAGCTGTAATTTCATCTTCTAGAGCTTTAACAGTGATTTTGGAGTCCTCTTTCAGCGTTTGCATAGACCTCTTCATAATGTCCTGTTCATGAACCAGAGCAATGTTTTGTTTCTGAAGGTGCTCAAATGTTTGTTTATCACGCTGCATTCTCTCAACCATCTTCGCAAGATGTTTATTTTCTTCCTCTATGGCACTTAGTTCAAGTTCGGATCTATATCCTCGGGGTGGGGCAGTCATCGAGCTGTGGTGAGCAGGCATGGAGCTGTGGTGAGCAGGCATGGAGCTGTGGTGAGCAGGCATGGAGCTGTGGTGAGCAGGCATGGAGCTGTGGTGAGCAGGCATGGAGCTATGGTGAGCAGGCATCGAGCTATCATGTGGTGAGTTATGATGCCCATTCTGCACCATTTCGCTTCTCTGTATATCATTATTTATCTCATGAGGTGGCTGTTGCATACAGTCACTAGCATATTCAGTCCAGCTCTCTAAAGTCTGAACCCCTATAGAAATGCCCTTGTTTTTCTCTTTATTTTTGTTTTCAATATGTTCAGTTTTTATATTTTCATTTGAAACCTTAGCATTCTCTCCCAGCCTGTATCTGCCAAATGCCGGTCTATCGTTATTTCTTGGACTTCCGTTCGTGGATTTTGATGTTGTATTCCAGCTAGAATCAGTTTGCATGCCGGTAGTTCGGTTAGACTTCAGTGCGTTTTTATTCTTTAACATTTTCAGCTCAATTTGAAGACGTTCACTTTGTTTCATTGTGTCTAGATTTTTGCATTTTTCATTGTTGGTTTGGTCTCTGGCAACTTCAAGTTGTGCATGGAGTTCATCAATTGCTTCTTGTAGTTGTGTGATTGTGTCCCCATCACTTTGAGAGAGTTCTGCTGAGATTGGTTGACCACCCATGCGATACAGGTCTGAAACATATAATGCAGTGGGGTTTAATTTTAGTTGGACAAATGGCAGATAATTTAGCTACCCATTCCAAATGAGATCAGTCAATCAATAAGACTGTACAGTTGTAATTTCAGTATTTGACACTTCAATCATCCACATAAATTCAAGATTTGGTCTGTTATATCTGAGTGGAGATTGTAAAGTCAACATGTCACTATAAGACAAACAATTACAGCAATATATGAATAAAAGGAGACCATAACATTGCAGTAAAAATGGAGCACCTTTGGTACCTCTAAAAAGTGTTCCACTTATACAGGTTCATTTAACATTAAGTCAGTTGGTCTTGGGACTCTGAAAAGTGTTCCACTAACAGAGGTGTTCCTCTTCTAGAGGTGTTCCACTTAACAGGTTTCACTGGTACTATTGATGGTGATGCAGAATGTGAAAAAAACTTACCAGTGGTTGAGCCTATTTTGGGAAGACTCCATTCTGACTCGGTCCGTACTCCCAGGCCTTGTTTCTTATGTAGCTTGGAGAAAACAAGGCTGTTGTTTTCCTCAACAAGTTCTGCTATTCTCTTGCGGTCAGCCTCCTTTTCCTTTCAAAGAAGACACAAATAAAATATAGGCTTGTTATTTGTATTCATTATTTTTGTTTACTTTATTCACATAATGTATCAATTATGATAAACAGCATGTTCAGTAGTGTAGCTTTGGTAAATTACACCACCAGAAATAAGTTTGAAATAATTTTTTTGTATAACATATAAACAAACACTGCCAAACACTGTTCACAAAAAAGCTGGGAGACTTATAACACTATATCACCACTTCTGGTGGTGACAAAATAAAATTTTCTCACCTTATTAATGTCATCTATAAGGATCTGGTTCTGCAGCAACTCTGCAACAAGTCTCTGTACCCGCATCTCCCCATCTTTTACTCTATCTTCCAACTGACACTTGCTTTTTAACATTTGGTCTTGCTCTTCACGAAGCTCCTGTAAACATATATGCAACAATTGTGTATTAAACTCCTGTAAACATATATGCAACAATTGTGTATTAAACTCCTGTAAACATATATGCAACAATTGTGTATTAAACTCCTGTAAACATATATGCAACAATTGTGTATTAAACTCCTGTAAACATATATGCAACAATTGTGTATTAAACTCCTGTAAACATATATGCAACAATTGTGTATTAAGCTCCAGTAAACATATATGCGACAATTGTGTATTAAGCTCCAGTAAACATATATGCAACAATTTTGTATTAAGCTCCAGTAAACATATATGCAACAATTGTGTATTAAGCTCCTGAAACATATATGCAACAATTGTGTATTAAGCTCCTGTAAACATATATGCAACAATTGTGTATTAAGCTCCTGTAAACATATATGCAACAATTGTGTATTAAGCTCCAGTAAACATATATGCAACAAGCTCCTATTACGCTCCTGTAAACATATATGCAACAAGCTCCTATTAAGCTCCTGTAAACATATATGCAACAATTGTTATGCAAAAGTCAGCCACTTCTTGAAGCTCAGTGTTGGAGCCCATGAAATGTGTTGTGAGTTTAACCACCACAGGGGTGGACTGACTTTTCACATCAGCCCTCAGCTCAGGATTTCATTCTGTGTTATCATTAATCAATAATTACATTTTATCTTTACTTTCTCATAAAACCTAATTAACACCAAAAATGTCTCTCCAAAAAGTTTTTAGATATCACTTTTGAAAATATGGTATTTTACAAAATGTGAAACATGTATCTACCTGAACACGAGATTTGTAGAAGTCCAACTCCTGCATCCTTTCTTGAGATTTTTTAAGTTCTGCCTCTTGGTCTTTAAGATTCTGCACCTGTTTTATATATTACATCACAATTATGTTATAACTGTAGATATGTGGTATTTTGATTGATCATATACCTAATGTGTATTCTGGATTATCATTGGCTTATTTATGGTCACATGATATGAAATAGATTTCCCTGAATGACTGTCACATATAACATTGAGTATATTCTGGATTCTCATTGGTGTGGCCAGGATCGGAAAATAGAAAAGTCGACTTAGCTACGAGGACATTATTTCAAATTTTAGTTTGATTATGGAAGATATGAAGTGCAAATGACCAATTATGATATGACAGCCCTTAGTGACATCTTTTCCATATACAGGGTAATCAAAAAGAAGTGAGATTACAGTTTTAAGATTCCAAATTGAACAACTCTTAACTTAGTTTTTGTTGTCCCTTTATTCAATACAATATCAAAATGATAAATAGGTCCTAGCCTTATTTTTCCATTCTTCTAGTTCATCTTTATAAGAACGAGCCTCTCTGGATTCTTGTAGCAGTCTGCTACTCTATAAGAATAAAAAAAGTACTAGGTTTGTAAGATACAATGTATGCAGAGTGTTCAAGATAAAAAGTTTTGAAATATACAGAGTGTTCATTGTTCCTGGTTTAAAAGTTTTGAAATATACAGGGTGTTCATTGTTCCTGGTTTAAAAGTTTTGAAATATACAGGGTGTTCATTGTTCCTGGTTCAAAAGTTTTGAAATATACAGGGTTTTTAATTAATATAATATATCTTGTAAAAACCCTTGACTTTTTAAAAATATGAAAATATTAAAGCCCTACCTCAGTTCGAAGCCTATTGACCGTAGACTTGGATTCGGCAAGGTCTGTTTGTAGGTCTGACACCAGTTTACTCTTCTCCTCTCTATAAAAGATCAAAAAAGTTATTATTGCAAATAGTCTAGTTCCTTTTTTTATGATTTTTGTCAATGCAGACCTTCTCCAGCAATTTTGACAAAATTGAAAGGTTTTCCTTTATATAGACATTGGCATTAAAATTCCTTAAAAATCAATAACCACTAACATAACTAGCATATCAACAGAACTAAGAACATGATTATTTCAAAATTATATAAAATGTAGTCATGGATCTTACAGTTCTTCTGAGAGAGATTTCACTTTATTTCTTGAGTCAGTCAGTTCTTCCGTAAGATGGTACTTTTCCAGACCAATAGGTGGTGTTATATGCTTCCCACGGCCCTCGGCACGAGAACGAAAATAGTCACAATCTTGGGTTGATTTTGACAGCAATTCTAGGTATTCATCCCTTTCTTTGACCAGCTGTTTCAGTTGACCTTTGACCTCTGTGTCAAGGTCATCCTGATTTGAGTTCAAGGTCATGACATTGCCACTTCCTTCTGAGATCTGTAATTTCATTTTTTTAGAAGTTTAGTTGATCAACAAGGAATGTTTGATAAAAAATAATACAAATGCTTTCAATAGATTTGTTAAATAGAAAGAATAAAAACAAATCACATACCATATTTATAAGAAAATACCATAATTATAAGACAAGGCATTAACATGACAAAATGTCACCACCTAGTTGCTCAAACTTAAGTCTTAATTTCTGAGAACTTGTAAAGTCAATTTTGAACTTCTGAAAAGATGTAGATGATTTTGAAAAAAAAAATTGGTCAATTTGAAGCAAGTTGAAAACAGACCTTTTTGACCTTTTTTGACCTTGAGAAGGTCATTAAAGGTCAAATGTCAAATCTAAAGTCAGATTTGAATTTCTGAGAACATGTAGATGATTTTGAAAAAAAAAAATTAGTCAATTTGAAGCAAGTTGAAAAAAGACCTTTTTGACCTTTTTTGACCTTGAGAAGGTCATTGAAGGTCAAATGTCAAATCTAAAGTCAAATATAAAGTCATATTTGAATTTCTGAGAACATGTAGATGATTTTGAAAAAAAATTTAGTCAATTTGAAGCAAGATGAAAAAATACCTTTTTGACCTTTTTTGACATTGAGAAGGTCATTGAAGGTCAAATGTCAAATCTAAAGTCAGATTTGAATTTCTGAGAACATGTAGATGATTTTGAAAAAAAAAATTTAGTCAATTTGAAGCAAGTTGAAAAAAGACCTTTTTGACCTTTTTTGACCTTGAGAAGGTCATTGAAGGTCAAATGTCAAATCTAAAGTCATATTTGAATTTCTGAGAACATGTAGATGATTTTGAAAAAAAATTAAGTCAATTTGAAGCAAGATGAAAAAATACCTTTTGGACCTTTTATGACATTGAGAAGGTCATTGAAGGTCAAATGTCAAATCTAAAGTCAGATTTGAATTTCTGAAAACATGTAGATGATTTTGAAAAAAAAATTTAGTCAATTTGAAGCAAGTGGGAAAAATACCTTTTTGACCTTTTTGGACTTTGAGAAGGTCATTGAAGGTCAAATGTCAAATCTTAAGTCAAATCTAAAGTCAGATTTGAATCTCTGAGAACACGTAGATGATTTTAAAATTTTTTTTTAGTCAATTTGAAGCAAGTTGAAAACAGACCTTTTTGACCTTTTTGACCTTGAGAAGGTCATCGAAGGTCAAATGTCAAATCTTAAGTCAAATCTTAAGTCAGATTTGAATTTCTGAGAACACGTAGATGATTTTGAAAAAAAAATTTAGTCAATTTGAAGCAAGTTGAAAACAGACCTTTTTGACCTTGTTTGACCTTGAGAAGGTCATTGAAGGTCAAATGTCAAATCTAAAGTCAGATTTGAAGGTCAAATGTCAAATCTTAAGTCAGATTTGAATTTCTGAGAACATGTAGATGATTTTGAAAAAAAATTTAGTCAATGTGAAGCAAGTTGAAAAAATACCTTTTTGACCTTGAGAAGGTCATTGAAGGTCAAATGTCAAATCTAAAGTCAGATTTGAACTTCTGAGAACATGTAGATGATTTAGAAAAAAATTGAAGTCAGTCTAAACAGTATTTGTTAAGTTATAGGAAGTTGTAAGAAATTGTTACAGACGCCGGACGCCAACCGCCGGACGCCAACCGCCGGACGCCAACCACCAACCGCCGGACGCCGTCGCAAAAAAAACGGAGACCATAACAATATGTCACCACTTTTGGTGGTGACATAAAAATGGTACCTGTCATGCATTTTACTAATTTCACGTTTTTCAATTTTGAATTGCCTCGTTTATATATATTTCTACTAGGGGTCCAATAGCCAAGCAGACCCCCACCCCCCCCCTCAAAGACATTAACTTGGCACCCACCTGTTTAATATGTTCCACAATAGCTGTCTGTACTGTGATGTCCAGTTGTTTAATATTATTAATATATTCTTCTTTTCTCTCACATTGTATAGCGCACCCTAATATCAGCAAGAGCACTTTTTCTACTTCACGTATACTTAGATCTAAAACATAAAAAATCAAGATATATTCAGAGTTCAAAATTAAAAATGACATCATTCAGATGGTGGATAAAAAACAATGCATTTCTCAAAAAACATGGTTAAACAAGGAGGGACAAATGCTATAAATAGAATAAAATGGATATTCTTTAAGAACTGGTTCAACATGCAAGCTTTGCATCAATTAGAAATGTGAAATGACAATCATGGTACATAAATGATTTTATCCCATACTTGGACGTGTTACAGGTACATAAAGCCAGTTTGTAAAAACTTATATTTTCATCAGCGGGCAGATAAAGCTTTACGTCCCGCTCCGAGCGGGCAGATATAGTATATCTGCCCGCTACATCATAATCGCCGCTCGCATATTTGTTCATAATTTGTACGCGTAATGACTGTAAACGACAATGGAGAAAACACAGATAATTGGGATCTGTTAGATGGTTTAAAAAAGGGAAGGAGCATCCATGTAATCAATCAAAAGTTCGAGAAAATAAATGTGGGAATACTCGAGAGAACAGGAAAATCCACCCACGGCCAAGAAAACAAAACTGGACATGAATATTCTAAAATATTTCCACGATTGAGCAATGTGAACCAGATGACCAAGATTGGTATGGGATAAACATATTATCCTATAGTCGGTTCAGGATATTGGGATTATCCCTTGGCCAATATAATATATTTGCCCGAGGGCTGCAGATCGGGATAATCCAAGTATCCTGAACCTCATATAGGATAATCTCTATATACATACCTTTATTATTGTCTTTACTGATGACCAAAATGTTTGGAAGTCTCATTGTAATCAACTGCTGAAGAACTGCCTAAATTATATAAAACACAAAAGTTAATATTTGCATTACTTTTTCTATCGTTTCCCATACTTTCATTCATTAATGTAAGTTTTGTATTTTTCTAATATTGCATACCTTCTCAGGGGTTTCATTAGCAGCAGGCAACAGGAGATTTTCACCGGTTGTTTTCACAAAATTGCCTGTTGTTTTTAGGACTTTTCCATGTTAAATTTATGATTTCCATTTATGATTGCCTGGTGTTTTAATTTATTTAGTCTGTTGTGAGAAATTCTAGTGAAACCCCTGCCTTCTTGAGAATTATAATGTGCTTTCTTTGAAATAGAGTGTAGATATAAGGTTATAATTCATTTCTGAAGCGCCACAACAATATGAGGATCAATAGGGAGGGGTAGAAATTGGAAATTAAATTTTACAAAGGAACTTTTGACGAGTTCTAATGTCAATTTTCTGTTTCTCCTGTTTTAAGATGATCCTCCTTAAGATTCAAAAAACATTACCTGACCTTTGAAAATGATTGGGGTCTTTTTTCAAAGTAGTGATCACTGAGAAATGTTTATACCCATTGACACTAATGCTTGTTAATAATGTCTAAACTTCAAACTTGTTTTTGCACGTAAAAATTATTAATCAAAAAAAACGTTTGACAGGAATGACCAAAAAGTGATTTATGATAGTTAAAAGCTGAATGATCATTAAAGGAGAACTGGTTATTTTATGGTCATATTTTAACCAAATGACCAAAAAGTGTTTTTCTAATGTTAAAGGTGACATAGCTCCAAAAGATGTTGCTCTTCAAGCATTTTCTTGAGTAATTTGTGAAATATGATTCACAAATTTAAATTAGCAGTCTATCCTGAGCTCTATCCTATAATACATGTGCAATCAAAAAGTCAGGAATAAGTGCCTATAATTACTCAGATGTGAGTAGGTAGTTACCAGTGGCTGATTCGGGGGAAATAACATGGCAGGGTATTACAAAGTTCCCTTAAACTTGAATATGCATCAGTTTTAATGGTTCACTTTTCAAATTACCCTTATATATGTGATAGTTATACAAATTAAAATATGTCCAGTAAAAGAAAATATTATCTGCCCAACACAAGAAAACATATTTCACTTTTTGTAGTTTTACAACATGGGGTCTATGGGAAATCCCCTTGACCTAGAAGTCACATTTTCAAAGAAAAATAAATTTTCAAAGTTGATAAACTCTTTTCAAAACCACATTTTTAGATGTAATTTTATATTTAGATTCCAAATATGACACCAGCTTGAATTGTAAATTTTTAATGACGTAAATCAAGATTATGTCTACTCGCATCTAGGATATTACCAGTATATCTAACTCTAAAAAGGTGTAAAACCTCAGATCCCAAGATACCAATGTTTAAAGAAAGTAACTTGAACCGTTACACTATCTGGTCTAGTGAACAGACATAAGAAAATACTCTTGACAGTCCCACATTTATTACTTCAGTTTGTTCAAGCTCTCGAGGCTGTGCATTACACTGTATTGCAAACTTCACAATTAATATCTTATTTTTCAATTTGACATGTTTTGCTTTTAAACTGTATTTAAGACAAACTTCAAATTTAGTGATCCTGAAATTGTTACTTTGACCCTGACAAAGTTTTCACATGAAACTCGGGCAACTATTATAGACAGTTATCACCTACTTTTTGTGAAAGTTTGAAACATTCAAAAAGTTAAAAATTGAAATTTTAACAAATAACGTGAACCATGTCAACAAGGAAAACTTGCTTCTTGTTTTCTTATAATACAGAAGGTAACATATATGGGATATGGCCTAGACTAGGCTTAACATAATGATGAACATGTCTGATATTATACATATTGACTGTTAAGTGTGAAGTTCTTTTTTCTCTGGATATAAGTTTAATTTATTTTGCAATATTACATTAGCATTGCATCAAGTTTACACAGGGTCCCATAGGCCTATAGATTGGATGACAATTTATGATTACTTTTTGCACTTAAAACTAGATGCAAACATAAGTAAGTTAAGATTATATTTGATCAGTTTAAAAAGTTTCATAAAGGTTAGCCTAATTATCACCCATTACAAACTTTTACTTGGAGCTAGTGAATTTTCATGATAAAGAGCACATGCAATAAATAGTTAACTACAAGTAAAATGCACCTGTATGCTAAACACCTCATGATACAAACATCCTGTAGGCAAAACAACCCTCTATGCAAATATCATATAGGCGAAACACTTTATAGGCAAAACACTACATAAGCAAATACCTTATAGGCAAAATACCACATAAGTAATCACTTTATAGGCAAAACACCACATACCATATAGGCGACACACTTTAAAGGCAAAACACTACATAAGTAAACACTTTATAGGCAAAACACCACATACCATATAGGCGACACACTTTATAGGCAAAACACTACATAAGCAAACACCTTATAGGCAAAATACCACATAAGTAAACACTTTATAGGCAAAACACCACATACCATATAGGCGACACACTCTATAGGCAAAACACTACATAAGTAAACACTTTATAGGCAAAACACCACATACCATACAGGCGACACACTTTATAGGCAAAACACTACATAAGCAAACACCTTATAGGCAAAATACCACATAAGTAAACACTTTATAGGCAAAACACCACATACCATATTAGGCGACACACTTTATAGGCAAAACACTACATAAGCAAACACCTTATAGGCAAAATACCACATAAGTAAACACTTTATAGGCAAAACACCACATACCATATAGGCGACACACTTTATAGGCAAAACACTACATAAGTAAACACTTTATAGGCAAAACACCACATACCATATAGGCGACACACTTTATAGGCAAAACACTACATAAGCAAACACCTTATAGGCAAAGTACCACATAAGTAAACACTTTATAGGCAAAACACCACATACCATATAGGCGACACACTTTATAGGCAAAACGCTACATAAGTAAACACTTTATAGGCAAAACACCACATACCATATAGGCGACACACTTTATAGGCAAAACACTACATAAGTAAACACTTTATAGGCAAAACACCACATACCATATAGGCGAAACACTTTATAGGCAAAACACTACATAAGCAAATACCTTATAGGCAAAATACCACATAAGTAAACACTTTATAGGCAAAACACCACATACCATGTAGGCGACACACTTTATAGGCAAAACACTACATAAGTAAACACTTTATAGGCAAAACACCACATACCATATAGGCGACACACTTTATAGGCAAAACACTACATAAGCAAACACCTTATAGGCAAAATACCACATAAGTAAACATATTATAAACAAAATACCACATGAGCAAACACCTTATAGGCAAAATACCACATAAGCAAATATCTTATCTAGACAAAATACCACATAAGTAAACAGCTTATAGGCAAAATACCATGGCAAAACACCTTATAGGCTAGGCAAAATACCACATAAGTAAACATATTATAAACAAAATACCACATAAGCAAACACCTTATAGGCAAAATACCACATAAGTAAATACCTTATCAAGGCAAAATACCACATAAGTAAACAGCTTATAGGCAAAACACCAAATAACCCTGTAGGCAAAATACCACACAAGTAAAACACACATAGTAAATACAAATACAATGCAAAGCAGCCATAAGTAAACAGTCCCGTATATGCAAAATACCATTTAGGGCCTAAGCAAAAATAAAGTTATCTTACTGGAATATATCATACCTGGTAATAGTTTGTAATGTTTCTGATGAGAATCTCCCAGTTCTGCAGCCTTGCATTACTGTCTCCAACAACCCTCTTCAACTGCTTGTCTTCAGGACGTTCAGGGTCACTGCAATTTAAAAAGGAGAATCAAAAAACAATGTAAATTTTGGGATTGAATGATCTTACTTGTGTGGAAAATGGGGTATTTTTAGTATGTCAATAGGATTTTGGTCATTACTTTTAAATCATACATCATATTGAGAAGAAAAACTTGAAAATCTACATTAGAACACTGGATGGGCCAAAACATCAAAAATTGAATAATCTTTATTTTGCTGCTATAGGTTACTAGAATCAAGATCAAGTTATCAATTTAATCAAGTTACGAGAATGTCCTATTAAATATATTTAAATATTTAAAAAATTAAAATTCTTTATCTTAAATGTTTGAATTGATGTTCAGACAATGATGGTGTATAATATGAAATACTACTATCAATGAATGAGGAGTATAATATGAAATACAATTTTTTATCAGCTGGCACTATAGATTGTAAAATAATTGACGTCATGCTCTTATACCCATGTACAAAGTTTGAGGTCAAGACGCAGGGTCAAATTATATAAATTAAGTGCACGTTAATACTCCCTCTTTCTGCAAATTTAAGTGCTTAATTCAACAAAAAAATAAAAAATACAAGCAAAGAAAAATAAAAATTTGAAAAACAGTTTATAGTACTACAGTACGTGTGTTTATCAAGATTAAGTTGGTCTACAGAGCTATCTCACAATATCAGTATATTCTAAATAAAGTTCTCAAGTGAATTGGTCATTGATTCACTTAATAGGTTCTTAAAATATTCAAGATTATTGTTGTCAGTTTACCACATGTTAATGACCTTCCTGTGCCAAGAATTTCTCTTTTGGTAATTTCAATTCACATTTTCTCTCTAAAATTTGAATGAACTATCTGATTGTCTTGCATTTCTATACAATATAGAGTGTTCACTTCATGTCTGTTTACTTTATTCCTTGCTGATTCCACTATTTTTCACTCTATTTTCAATTTGAAATCACGACCCATTGACATTTTCTCCAGGTTTCTAAACAGGGCTGTCCAAGATAAAGGTATATTTATAGTGAAGGAGAGTACAACTGATTGTACTTTCATAAAGCTTTAAAATAAAGCATGTACACGTAGTCTAGAAAAGTTGTCATGACATTATAAATCTTTTCTAAACTTTTTCTTCTCCAAGCCAAATCTCAAAGGAACATCAAGGTATACCTAATCTTTAATGCTTAACTCTGGCGATGACATCATTATACTCAGGATGTGACATCATCTCAATATATCTGATATCTTTGCCAGAATATTCAGAGGTTAAAAGTGCCCTAAAGTAAAAGATAACCCAGTTGTGTACAATTTATGTTGTTTATTTTTGGGCAATTCAATCAATAATAATATTTTAAGCAAGCTTATAGACAGTCCTTCTTATAGCCAAAGGGGAGAACTGGAATAATAAAAAGGCAGACTTGGAACAGAAAAATAATAGAAACATCAAGTTTCTGTAGTCTAGCTACAAACCCTTGTGACCCCCCCCCCCCCCATTACCATTACACATCAACCACTCCCATAAGTGGTGAAGTAGATAGAGACACATCAAAATGTGAAATACTCAATAAAAATGACACAGGAGAAAATGGCTATAGAGGTCATCCCTAATACATGCTTTTTATGTTAAAAATTTGAATAAGATGCTTGATTATTTAGCTTTCTAAGCATACAATTTTAGTGTTATGTCGGTTTCATTCATTTCACCTTCTTCTACCTTTATATTAAATTTCAAAACATGAACATCATGACATTTAGGGCATACAGGAAACTTTCAAGTGGCACCTTGAAACATAAAAGCAATGTCACCATGACAACAAAAAAGGCTTATGTCTATTTCCCATAATGCCTCAATGGTTGATCTTTTACATTTGAATAGAAAATAAAAAGTGTGATGAATCACACCTCAACATGTTTATAAATCATGTCAAGAATCACTTTCAAATATGAACTTTGAACAGAAGATTCACTCGAGGTTTTCGTGAATTGAGCTCTCTTTAGGAGAAAATGGCATGAATTCCATTTATTGATACTCCTGCTTTACCATGGGCGTAGCACCCAGTACGCAAAGGCGTACCAGATGGTTGCAAATTCATTCCAAATACAACCAAATTTCAAAATTTTCCTGGGGGAGAACCCCCAGACCTCCCCGAATGCTCATTTTTTTGATTCACTCAACTCTTGTTCCTGTGGTGGTGACGTACTACTTAGAAAAATAGCGCTACACCTATGGCTTTACAAGTATAGTTAACATCAAGCAAACAAACAATCAAACAATGAACAAACAAACAAGCAAACAAATGAACAAACAAACAAGTTGGGTACATTGTAAACATGGTTCGATCTGGCCACAATAGTAGGCAAGACAAACCCCCCCCCTTTTGTTAAGGTTGAAATTCCAAGATAAACTCAACCAATCTGATACTCATAGCATTTCTCTCTGTTGCATAGTCAAGAGGGACCGAGATGAAGCAAAAGGCATAGCTTATCACCAAGCTCTCAACAAAATACTCCGAATATGATAATAACACTATATCTCCTTGTTAGATAAAATTAATGACTGATTAATGGCAGAGCAATCTGTTTAAACCTTAGCATCTAAGTGAACAACACTTTGACTTTCCAGAATGTCTTACATGGCAATAATAGATGACCCAAAACCCTTACCCCTGAGCAGTGAAATGCAGGAAACAATCTGAAAGATATCTGACAAATTAAGGTGTTAGACATGTTTCTTTTCATGTTTGAACATGGTTTAGGATAGTTGGGGTTTGTTTTCCTCATGACTGGTATACCCTTAGATGTTTTTTGCCATGTTCTGGAACAACTGACATTTCATGTGCATATACTGACATTGTATGTGCATATACTGACATTGTATGTGCATATACTGACATTGTATGAGCATATTCTGTCATTGTATGTGCATATACTGACATTGTATGTGCACGTACAACCAATCAAATATAAAATACAACCAGGGTGTTACAACTAAAATCATTAAATAATTGTAGGTGGATTTGGCTAAATTGGAGTCAACAATCTCAAACTTGTAACTTTTAAACCCAAGCAAATAAATGGCAGACATGATCCACGCAGACAGATTAGAAGGCATACACATTTCAAGTTTTTTTTAATATGCGAGTCAACGAGGAATTTGGGACTGAGAAAACTTAAGTCTGTCAAGCCAAAATCTCAATATTCTCCACAAGAGTTCAACTTTGTTAAACTCTTTAAGTTAAAAGTAAACTTCCAATACTGCATTTTATATTTATAAACACTCAAACTCTAATAAAAGGCCATGAAATCTGCTTTGAGACTGATAAGATGTTATCAGCATCAAAAATCTAAAAAATCATTAACTTGTGATCAGAGGGTCCAGCTGATGTGGATTCAGGATGTACATGTATTTATAAAATCAGAATATTTCAATCTTGATTTACCAGACTCTCTCATATCTACCACTTTGAAAAGTTCACTGACAGAGTGGTTGTGTGTATCATGATGGGATATGCCCTTCCTCCACCAAATCATTGACTTTCAAGGTGTTCAATATCTCCATTGATCTTCTGTATTTCTACCTATTTGTGTTTAATCTTTTAATGAAGTACTTAGTGAGAGGAATAGCCACTTGAACAATATTTACACATGAAATCACTTCCTTCTTCAACAGGTTGGTCAAAGAGTGGGAGAAAATGTCCGTCTTCTCATGATTATTCAACTCATTTTCTCAATAAAATTTGAATGAGACTCATAATTTTCTTTAATTTCTATACAATTGAATGTGTTAGCCACATGTCCTGTCACTTTATTTCCTGCTTAGTTCATTCTTCTCCACTCTATTTTGGATTTTAAAACATGATCACAATTACATGATTTAAATCTATATTGGTTTTACTGTTTTGTCTCGGCTAAGTGTTTGTTTGTTACTTAGCCAGTATTCTACAGCTGAACAAATATTTCCCATTGCCATTGTGGCGATTTAAGAATTTACATGTCTGTATTTACATTTTTTGTATTCTATTGAAATAAATTAAAAAAAAAAAAAAAATTGTCTCCCAAAGGAGAAGCCATTACTAAGCTATGACAATCAGGCCCGTAGCCAGGATTTGCCAAGGGGGGTTCACTTTTTGAAAAATTCCAGGGGGTTCACTTTTGACAATTTTGGTCCAAAAATGGCCAAAATCACTTAAAAAGTGCTCATCATGGTGAAAAACTGTATGTTTTTTAAAGAATTTTTGGCCAGGGGGGGGGGTCGCTCAAACCCATCGAACCCCCCATGGCTACGGGCCTGACAACTCAAATAAAAATTCTATTTTAGGGAACTTGAACTAGTTGCAGCGTAAACCAAGTACTAATGCTACCTGTTGACTGTTGTGTGTAATTCAAACAGTTCGGGTACTCTGTATTAGGATCTTAAAGACAATGCATGGGTCCTTCTCATATTTATTCTTGATGAGAAAAAAGTCACCATTGTCAAATTTTGAATCCAAAATAAAAAAATAAAATGATTCTCAGCAAGAAATAAACTCAGCAGCCATATGTTACACTCTAGATGAATAGAATGTTAGAAAACCAGAATTTTATTCTTGAAGTAGGAATTAGAGGGTGAAAAGTAGGAATGGGCATGAGAAGAGATGAACATTAAGGTGTCTACTTACATAAGCAACATGACATCATTGAGGAAGGTTCCATCACAAAGATCCTGCAGGTCTGCTTGGTCACTAGGGGGCGCAAATGACTGCACCTGAAACAAGAGCAAAAATCCTTGAACATGGGTCAGTTATCTGTGACCTTCAAATAGATCCACAATTGAAGCTACAAGCTGCTCTACAAGCTACCAGCTTTTTACAAGGGAGAGAGAGGGGGTCACTTTCCCAAAAATTCTAGGGGGGTTAACATTTGACAACTTTGGCCCAAAATCACTTGAAAAGTAAAAGACCAATACACCAGTATGTCATTTTATTTTCTTTAGGCACATACGAGGGTTGTCCCAGAAGTAATGCACTATATGCTCTAACTTTATCACATACTGTTCAGCATGATATTTATCACAGGGAGACATTAGGACAATAAACTTGAGTTAATATACAAATCAAAACTGATCCTAAAAACAGGATAAAAATATAATGATTTAGTTTTTAGTTATGATTCCAGGTACAAAGAGAAGTTAAATTAGATTTTAACCTGATGTTATAAATGTTCTACTGTAATACCTCAATTAGTCATTCCAGGGAGCACAAAGCACACTTATATTGCATAATTGATGGAAATATATCCGGGAATGACTAAACCGTCAATTGTATTGATATTTAGATTTTAATTGGTTTAAAGGCTTTTAAGTTTTATGTGTACATTTCAATGTTGATTTCAAAATGAAAATATTATGATAGTCTAAGAGGTCCATGGGTCTACTGTTGAATATTGTTATTCTTCAAAATTGATCCTTATGCTTTCTATTTATCATAAGAATCAGACAAATTCAGACAAAGAGAGAAACGTTTACAAATATCAAACTTAAGCATACTTTGGGCTCAAGACTTTTCACTTACTGCAGACCTTTTTAAAAGATATTGCTTGTTTCGGGTGACATCGATATATTTTAAGATTTATGTGATTGATCTTTGTGAATGTTTTCCATTTTGAATGATTTTGAATCAAACATATTGCTTGCAAAACACAAAAACTACAATGAAGTACTACACCACTTCTGTAACTATAACACACATATTATTATGTTTTAATGGTTTCTTCATAATTGTTAAATTAAACTACATGTAAGCATACAAATATTGGATTAATCTGTTGATAAATAAATATATTTTCTTCTTAAAACATTGTCTTCTATGCTTATGAATACTAGTTCTTTATTTAACTTTGATGACATTAACTGGTGAATGAACTTTTCAAAAACAGTTTCCTGAAAGTTGTTGATTATGTGGGTGTTAAATACTAAAATATACAATGCCCATAACAATAATATCACAGTTATAGCAATCTAAAATAAATGTTGCATGAAAAATAGCGGAATCTGCATTGAGAAAGTAAACAAACAAATACCCAACCCTCTAAATTAAATAAAAATGCAAGAAAACACACAATTAAATTCATCATAGAGTGATGGAGCAAGAAATAGGCGTGACCCCATGACTTTTTTCTTTTAGGTAATTTTATATTTAATTTTTATAATAATTTAATGATTCATCAGTCCTATTGAGAGACATGGTACATTGCTGTTATAAATGTCAAACCACAAGACCTCTAGGCTCGATTCCTTAACCCTTTGGCACATTAGGAGGCAAGTACTTATTATCACCCTCTGAATGTAACCAACAATTTACAGATTCAATACTAATAAGGGCTTGATAGAAGTTGGTGTTATGGGCGTTCATGAAACTGAAAATAAAATACATGCAAGGTATTATTACAGGAGTGAAATGCAGTCACTGCAATCATGATTAGGTATAGCTGTATTTTTGATTGACCCTTAAAATCTGATTGATATAAGGTAAACCTAGATTCTGAGATTATTTCTTGTTATAAGAGTTGAGATGTGAAATAAGTATTGAAAAGGATACTAAAGCTAATGTGCTTGATGATTGGCTCCCAGGTTATGCTATAGGAACTTTTGATGGTACTGGTTAGAGCAAAAGAGAACATTTATTCTCATTTTGATTAAGCAGAGTTCATTCCCCTTTACCTAAAGCTTGTACTCTACTGGTACAGTCTGTGGATTTGACACTGATTCATTCTACATGTCTTTACCTAAAGCTTGTACTCTACTGGTACAGGCTGTGGATCTGACACTGATTCATTCTACATGTCTTTACCTAAAGCTTGTACTCTACTGGTACAGTCTGTGGATCTGACACTGATTCATTCTACATGTCTTTACCTAAAGCTTGTACTCTACTGGTACAGTCTGTGGATCTGACACTGATTCATTCTACATGTCTTTACCTAAAGCTTGTACTCTACTGGCACAGGCTGTGGATCTGACACTGATTCATTCTACATGTCTTTACATAAAGCTTGTACTCTACTGGTACAGTCTGTGGATCTGACACTGATTCATTCTACATGTCTTTACCTAAAGCTTGTACTCTACTGGCACAGGCTGTGGATCTGACATTGATTCATTCTACATGTCTTTACCTAAAGCTTGTACTCTACTGGCACAGGCTGTGGATCTGACACTGATTCATTCTACATGTCTTTACCTAAAGCTTGTACTCTACTGGCACAGGCTGTGGATCTGACATTGATTCATTCTACATGTCTTTACCTAAAGCTTGTACTCTACTGGCACAGGCTGTGGATCTGACACTGATTCATTCTACATGTCTTTACCTAAAGCTTGTACTCTACTGGCACAGGCTGTGGATCTGACACTGATTCATTCTACATGTCTTTACCTAAAGCTTGTACTCTACTGGTACAGGCTGTGGATCTGACACTGATTCATTCTACATGTCTTTACCTAAAGCTTGTACTCTACTGGTACAGTCTGTGGATCTGACACTGATTCATTCTACATGTCTTTACCTAAAGCTTGTACTCTACTGGTACAGGCTGTGGATCTGACACTGATTCATTCTACATGTAGGTTTATTAGAAGTAAGACTATCATCAACTTCATCGGAAAAAACATAATTTAGAATTGTATTAATTCTGTAACCTGGATCGCATATATGATATACAAATATTTTGGTGGGACTGAACAATTCAGGCAATGTTTAAATGAAATGAACTTCTGATGTCATAAAGGGTAGCCAATCACATACTATACTTCTACTTAATTTGGGGCTACTTATTGTGGCGGAATTCGCTGTTTTGACTACTTAATTTGGTGGACTTGCAATATTGAAATGTATATACCACACAAATTTTCAACTGAAATATGAAATATTGAATTTGGCGGCTACTTAATTTGGCTGACTTTAACAATTTGGCAGATCCACCAAATTAAAATGGCCGCCAAATTATGTAGAAGTACAGTATGCTGTTAGGTTGCTCCTACCAGTTCAAAAAATCTGAGTGAATGTTACGAAAAATTGATATTGCTTTCGTAAAATAAAAACTTACATATATTATGGCAAAATCTAATACATGTGGCATAAAATGATTATTAACACCATTTTATGACTCAATTGTTTATCTCTAATAAACAAGTTTTTGTTAGAAGGTATATTCTATATGGCATGTTGGGGTTATCTGAAAGCCATGCTGTTAATATTTTGACATATTTGACTCAACTCTTTATGTGTTTTCTACATAAATCAACCAATTCAGTTTTGGTTTCAATATTGTTTAGAACAATGAGTCACTATCAAGAAGTAATATTAAATCATGTAATCATGCTGTATTGTCTGCTGATAACACTTAATAATTGCAATCAACATTTAATTATATTTAATAATTATGCCCCATACTGGAATGTTTAGATGACATAGTCTAAGAATATTCTCTTTCATGCTTATTTCTAACAATTTCTCCTTAAATTTTCTATGAACTGCCTAATTTTCTTGCATTTCTATACAATTTAGAATATTGACTGTATATCTGTTTAATTTATTCCTTGCTATTTCCACTTCTTTTTACTTTATTTTCCATTTAAAAACATGAGCATTATGACATTTTAGAGGGTAAAATATACTTGAAGTATTTGTAATATTGTTCTTGTTGACCCATTAGTAAAAAGTATTGTATTATAATGATTTATAGTAAATCGAAGCAAACAGAGTGATGTTCATGAAAAACAAACATAAATAGTAAAAAAGAAAAAGAAAAATAATATTTCACATTTTACTCCAAAGAAATGGGGTAATATTTTAAAAAAGGGTATACTAACAGTAAAACTTTATGAAAGGGTATACTCCTAGAATGTTCAGCTCATTACATTGTTTGCAAACATTTAATATTGTTGAATTACTTGATTAATTGTTGATTGTTTCAATATGACAGGTTGTTTTCATAATTGCATTGGGATATAAATCCTCAAATATTTGCATTTGTCCAATTAATGGTGCCAATGAGGAATTTCATTGTTTCAAATGTTATTGTGCTGTAATTGTCATGAAGAATTATACAACAGAAATATGAGGCACACACCTGCCTTCAGTAAACACTTTTCAAACAAATAAACATTTTTTCTACAAAACCAGCATTCAACTTATAAATCACATTTTTTTCTACAAAGGCACTGATAGACCATAGAAGGTGCAACCAGTTTTTTTTCACAAAACCTAACCTTCACATCAATTTAGTTTCTATTATCAATTGAGAATAGAACCTCTCAATCTGACACATTAAGAAGAATTCAGTAGCCTAAAACAGACTTATTTACCATTCATTGTGAACTGGTCAATCTAAAAAAAGTTTTAATCAAGTGCAATCGTATAAACTTTTTCTAAAATTAACTGAAAGACAAGGCAACCTAAGTATGTTGATGTCAAAATATTATAAATTATACTGTGCCTTGGAGTGCTCCTTTTAACAACATTGATAAAATATGAAAGTATTTAACAATATTGATAAAATATGAAAGTATGTATAGTAATTAATGGTAGGTTACTTTCAAAGCATGTGGACTTCACAGCCTCTATTATCTACTAACAGCCTACAAATTGCACAATCAAAAGATTGAAATAAAGCTTTTTTCTTGAAATGACTGATGCTTAAAAAGAATTGCAGCCTAAAGACAAAAAAATGTAAATTATAATGCACCTCATTTTATTCTATAAGGTAATTAAAATTTAGCTAGATCTATTTACAAAAAAGAAGATTTTTAAAGTAATGCAATGTCTATGATGCAAGTTTACAGGTTACTAGTGGTTTTGGTGATGTTGGCATTTTTCAAGATCATTAATTGGCACCGAGCTCCTATAAGTTCTTTTTAAATAACACGTGTCTGGGGTATTACAGATGCCAAACTGTTTTTATTAAAAATGAACTTTTAAGGATGTGTATAAAAAAGATGTTTACGACTTTTACATTGAAATATTCCATTCAAAAGAATTGGTTTTAAGAATAAAAGAAAATATTTCACTGAAAGCTCCGATTTTGTTTGTACTTTCTATTGATAGAATTACAATTATTTCAATAGAACTTGGTTCTTTTGAAAACAGTTCCATGTAGAGAGATGTTCCTTATAGAAAGGTGTTCCATCCACCAGTTTTTTGAGAAAAAATAATAAAAATAGCATAATTTTGTTTAAAATTGTGAAAACAATATTTTACACCCATATTTAATGAAAATCCTGGGCGAATACGATATAAGTTGTACATGTGATGTTTTTATGTATTCTTACATCCTATACACCTTGTGCCTGGCTGAACCTCAATAGGAAATGTCATTTTGACAATTTCAATAGTATTTTTATAATTTAAAACAGCAAAAAGGTATAAAAAAAGTAAAGCAATTTGTTAACATGAAAATAATCTTGAGCAAATGCCTGGATTTACATTGTATTGTAAAGTATAATAAAAAGTCAGAAGTCATAATTTCAATCGTACTCCATATTGCATACTTTTGGAGAAAATCAAGATCATAATACCATTTTCTAAACTTACTTCCTGAAAACTCAAAGGATGTCAGTAAAATTCTATGTAATATCCCAGATGCGAGTAGAAATAATCTTGATTAATGTCATTAAAAATTCACAATTCAGTCAAACTAATGTCATATTTGGAATCTGCATGTAAAATTACATTTAGAAATGTGGTTTTGAAAAGAGTTGATCAACTTAGAAACTTTAATTTTCTTTGAAAATGTGATTTCTAGGTCGGGGAGATTCCCCATAGACCCCATGTTGTAAAACCACAAAAAGTGAAAAATATTTTCTTGTGTTGGGCAGATAATATTTTCTTTTACTGGACATATTTTAGTTTGTATAACTATCAGATACATTAGGGTAATATGAAAAGTGAACCACTAAAACTGATGCATATTCAAGTTTAAGGGAATTTTGTAATACCCTGCCATGTTAATTCCCCCGAATCAGCCACCTAGTGGCGAAACTGGTAACTACCTACTCGCATCTGAGTAATTGAAGCTCTCTTTTGCGAAACAAAATCAAACTCGATGTACAAATTGATGCAAGTGGATGCAAATGTAAAATCCACTTGCATCGATGCTAGGAAGATCATTGGTTAATTGTGATGAAACTTACCCAAGTCACAAGTGGGCTTTCCATGAATTCGCCCACAGTCCCCATTGTAAATATCTTGGTTTTCTCTACATTAGCTGATAACCTGCAAATCAAAGAGACTGAATGATTAGGATGTTTAGGTAACAAGCAAAAAATCTTCACATAAAAGGAGAAGAATCAGTTTTGCTACCGAAACTTTTTGTGGATAGATGTGATTTTGTGTCAGATGTGATTGCAAATAATACACAACATCTACCAAATGAAAAAGAGTCTGTTGTAAGTAAATTACCCGACACAAAGTTCTAATAAAAACTCTCCTTAGTATCTAAGAAAGCAGTAAGATTCAACTTTTTGTGAGTCAATCTAACCTTAAAGGGTGACGCATATCGTTTAGCAAATCGAACGCTCGTTTCTGGTGTTGCTCACCGTTTAGTATAAAAGGCCCGATCCCGGAATAATTCTCAAGGGTTCACAGGTTCGAGGTCGTTGTGTCAACACCTCTAACTGTTATATAGCATAAGTATATTATAGATCGTCACACATTTATAAAAGGGTGATTTTTATTTTGACAAATCAATTCCAAATTTATGGGTGAAGTTTCAGGATCTTTTATTTGTGTATAATAAGGAAAAATTGTCATCTAAATTTCCCCATAACGTAATAGCACACAGCTTGGCATATGAAATATCCTACAAATGAAACAAAGCAAGACAAACCGGTTTCTAATACAAGGATTTATATTGGCTGTTGTACATGTATTCTTTGAACGCAATCACTCTGTGGATAACGTTTTCAAAATCATTATAAACGGATAACTTTATCTCAAAGACAATTTCAATAAACTGGATTTTACAGAACTCCCCTTATTTCTTAAAAATGGACTGATCCAGTTGATTCGCCTGGAGCCGCCATATTGTTTTTATACGGGATGCTAATAGGAACCCTTTAAAAGTAAGCAATCAAATTACCAAAGTGCAATATTATACAAAATATCATATATTCGAACATGACTGTATTCACGCCTTCTATAAACTGTAAACAAAGTCAACAATTCATTCGGGGTATATTCGCAAACATTGCCCCTGGTAATACGTGTAATGTGTGATGTCATAACGGCGAACTGTAGTAATGGCGGACCATAATGAATATTCGAAACATTTTGGTGAGTATTCATGTTCGAATCGCAATATAGACCTCAGAGCAGGTGTAATATCGTCGAATACACCCCTTAGGGCTAGGCACAAAAGCTTTCAAACCCCTCACTCCCTTTGGTCGTTCAGGGTACAGAAAACGTTTGTGCCTAGCCCTACGGGGTGTATTCGACAATATTACCCCTGCTCTTTGGTCTATATTTCTTAATTATGAACTTTCAAAATGAAATATCAGAAGAAATCTAAATGTATAACATAAAAAATAAATTTGATATATATTGGCAAAATGAATCAACAGAGGATATTGTCACAATATACTCCGGAAAAACAATATGAGGAGGATATTGTGATGATATAGATATTTCTCAAAACCGTAGGATGTCCTAAAAATATGCTCCTTAGCCATAATCAATAACAAGAAAAACCAACTTACTTCCTGCAAAAGCTATGTAGATTTTGTTATAATAGCTTTCCCACGGCGCACTTGGACAGCTGAATAATAGTGACCTTTAAAACACATGAATAATGAGATCCGCGGCTTACTTTTGGTCTCTAACTGTGTCTTACATCAGTATCATCAATCTGTGTAAGTATTGGAGCACTGGAATATTTCTTTTTCCATCAAGAGTTGTAAATTGTTCATCGAGTGAATGTTTTTTCGACCAATTTCCAATATGGCAGTTTGCTAGGAGCAAGATACGCAACAAACAAAATGAATTTTGAGAATGAGTTAGGTTTGGACAACCTCCGGAGATTTACGAAAATGTCCGAACAGAAAACACCATATTGGAATTTGGCAGAAAAAACATTCACTCGACCAGCATCCAGCAATTACAAGTCTTAATCGAAAAGGAAGTACTTCAGCGCTCCGATACTTGCATGAAGGGATGATAAGAGAGTCGCGGATCAACTTAATTCGTGTTTCAAAGGTCACTGTTATTCAGCTGACCATTTCTCCGTTGGAGAGCCATAGGTTTCAAAATCTAGCATGGCTCTCGAAGTGAGTAAGAACTGACCATTTGTTCTCATGATTTTCAATGATGTCATTTAGGCTAATTTTGCCATCTTATAGTGATAGCTGAGACTAACGCCCACTACGGGCTACAGCTGTTATATGTTGAAGACAAGCACTGTCGTACATGTATGTGACAAGTAAAAGAAGCCATTCCATTCACGACTTCAACTGTTGCCAAATAGCAAATCCAAAATAATACACAAAAGTTATGTTTCTAAAACATAAATGATTTCCATATAATATTGCTGTGTAACTTAGATCAATGATCTGAGATCGACTATAACACGCCTAACCATCGCGTAAGCAGGCGTCACCATACAGCGTCAAAAAATACAGTAGTACAGTTTTCTGTACGGTGACGAAAATTAACTGAGTTGAAGCAAAAACTATAATGAGGGTTTTAAAATGATTAATTAGATGAAAATAAATACGATTTCGGGTGTAATGAAAACAGCATTCTCTTAGGAATGGTTTTAACTTTCTAATTATGATAAAAGTTTTTCGAGCACTGCTCGGATTTTTTCTGACTGGATCGGCCCACATAATCGACTCGAGAGAAAAATGGTGTTTTTTTCACTTTTCGTTTGGTTATTATTTTCCCTGTCGTCTGAGAGTATCCCTTAAGAAAAAAGCCATGGTAACCATGGTATTCCATGGTGCGCCCATGGTAATCCATGGTTTTCCATGGAAATTCATGGTTTTCCATGTTATTTTCCATGGAAATTCATGGACGCCCATGGTAATCTTCCATGGATATTTACCATGATTTTCCTTTGTAATTGTTGGTTTGGTAATTGGTTTTTAATGGATGTGTCATGGAGATGTAAAATCAACAATTTTGGTAGGATTTGTATTTACCAAAATCTCCAAAATGAATGTTTTGATGATATATCCCAGTTAGACTGAGACTTATCATTGAGAAAAAAGGGTGGACATTTCATTTTGAAGGTATAGCAAGAACATTCATCGAATGTTAGACTCAGCTTACAAATGAGAAAATATGTGAAACAGCAGAGCAGAGAGTAGGCCACAAGATTTCAAAAACAATTGTGCAAAGGCCTTTTGTGTAGATCAAGACTAGATAGAGATTGCTTATTTTTTAGGCCAAACACTTCTTTCCTTTGAAAAAGATTAAGTCAAACTAGCCCAAGCTCTGTTTTATTTCAATACTTTCTTTAATTTTCAGTTTTAAAAATCAATATGAAGTAATTTAAGAAATAAATAACTCATTTTCTTAAATTACATTTCGTACATTTGAGAATACAATCAAAAACCATGGTTTCTTTCTTTGAAGTTGAGAAAACTGCAATCAAAAGCCATGGAAGACGGTTGATTGCAATTGAAAGCCATGCTTTTCCATGGTTATTTCTTTGATGTTTTGGAAAGTGCAATCAAAAGCCATCGTTTTCCATGATTATTCTTTTGATCTTTTGAAAGTCCATGGTTTTCCATGGGCTATTTGTTTGGTCTTTTGGAAGCAGAAAAATGAATAATACATTATGTTTCTAAATGAACTTCTCCAAATTAAGTCCCATTCAACTTTTATAAGCATATTATCTGAAAAAAATCCACAGAAAAGTATATACTTTTACAGAATTTTGAATTGAAATTGAGATGGGGGATTAAACACAAGCCTATGGCTGCAAACTGAAATGTTATACCTAAGTGATAAAAATTCAATTTGTCTATGTAAGAATATATATTTAAAAAAAAGTTGCATGGAAGAAGGGGAGGGGGTTAACAACACCATTTGGCTTAAAACATGAAACATAGTATAAGTAATTAAAATTGATTTGTCTTTGAATAGGAATAAATAATCATTTGCATAATTTTTAAATATTTGGTTGCCATTATTCTATGTTAATTAGGTGTCTTAACTCTCAAATTAATGTCAAAAGATTAATCTCTTTACAACAGATTATAAGAGTGAGTGTAGACAGTGCAAGTCAAAAACTCATTGTTGATCAAATAAAACCAAATAGGATTTACTCCAAGTAAAAATGTTTATTCAGTCTGCAATAAGGGAATCCAGTGAGCTGATTTTATCACTTCTTTTTTTCTTTTTTTACATAAGTGCCAAAGTTAAATGATAGCAAATCCCAGCAAACAAATTATTACTTTTAATTGTGGGGTCAAATCATCAATTAAAAAAATATTAAGTAAACAGTTCTTTGTCATATGACACTATGTACAGAATGTACTAAACATATATTCAGATTGTAAAAACATGGTTGTATTTCAGGCCTGAAACCAGCTTTTGTCAAGAAGGTTGACTTTCTCAAAGATTTTTGGGTGGGGGGGGGGTGTGTTATATTCTTTTATCTATGATTAATGAGACTAATTCTCAATCAAGCTTGGATTCATTCGTTAAAATATTGATTCAATTTTGAAGATTTTGGTAAAAACAAAACCTGCCAAAATTGTTGATTTTACAACTCAAGTGTCATGGTAAAAACATGGCATGTTCATGAAAAAACAATTACCAAACCACCAATTACCACGGAAAATCATGGTAAATATCCATGGAAGATTACCATGGGTATCCATGAATTTCCATGGAAAATACCATGAAAAACCATGAATTTCCATGGAAAACCATGGATTACCATGGACGCACCATGGAATACCATGGTTACCATGGCTTTTTTCTTAAGGGATGGATTATTTTTATGAGAATATGTATTTGTTATCTACACATTTTAGAACAGATGAATATTCGGCAAATAATCATTCAGTGTATTTATTTAAAAAAGATCAGAACTGTACGGTGACGCATCAGCTGTATGGTGACGCTTCCTTAGATTTTATGAAGTGCTCTAAGCTTACTGTTCGAACAAGAGGTAAAGAAGCGTCAGATCTACATGTACCTTATCACTGGTAAGTATCAAGTGAAGGTTACAGCCGTCACCTTCGCATTTAAGATGGCGGACAGGAAGTATTAATTTCGATATTTTTAGTTTTCATGGAATTAACTATTTGAAAATTGATGTAATGCTTAAGTATCATTTGAACTAAACCAGGCTTTTCTCATATGACTAACAAAGATAGCCTACACAGCCATCTTTACCCCATGCAAGATATTGCATCTTTCATCCTAAAAAGTCACACGTGCAAGATGAGATTTACTTGTGACATCCATTGTTTTAAAACATCAATAACATAGCAACAAGAGAGTTTTTGGTTTCATGATCTTTACCGTATCATACATTTCCAGTAACCTTCCATTAAGCTGTGGAAGATATCGCTGTAGCGCCCATGCACTATATATGAACAAATGATCATACTCCAGAGTTTCCATTTCATACAATGTTAGTCTCATTTAGTTCATCAAAGCATTGCGTCACCGTACAGCTGGTGCGTCACCGTACAAATTTGATCTTTTTTAAATATACATAATGAATAGTTGTTTGCTGAATCTTCGCCCTTTCTAAAATGTGTAAGTAACAAATACATATTCTCATAAAAATAATCCATACTCTCAGACGGTAGGGAAAATAATAACCAAACAAAATGTGAAAAACAACCTTTTATCACTCTGGTCGATTATGTGGGCCGATTCACTCAGAAAAAATACGAACAGTGCTCGTAAAACGTTTACCATAATCAGAAAGTTAAAACCATTTCTAAGAGAATGCTGTTTTTATTTCACATGAAATCGTATTAGTTTTCATCAAATTAATTTTTTTAAACTCTTGTCATAATTTTTGCTTCGAAGCAGTTAATTTGCGTTAGATCTACCGTACAGAAAACTGTACTCCGCTATTTTTTGACGCTGTACAGTGACGCCTGCTTACGCAATGGTAAGGCGTGTATAATTGAGAGAAATATAAAATCTCCAAAAGTTAACTTTTTTGAAGAACAAAAATTGAAAACAAAACAACAATCAATCGAGAATGTTGACAAAAAGTTTTAAACTTCGAAAACCTCTTACACAAAAAGCAAAGCTCTTACCTTCAAAAGCCTTCGGTTTCTGAGATCCTTTAGATATTTACTACATAATTCCTCTTGTAAATGGATCTATACTGTCTGTTTTAACAAGTTAAAACATAAAAACAGCGAGCCATTATACTTTCCAACTTCAAATTTGAAGCACCTGCCTTGAACTTTGACCCTACCTAGTGACTAATCGCGCTCTCTATTTGTGAAACTTAGAACTATCTTCACTAAATTTACGAACAAGACAACTTATCTTGCTGATGTTGTTCCATGTTTAGACACAAGTTATAATCATGAAAAGTGAAATCCATGAAAATAGCACAGAGAGCTTTTTACATATAAATCATTTCCCTTAAACATGTTAAAAGGTCATTGAATTGAATAGTGAAATACTTAATTAATAGTGACCAAATGTATATGTATTACATTTCTTATTAATTCATGGGGAAGGGCAAAAAGTTCTGTCAGATCTAAATAACCTTCTTTATTCAGTTCGATTACATCATTATGGGTGTTCATATTTATAAAAAGTAAATCTCTCAGTATGAACCAAACAAAAGGCTAATCCGATTCTAAACTGACACGACTTTATCTAAGTATTCATTTGAGACTAATCATCTTTTTAAATTTTGATGCATCCTGTGGGAAATAAAATGGCCAAAGAAATTGAATACTGTCAAGAGAATACATGTAACTAACACTTGGATGATCAGAAGGGAGTATACGGGATTCTGGATAGGATTACACCCCACCCTCCTAAAAGCCTTGCCCAAGTCGGTCTCTTTTACTTATGATCTTGATTTCTGTTATGACCGGCAGTAATAATTCAAGAGTTAGGATGAGGGAAAAAATACCGACTTGGGCAAGGCTATCCTAAAGATGATGAGATTATTCATCATCATGTCAATGGTATGATCCATCAAAATTGTTCATGGTGACATGTGCATTGTGCATGTATGAAATGTCTCTCCATGGCTGAGGTGTTTAAAGCATTGAAACTTGAATTGATCATGAAGACGAGCGTTCAAGACCCCGTATCTTACTTGACCTGTGACATCACTGTTAATAAGACTAAAGGGTAAAAAGAAAAGAGTCAGAACTATGGCATTGAGAACGGAAAAAGATGGCTAAGAGCCTAAGATAATTGTGTCTCCAAGAGCTTTTAATATAATTATCTTCAAATAAAGATGGGAGTTGCAATCAATTGGTTTAAAATAGAAACTCTTGAGAAGACACTGGAGGGGTTAATGCACTTGTTTTGTACGCATTGAACAGAGAGGCGACGGGTTCATAAGTATTATCTAGCTAGGTGCATTCATTCACCCTCTTGGTCTCTGAGGAGCAAGTCCATACGACAATCCAACGCATTAGAGGCGGTGTTCACCGTCTATTATCTATCAAGACGCGAAAATGCAAACATCGATGGTCAAATATTTAGCGCTCGTAAATTTAGTGCAACCAATGGCGGATGACCTACAAAACAATTTGTCAAAATTTGGTAAGTAAATCTTGGTTTATCTCAACCATGAGCACATACAAATTAATAAATGAAACTTTTTATGAAAAACATTGTCTGTTTTCATACTCAGTAGAAGCTATGACGAAACCAGCTATCACAATAAGTTGGAATTCCATCGTAAACTAAAATATTTCTGAAAACAAAAATATTTTTGAAACTGGCGGTGTTTCAATTCAAAGTCAGGCGATAAGGATTGGACCAATACAATCATACGTTTGTTTCTTATCATGTTCAGATTGTCAGGGACCATACTCCAAGTAGGACGTACTCGTGGAAGCAATGTGTATTCAGTAAATATAGCAGCTCTAAATATGAAGTCCAAAAAAGAAGAGCAATCCAGGAATTCCTGGATCAAAGAAGGTGAGGATTTGTTAATCAATTTATACTAAGACATTCTGGAGGTCATTCAGAATACTTTTGAGTGATAATCAGACAGGAGGAATTTCCTTAATACTGAAATCTTGATACTACAATATTTTGAAAGGTCACAGTGACCTACAACACTACTAGATGTATCTACATGTATATGTGATTTATTCCTATTTACCTGTTACATGTATGTAAAAATATATGGAGTTCAAATGAAACCTCAATTGTGTGGAGAGGACATCTATCAAGAGTAGGCTAACAGTGACAGTTAGGGATTCGGAAGCATATATCTGTAGATCCTATTTATTATAAATATTCCATGAATATCAATAGGTCACCATAACTAAAAGTATGTTTCAACCAGGAAGACGGATCTGATTGAATTGAACTTCATATGAAGAAACAACGAACTCATGTGAAATAATAGCAGTTATGCAGTTGTAACTATTACAAAAAGTTTTGCATCCTTATTGAATACCTTAATTATTTTCTGAGAATGAAACAGATTGATTTGACAAATATGATAAAAAATATCAACTACAATGTAGGGTAGTAGAGTGCAATGAAGGGGTGATATTTAAAAAATGATGTTTCTCTATTAGACCAATATGTTTGTGATTATCTTATGAGAATATTTTTCTACATGTATTTTTCCATCAAGACCATTTCCTTTCCATAAGGGATAATTAGATGCTGCTAATATGCTGCTAATGGTTGTTGTTATAAGTTATGTAGCAATCTTCACACACTTGGTTGAACAAAGATGTGTCAAACAGAAATCTTTGGTGTTCAAAACCAGATTAGTTTGTCATATGACATAATTTGTCTAGTTGCAACAGTTTACAGTTACTATAGACATTTCCACATGTCTTGCAAAATACTGCAGTTTTCACCATTTTGAGCACTTATAGCTCACAAAATGTGTATAAATGAGTCAAATTTATTATTTTTATGAAAATATTATTTGAATACATTTTTTTATTCCATATACATTGTTTTACCATTAGAGATATTTTATTCACTAATGTTTGCATAACATCCAGCACATAAACAATGTCCTGACTTTTTCATCCTTGGACTCTTTAATCAGCTGTTTTCGATCAATTAAGCAAACTAGGTCAGAAGTACGATTATTCAGAGTTAAAAGTTCAATTAGATAACGGCCTAGCGTATTATAGTGCATGTATACTAGGGGCAGACTATGTACCTTTTAGAATTTAATAACAATTATGAAGGTCAATGTAAAGAATAGTGTGTTCAAAGTTCCAGTAGAAAAATGACAATACTCACACCACATGTACAATCCCATTTCCACAAGCTAGTACTGATAAATATAACCCACTTGTTTTTATTTTATAATAATCTTTAACTCATACCATCAACAGACCTGGATATAAACCTTTTCTTGAAGTATCAATACAAAGCTTGAATTGAATAAAATATTGAATTTCCAACAGATGGGTTGTAACAAAATGAAATTGCATCTACAAGTCTGTCACACCATGTCTGTCACACCATTTTGAACTCCCTGACATGTTGTCTATCAGTGGTCAGCATCTATAACAAATTGTTACATCTTGTAACCATTTGCAATAACTCAAAACAGAGTGGTGTAAATATTATGCCACAATAAATCTATTTCATCAGTCAAATCTAAATGCTTGCACATAGTTGAGAACTAAAAATTACCTACAATTTCAACAAACAGTTGAATATATCAGATTCAATTTCCAGCTATTAAAAGACAAAGTAACTCTTTGCAATATTTTTATATTAAACATTTTAATTATTTTTCTCCATTTAAATACATAATCTTATATCAACATTTGAATCTCTGTAAAAAGGTTATCATACTTGAAGACAACATATTTAAGCATTTAAGATGTAATACTGACATTCATGTACTTAAAGTTATACTCAAATTATATTTCAGATAATCCGTTGAAAGTATCAAACCAGCAAAAAGATGGTTATGAGGATATATTACACAAGCGTAGAAAAACTGGTGAATTTTGGTGGACTTTGCGAACGAGGGATGATGTTCCACAATATAAGTGGAACAAACCACGTACACCCACAGAATTAAAGACATATGTAATGGGGAGTGATAGGGTTAAATATGCTGTAGAGCAGGTACGCTTTATATATTAAAGACATATGTAATGGGGAGTGATAGGGTTAAATATGCTGTAGAGCAGGTATGTTTTATATATTAAAGACATATGTTATGGGGAGTGATAGGGTTAAATATGCTGTAGAGCAGGTTTGTTTTATATCTGTTTCTTTAATAATGATGAGCATTGTATACCTTTCCATAGCAACCATAAAAAAACTTTTGATTTTCCTAACAACCTATGATATTTTCCTTAGCAACCATCAAAATGCCCCTTTTCCATAGCAACCCATTAATATCTACCTAGACAATCTAGCTATCACAATCTTATTTAGTAAACCATTAACCGAAGAACTTTTCCTTCATAACCATGACAACTTGTGTTTTCAGGTGATTAAAGAGACAGGGACTCCAATAGCAGAAGTATACGCAGAAGCTAAAGACATTTTGGAAGAAATGGCTCATAATTTAAGAATGGGTGCAATAAGATCATTAGCATTAGTGCTTCCTAAAGTCTTCAAATCTATTTATAGAAGATTTTATGTTAACACAGAGGGAATTCAAATGGTGAGTTAATTTAAAGATATACCTAGTTGCAACTTGTTGCCATGGTTTCACAATACCTTTCGAATATGATTTGTGGTCGTTTATCAATGTGTGCAGTTACATAGCTAATTTGAACTCAAATTAAACTTCATAAAGTTGAAATGAAAAATGAGATATTATTTAATGCTGCAGTGCAATATTGGCCCCTGCCCTATACATATAATAATTACTTTAATAAATCTTTTTGTTAAGAACAATAATGAAATCATACTTGCACATGATTGATGTATCTTTGTAGCTTCTAATTTGTATGCAAACTGCTTGAATTTGCGCACAAATTCAACGTTTACCCATTCAACGTTTATTTTCTACTTCAGTTGAGGTCCATGATACAAGAATATCCTGTTTTGTTAATGCCTAGTCACCGTAGTTACGCAGATTTCCTGTTACTCTCCTATGTTTTCTTCCACTATGACCTGCCACTCCCAGTCATAGCAGCTGCAATGGGTATGTAAAATAACACTGAATTTATGTAAAATAACACTGAATTGAATTTATCAATCAAGAACACAAATTTGGAATCATAAAAATAGAGTGATTCACTCATTCTGTGAGGAAAATATATGTTTATGTTTCATTAATCAGTGAAAATGTGACAGGTATTGCACAAGCATAGAATGAAATATTTGTTTTATTATATAATTGCTAGGTGTAAATCTCCATGATCAGAATTTACTAGCAGGCAATATGCAAGGAAATTCAACTTGGTTTTTAATTATTATGTCACCACCAAAAGTGGTGACATATTGTTATGGTCTCCGTTTTTTTGCGACGGCGTCCGGCGGTTGGTGGTTGGCGGTTGGCGTCCGGCGGTTGGCGTCCGGCGTCTGTAACAATTTCTTACAACTTCCTATAACTTAACAAATACTGTTTAGACTGACTTCAATTTTTTTCTAAATCATCTACATGTTCTCAGAAGTTCAAATCTGACTTTAGATTTGACATTTGACCTTCAATGACCTTCTCAAGGTCAAAAAGGTCTTTTTTCAACTTGCTTCACATTGACTAAATTTTTTTTCAAAATCATCTACATGTTCTCAGAAATTCAAATCTGACTTAAGATTTGTCATTTGACCTTCAAATCTGACTTTAGATTTGACATTTGACCTTCAATGACCTTCTCAAGGTCAAAAAAGGTCAAAAAGGTCTGTTTTCAACTTGCTTCAAATTGACTAAATTTTTTTTTCAAAATCATCTAAGTGTTCTCAGAAATTCAAATCTGAGTTAAGATTTGACTTAAGATTTGACATTTGACCTTCAATGACCTTCTCAAGGTCAAAAAAGGTCAAAAATGTCTGTTTTCAACTTGCTTCAAATTGACTAAATTTTTTTTTCAAAATCATCTACGTGTTCTCAGAAATTCAAATCTGACTTAAGATTTGACATTTGACCTTCAATGACCTTCTCAAGGTCAAAAAAGGTCAAAAAGGTCTGTTTTCAACTTGCTTCAAATTGACTAAAAAAAATTTTCAAAATCATCTACATGTTCTCAGAAATTCAAATCTGACTTTAGATTTGACTTAAGATTTGACATTTGACCTTCAATGACCTTCTCAAAGTCAAAAAAGGTCAAAAAGGTCTTTTTTCAACTTGCTTCAAATTGACTAAATTTTTTTTTCAAAATCATCTACATGTTCTCAGAAATTCAAATCTGACTTTAGATTTGACATTTGACCTTCAATGACCTTCTCAAGGTCAAAAAAGGTCAAAAAGGTCTGTTTTCAACTTGCTTCAAATTGACTAAATATTTTTTTCAAAATCATCTACGTGTTCTCAGAAATTCAAATCTGACTTAAGATTTGACATTTGACCTTCAATGACCTTCTCAAGGTCAAAAAAGGTCAAAAAGGTCTGTTTTCAACTTGCTTCAAATTGACTAAAAAAAATTTTCAAAATCATCTACGTGTTCTCAGAAATTCAAATCTGACTTTAGATTTGACTTAAGATTTGACATTTGACCTTCAATGACCTTCTCAAAGTCAAAAAAGGTCAAAAAGGTCTTTTTTCAACTTGCTTCAAATTGACTAAATTTTTTTTTCAAAATCATCTACATGTTCTCAGAAATTCAAATCTGACTTTAGATTTGACATTTGACCTTCAATGACCTTCTCAATGTCAAAAAAGGTCAAAAAGGTATTTTTTCATCTTGCTTCAAATTGACTAAATTTTTTTTCAAAATCATCTACATGTTCTCAGAAATTCAATAATGTCTTTAGATTTGACATTTGACCTTCAATGACCTTGTCAAGGTCAAAAAAGGTCAAAAAGGTCTTTTTTCAACTTGCTTCAAATTGACTAATTTTTTTTTTCAAAATCATCTACATGTTCTCAGAAATTCAAATCTGACTTTAGATTTGACATTTGACCTTCAATGACCTTCTCAATGTCAAAAAAGGTCAAAAAGGTATTTTTTCATCTTGCTTCAAATTGACCAAATTTTTTTTCAAAATCATCTACATGTTCTCAGAAATTCAAATATGACTTTAGATTTGACATTTGACCTTCAATGACCTTGTCAAGGTCAAAAAAGGTCAAAAAGGTCTTTTTTCAACTTGCTTCAAATTGACTAATTTTTTTTTTCAATATCATCTACATGTTCTCAGAAATTCAAATCTGACTTTAGATTTGACATTTGACCTTTAATGACCTTCTCAAGGTCAAAAAAGGTCAAAAAGGTCTGTTTTCAACTTGCTTCAAATTGACCAAATTTTTTTTTCAAAATCATCTTCATCTTTTCAGAAGTTCAAATTTGACTTTACAAGTTCTCAGAAATTCAAATCTGACTTAAGTTTGAACTCATAATATTGTGAGCAACTAGGTGGTGACATTTTGTCATGTTAATGCCTTGTTAATTTTAAAATTGAGGAAGATATGAATTACGTGATAATATTTTGGATCAATTATGTGATAATATTTTTGATCATATGGTGTTTCATTGACCAATCAGGAGCAGTCATATGATGGAAAGTCTTTTTTCCAGATTTCATGGGGATGAAGTTCATTGGTTCTTTACTGAGGAATTCTGGCGCATTTTACATCAGACGGAGCTTTGGTACGGACAAACTTTACTGGGCAGTATTTACTGAATATGTACAGACTCAACTTAATAATGGGGACCACCCTGTAGAATTCTTTGTTGAAGGCACAAGAAGTCGAACGTCCAAATCATATCCGCCAAGGATAGGTGAGTTTTGCAAAACAATTATATTGTAAAGGGAAAGGTCACTTGATTGATCTAGCTTTGGTTAGGGGATAAAAGTCAGTTGTGTTTTGGGAGCAAAGAGAAATAAACTTTATTTAAAAAATATTTAATAACTACCTACAATGTATTCAGTTAAGCAGATGTAATTTGAATCAATGGTACACCTTGAAAATAATAGTGTTGCTAGCCCATAGGGGTTAAGTGTACATATACATGTTGTATATTTTCAGGCATGTTATCAGCATCTTTAGAACCATATTTCAAGGCGCATGTCCCAGACATTATGGTTGTTCCAGTCAGTATTAGCTATGATCGGATCCTAGAGGAACAACTATATGCATATGAACTATTAGGAATACCAAAGCCAAAGGAATCCACATCCGTGAGTTATCTTGGAGAGACTAATTAAGAAAAAATGGGCATTTCATTTTTCACTCAATTTGCAACTTCAAACAATGATTCTTCGATATGAAATTACAAGTCTGTCAAGTAAAAAATGAAATATCATATCATATCATATTTTTCTGGCACATTCTATCTTTATTTTACAAGAAATCATTGAATAATTTTTTATTCAGTGATCTTGGGCATACAATGTTCTCAATTATATCATCATAAATGACTTAGGCCATAAGAAGAAGATTCTTTGTTTTGCGTCCCCTTGCTAGCATGATTTTGAGTAAATCAGAAAAACCAAACTTATCCAAATAGCAATCACAAGGGTCTGAAAGTACAATCGCAATTCTTTCAATCAGAATCAGACGAAATGGCGGATAATTTGATGTGCGTCAAAATTGATAGTGTTATTGATACTTCGGCATACATTGTGTGTTTTATTTTTTACCCTTGAATAATAGCTATATGTTTAAAAATGTATTGTATAAAATGTATAGATATGTGTTTGTAATCACTACAAATTGGTATGTCATCACTTTCATGCCCATAAAATGTATACATTTCTCAGCTAACAAGTCTGTGTTTTTTTTTTCTTTGAGTTTGTGTTTGTTTTCCTTGTACCCCCTTCCATGATTTGGATTTTGCCAGGATGCAAATCAAAGAATCTACTTCTTATGGCCTTAGATGTAAAAGCAGGATATTTTGGAAATAAGTTTGCACCAACCTGCGTATCTATTCACATTCACTTGAAAAAACAAAAATCCTGAAAAATTAACATATTTATTACAAATTTTGGTCAGATTTTTGAAAATGAGAATTTTGCATCTCCACCAGAAAAGTTTAAGGCAGAGTACCATTATCATATAATATCTGACTGCAGGGTCTGATGAAAGCCAGAGGAATTCTCGATGAAGATTTTGGCAATGTGCACATGAATATAGGAGCCCCAGTGTCTATCAGACAGTACTCTTTGGGAAGGATCAACAGAATGAATCACAGCACAGTCCCTAGGTAATTGTTTTCATTTTTATGTCCCCATTGTCATAGTTTGGGACCATATTGTTAGTACTAGATTCCTTTCTGTCCGTCTATATGTCCAACAGTTTCTCCAAAACTGCTACAGATATCACCTTCATATTTTGTGTTCTGGCTCTTTGAAAAGGTCCTATATTGCCATTGTCTTGTGCTGATAGGTGTTAACAGGTGGGTGGATATATAGGCCCGCAAGGTTTTTATAGTCATCGCATTTTACATTTTATACATTACTTAAATTTTCTTTACATTTTGCAGTGAGAATACAGGATATATTTATATCACATGGGCCAATCAAATCACTGGAAATTTCACTGTCATTTAATAAATCATAAACCAACCTCTGTATTTCGGATATATTGCAAGTTTGACTGACCAAGAGCAGAGACTTATTGAAGAACTAGCATACCACATGGTCATCCGTCAGCAGCAGAACATGGTCATCTCACCTTGGGCTTTATGTGCAGCTGTTCTCATTTATTAAAACAACCTCTGTATTTCAGATATATTGCAAGTTTGACTGACCAGGAGCAGAGACTTATTGAAGAACTAGCATACCACATGGTCATCCGTCAGCAGCAGAACATGGTCATCTCACCTTGGGCTTTATGTGCAGCTGTTCTCATTTATTAAAACAACCTCTGTATTTCAGATATATTGCAAGTTTGACTGACCAGGAGCAGAGACTTATTGAAGAACTAGCATACCACATGGTCATCCGTCAGCAGCAGAACATGGTCATCTCACCTTGGGCTTTATGTGCAGCTGTTCTCATGCAAAACAGGGAGGGTATTCGATTTAAGCAACTTGTAAAGGAAGTCGATTGGTTAAAGAGACAAGCGGCTGTGTTAGGGACCTATGTTGATTGGCCAGGTACACATTCTAAAATACATGTAAATATGTTATTAACAGAGATCATAATTGAAAGCGCAATTATATAGAATGTACTGTATAAAAGGCGTATTAAGCAGCTATTGGATTCATTCAATTGAAGCAATTTGTGAATGATTTTAATTGATTAAAGAGACAAGCGTGTACATATCCAAATATGGTCCCCAAAATCGCTTGGTTTAGATGATCATATCCCCCTGTACTGTTTATATTCCAGCCAAGGAGTTGCCAGAAGCTGTTGTTCGATGGTGCATATCAATGCATACAAACCTTGTCACTCTCTCACCAGAGGGCATTGTGGAAATTAAAGTAGAAAAACCAACCAATAGGAAGATGAACCCTGATGACATCACAATAATGGCCGCCTCACATGTGGCATTAGCGTCCTATAGAAACCATCTTCTCCATGTGTTTATCAGGCCTGGTATGATAGCACTGGCAATAAATGCTTCCCAAGAAGAAACCATGACATTAGGTAAACTATGATATTAGATTAACCATGATATTAGGTTAACCATGATATTAGGTTAACCATGATATTAGATTAACCATGACATTAGGTAAACCATGACATTAGGTAAACTATGATATTAGGTTAACCATGGCATTAGGTAAACCATGACATTAGGTAAACTATGATATTAGGTTAACCATGACATTAGGTAAACCATGATATTAGGTAAACCATGGCATTAGGTAAACCATGATATTAGGTTAACCATGACATAAGTTAAACCATGATATTTGGTAAACTATGATATTAGGTTAACGATGACATTAGGTAAACCATGATATTAGGTTAACCATGACATAAGTTAAACCATGATATTTGGTAAACTATGATATTAGGTTAACCATGGCATTAGGTAAACAATATTATTAGGTTAACCATGACATTAGGTAAACCATGATTTTAGGTAAACCGTGACATTAGGTAAACCATGACATTAGGTTAACCATGACATTAGGTTAACCATGACATTAGGTAAACCATGATATTAGGTTAACCATGACATTAGGTAAACCATGATATTAGGTAAACCATGACATTAGGTTAACCATGGCATTCTGTAAACCATGATATTAGGTTAACCATGACATTAGGTTAACCATGATATTAAGTTAACCATGGCATTAGGTAAACTATGATATTAGGTAAACCATGACATTAGGTAAACTATGATATTAGGTTAACCATGATATTAGATAAACCATGATATAAGCAAAACAATGCAGTGTTGTTGCTGGCTTATCTAAAATGAAAAGAAATATTTGATATGTATCAAAAAAACGCAACAAGTAGTTATCTCGTAAAATCACAAAACTAGTGATGACTACATCAATTTCATTCAAAGTACCATAAAGCCACGTCGCTCCTCTTTGCAATGATATGTCATTCATTCACATGTGGTAATGGTTGGGTGAGAAATCCTTCCATTTGCACAGTGGGTCAAAATCTGCTCTGGACCAAGTTTTAGATATTGCAAAAATCAGTGCAAGGGCTAAGTCACGCGGTACTAACTTCGGCCGTTAATTTGAATTTTAGACCTACAAGACGTTTGAAAATCAAGGATTGCGAGTCTTATACTGCACCGTTTTTCTTCAAACTTGTTCAGTTCAAAGCTTAAAAAAAATCCTTTCTGTTGGTACATTACTCTGTTATAGAGAGTCCTCACTTTCAGCGGTATTTTGGTCCCCAGCTGTTAGAAGGGCTTCTCACAGCTGGGGACCAAAATGCTGTTAAAACGAGGGACTCTGTATAATAAAGCAATGCACAGACAGAAAGGCAATTTTGTTTTGATTTGAATGTTACAATTTTGAAGAAAAACGGTGCAGTATGAGACTTGCAATCCTTGATTTTCAAACATCCGGTAGGTCAAAAATTCAAATTAACGGTCAAGTTAGGACCGCGTGTAAGTGCCAATGGTTCCCCTGACTTGAATTGTTGTGACTTTTTCTTTTGGAGCAATCTCAGGAGCATCTGTGCTCACAATTCCTCCACCAGATATTGCAAAACCCCGAGAAAGAATTGCCCATGGGCTGCTTTTCTCTGCTTTAACCCACAGATGACTCAGGGCTGAACCATGCATGACGTGGACAGATGAGCGCATCTTAATGTGCAATGAAATGGTGGCAATTTGGAGGGGTATAGGATGTATTCTTGCAAGAGTATGACTATGAAAACTTTCCTTCTATGCCACACCTCTCACACCTTCCAATAGCCCCTATGCCCCATTGCACTGACTTTTGCAATGTTTAAAAGTTGGGTCTGAGCTGAATTTTGCCCCACATTGCAAAATTAATGATTATTCGGCCAGCAATGACTCCCTGTGAATGAATGATATTCCACTGCAAAGAGGAGTAATTTGGCTTTTTGGTACATTGAATGAAAAGGATGCAGTCAGCATTGGTTTTATGTTTTCTTCCAATATTGCATTGGGCTCCGTACACTGACTTTTGCGATGTTTACAACTTGGTCCCAAGCTAATTTTGGCCCACTTTGCAAATGGAATAATTACTCGCCCAACCGTGACCAAATATCAATGAATGATATATCAGTGTAAAGAGGAGACACATGGCTTTATGGTGCATTGAATGAATGCTGCTATCACTGGTTTTGTGCTTTTCGGAGATAACAATCTGTTGCATTTTTTGGAACGCACTGTATATTGGCCTCTATGAGAACATACATTTTACAGTATATAAATCCACATTTTTCTCTCTCCTTCCAAAAACATTTATAGATTAAAAATAAGTTTTGTTTACCACATTTTGATAACATTGAGTAAGACTAGGATATATATTCACTCTACTGTAAGGCCATGGTAGCACCTTTTGAGGTCTTTAAATGATTCATATTTCATTGTCCTATATTCACACGTCATAATTATTACTCACTTCTAGACTGTTGACCTCAGGGTACTGCAGTACTCTATATGATTTTATATACGAGGGGTGGTCAGAAAGTAATGGATGCTTTTTACCTTTATTTGTAGAAGACTTATACAAGAAGTATGAATATCTCGAAAGAATGCTCCGACGGGACTTCATATTCCAACTAGGTCACACCAAACAGGTAAGCAGCATTCAGTAATCATTGTTAAAAACCTTATGAATATCTTAAGTACAGTATTTTATCAGAAACCTCTACAAACCACATCCTGTCATTTGTGTTAATAAAATCAACTTTAGCATAATCATGGGCATTCAATAGGAATGGAAGAAGAATGCGCCTTGGGGCATATTCAGTGAATTCAATATTTTAATATGATTGAATTTTATGTAACCCTAATTTTATTTAATCCCATAGATTTTCAATATACATGCTCTTTGCTCAAGTATTGCTTCCCATTTCTTATTTCAATAGTTTATATTTTGATACTTTATGTTATTTGTAGGATTTCGACCAATCACTGTTGAATTTAACCCATAGTGGCAACGTCTCTGTGACGCAAGACAATAAAGTCCTAATCAACAAGTCAACCAATAAAAATACTGCATTCCATAGTCAGATGTTTGAGCCATTTCTCCTTGGATACTGGGTGAGTAGTCTTGTCTCGAGTTATGTTGTGTTATTATTGCATAATTCTGTTTTTACTTTAATTTTGCTCTCTTGTGTAGTTGTGTAATTTTGCCAAAGTATGTATCATGTGTTATGTTGTGTAATTATATATCCACAATGTGAAGTTCTTTTATATTTGAAAAATGATGTAACTTTTGTTTATTCATGTAATTTTGCCATAATGTGTAATTGTGTTATATTGTGTAATGCAGGTGATGTGCCAGTTTCTTCTATCTATGAATGGAGGGGACTCCAATGGCAAACCTCTCCCTACAACCTACGTCCTCCAATGTGATGTATAATTTTGCCATAATGTGTAATTGTGTTATATTGTGTAATGCAGGTGATGTGCCAGTTTCTTCTTTCTATGAATGGAGGGGACTCCAATGGCAAACCTCTCCCTACAACCTACGTCCTCCAATGTGATGTATAATTTTGCCATAATGTGTAATTGTGTTATATTGTGTAATGCAGGTGATGTGCCAGTTTCTTCTTTCTATGAATGGAGGGGACTCCAATGGCAAACCTCTCCCTACAACCTACGTCCTCCAATGTGATGTATAATTTTGCCATAATGTGTAATTGTGTTATATTGTGTACTGCAGGTGATGTGCCAGTTTCTTCTATCTATGAATGGAGGGGACTCCAATGGCAAACCTCTCCCAAAATCCCCCAGTGTGATTGTGAAGGAGACCCAGAGTTTAGCAGCCAATCTCCTTCAAGAGAACATCATAAAGCACTATGAGGTTATGTCCAAAGACATGCTGGGAAATGCCCTCCAGTCTTTTGTAGAGATGGGGGCTGTTTTCAAGGAAAAGAGGTAAAAATGTATAAATTATGATTTTCAGAAAATGTAAACTCCTAACTTAATAATTTAATAGAATTCCACAGAAGCGTTACATGATTTAGACAACAGATGCTTTTTAAAGAAGGTCCAAAAAATAAAATATTATTGCTAACTCTCTTGATTGATTGTTTATTTATTTTTTGTTTTATATGTTGATTGTTTAATATACTGCTTGTTTAATTGTATTGATTGTTTAATATATTGGTTATTTAATCTTTTCCAGGAATGGTGACACATACTTGTCTCCTAGTCCCATAGCTGTTAACAAGATAGCTGAAGAAATAGGTAAGTTCTTAGAAATTCTAAATAAATGATTCATTATTGATTTTATATATTTTACACCTTGTTTGATAAACTATCGGACAATTTACAACCTGAAGTCCAGGATTCAAAAGTCAATTTCTGAAATTTGTAACATTCGTTCCGAACCAGCCCTCTCTTACACACATGTTTATTCACACTGGTTGTTTAAGGTTAAAAATCCAATGCCAAATTATGGTGGAGATGCTTCGAAGAAGTTCTTGGTAAGGGCCAATGATGCTTTATGCCATATTTACATTCCCAGACTCCGGATTTTGAATAGGAGAACAATAATATTATATAAAACCAATGAAAAAGATTAAGCAGTAAAACTGTTATATGTATATCTGCATTTGGATTTGTTTCAGGGAAATACATTGAAGTTCCAAGATTGTCCATAGCAAACTTCACTCTTCAATCTAAAGCTGTTCTGATTGGTGCATCAAAACTCTGAACATTACCCAGAATACAATGCTTGCAGCAGATTATTCTGATTGGTACATCAGGCCTTTTGGTCATTACCCAGAATGCAACACTCGAGGGAATGATTCTGATTGGTGTATAAAAATTCTGAACATTCACCAGAATGTTATGCATAAAAGTAAATCAGTCTACTTTAACTACTCAAAATGCAATGGATACTGCAGAGATTGCTGATTAGTAAATACAGCAAAGCATGAAATTACCCATAATGCAATGTATGAAGCAGACGGCAGTATACGCTGTTGCTGCAGTCCCATAAACCAAAGTGCATTAAAGCTAGGAAGCGAAGCAATATTCTCATTAATACATTCATTTGGTAGATTTATAGTTTATTTATGTGTAAGAGATTCAGTGTTATAGAAATGTCAGAAAATGAAAGGTTTGTTCAAAAACCTTAGTATGGCATGAATAAATATATGGATGATGTCCAGACTTAAATTTGAGCAAAATTGCGAGAAAAATGAGATTTTTAGTACAGATGAAAATCCTCCTCAATTGTACATATATTTGTTAATTGTTTTTTAGTTTTTATTTCATTTATGATTGAATTTTATTCAAATTATTTTGTTATATATTCATTTGTTTTGTTTGATGTTTTATAAGCTTGTGTTTTATATGCAAATTGATACATGTATATTTAGAATAATTATTTATTTAGGATTAAATGGCCTCAGTCTTTAACTCTTGATTCTAAAGTACAACAATATCAGAAATAAGAAATCAGAAGCTTAAATGAACCATCACTTGACTTTAAAACAAACTTTCTTTTTATTTATCTTTATATATGAATAATATTGTTTGCGGGTAAGTAAGTAAATAGGTAATGTTTTATGAGTTCAAAAAGTTGCACTAATTTTCATTCCACTTGTGAGAATCGATCAAGTTTTGATATTTAAAGAGAAAGGTTCATATCAAAGTCTGATGATAGTACAAATGTCAGGTTATATGGATTTAAAAGTTTTGGTGTACTTTTGAGTTAAGTTACATAGTGTCATGGAGTATCAGTTTATCATATCTTTTTGTACCTGCTATGTTATACAGGTGTGTTTTCGGAATTTAGAAATATAACTTATTTTCACAATTTCTATTAAAATAATGTTATAGTTTATATGATTTTAAATGTATGTGTTTGTTATTGATCAGTGATGTAAGGGGCTTTGCTGTCATGATTTGTTATTGATGTAAGCCATATGCAACAGGAGTCAAAATTGATTGGTTAATTGCATTTATTTTTTGTAAAGTTTTTTATTTGGCTCATGTTCACGTTTAAAGACTGGAAAAACTGATTCCATACGTAGTACATACATACTTACAGTTTTTGTTGCATCTATTTTGTCCCAATAATAGTCGTAAGGGACTTGTTTACTGCTTGAACTTTAAATAACGTTCAACAAGGTTCAAATGATGTGAATCCCTAACATTGTATTCCATACAAACGTTGTACATATGACATTGTTTTCCATAATGTATTGTGAATCATAACTGTGCAATATGCTTGTTTTAAATATAGAATACTGATTGAGATTTGTGGCTAAAGGTTAAGCGCAAAATGATGGGGAAAGAAATTTGAGGTTAGAGATATATATTTATAAGAGATATGTGACAATGATTTATGGCTAGATATTGATGGTTGTGACAACAGATCTTTTGCAGTTGATCATATTTATTTTGTAGCATAGGATATGAAAAAGTATTCATGGCATATCGAATTGATTTTCCATTTTGGGGAGGTATTCACAGAATAATTTCTGTAGGATATAGAGACTTAGATTACCCTGTGAGCAGAGTCTAGTTATAAACTACCCTCTGCCTAGTATAGACTATATTACAGTTTAGAAACTTTAAAGATCAATAATTCTAACTTAGGCTAATAGATTCTTTTACTTTATGTACAGTTTATTTTTCCTGTATATTCATTTGTATAAAAAAACATTTATTCATAATGTTATATTTTGTAAATATTATTTGAATTAATAAGAATGATTTAAGAGATAATGTAAGACATTGGGGATGCTTTAAAATAAAAACCTGAATAAAGTTATAAAATTGGTAATAAAAATGTGTGTATTTTTTCAATTTTGCTTCTATGATCTTAGAATAATTTATTCAATACATCCTGACCCTGTAATCACTCTATGTCCCCTCCACCATATGAAAGAAAGGGAATAGGGGAGGGGTACAAGACTTACTTAGTTCACTAAGCTTTGCATTTCTGTGTAAGAGGATTTGGAGTATTGGTTGTTATATCACAACCACAAGTGGTGTTCAACGGTTGGTGTTCGGCGGTCAGTGTCTGTAACAAATGGCAGGTGGTGAAATTTTGCATGTTTGATGCCTTGTTATTGCTTGCTATTGCATTCATGCTTCCTGATGGTATTCATACAGGGTGTTTCAGAAAAAGTGCAACCCACGTACCTTACATGTACAGGGTGGACCACCCTGTATATATTTTTAACCAATGGAGCTTGAAAAATCTCTTTTGGCATTAGTAAAGATGGTTCAATGAACCATGTGTATGACCCATTTTCAGCCCTTAAAAATGTGCTCAAAATGGCTACCACCTCTGCTGACAGACTTCCATACTTCCTCATCTTCCAAGTTATCTCTAGTTGCGGTCTGCAATGATTCTAGGATAATTGACACACACATTATCTTTCAGGATGAATGCACATGTGTGGTCAAAAACATTGCACAAAGTGTGCAAGTCGTTCTGCAGAAAAGTAGTAGAAATTTGGGCAACATTGAAACAACTTTAATTATGCAAAACAAGATTTGTCATACTCTATTTGTTAAAGATAAGAATTGTTAGATGAGCTGCATTTTTGAAACACCCTGTACTTTTTTTAAAACACTCTGTACCTTTGTTGCTTAATGTTGTCCTAGGTAGTGTTTATGCCTTCCCGATCCTAACTGCTTATGGATAATGAACCCGAATTGGGTCATCCTATAAATTTGTATAAACCTGATTTAAATTTTTTCTATGTCAATCTTTTCTAAATATGCTAAACTTAAAAATAAACCAATGTTGATTGTCCAACCAGGTTAACAGGAAGAATATATTATATATATATATTATGTACCATTGGTTTCTACAAGAACTAAAATTTTGAAATGCATTTTTCTTGGAACCACATTCATGTTCTGATGAGTTCATTTCTCGCTTATACTGTATATGAACCGATTTTTTAATTTTTTGGCAAAAAACATGTGAGGATGAAAGCTATGCATTAATGAATTATCGCTTATTAAAAGATACGTGTGACCTCTAAAATTAGTTTAAAATAAATTCACAATTTTTCGAACAAAAAGTCCTTCAAAAACCACTTTTTGAAATTAAAAAAAAGTTTCACATATCACACTTTGATAACATTGGGTAAGACTACTATGTATAAGCCAAAGTGGTTTAAACTTTATATGGGGGCTTTAACTGAGAGTTTTATTGAAGTAAAACAACATTTTAGTAGTCGACATTTTTTAACTATTCAGGTATTGTAGAAAACCAACATGAATTAAAAACCAATACAATATGTATATTTATTGTGTTCGGTTATCCCCTCTTATACTGGTGTCGTTATCATGTTATACGAGGTCCAATACTTGTTTTATGTTTGGAAACAGCAAAACACATACAGTTATTATCGAAATCTTATATTATTTTAGATTTGATAGACTTACAAAAGTCGACTGAAGTGTGCATTTCATTTTACGTTTTGCCTAACTTATGTTTTCATTAAAATATAGATAGGTGACTTTTAACGGTTTTACAAAGCTGATACATAGGTTGTATGGACTCATCTTTATACCATTTTCTCTATGATATTGATGTGTAACAGTTGTATCAAGATCAGAAATGTTATTCTGCGCGCTTATTAAGTATAGGCAAAGTTTGTGTTTGGATGATGGCCGGTTTCTAACTTTCTGTAGACTTCAAATTTTACTTCCGGTCCTACCGATGAACACGTCAAAAATAATTCCTACGGAGAGTGTCTTCCCATTTCGCCCCTTCCCACTTTGCCCCTTCTCATTTCGGCCCTCATTTATTCCCATTTGGCCCCTTCCCATTTTGCCCCTTTCCCAAATTGCCCCTTTCCGATTTCGCCCCTCTTCCATTTCGCCCCCGTCGCATTATGCCCCCTTCCCATTTCGCCCCTCATTTCCCCTTCGCCCCTTCCCATTTCGCCCCTTCCCAATGGGCCCCTTTCCCATTTCGCCCCTCGTTCATTCCCATTTCGCCCCTTCCCATTTGATTTCGCCCCTCTTCCATTTCGCCCCTGTCCCATTATGCCCCCACATATAATCGAAATTTCGGGTTGATTTAAAAAAATCGACAATAGTCTGCATAACCTTAGGCTCCAATACCAAAATGGACAGAGGGATGTGATGAATTATACAATGCTGTTTCTCATCTCTTGAAGAACACCAGTTTTATCAAGTATATTATTCCATGCACAGACTCAATTCTGATCCAGGCCATTAGACTACATATCACCTTGTGACCAGAGACAGAAGAATATAGAGCTTACGAATTTGGACAGAAAAAGGCTTAACTAGGCTAGTTAGATCAGGGTTCATTTTATTCTGTTCAAAGATTATAACATTTGCTATGTATTGGTAGGTGTCAAGGAATGTGGAGTGCAATGGCAACACGGAATGTCTCGTGATTGCAATTGCTTCACGAGATAACTCAGTAATATTAGTAATTGGTCTGTCATGCAAGTTTTGCTGCTAATGGTTTCCAGATCAGGTTTGCTGGGACCATGACGTTTGTTTTTGTACCGACATATATTTTCATAAGTTTTAATTTGCATTTAAGTCTGACAATCTTTAAAGTTTCAGTCTTTTCAATCATGGTATTTGATATTCATGACCATTTGTGTTTAAGACATTAAATTTTTGATAATTTGTTTGTTGTGTTTGATAATTCAACCACGTTTTCATTGATGAAGCACAAGATATTTCCCCTGCAATTGTTATATATATCCAAGAAAGCATTTTATTATCAAAGGACGAGGGATTTTTCTGGTTATTTCTTATAACATTGGCAGGATTTTCCCGAGTGAATATAGAACCTCACACAAACATAATGAATGAAACACAATAATGCGAATGACTTCAAAGTGTGTTGACAATTGGAAAATGTATGATGTGGCGGACAGAAAAGAGAGAAAAAGCACATCAGTTGGACAAAGAGTCCTCCTGGACCAAAAATAGAAATACATAATGATTATTCACAAGACCTTGTGCAATCCTTGATTGGTAAAACAGAAAATCAGTATTCAACAATACTATTTGAAAATGAAGAGAGTGTATGTGATTTCAGAAGCAGATGTGATAAAAATGACATTTTTCAAAATGCAGAAGAAAAGGCGTTGAATGGTGAAAAAGTCACTGTAGATAGCCTACTGTTGCCAAGTTTAGAGGAGTCGAGGATAAAGTGGTTATTTTATGCTTGACCAACGAAAATGGGGTTTGTGTAAAAAAACGGGTGACCGGGTAGCCGGGTAACCGGGTACTTAACATTCCTTGCAGGGTTACCAACTTTCAAAGTTGCACCATTTGTAGACTACCCTTCAATATTTTTACGTTTTCATTTTAACAAGAACCTGTAAGAGACTGAATTTCGGAAGTCCTAGGTAGTTATTTACACAGTCTACACGTACGATGACGTTAGTTGCTTTTTTCTTGTCTGAGTGATTGACAGGATATCGATGACTGTTTTTATGTGTGCGATTTCTACTAGATATTAAACAAATCTGGAAGATTTACGTATTCGTAAATTGAAAAGTTATTTGCCGTTTTTATCTGTCAATTAGTGTACGATGTACAATACAACGTTAGTTGCTTGATTTATTGCCTCACTGATTGACATTGTATTAATTTTGTTTGTCGTTTTGCCGGTTGAATTATTGGTAAATAAATTTTGTTGCTTGTTTGGTTGTTTGCTTGATTGGTTGTGTCACTGGTACGTTGATTGGGATGTCAGTTGGGCTTTTTGAGGCATAAAATGAAAAAATCCTAACCCTGGTAGGAAGGTAGGGTACCCGGTCACCCGGCTACCCGGTTATCCGGTCATCCGGTTTTTTACACAAACCCTTCATGCACATGAGCTAATTAATGTAAAGCTATAACATGAGTGTCTTGGTAGATATGTTACAGGTTTCAGTATTAAATGTGATATTAAATGCTGTATATTATGTGACCATGAAGCAAGGATCTTAGTATCTTGAGATTCAGCTTTGTGAGTGTTGTTTGAATGCATGTTCCCATTGCTATTAAAGGGGCAATAAGGACTGTAGAGAAAATAGGAAAGTTTTTTCATTTTTTCTGAGCTATCAAGGCAACATTTGGTTTATTATCTTCTTTGAAATACCTATTTTCTAAAAATGTATGGATAAATTATCAATTTCAGCATTAAGAAGTGTCAATTCAGTTCAAAGCTTCAAAAAGGGGACTTCCACTTTTATATATTTTTAAGATCCACCATGTTTCAAGAGGAATATCAGCTAAAATAATGTTTATCTAGGGGGTTTCTTTGTAGATAATAAAAATAGATGTTAGTCTTGATGAAATATCCAAACTTAAATATATTTTGACACTGGTCCATGATCGTTGAATGACCCCCTGCACTAATTATTGCACTTTTAAGTAGTACTGTATTATACAGTGCATATTATTCAGGTAGATAGATAATATATCTATCATTCTAGTAGATAACACATCTATTATTCAGGTAAATTATACATATATCTTTTCTGTGTAAATTCATCACTCTGGTAATATATTAACAATAACTTAAGTTCATTAA